TTAAAAAACAAACTGCAATTTAAGCCTAGCCAATTCATCCTCTTCATTAATCTTTTTAGGAGGCAACAAATCATCTTCCTCCTCCAAACTTTTTCTTTGTTTACTTGTTGTCGACGGCATCAATTGCTTTAATATTTCTTCACATTTTTCTGCATTGTCGACGTCGTCCTTTGGTGAATTTGGATGTCGGAAGGGGGACCTGAAGAATTGATTTTTGATTAAAGATAACATCTCTAAATTGATTCCCACAATCGACAACTTGATTGGAAGTTCAAAAATAAAGCTCTTGGATAGATACCCGGGAAGCGTCTATAAGGGTTGGACTTCCATTTCAACAAAATTTATGTTCTATTCTTTGGAACCCATAATTCCGCTTAGAGTGGAAAAAAAGAAACCTCCTAACAAGGGAGGTTTCCTTCCTAAGACCAACTCAGATCATTAGTTAATCAGAATAAGTTAGGGAAACTCCCAGAGAGAAAGAAAAAAGAAATTAACAGCCACTGAGGAACCGAGGATTCTCTTAAATCCTATTTTTGTGGAACCGTTCCTAACCCTACGACTCGATCGTTGTCCTGCTTAAATGTAACAAAAAAATTAAAATAAACCTCAGGTTGTAATGTTTCAGTCGCAATATCCTCCAATGGATCTTCAAGAAGTCCAAAAGCTTCATCAAAGTCTACAATCTCTGCCTTTTTTGTCATTTTACCTTGAGGATGCTGAGAAGTTGAGGATGATTCGCTGTCGTTTTGTTTTCGTTTCATCGGAGAAATTAATAGAATTTTTTAGAGAATCTCTAAAATTTGAGGAAATTTAAAAAATTTCCAAAAAATTTTCAAAAAAAAAATTTCAAAAAATTTTTAAAACCCGAAGGCGACACAGCGGGTTAACTCTGTTGACAGACAGGACATAGACAGAGAAACCCATTTATTCGCAAAAACGACCTGTTTATTCGCGAAGACGACCCGTTTATTCGCGAAACTCGCCAAATAAACGCAAGGCTCATTCATCTATAGGTCATAACTTTGTTGGGAATTATTCAGGTAAAAAACCTTTCATTGTATAAGATTGGGTTTTTCGGCAGATTATCGACAAAAATGTGTAATTAGGTTTTCATGTTTCTTTATTACATTTTTGTTAGAAAAAATTCTAAAAATCTGCTTTAATGGTTAATCATACCGCTGGTAGCAAACATTCAGAGTTGATGATTCATTTAGTATGACAGTGCCTTTTTAAGTTGTAGGAAAAAATATCATAACTTGAAAAAGTTTGTTTTCAGACGTTTTTAATCTTAACATTTCTGCAATATTTTTAATAGATTTAAGAATCGATTTACTATTCCCCCAGAGCAGATTAATATCAGATTTTTGATAAGCATTGTTGACATAAAATAATTTTAAGAGTAAAAAATTAATTTTCATGGCGTCTCGCCAAAGCACCATAACCCAATTTTTATTCACAGATTTTCAATTTGAAATTATTTTATTTTTTAGATAATCTTAAATCTGCTTATATTTTCACTTTCTTTTATTTTCGTCAACCGTTGTTTTACTTAATATGAGTGGCTGGGTTGCATACATCAAAACCTTGACGGACAGTTGCAATGTTATCTGCAGAGCTGCTATTGTTGGAATTAATGATGGAGGGAGTGTTTGGGCTAGAACGGAAGGCGACAAAGAATTTAAGGTTTTTTTACTTTTCTATATTTTTTAAGAATTTATATAGGCTACTGAGTCGGAACTCAAGAAGTTTGTTGGTCTCTTTGATAACCTTGATAGTGTTCCAGAAACTGGCGCAGATCTAGAAGGTTTTTTAGTAAAATTTTAGTTGGTTTCCATCCCCTTTTGAAAAATGTGTAGAATATGCTTACTTCCTTAATTTACTCTATTTCCCATAAAGTAATTAATTATCTACCCCTTCATGAGTTAAGGGCCGGGACTTGGTTTTAGTGAAGTTAAGGCTAATGCAAAAGGCTAACCATTTTTAATACTTTAGGGAATGTAGCGGGGTACGAATTGAATTTTACTGGTTGTTATTTGCTTGATGTCTAACTTTATCTTTAAGGTGTTCACTACATTGTACCAAGAACTGAGGAAAACCTCATTTTTGGCAAGAAGGATAAGACTGGGTTGGTTTTTATTGATTTCAATATGATACTAAATTTCTCTTAAAAGATTTTTATTTCGGGGTTGAATTTACCAGATTACCCTAATTTTTTCAGAATAATTTTTTATGGTAGTACCGAATTTTTGATTTTTTCTGGCGTATTTTTAATCACAGACCTGAAAGACATTCCCATCAATTTAATAAGTGACCAAACTACTTATTTTCTAAATCTTAGATTCTTTGCTGCTAAAACAAAATCAGCAGTGTTAATTGCTATTTATGAGGGTGAAGCGGCTGCTGGTGCTGATGTTCGTGGGGCTATCGAATCTTTGGCAGATTTCTTGGAGAAGGCAGGGTATTAATGTGCAAAATTGAAAAATGGGATCGGAGGCAAGATTGATAGAGAGAAATTTTTATTTGAGAAAAGATTGAATGACCTAAAATATTCATAATCTGAGTACTACGAGGTTTTTTAGCGAACGTTAAATTTGGTGTAATTTTTCATTGTAAGTCCATTCATGAATATGTACACCCTAAACCACGAAGACCTCCAACTTTTGAAAGGAGATATCGAGGGATTAGGAGGGATAAATATATATCTATATGTAGATAAGTACCCAGTTCTGTATTTTAAACCCTCTGGTGGGTATTGTGAGGGTTTACCATAACTCTGGGTGAGTTGAAATCTCTATTCCCTTCAATCACACCAAATCCATCGATATTCCTTTTCAAAAGTTGTTTGTTTTCAAGGTCAATAGGCATTTAGGGTGTAGGTCTTTAAGGTTGACTCCTTTCAATTATATACAAACTTACTCAGATTATGAAACATTTTTGTATTCACCTGCATTCCCCCAACTCTTTATTCGGCCAAAATTGCTTCTCTATGCTTTTATTATAATATATGCTTTGTCTCCCCTATTTGTTTGACAGGTTATCAACTGAATTTTCACTTAAAAAAGGCATGCGCCTAGTGTTTTTTGTCTATTTTTCAAATTAAATTTAAAAACCATCTGTTTATTATTTTAAACAAGCTTTATTTTGGCGATTGTATTTTTAAAATTGATAAAGATTTGAGAAGAGGAAAATTTTATTAAATTTTTTTTGCTTAATTTTTGAATAATACATGGGTATATTTAATTGTTTTGTTATTCTATATGAGTGTTATTTTATAAAATTTATAGAAATTTGAGCTCTTTTTGGTCTGTTTGTTTTTGGGAACAAATACATTGGTAAATCTTTTTAGATTTCGGGATTTTCTTATTCCAAAAAGAAATTTAATTGGCAAAATTTTTATCCTGTTCTTAAAAACATTCAATATGTTCACCTACTTTGAAATTTTTCGAGTTTATTTTCTACTCTTCATATTTGGGGTTCTGCACTCATTTCAGGAATCACCTGTGCCACAAATTAAAATAAGTAATGTTTCCCTTCATCCTTGTTCAATCATTTTGACCTATCCTTAAGTTCATGTTTTTCAGCAGTTTTATATGAACAGACAGATGATATTGTTTCTTCACTTATTGGACACCTGAATGCATCATTCCTCTTCTTTCGGGACCTGTATGGGCTTGATGATAGCTTGATCTTTGATACATTTTTGCTGCCTCATGCGGTTGCTAACTTGTCAATGAATGCAACAGGTTGTAATTTATTTTATTAATTTTATAAAGCAGGTTTTGTCTAGGGTTGCATTTTCTAGTCAGGCCGTCGGTCGAGCCATTTTTCGGGCTTGTTTATCGGACATTCCGGCCTTTTTAGCCTTACGCACTTTCGGGCCTTACAAGTCTGGGTCTAATTTCTAAAATTCCCTATTCGATCTTTCGGTCTATTTTGGCAACCCAAGTTTTGACTTTCATCGAACTTTTTTTTAATTTTTAAGAATTGGGCTCAACATTTCAGCAAAGAAACAGTTCATTTTTGATCAACTTATCTTGCAGGTTTGAACGAATAGTTATAAACAACTAACCATATTTTTAGAATTTTAGTAGTCATGCTAGACAGATTGTCAAGACATTGGCACATAAATTAATGCTACCTGCAATACAAATCCACCATTCACCTTGGAATGGTGTTGAAAATGGCAAGATTCTGTCCTCATTAATTTGTATCTTATCTTTCATATAGAAACTATGGACTGCTCTTTGGATTTGTGTGAGGAAGATAATTATCTACACCTTATTCCAGGCTTTGTTGTTTTCGACAATATCATTCCTGAGCTAACTTATGCGTTAAATATGAGTGGACCATTTGTTGTTCTTTATGATGAACACAGTAAGTTTATTTTTTTAACAAGCATTAGAACTTTTTTTTTTAATTTTTAAGAATTGGGCTTCTGACCCTGTTACTAAGAAAAGAGTGGATAAGTTTTGTTTTTTTTGGTACGAATGAATAGTACATTAAATGGACTCACGATACCAGAAAACCAAAATTTCCTATAATTGATAAAAAAAAGTTAGGATCTAAAAACTTAAGAAAACTCTGACGTATATTGTAGCGTATTTAATCTCCATCCATTTGTACCAGGGACATAAATAGTCCCATCAGGTTATAGGGTCTGTGACCCAGTTGAAATGTACCTTTTACCCATTTATTAATATTAATTTTGATTTTTTAAAGTTGAAAATTTGATGTATGACTGGCGTAAACCTTTTACTGCTTTTCCCGTTCGTTTTGAAAAGATGTTGTCAAACTTGAGTTCTGCCTCAATGCATATTAAACAACTTGCAGACAAGACAAAGTATAATATCTTTATCGTCGCGTCTGCTAAAGCAGCTGAACTGTTTGTATTTATACTAAACTTTTGCTAACCTAAATATTTTTTTAGGTATATACATGCATCTATTCATCATTTCGAGTCACATAACTTCCGTCGATTTATTGTACTCTCAAGAGACACAGCTCCTTTCAAGTGTGAGCAATGCTTAAGCGCGAATCTTTTCTGGTATTTTTAAATTTTTTAACCTTTTGTGGGTGATTATTTTTGCTAATAAATCGGGTACTTATCCGTTATCTCCCTGCATTTTCTTTTCTCCTTTCTAAAAATTAAAAAATTGACTAAAGCGGAGACGCATATTTTCATAGAGGGCAGAATAGTTGCATTATTTACCTTTGACAATTTTATAACCTATAGAAATGAGAAAAGAAGATGCGAGGAGATAACGGATAAGTACCATTTATATCTTTTTAACTATTATATAACAGGATTCAAATGACGTCGAATGGTCGGGTACAAACCCTTCGAGCATTTAATGACTTTCTGAAGCAGGTTTCTTTTTATTTATGCATTATAAAATTTAGTTTTAAAGGAAGAACTGGAATCCTTTTGGAACTATCGTTCTCCTTTACCTTCATTTGAAGAGGTTTAAAATTATTATAAATTTGTTTTTATCCTCTTTTAAAGATAAGAGCATCCTTATGTTTGGATACTATTTCGCTTGCCTTTGATTTTTTTCTAAAGAATAATTATTTCAACCTCACTAATATTATACACAAGGCGAAGAATAAGAATTTCTCAAAAACTTTGAAAACTAATCTTCCATCCATTGTAGGAATATGTCTTAAATTTTTAAATTTTCTGGAATAATTTCAGTACCCAAACACATCAGATCCTCAGATAAAAGAGAAAATTGGGTTAAAGCAGCTCATTTTGGATAAATCTCCACAAGAATGTTGCGAATTTGGGTATTATGAATTGTATTTTGGCGTTTGTTATTATCAGGTATGTGTCAATTATTTTTAATTAACGATCATAACTTTGTTTAATTAAAAGGTTGTTACAACTATAATTCTTAAAATTGAACGACATATACAGGAGCCAGATATCGACTATGCTAAATTTGTAATATAGATTTTAAAGTCAATTTACTTTCCTATATAAAGATTGCTAATTGGAGCCTCTCGGAAGGCATTGCTCCATTTTATCCTGCCGGGCTAGACGTCAATGTGCGCAAATTAAACCACTATCGAATTGCTACAATCATCGTTAGGATTTTTTTATAATTTATTTGGTTCTTTTATTAAAGCAAGAACCATTCGTTCAATTTGTCCCTGTACATCCATCTACAATAAGCTTGGAGAAACCAAGGCCATGTGCTAGTGAAGAGCCAGTACGCCTAATTACTGGTGCTTAAATATTTTTATTTTATCCAGAAATTAAAAAAATATTTATTAGGTCAACTCGTTGAAGGCTACTGCATCGATATGTTGAAAATGCTTAAATTGGTTCGGAATTTTTGGCAGGTTAAAATTAAAATTTTAATTCAGGCACTAAATTTCACATTCGACTTGTACTTGGTAGAAGACGGTAAATTTGGCTCAGTAGATGAAAGTGGTAGATGGGATGGACTGGTCGGGGAGTTGGTTATTGGGAGAGCAGAAATGGCTATTGGACCCATTAGTAGTTTGTGAAATTTTTTAAAAATTATTTTATGAAACAGAAAATAGTTTTGGCTGAACGCGAGAATGACATTGACTTCACCGTTCCTTTTTATGATTTGGTTGGTTTAAGTATCCTAATCAAACGGTCTGAGGTGGAGACCTCGCTTTTCAAATTTCTTAAAGTGTTGGAATTGCCAGTCTGGACGTGTATTTTTGGTTTGTTTTATAATTTTAAAAGGGGAAAAATTATTTGATTTTTAGGTGCTTATATTTTCACTAGTGTGCTCCTTTGGCTTTTTGACCGATTCAGTCCATATTCATATACAAATAACAAGGACAAATATGCAAGTGAAACAGAAAAGCGGGAATTCACTTTAAAGGTTAGTTTAAAAATTCTGGATTGATGAGGGGCTTAATGTCACAATTTTAGGAATGTTTATGGTTCTGTATGACATCTTTAACCCCTCAAGGTTGGTTAAATTAAAGAATTATTTTAGTAAATTTTTTATTTTTAATCAAGGCGGGGGTGAAGCGCCAAAAAATGTTTCTGGGCGATTGGTTGCTGCCACATGGTGGCTTTTTGGCTTTATTGTAAATCAAGTTTTTTGACTTTTAATTTTTTGATTTTATATTATTGCATCATACACAGCGAATTTGGCTGCATTTTTAACAGTTTCAAGAATGGAACAGACAATAGGGTTTTTATTTATAAAAATAAAATAATTACATTTTTAGAGGATTAGACGATTTGGCAAAACAATATAAAATCGAATACGCCCCATTAAAAGGTGGTGCAACCGAAACATATTTTCGCCGGATGGCTGAAATTGAAGAGCAATTTTACAAGTTGGTCAATTATTTCCCACTCTTATATTTTACTCATATTTGCAGTATTTGGAAGCAAATGTCTCTAAATGAATCATTGGATTCACGTGATCGATCAAAACTTGCGGTGTGGGATTACCCAGTTTCTGACAAATTTACAAATATGTGGCGCTTCATGCAAGGTTATACTTTATTAATTAAAAAACACTCCATTATTGCAGAATCGCGCCTTCCACAAACTGTAGACGATGCGATCGATCGTGTTTTAAATTCGGAACGTGGCTTCGCTTTCATTGTAATTCACTTTATGATTCAGCTAATGAATATTTATTTGTAAATTTGAGGGAGATGCAATGGAAATCAAATATGCAACATTGACCAACTGTCGACTTCAACAGGTTTTAATCATTAAGAAACCTATTAATATTCCAACCCGTTTCCGATTGGTCCTGAATTCTCACGAAAACCTTATGCAATCGCTGTGCAGACTGATCATGTGCTAAAACAACCGCTTAGCCAGGCCATTCTAGGACTTCAGAATGAAAGACGGCTTGAGACATGCAAAGAACGTTGGTGGCATCATAATGTATATGCTAAGGAATGCGAGAGCACAGTATGAAAGCTTTATTAAGCTTGTTAATCTCCACATTTAGGACGACGATAGTAACGGGATTAGTGTACAGAATATTGGGGGTGTATTTCTGGTATACTTTTAAATTTCTTATTTTATCAGAAGCAATTGATAAATTTAAGGTAATTCTCGCTGGGATATGTATTTCAATGCTGGTGAATTTTTTTGAGAAACCCGATCAGATTAAATAATGTTCAAATATTTAGTGCCTCCTTGGTGAATACATTTATTATTCGCGGTTACGAAATCCAAATGGGAAGAGGGAGACAAGCAAACATTTGGCGCAGATGACCAGAGGGCTTGGCTGTTTTGGTGCACTAACTTCGCCGAAGAAAGAACAAAAGAATAAAAAATGCCAACAGTTCAGTAACTCAGCATTCAATGTTGATTAACTTTACAAGGATATATAGAGTAATTTTTTATTAGAGATTTTTTAAATGGAAAGAAGTTGTAGTATAAGATTTATAGAAATAAAATCTAAAAAAGTGAAAAAAATGTACAAGCTCTTAAACGAAATAGACAAAATGAATATACATATTAAGTACAGAAATTTTTATAAGAAAATGAGCATGAGAAAAGGAATTTAATTGGCAAAGGCATCAGAAAAAGAATTTAATTGTTGTATGGCGAGATGTAAAGTTCATTCACAAGAAATGTATTCTTTACCCTCCGCTCTTTAAACCGAGCAATATCTTTTCGTGTGATAATGCCTCGTAACTAATTTTTTTTAATTTAAAAAAATATATAAAAATTGAATATAAACCCTGTTTTCGTTATCAACTGCAATCAAGAATCTCAAGCCAAGTCCACGGAATATTTGGTGAATGGAATCCAAAGATGCAGAAAGCGGAACACTTAAAAATATTGAATTTATTATATAAAAGTAAATGATTCAGACCGATGAGGCGAAGGGTGCATAAACGATTTTAAATCAATCCAACAACGTTCATCTGCGGAAGTGAGTCCCAACTCTGAGATCCTTGACTCTATCCTGAAATTTTTTTATATTACGAGAAAAATAAAAAATAAGACAAAAACATACCGTGGATAGAATTCACTGAAGTCGGAAAGCGTGACTGGTTTAGAATTGGATACAGGATTTCTGCCTTCATAATCATGAGTAAAATGCTTAAGAAAATAAATTGAACCAAAGTACTATAATTTTTAAAATAACCCTTCTTTTGAGAAGAACAATAAGATGTGATCGCAAAACAAGCCCAAGTAGACGTCCATAATTTGGATATTTTGAATCATCAAGTGCTGCGTCAATTCTATCCAAAACTGGAAATCCATGATGTCTTGTAGAACGAAGAATTTCCACAATTCGTCCAACACTCTCGATTCTAAATTTGTGTGAAGATTAATTCTAATTCTAAGAATTATAAAAAAAACCTTTCGAGCGCAATAACATCTCGACGCATAACATTCTTCACTAAAATATTTCTCGACAATTTTGGAGGTTCCCAACCAAGAATAGGGACTTCAGCCAAATCAATGTGCTCGTCATAAATGCCCTTAATATTAAATTTACTTTTAATAAAATATTAAATTCAAATTGACCTCATTAAAAAAGTCTCCCACCCATTTAGCAATCATAAGTACAAGCATAATTGGAAGGCCAAAAGTTATATCCTTTGTTGCTTCGACAATTATTGCAGTTAAAGAGATTGTCATCCTTTAACAAAAAAAATCGAAAATTAATTTCTAAAAAAAATTCTTTCACCTCACAATACCACCCAGTTGTGCTGCAGCTCCAGCCAGCGCATACTTTCCAGAATCAATTGCTTCCTAACATAATATACAAAATAATTCATTTTAGTGGAACTGAAGAAACAAACCAACTCAGGAAAAAAATATTGCACGCCAACACCAAATAGCCTTCCCCAAGCAGCGCCAGTAAGCAATGAAGGAATGAAAATTCCACTTGGAACTGAAAGACCATAAGTCCACATTGTTAAAATGTAGTATTCAAAGGCAAAAACAAACAAAGTTAACGGCTTAAATGAATCTACAAAATAGGGAATTAGTGGATAATTATGGAGAAAAAATACTTAAAGGAGAATGAAAAAGACTTTTGACGCTCTCTTCGGGATTTTGAAAGAAAAGAGTAGCAATTGCACTGTATTTACCTTTAGGGCACCACAACTAAAAAGAATAAAATTAAATCAAAAATTATTGAGTCCACCCCGGAACCCTGAAAACCTACAACTTTTGAAAGCGGATAAATGCCCAGTTCCATGTAGATAAGTACACAGTCTGTATTTTAGAACCTCTGAAGTGGTCTTGTCAAAAATTATTGTTTTATGTGTGCAACTTAAGAGTGAGTAGTAAATCTATATCCCCTTCAATCACAATACCCTCTAAATGCCTCGTCATTCCCTTCCAAAAGACTCATGATCAATAGGTCTACAAGGTTTGACCTTGGATTATTAATATAGAAAATTAAAAGGAAAAAACCTTCATAACTCCTGTCAGTTGGGGATTAATACCAATCGATTGACAATCATCAATTAACAATAAAGTGATAAATCCAATAAAAGCGGATGCTGTCGCAACCAACATGCATTCCAAAAAACGTTGTCTTTTCGTTCGAATATAACTAAAAAAAATTTAAAAAAGAAAAGAGAAAAAATTACTATTTTCGAAATCGAGAAAGCTTCATATTTAAAAAATTGAAAAAAGCGCCAGAGAGCCCACCAATCAAGCCGACAAGTGCAAAAAGCGGTAATTCCCAAATTCCATAGGATTTGCTTTGATTCTAATGTAAGAAATAATCAAAAATAATCGACAAAAATTTAAATTAACAAACATCAAATGTGCCAAAATTTGCCAACCCATTCCATGAGAGTTGACCAAATTGTCCATAGAAAAAGCTGATAAAACAATTTAATGTAAAGGTTGAAATCATTGCTGTAAACACCTAAATATTAACTTGTTTTGATAATATATTCTTGAAAAAAGACAAACCATACGCCAAGTCAACGCCTGATTCCAAAAACTAGCACCCTCTTCCAAACTGAAAAGAACACCACCTATAAAATTTTTTGATTAAAAGATATTAATTATAGATTAAAAACCTATTGGCGAAGCAAATGCTGCCGAAACGCCGGCAGCAGCACCAGCACTAACAAAATCACGTTTCTCGTGGTCGTTACGAAAATATTTGAAAAGACCAGAATCAAATGGAATAGAAATGCAACGTCCCTGGGAAATTCCTGCAGCAACCACCGCTCCCGAATGGATCATTGGACCTTCCTGAAAAGGGAAAAATTTAAAGAACCGGAGAAGCATAAAGAAAACTAAGTTAAACTCACCTTTCCAGCAGCCAAACCGCCTCCAACCGAACATGATACACCAATTACTTTAGCTATTAGTGTTTTCAAACGAACAACTCCAGGAATTTGCACACCATTCAAAAAGCATTTAATTTGCGGAATTCCAGATCCTATAGCAACGGGTGAAACAAAAAGCACCAACGATGCAGCAATAGAAACTAATGCACAATTATATAATGCCCAGGTAAAAAGAATTATCCAAGTACACCCAGAATCTCCAATCCTACCATGCTCACAAATTTGTACCACTAAAATAAAATTTTTTTAAAAGCTGGAGCAAAAATAAAAAATTATTTGGTATCTATGTCGTTTGCCCACCCAGTCAATTTCTATTTAATAAGTATAAAATGGTGTCAGTTAATAGATCGAAAGAGCTAACTAGCTGACAATGAGTCGAATAACACCAGAAACGGCCCAAGGAAAAGTCTCTGAACTGAGTTAAAGGGTTTCAAAAAGTCAAAATCCATAGATTACAGGGGCGCAAAATGGTGAAGTAAACTTTTGAGGTAAAAAATTCAACAAGTGTTTGCATTCCTTTTTGTCTTCCTTTCCATCTCTTTTTTTCAGCTTTTTTACGTTCTAAACAAAAAAAGTGACTGGGGGAGGGAAACGACATAGCTCTAAATTATTCAAATACGAGAAAAATTTAAATTTTCATACCAATAAAAAAAACTTACATCCATTAATAACAATATGAAATTTGAGCTTTGAATTGTAATAAACAAGCACATCAATACATGCCGCAACCAAAGCAGTAAATACACCAATAAGAAAGCAAACAACCCATCTATTAACACTTCTTCGGAATAATTTTTTCTAAAATATAAAAACATTCCTTGGCTTTTTAAGTAAAATGAAACCTGATGATCCTTATCCATTTCCGCTGCCCGATAAAGCTCATTCTCAACAATCTCATAATCGAGACTCTCATATTTCTCTGAAAGAGTATGCTCATGCCCAATAACAGAACGCCGTCTATTCCTTCTAAGGCGTCCTTCTTGTTCCCTAAGACGTTCTTGTCGTTTTCGGCGATCGTATAGATTAGATGATGAAGAAACTCGTTCCAATCCTGCAGCTGGATCTTCATTTGGATCGAGGCTATTTTAAAATGCATTGCATTATTTATTGTTTAATATCTACCTGCTGTGAGAAAGCGTTCTTGCAGGAGTACGCCAGAGAAGCGGTGTTCGATCAATTGTCGGCCGTCTCATTTTACCGAAAATATAAAATATTATCAATCTTGACTAGAAATCTATAAAAATATTAATTAATCACGCCCTCTATCAATGATAATTTTATCTAATACTGACCATTTAATAATTTTTTGTTTTACTGACCCTTTTATTTTTTTCAGTCATATTTGATGTTTTGTAATATTTGCTTTAAAAATCAACTATTCATTTTTATTTGATTCGGTCATTAATGGAAAATGTGACATTTCGTTACACAAACATATTTTTCTAAATTAGGGCTGTCGGTCTTTGGAAAATCTTTTCGGAATCCGGAATCGAATGGAGTTTTCAGTTACCCTGAACCAAAGACTGCTCGGTTTCGAAACGACAACCCTAAAAATTCTTTTTTTCTTTTCAAAGGTAAACTAGAAGAATGGTTTTATTAAGTAATTATCTTCAATCTACGTGGCCAAAGGTTATTTTAGCTGGTGGTGTTGCTTTTATTGGATATGCGATTTATTTTGATCGCAAGCGACGACTCGATCCTTGTTACAAGCAGAAAATCCGACAAAGTTTGTTGTATATTTAAAAAAATATTTTTTTATTTTGATTTAGATCGTAGACGCAAACAAGAAGCTCTCAATTCCAATGTTTTTAATGCAGATTTTCCTGATCCGAAAAATCCACTTGAAAGCGAGGAATTTTTTCTCAAGTCAATTACTCTTGGTGAAGAGCTTTTGCAAACAGGTTTACATTTTTTGACGAATATTGTGCCAGGCTAAAATACGGGATAGACACCCAACGACAAGACAGATTCTGTGATTGGTATGTTCCGAATTATTGTCGTTCCTTGTTTTGGTAAAACCTTATTTTGTTCGTTTATGTCTTGTCTGAACCGTGTTTTGAATTGCATATTTTTCTCCTCACCAATAGATACCTTCAAATTAACTAGGAAACATTGTGCAAGGAATATTTCATCTTTCTAATGCCGTTGTTACTTGTCGACAATCTAGTGAGCTGATGACTATTTTCCGTCAATCAATTCCTGCGGAGCATTATATGTTGCTTAGCAAATCTATACCAGCAGCTAGAGAGGTTAATTCTAATATTTTCGGCTAGCAATTAATTTAACATTTTAGCGTCAAAAAGCTGCTCTGGAGCGTCAAGGTTATGGTCAATCAAGTGTTCGAATTGAAGAAGTTAAATCAGAGCCTACATCAGATGCTGCAGAAAAGAAATTTTTTATGCTGGATGATGAGGACCTTGAATGATCTTTTACGTTGATTTTTAAGATTTTATTTTGTGTCGTTTAATCATTTTTGAGTAAACTTTTAAATTATATATTAATCATCCTATTTTGTTTATTTTCAATATTCATATCTTAAATTATACTATTCCAACATATTCACATACAGATTCTCTATTTGATAATACTTCTAAATAATGGCCGCACGCAAAGGTAAACAAAAGGAGGAACAAGCTGTCGTCACACTTGGCCCACAAGTTCGCGAAGGTTTATCTTTAATTTACTTTTCTATTTTATCAATCAACTTTAAGGTGAGAATGTTTTTGGTGTTGCGCACATCTTCGCTTCTTTCAACGATACTTTCGTGCATGTCACTGATCTTTCTGGACGTGAAACTATTGTGAAAATTACTGGAGGAATGCGTGTAAAAGCTGACAGGGATGAGGCTAGTCCATACGCAGCTATGCTTGCTGCTCAGGACGTTGCTGAACGTTGCAAACAGGTTTTTATTGATTCGAAGATGAATTCATTAAAACCATTTAGGTTGGGATTACTGCTCTTCATGTTAAACTTCGCGCAACGGGAGGGACCAAGACTAAAACGCCTGGCCCTGGAGCTCAGGTTTAATAAATATAATATGTATAAATTAACATAACATTTCCTCAGGCGGCGCTTCGTGCTCTTGCTCGTTCCGGAATGAAGATTGGACGTATTGAGGATGTTACACCAATACCAACGGACACTACACGTCGTAAAGGAGGTCGTCGTGGACGTCGTTTATAAGAAGCGGACAAAACGATTAATGTTAATGTTGTTATTTTCGTCATTGTTCTTTTATTTAAATTAAAATTCTTTGATAAATGACGGTTTGTTATTGTTCCAAATTTTGTTGAGTTTTTAAAACATTTTAGTTTTTTGATCTATACTTTCTTGTTTGCTCGTTCACTAATTAGGGATTCATCTTTTATTTTAAAACTAATTTGTAATTAGCAGAAATTTTTAAACATTTCATTTCTTTTTGAAATTTTGACTTGGACCTTACTAATTTATTCCTGATTTTTAAGGGTTATTTATAACATTAAGTACAATAAATGCATTTAACGCCACTCGCTTGTCGGCGCTGTTTGGACAGGATATTCTCCAACAATATCAATTTATTGTCTTCTAAAATGGTCACGATTGAATCTCATCATCAGATTTCGCATTACACCAGCTCATTTAAAGGTAGAATCAGGAGGATTTTGGAATTCAAAGTGCTCGGTTTCTGGAGAAAAAGAATAGCTGATAATATGGCAAATCGGTTTACTTTTTTAAAAATAATTATAAAAAATAGTAAAATTAAAGGTTTTACTCTGAACGTGTAATAACAATGGGACCTGATTTTTCCTGTGCAGAATGGCTAATGAATGCGGGAGCCACCTCAATTCTTTTATCTGATGGAACGATTATAAAATCGCAAAAAGAAATGAGGTTATTTTTGAAGAATCATGGCTTTGACATAAACAATCTACAGATGGTATTTTTTACTGTTAAAGAAGACAAATTTTAAAACTATAGTTGGCCCCTGAAACCAAAATTGTCGAGGAATTTTACTCAAAAAATAAACGTCAGTCCTCAATCAACAATGATATCAAATATGATGAAAGATGGAAACATGTCTCACCTATTCACATTAAAGAGGTTCTACTACTATTTGAGGGGGTTTGAACTTTGAATTTTTCTATATTTCAGATTGACGCATCTGATGCAGTAATTACTGACAGAGGTTTCAATTATCTTCAAGAATGCAAATGCATCGAGTCCTTAAAATTAAACTTTAATGAATATTTTGGCGATGAAGGTCTTTTACAACTTTCATGTGGACGAATACCTAGAACATTGCGTAACATGGTAAATATTAAAGTAAAAAGATATTTAGGGTAAAAAAATTAATTTTTTTAGGAAATTTGTTTTAATCCAGCGTTAACTGAACGTTCAGCTTTAATATTATCCAAGTTTCGACAACTTAAACGTCTTCATATGTATTTTCTTCCAAATGTTAGCAAACGAGAAGCGATGTTGCGACAAATGAAAATTTCACTTCCGCACTGTAAAATAACATTTCCTGAGCCTTTCTTTATTGGAATGGGTTATGAATCAGAAGAAGAGAGGGCTGCTTACAAAAGAATTGAAAAACAGAAAAAGATTAATGATCCAAAGAAAAAACGGTGGAGTGGATCGTGAATGTAATTTATTTTTCTTATTTCAAAGCTTATTATTAGAGAAAATGTTAGGATGCATAGGAATCGGATTAAATAAGAGAAATATCTTAAAAATCGAGAGTATATCTGGCAGAACATAGAATGGATGGAATCTATGAAACGAGAGGGGATCCTATTGTAAGGGGATCTAAATGAGGGACTTTTAATAGCTTTTCTGACTGTAGCAAATCTATTACATTGAACCTCTGACTACATCCAACTTTAAACGAGGTTAAAAAAGGATTTATTTCTAATTTAAATGTGAGAAAGTCTAAAATTAGCAATAAAATAATCAAACTGAACCATTTCCTCCTCCATTACCAGACTTGAATAAACTAGTACAAGCTTCACGCAAATCGTTCCAAAACATCTCTCGTTGATCAATTAAAAGGCTTTCATCACCGGCATGATAAAACTTTGCATGTCGAACTAGAAAATTAAAATTACTCTAGTTACAAATTTAAAAATTAACCTGCATAGCTACGCAAATAATTCTCAAACGGTTTGTTGCAGCTAACGCACTTGTATAAGGGCAAATGTAAATGCCTTAAAATGTTCAGATTTGGATAAAATAGTGGATCCGCCCCATAAGTCAATACCCTATTGAAAAATGATCTTTAAGGTCAAATGACCCTGAAGGTCAGTCCTTAGAATGGTTAACTTATGGGTGTAGACTTTCTGGATGTTGACTTGATCCAAAAATGGTTAGATTGAATAATATTTACTTTGTATTCACATGGTTGAGCATAATCCATTCCTGGTTAACAACCATATCCTTAAAGAATAAAATAATATTTAAATAAATTTTTAACGACTTACACCGCAACCACCACACTGAATCGACTTGTGAGCTTTTACATGTTCGCTACTAGGAGAGTTGTAATTATTGGAGACTGTTGTAGTTGTACTTGTAGAACTCCCAGTCGTTGTATTAATTCCTTTTGCTAATGGCATTCTCTCTTTGGCTATTGAATGACTATGAAGAACATTATTAAAATTAATCTAACCTTTTACAACATCATTTTTCTTCCCTCGAGTAATGTCAACCAACTGGGCCAGAATTGAATTTGGAGTTTGTTCTTTCTTTTCTAAATATAAAATTTGAGTTGAAAAACCTATGTGACATAGCAAAGTTCTCCAACCTCGTATCAGGGACGTTACGAGTTATCCGAAACCCGAACTTTTCAACCCGTAACCCGATCTGAGAAAACTTTGAAGACACGACTCAATTTTTTCTCATCCCGTGACATAACTGCCCGGATGTGTTTTTGGATTCCAATTTTTAAAATTCATTTTTTTCAAGCTCTGATTCCACAATATGTTAATTTTTACCTTCGTCAACAGCACTAACAGATGTTTCAGTTCCACCACTATTTGACTCGCCTGTTGCAGAATCTTCTTGTTCCTCTTTCATATTCAAGACAAGTTCAGGTGTTTCCAATTCCAATTTTGCATGCTTTTCACTAACCTCATCATCAATCCTTCCTTCTTCCAAAAATTGTGAAGATGGAGAATCTTCACGCCAATTAGTTGTGCTGCGACCCAAATTAAAATATTCACGTTTATGACGATTCAATGTTGGGAAGTGACGTTCTGTATTATTTTCAATCATGTTCTCATCTCCACCTAAATATTTTTTTTAAAAATAAATTTCTTCAAGTAAAACTCAAAAAATTTAACCATGACGTTGAGCATGCCGAATTGCCGCAGATTTGTTCCAAAGAAATTCCTCGCCGCAGTGCCGACATTTAAACATTGCAAGTTTTAAATGCTTCACATTTACGTGATACATGAGAGAGGTACTAAAATATAGGCAATGATTATGGTACTTGCGTTGTTTCCCTCACTGTCCATTTTTTGATGTAAATAATTGTTAGTCTTTTCTTCCTTGAATAATTTCACAAAATTTCCATGTTCATTCAGGCATTGTGTGAGATCTGTAACCAAAAAACATGTCTCAATGAAGGAAAAATGACCAATTGAATGATGCCACAGGTAATTTTGTGAAATTATGCAAGGAAAAGATGACTGAACATCAAGAAAAAATTGGGTGAGAAGAGAAACAACATAAGTTTACAATCATCAGACTAGTTAAAGTTATAAAATTCAAACCTTCGGCTAACGACCATACGCTGGCAAGCCTGACATTGTAATTCTGGTGGAGTTGGACGAGCCGTATTCATAGTCCAATTAGCTGACCGGCTCACATTTGCAGCATTAGTAACAATAATAGAGCTGGAGGAAGAGGCTGGCTGGACTGAAACATTTTGCTTTTTAGCAGCACCAGAATTAATTGTCAATTGTTTCTGATTTAAGAGAGCGATCTGCTCTTGATTTGATTGCTGGGTCGCAACAAATTTCTCTTAAAAACTCTAATATATTAAAAAAAGAATCTTAGTAATCACCAATTACTCTATGTCCATCATTCGTTGCAGTAGAAACATCAGGAGAATAAATTTGATCAAAGTTGGAGATAGAGGGCTGATCAACATCAGGCTTCATTTGCTCAAGCAAATTTCCAATTAGATTTGTACCAGCAATTGATTCATAACCTAAAATGATTTATCATGACTTTGATGGCTTTAAAAATTCTTATTCAATTCGCAGAGATGTAAAATAGGGATACACCTTATCGGAGTCCTGGACCTTATAACTTATGTCCATCATTCGTCACTTATTTAAGTTCCGTTAAAATCTATGCACTTCTTTTTAAGTTATACATATTGCCGGGACCCAGTTGAACTGCTTCGGCAAAATATTTAAAAAATCAAAGTTACCTGCATCGGTTGCAGTTCCTCCAATTCCAAAATCAGGCTGGTGTGGATGACGAATATCTCCAGGTGAACTAGAAATTAGAGGGCCTCCATGTTGTTGAAAATGTTCATTCGGTCCTCTTATTTTAGAAGATGGTGACATGAATTCAGCATCATGCATTTGTCGATTATGATAGTGAGAATTGGAAGTATTTGATGACTGTTGTGAAGTGATGGAAGAATAATCACCACCAACAATGCTTCGGCTATGAAAAAAATAATTAGAATCCATCCGGTCTTGTGGGTTATCCCAAACCAGTCTTTACTGACATATTTTGCAGATTTAATGGTCAGAGCTCTCATAGTTGAAAGAGTTGCTTGGGGGAACTTTTGTTGGGTGGAATGATTTTTCCTTTTAAGTCATAATGAAGACGTAGGCAAAAACTGGTTTGGGATAACCCACAAGTACCGTTTCTAAAAATGTGACCCTCCAACGAAATCTCAGGAAAAAAGATTGTTTCCCAAGCTAGTAAAACAACTTGGCTAGTCCAACTTGTCCAGAACCACCATCAGACACACGGAGACATCTTTCTAAACATTCACGAATCTTTTGCTTCTTTTCATAAATTTCTCGACTGACTCGATAACGAATCTAAATAGTTAAGAACGTTTATAAAATAAAATTAAAAAAATATACAAAATATTCCACCAGACCATGATCTTCTTCATAATGCCGTTTAATAGCAAATTCAGTCGGAAATTTCGCAAATTTGCATTTTTCACATTCAAAAGGCAAACAATTGTAATGATCAGCAGAAATATGAGCTTCGAGGTCATCAATGCCAGAAAATTCATCTGTACATACACAACATTTGGCTGACATTTTTAACTTTTCTAAATTAAATAAAACTAATTAAAGCCTTTGAGAAAAATTGAAACGCGAATTGAAATTTTTACAAAAAAAATAAAATTTTCAAATGTGAAATAATTGCGTATTGGCATTGAACACAGGGAGGACGATTCAGTGCCACACTTTTATGGTTGAACGATTGAGTCCCCCTTGTATAAACCTCAATCGAGTCGCCATGGAGGGATATAAAGGGATTAGAATTGATTAATAGTGTTTTGGAGATCAGAGTGAATGGCATGGCAATTCAGTTGAGAGATACGAACGGATTTCTGAGCGGATTCGTCCGAACTGCTCCGTGATTTATTGTGTGGGGGACGTTTCATAACAGATGCTTCAGAATGGCCGTTTTTGAATAAAAATTTAAACTACATGTGCATGAATTGAATAAATGGCTAGAAATTTAGGAAGCTGAAATCACAATTATTGGATTTCTAAGTCAAAAATTTTAGAAAAAATCTAAGGAGATATTTTATTTTTAGTCATAGTAATATTTGTATTAGTAAAGAAAATAGACGCTTATGCTACTATACATTTAGTTTTTTTCAACGGTACTAGATCGATACAACCGCTAGAGAATAGAGAATAAATAGAGCTATGGATAGACTAGAGAATTTTCTTTTACGAGAGACACCATGTGCTAGAATATTACCATTATTTATAACACAGAAACTTCACTATATTCCTTTATTTCTCTATTTTATATGCCCCAACCATACCAGAAACATCCCCCATTATTCATTTTTATTATTCTACATATTTTTTATTTTTTACTAAAAGATGTAAAAATTGGTCGCTAATAATTGTATAGTATTTTTCTGCTATTTTTTACTCGAATAACGGGTAAAAAGAATTTTCTTCTTTAATATGCCTTTTGGAAAAATTTTACTTAAAAAATATAAGAAAATTATAGATACCTTTTAAAAATCCTAAATTTCAAATTTATTCACAATAAATTTAATAAACGAAAGTCAAAAGGCAACAATTTTAAGTTTTTAATGCAAACCCTCTAATAAGTCTTATAGCAAAGCAAAACTTTCCTCATGTACTTTTAAACAACGCCTTCACGTGATACGATGAATGGTTCGGCCACTGGCAGTTCTAGAATAATATTCATAAAAATTAAAATTCCCCTTTCATAAATTGGCCTTTTCGGACAGCCCAAAGATTCCAAAAGACTGATGGTAATTCACAAAATAAAAACCCAAAAATTCAAAAAAAACCTCCACAATCCACGATAACAACGTCCAACTTTGGGCGGTCCCCACCACCAGTTTCGCCATCTTCAATCTCATGAACAATATTCATTCCCTCCAAAATCTTTCCAAAAACAACGTGTCTGAATATTTAAAGATTTTTTAAATTAAGATTTTGCTAACAAACCTCCCATCAAGCCATGGTGTATGTACAGTAGTAATGAAGAATTGTGACCCCTAAGATTAAGGTTTATTCATAATTGTATTTGAAAATATGTTAAATTTACGTTAGTGTCTTGACCCGCATTTGCCATACTCAACCTTTTAAGATTAAATTTTTAAAATTTTATAACCACAAAAAATCCTCACCATCCAGGTCCATAATGGTGTAATTTAAAGTTTTCATCAGCGAACCGTTCGCCATAAATTGATTTTCCTCCTGTGCCGTCTCCTCGAGTGAAGTCACCACCTTTAAATTTTTGAAAAAAAATTTAAAAAATTAATAGAACCTTGAATCATAAAGTTTCTGATAACACGATGAAATTTTGATCCTTTGTAGCCAAAACCCATAGACCCTTTAGAGAGTTCCAAAAAATTCTTTGCAGTCTTTGGTACAATCTCTCCAAAAAGCCCAATGACAACTCGACCTTTGCTTACACCTCCAACGGAAATATCAAAATATACTGAAAATTTAATTTTATTACTTGGCTTTAAAAGTATTAAAAATATACCTTTTTGTGTAACTCTCAAGTCCTTTTCCTTCTCGGCAAAAATTGTAGCCTAAAGAGAAAAAATTATTAATTCTAACCAGAATCATGGGATCACCCAGAAAGTCAGAAACCAGGTTTCTTTCATGCAACTTCAGATAATAAGGCAAAAGGGACCTTTATTAACCTTTATCCGCCCAAACAGTTGGATTTGACCTTCTGGTTTTTGACCTGATTTTTGATCTTCTGGGGTGGACAACAAAATCATCACCTACCAAATAAGCAAAAAGAACAAAAGCCAATTTCAACAGAATAACCATTAGACTGAAAGAAGAAAATTTTTATATAAAATTTAGTCTTTTTGGTATAAATTAATCAAGACATACATAAAAATAGCTAAAGCTTTGATTATCTGTTTCACCCATTTTTGTTTCATTTTTTTGAATTTTTAATTTTTTTAGAAATTTTTTCAGTTATTAATTTTTCGGTAAATTTGAATAAATTGGATCCATATAAGGGTTAAATTAATCTCGTGGAAAGTAAATAGAGGAATAAATTTTTTTGTACACTTCATTTAAAAAATGTTACTAATAGACCAGCTTTTCTTTTTCTCTGGCCATTAGGGACTCCTATATTTTGTCAATTCCTTGTTTTGCCAATAAGGCTAAAAATTTACGTTTTGTCAATAAGTTGTTGGCAAAATATGGAATTTTAGCTTTATTGGCAAAATATGGATTGGCAATATGGGGAGTCACACTATGATGGATAAAACATACATTTTTATAATTTAATAGCAAAGTGCCAGAAAGTAGCCAAAATTAAAAATGAATACAGGGTTATTTGAAGCACAAAATTGGCTATCTCTGAAAAATCAAAATAAAATAATCAGAAATTGATGTAAACTATAGAAAATGCATTAATAAACTTTTAAATTTGGCAAATAAACATTGTTAAATATACATTGCAACACTTGCCTTAGGATCTTAGTTTCATTCCCTCCTAGAAAGGGACTTTCACAAGCTGTCAGGAAAAATTTCTTAATTTTTTTCACTATTGTATGAAGCAGGCCCCCAAATCGAAAATCCCCCAAACCCCAAATTGAAAATCCAAACGGACGAAAATTTTATGGTCAATTTCTTGGCTTTTGTTGCTCTGCATAAAATATTTCATGAAATGTTAATATTTTCATATATACATATAATGAATATTATCTAATGTGTTTATTAGCATGCACAAACAATTTTTAAAGAAATTGAAATAAAACTGGTATAATATATATTTTCTATGAACCGCCGCTGGTGCTGCCTGATACATAAACCAATGGTTGAAAAAATGAAAAGGAAAGAAGTTTGCTGGTTAGAGGAATAGAATGAGCGATGTGATATTGAAAAGTGGGGGTAGTGCTAATGAGCACACTTAAACTAGATTGAAAAATGCAACAGGCATACGGACAGAAAATTTTGCAGACTAAAATCTCTAAAGGGTATTTATGTGAAAAATTTATTTTTCCGCAAAAAATATATTTAACTTCTCAAACAGTCTCGGCTGCTCTTAGCCTCTTTCCTTGCAATGGTCACACTTTCGGTGAAGAAATAAGCGAGAAATTATTTTGTCAGTAGAATTTATTATGTGTGCGCGAAGGCCAAGGTCAACACCAATTTACTATTTCACTAGGGGCTAAATCAAAACCAAAAAAAGATTCGAATTTATTCATAAAAAATAAATATGAAATTCTTATTGTTATTTAAAAAATATCAATTTTTACTTTTTAAAATTTTGTCCGCTTCCACAATAACGCTTAACACCGTTTCCAAAACTTCAATAAACATACGACCTCCAAATCCGTGAGTCAACTTAAAAAATTTTCATTATTGAACAAAAATTAGACAAAAATAAAATTAACCAAAGTATAATTAGATAATTCTTGCTGCAACTTTTCATCCAAGTGTGGAGTTCGTGGATCAAACTTCAGAAAAGAATCAGCAAGCGGCGTACGGTCAGCACGGTGGAGGTCGAGAATGCGTTGAAGTAATGCGCTAAATTATAAAAAATACTAAAATATTTTTAAGCTATCATACCTAGCATAAAAAAGTCCCATACGACGATACATGGAAGCATCCTGTGAGTTGTGGACTTCTACAATAAAAATAAATGTAAAAATTTGATGAATCTTCGGATCGTCGTTTAACCCATGATATCCCTGTCTTGTCACTTATTAATTTAATAAAATACCTATGTCACCAAGAACATATTTAGCCACTTCCTTCAACGGATAATGCTTTGAATTAACCAAGTTAAAGTCACTAGCAATCTAAAAATATCTCTATAACCACATATTTTTAAATAAATTAAACCTGCGCCACTTCTTCCTCAACAAGACTTGAAAAACAAGTTAGTTGAACCTGTCGGCGTCTGCCTTAAAACTCATTAATTTAGAATGAAATATTTTTTTCAATAATTGAGATTACCCGAGGTCAATTCAACACCATAACTCTAAAAAAAATATTTAAAATTAAAAAAAATATTTAAAAATTTTAAGGTAATACTTTGGCCCCCTTTTTCCTTTTTCTCTACCATTTTGAAAGCATTTTTGTTTAATATATAATTTATATCACTCGAAAGAGCTCTTCGAGCAGGGTCAAATGATACCAATATCGGTTAGATTTGATGATTCTGAAGAGTTATAAAGCCCAAAAACCTTTGTGGCACTGTAAGGGGCCTCAGCTCTAGGAACTCTTTCGATTGATACATAATTAGCCATGAACAGAAAAAATAGAACAAAAAATGGAAGATAAACCAAAGTATTACCATCCTTTAAAATCATACCAAAAGTTGTTCACGGAGAATTTTCCCCCCATCCTTGTTCTTAGCCTTTCGCAAAATTCCACCAAGCACAGAAGCATTTAAGCATTCAGGCGGAGACAAACGGCGTTGAACCTCAGCGATTGTAACTCGATATTTCTTCAAATTAGAAAGAAGAGTCAATCGACCTGGAACAGTGCAGTAAGTCTCATAGCTCTTAATTGGATGTAACGGTGTTGGATTTATAATTGGAGACAATAAAGTGTTGTTGTTTGGCAAAGCATTTTCTTTATTGTCGTCCATCTCATAATCATCGAAAGAAGCTTCCACCTACAAAATAAAAAATAAATGAAGATGTCAATATTCACGAAGCTTTTTAATGTTCCTAGTGTTGGATAGCTAACACGATTTTAATAATCTGAGTTTAAACTTTGAAAAGTTCCCACCTTTTCTGTGCTAGTACTCATATCAGTTACACCACTATCTTCACTGTACGAGTTAGTAGTCAAATTCATAGTAGACATATTAATATTTATTTATAAAAAATGCTAAAATTTGAAAAAAAAATAAATTTAATGATTTGTATGATTGAAAAATATGTAGTTGTCAAGCGTATGAAGAAAAAATGGAAAAAGCTTGTGTTAGAGAAAACAGAAAATATAGTTGATAAAGAAATTCTTGATTAAAAAACTAATTTAAGATAAATTAAAACTTCTTTAAACATTTAGTCCGGAAATCGAATTTTTAAAAAAAATAAAAATTTTTTCACGTAAAAAATAAAAAAACTACACGTTAAAAAATTCTAAAATATCTATTAATGAATGGAGAGGTAATGAAGGGAGGGAAGGAATGCCATGCCGGCAACCCTTGCTTTTATTCCTCCTCCTCAAGCCTTCTTTGTTGACGACGCCTTTTTGATCAAAAACGTCAATTTCATCAAAAAAGGTTCTTTAGATAGTGTAGTAACTTTCCCTCATTCCAAATTTTTCAAAAAATTGACCTTTCTTCCCATCATTGTAAGTGATTATGAAATTGTGCTTAAGGAATGTAAGATTAGCGCTGGCATTTTTCTTCTTCTACGGCACAAAAAATCAGGTGGAAAAATGGCTGAAGGCTATTCAATAAGAAGCAAAATTTTGAATTACTGTTAGAAAAATGTTCAGAGAACTGGGGTGGACCCCTTTCAATGTCTTAAGTTTTTAGGTGAAAAATCTAAAAAATTAATGCTTAAAAATGCAACAAAAAATGTCCACAGAAAAAATAAATTTTAATGAAAAAATATATAAATGTATGCATTTGGTTAAGAAGAAACCCTTGTTAGTAGCGCAATCTCATTAACATGATATTTCAGGATATTCCAAAGTTACTTCGCTTTAAAGTTGGAATCTGTATCAGGCCTTAAGTATCCCTACTAACAAGGCAAGAAAAGGAAAAGTTTAAAACAATATAAAAATATAATAAAGTCGAGATTAATATTTTAAAATAGGGCTGAAACCGAACCCTAAAAACGTCAAAGATATCATTGTTAGTATAAACATTGTTACACTCCCCAATGAATTCTTCATTCTGTTTCCCAGTGCTGAATTGCATCCATCACCTTAACAAAGAATTAGCGTAAAATCTTTAATCGTGTTTGTCAAACCATAGCAGCAGCAGAACGTCTGTGTAACAGGATAAGTTGAAGTATTTTGACATACTGAGTTCGGCGTCATTGTCATCTATATAAATATATTTTAGAGGATAATTCAGGGAGCCTATTCCACGAAGTGACATTGACTTTAAATGACAATGTCCAAATGTCAATTGCGACAGCTTGGAATTCCATTGAAGTCAATGTCGCTTTGTAATATTTAAATTTAGATAAAGCATACAGTTCCAGCAATTGTACAATTGACAGACTGACAAGAGCGCGTTACTGTTCCCTTAAAATGAGTTGTATTAAAAATTATTTCCGAGTATTTTCTTCGTTACCTGGCTATAATCGACAACCTTGATGCACGAAAATGACGTATATCCACAATCAGTAGGGGAGCCACTAATCTTTAATTTGAAGGAAAACTTTATTTTACGTGAAAAGACAAAAAACTAACGGCCAATTGATACCCTTGTGTTCCCTGAAAATGAGTTAAAGCTTTAAATTATTCTTTTAAAAGTTTACTTGATAACATTTTAGAGCTGAACTAAAACCAATCTGTCCAGCTAGAAGAATACCAACCAGAATTATTGTAGCTAATGAGAATGATTGGGTGCCGCTGAACAGGAAGGGTAAACGAATAGAACAGCATTTATGCAACAATAGTGGCATTTTTAAAGTTTTGGTTTAAAGGAGGATGAGGTCAAAGATGATATTAAAAATTTTTGGAAAGCTAAAATTTAAAACAAGTGATTTTATTGGCTGAAGAAAAGTCTAAATCCGCCTAAATCCACCGATATCCCCCTTAATACCCAGAAATCCGTCCTAACCGGCACAAGTCCTTTATCTCCTTTTGGATTTGACCTTCTAGGTTATTTGACTAATAGGGGATTGAACTTCTAGCTTGATCCCAAGAAAAAAACCAAGACAATACGAAAATTAATAATTGACTGGTATAAGAAGTATAATGAATAAGAATTGTTTATTTTAACATTAAAATGAGTGTCAATTATTTCTTTATGTTAAAGCCAAAACTGTGTATTATATAAGCCTCATGGCAACGGCAGAACTTTCTGCCTGGTCAGTAAAATAAGGTGAGAAAATAAGGTTTTGATTATTATTAAATAAAGCTAAGCAACTATCTCTCATATTAAAAAAAATTGCCAATTAGTATGGCTAACAAGAAGCTAAGAAGTTATATTGTAGTTGACAATAAAATATTTATGAATGAGAGAGAGAACCCAGTTAAAAATGCGAAAAGCAACACTAAAAAATGTAATAAATATTGAAATTTAACAATAAGTATGAAGAAGCCTAACTAATCTCGCACAAAGAATGTAGGAGATGTTTTCTATGGTTTACTTATAAAGATGTTATGTACGTAATAAAGAAGCCAAATAGATTAAAATTGAAGCTTATAACCTTAACATGATAAACGGGAGCCAGACATCCCGGGACAAGTAAATATCTGGATATTTGAACTACTGCCTTATGGAAACTACTGCCTTATGGAAACCTACTGCCTTGTGGACCTAGGCCACTGGGTCTTGGATAGAACAATGTCTGAAGAAAAGTTTTTAGATTCTAGAGGTAAACATGAAAGAGTAAACATGGACTGGTATGTCCGTCCCAATGTCTCCCTATGAAATCGCAATCCCGATGTGTCTCCCTATAAAATAAACCTCGAGATAATTATCATTTAAGGCTGGTTAATTTCAAAAAAATTTCTAAAGTAAAAAGAACTAATGAATGGATGCACGCAATTAAATTAGTGCCAATTTAAAATAATAAGCATGCCAAGTGTATAATTAGTGCTATGGAAACGCTCCAATTTGAGAGGAAAAAAGTTAAGAAAAACAGGTGCTTAAAATGTAAACAAAATATACATAAACGATAAAAAAGGTTGTTTTATCTGTTATACAAACAAAGCATTTTTTCTTTGCTTAAATTGTAAAAGCTCTTGAGTTTACTTAAAGGTACAGGTGTAAAGAACGGGTTAAATTGTCGCTTTTTTAGTTTAAAAAGAAGAAAAATGAGGAATTTGCTTAAACTTTCTGAAATTTAATGAAGATATGCCGTTTATTTACAAACAAATCACACAATTAACAACCACACACATACATATTTAGGTTATTGGGAATATTTACATTGGGACACAAAACTTGTTTACGAGATACACAATTATATTCTCTTTATATATTTTATATACTTACTGTTCTTCATCCTAGAATTTCCTCTCATCTTTCCTTTATCTGCGCCGTGATGAACGGCTTGAACTGGAACGGCCAGACGAACGGCGAAGGCTTGTATCAGAACGAGATGAGCGGCGGCTAGAGCGGCGACTTGAGCGGCTAGAACGATCCGAAGAGCGCCGAGAAGAACCGGAGGTGCGTCGAGAGCTGCGACTTCGCGAAGAGCGGCCAGATGAACTACTCGAACTGCTAGACGATGATGTTGAAGAGCTTTCACTGCTAGCTGAAATGAGAAAAATTGAAAAGGTAATCCCATCAAGTTAAGAACGTACACGAAGATGACGACTTCTTGCTCGATTTCTTACTCGACCTTTTGCTTTTCTTAGATACTTCGCGAAGAGAACGAGCCGTTGACGCAGCCACTGCCCGAATAAGAGCTTTATCCCTTTGCGACAGGCCATCTCCACGTGCCGTTTTTGCCGCCCTCCTCTCAGAGTCCTTGAGCCGTGCAGTTTTTGTGATGATGATTCTTTCAAGGGTCGCAGGTTCGCTTGGTTCAGCCAAACTGGAGCGTCTATCACTGGGACTGGGCACCGCCTGGCGTAGTGAGAGGTTAACAACACGCGGTTCTGGACGTTGATGGACATTGATTACAACAGATTTTAGAGTTGGCTCAGCTTTCTTAAAAATTAAAAATAAAAGCGCGTTCAAATACAAAAAGAACCCACCGCCGTTTGCTTCGGCTTACTCTTGTACCGGCAGATGAGGAAGGTGTTGATGAAGAGAATCAACGATCTAAAAATTTATTTTTAAAAATGAAAAAATGGCAAACGAACATAATCAGATAGATCATTACACCAAAAAACATCCTCTCCCACTGTTTAGGAGTTTGCGTCGTCGCATCTTCAAGAATCGATTCCAGATCCGCACCGCTGAAAATAAAAAGCGTGTTTAAAAATTTCAAAGGTAAAAAAAATACCTAGCATAGCTGACGATGTTAAGAAGCATGAAGAACAACAGCGACGAACAGCGAAGAGAAGGCATTGTAGTATCAATATATACTTATTGCAAACTTGCGTAGACTTTGGAAGATTGATTGTGGTGATGATTAAGATTAAACGAAGGCTTTTATAGTTAAAAAAATTATGATAATCCTAATTAGGTATGCTTCTTGCAAAGATACTTAACCAGATAATTTTAAAAATTTGTAGAAAAAATTTTAAAATGTTAGGGTTTGAAATACAAAGGAAATACGAAATTTTGAAAAATAATAAAATATTAAAATCAAAAATTAATAATCAGTCCCATTCTTGATCATACTTCTTCATCTTTCTGAGGTATTGTTGTCTTCTTTTCAAGACATTCTTCTTCATCATCGCCCTCTCTCCTCTTTGCAAGAACTTCATCTTCAGCTGCTCCTTTTATTTTTGTTTGTTTCTTTTGATATTTTGTTGGCCTAAATATTTTCATTGGTCGAATAACATCTCGAAAACTAGGCAATTCATCATCCAAAGATTTTAGTTCACGTCGGGTAAATAATCGTTGAAGAAGGAACATTCGCAATAGAACAGTGAGGATTAACTAAAATTTAAAAAAATCACATTAAAATACAGAATAGGTTTGTTGGTTCGGAACCGAATCGAAGAAGCAAGTTAATTCGGGTTGGCTCTCCGGAGTTCCAAAAATTTCCAGTTAGGTTCTGGATATCCGAAGATTTTCCAAGAACCGTCAACCCTACTGAAAAATATTTAAATTGTTTCTTACCATCATCGGAAACATCATTGACAACATACTGGACGAATACTTCATTGCTAGCAGTGAACCAATGCTAAGAAGCTGGATGCTAAAAAACAACATTTAAAAACAAAAATATTCTTTACCAAGTAAAAGTATGTACACGTTTTATTGGCACACTTCTTAACCAAATATAATCAGGTTGATATTTGACAGGCATAAATAACAATGCCAGTCGTTGAACAAATTGTTGACCAAGTAGGGAAACAACACCCATGTAGAAAAAAATGCCAGTTAGTACGGGGACAGGAACGTTCTAATGTAAATGTTAGGGGAATGAGTGAAAATTAATTTACAAAACTTGCCTTAACTAGAGGTGTGAGGAAAACAGAGCACCCAATAAGAGCATGAGCAAAAACAGCAGTTAACCTTTGCTCTCTTTAAATGTGAAGAGTCAAAACTTTAATAAAAATAGAACAAACTTTACTCCCAAAAATTTTTGAGGTTCGCCAGGTACAATACAATCAACATATTGCTTTAGAGACTAAAAAAAGGACAAAAGTTCAGTACAAATTTGAAAAAAACATGCCTCAACATGCATAACTGAGAGAACAGTAGCAGCAACATAAAAGGGAAGACCAAGAAATGAACAGATTAACACAAGAAAGGCAACAATTAAAAGATCTAGATGATAGCCACAACCCTTCTTAAAATAATTGATGAAAATATTTTGATAATGAAAAAATAACCCTTAGTTTATTGTCTCTCCTATTTACAATCACGGCAGTTATTTGTTGATCCATGACAAGCAAAATTGTATAAAACAATGCTGGAAAGGCAGCAATCTATTTAAAAATTAAAATTTTAAGTTAAATAAAAATCTATAAAAGTTAACCAATGCCACAGTATAATCCTCAATATTGGTTGCATCAACCAGCCATGTTCGATCCATTGTTGGACGAATACTTGCGGGCATCTTCAAACTAGGGACCTCTAATCCAATAAGGTAAGTTGTAAGTGTCAATGAGACAATAGCAATTAGAACAGAAAAGTCGGAAATGAGATTGCGAACCTTGAATGATTTTTTTAATTTAAAGAAAACCTTTTTAATCTACGAACTCTAAAAGAGAAGTAGCGGGAATGTCGAAAAACATTAAGTGAGTAGGCGATCAAAAACGTCCCACAAGTTAGTATTATTGAGAACCTAAAGTTTAAATAAATTAAAAAATTTATTTTAAATTAAAATAATACATATAAACATCAGGCTTAAAGTAGCATTGTAAACCTTGAGGCTCACCTCCTTCAAAATATTTTCATTTTTATTCTTTTTAAAATCTACCTAGCTCCACACATCGACCAACACCAACACTAAGATTCTTGAAAAGAGTTGAATTCCACTAAAATAGAAATGATAGAATGGAAAATTTTTCAAAATTTCGAAAAATTTGAATAAAATTATAAAAAATTAAACCTCTTCTGTCTGTATAATGCAGTGACATGCAGAGTGGAGTACTTCTTGTGGATGCCGAGTTATTGGTGCCTCGTAACTTATTTCAAAGAGTTTTTCAAATGCCTGTATGATGAAGACTATAGAGATGAGTGTCGCAAAGGCCTCTTCAGTAAAGCGGGTGATAAGAGAGACCGAAAAAGAAATTTTTATTGCTTTGATAAAACAAAATAAATACCAACGCAGAAGCATCAGTTGCTACCAGCAAAAGAAGGTAGAATGTCTAATATTTGAGAGAATTGAAAAAAAAGTCAGTCTTCTATAATCCTTTAACCAACCATCCAAACACCAACATACAGCCGAAAGGGCAAAAATTCCCAATGTTTTGCTCTGAAATAGACAATAAATCTTTAATAAAATTTAAATTATACGTGCAGAAGTCGTAGAGAATCCTTTCAAAAATAAGTGTTGGCCCCGTTGCTGAGAGAATATTAAGTGGTTGACCAGAAAACATACCAAAAACAACCCCTGATAGAGCACCACAAATGATGTTTTCGATTGAAGCCATTTGATGATGCAAAGAACGTTCCATAACAGCACCAAATGTGATGATATTTGAGAGATTTGCCAGGAAAAGAACCAGTGTACAAGCCAAAGATTGAGATAAACGACCGCGAAAAAAGTCCAAAAAATCGGATGGGAACCAAGGAAGTTTTTGTCTGCGGAGGATTAATAAAATAAACAAAAATTGAAAACTAAAACCTTATATCTTGTACTAATCCTCCAAATAATTGTCCTGTCCTCGTTGGTTGGCCTGCTTCCAGACCTGTATGTTGACCCGCCATAGAAATGCGTTTATTTGAATCGAATTCTTCTGAATAAAAAGCTTGTGAACAAAGACGATCATCGTGAGAAAAATTTGCATAGAGCATTCCTACATGACGAACTGCCTAAAATAAATTTTTAAATAATTATCAAAAAAAAGTAAAATTAGTTTTTCCTTACAGATTCATCAGCACCTTCATCACGTGTCCATCTAGCCTCTGTTGAACACTTTGCCGGTGGAATAACAACAATTTGTGAGAGAAATTCATCTACCGCATCCACAAGAGTATTTCTCTCCTCACAGTGCAATGCTACTTTTTGGAAAACCTTATGAATTAATTTTTGCAAAAGGATTTTTTAAATATAAACCTCATCAGAAAGAAGCGCTCCTATTGCTCGTCCAATTCGAAATGTTTCACCAGGATAGTTATCCATAGAGTTTAGTAAGACAAAGAGGAAACGCACTGGAACAGGATGATCAGGGACTTCTGGATAAAGCATCTAAAAATATAAAAATGTTTTCAATAAATGAGGAAATGTTACCGTTGGATATTTAAGGCGAATGAAGGCACTCAGAGGTCTTTCTAAGGCATTAACATTAGCGATCTTTTAAAAATCTTTCAGAAAAATTTGTAATAAAATAACTCACTAAAATAGCCGCAGACTCAGTATTTGGCGCAAGCTTTTTTAGCAAACGATCATCGGCCTACAAGAACAATCAACAATTTAAAACAATTATAAATTTACGCTTCGAATTCGCCCAGCTTCCTCAGCACAAGAATTACTACTATAAGAAGAATTTGAAAGATGTCCTGAATGTATAGAGTCGTTGAAACTGGCTCTTCTAAGTCTGCCTAATTAAAAATAAGTACTTTAGTAAACTAAAAGAATTCATTACCATCACCATCATATACTCTCCGCATTTTTCCTCCAACCAAATGCAATTTTGGTGCAAATAAAATTTCCTTAACCAAATTTTGTAGAGCCTCATCAGAACCAAGTTGGCCGTGAATAACCCATTGTTCAATGAGTTGATCACAAACGCGAACAAACGTGTTTGCACTTGAATCTAGAAGAACAAGGCCACGACGTAAACAATTTTTTACCTTTAAATTAAGAATTTTTTGTTTTAACCAACAAAAATGGCACCTGCATAATAGCAGCAATACTAAGCAGCGTAATATAAGGACGGGAAAAGCGTGTTCCTCCACCTTCAATGCATTGCTCATATTTTATCCATCTGTAATTTCGGAAAAATTTTAGATAAAAAATATAAAGTGTTTGCCTTGTAGTCTGTTGCCAAAATAAACTTTGTTGTACCAATTGAAGATTTGAAGCCATTACTCCATCCCCAACTTCTGCTGCTGCTTCTTGCTCAGCAAATGCTGTTGTCAAATAAAGCATTTCACAAAAAAGTGTTTGTCGCTGTTGTCCAGAAACTGGCGATAATGTTGAGCCATCCCCTCCAACAACTCTTTCCAACAAACGACGAACATTGTCGATTGGACATTAAATGAAAAAGATTATTGAGGAAATTATACAAAAAATTTTTTACTATCAGATGAACTGCTAAGGTGAAGACTTTGAGGTAAATAAAGAGCATCAGCCAATAGATTATCTGAAAAATTCGGTCTTGTGCAGTTCACGTCCCATACGCCCCGCCCCTTTTATTAACACTCTTTCTTTCCTTTGGTCTTCTTTTGCTTATTAGGGGAGCAAAAAGGCCTGAAATCACTAAAAATTTAAATAATATTGACCCAGATGTCCCTTTTAAAAAGAAAAGGGGAGGAGATGGGACGTAAACTACACAATTCTAAAAATTCTTAAGGATAGTCTAGAAAATTAATTTTTAAATCCTTACGCTCATCAGGCTGTCCACTAGATGATCGAAATAGACTGGCCTTACGTCTTCTAGTTAAAGCCTTTTTGCTCTCCAAGAATTCAGGGCCAAAGCGGTTGGCAGCAGAGGAGGTAGACAACATTCCTCAAGAGTAAAAGAGAAGGGTAAATGTTGGAATTTTTTGTTGTTTTTGAAGATTTAATTTTGAAGCATCTTATTGAATAATTAATTTGTCTGCTTAAAAATGTGAATTTTTTAAAATGCGCGAGAAGAAAAAATGAATCAAGAAGAAAAATCTTAAATATTAAAGTACATAGGATTAAAGGCGTATTATGGAAGATTGAAAATGACGAGGATTTAAAGAAATGGATCGGTTAAACTAATGGATTAAAACAATTTATAGAGACATTAATGGGAATTTCTAGTCTGAAAGACATTAGAAAATAAAAATGAGAGAAAATTATCAAACATGAAAAAAATATTTGAGGGTAAAAATAAACTTTTTTTACAAAAAAACCACTTAAAAAATTGTCTATACAATTTCAAAAGAATTAAATTATCAAAATACAAAAGAATACTTTATTTACTACTCGGGACTTTTTTTTTAAAAATTGTTAGAACATGCGCATGGATGATTATCAAAACATTGTTAAATTAAATTACTCAATAATTCTTTTCATCAAGTAATATATTTTTCACGCTGATCTCGACGCAATCACTTTTAAATTGGAGAGGGACATCAACAAACAACCCAACATAACAAATTTTACTCGCTCTCCACCATTTTAATTTATTCTTTCTACCCAAAATTGGTAATAATAACTTTTTTGTCAATTTTCTTTTTATCAATACAAATTTTGTATTAGTCGCGCGCATGTCCAATTATGTATAATTTTTTGAAAAAAAAAATAAAATTGCAAAAAATTCGGGATTTAAAAAATATTAGGGAGAGGCATTTAATAATTAATATTTACTCAATAATGTGACACTAAATTAACCAATTCCTTATTTGTGAATATAATCAATTCAGAGAGACATTGCTTATCAATTTTAATCAATTTAATCATTCATTTAAAGATAATAAACAGCGTTTTTGAAAAAAATAAAGTGGCTGTCTCGAAGAAAATTATAGGAAGGGAGAGACTCTAATTGTCCTTAAAATGTTCAGGACTCAAGTTGTCATTTAATCTCAGACTCTAATCTCACACTACATTAGAGTATGGACGGGACAGGATCCCGAACGGGATTTTGCGGGATCCTGTTTCGAAATCCCTTGTTTTAAGTGACGAACGGGATTTACGGGATAAATCCCGCGGGATCCTGTCTTTTACAAAATTTTGAAAAAAATCCCTTTGCGGGATCCCGCGAATGCAATTTTTCCACTAGACTCTAATCTACATTTTTACCATTTTATTTTGCACTTTTACAAATTTTAACTTTTCCATTATAACATCAATTGTTATTTTAAAATTTAAAATTCGTAATTTTTTCTTACTTATGTTAGCATTTAACAAAAAAACATTCTTACAACATTTTTTTTATTTTTTACAAAAGACTAAACAATTTTTTAGTTTAAAAACTTGTGATCAACAAAAAATTCTTTGTAGTTGATTCAGCAATTACTAATTTATTTAACGGTGAATTTGACTTTTTTTTAAAAGTGTGATTGAAAGGTTTGGTTTTTTAGTTGCATTTATTTAAAAAAATTTTATTTAAAGAATAGATTCTATAATACAACAAAAATGTCAGAAACAAAACAAGAATGTTGTGCTTGTGGACCTGGCTATAAATCGCCTTTGGAGGCCTTCAAAAATGCTCCTCGTGAGAAGATTATTTTTGTGACCTGTCCTAATGTTGACCAAGCTAAACCTGATATGTTGGCGACTGTAGATGTTGATCCAAAGAGTGATGACTATTGCAAGGTTGGTTATATAAATTACACTATTTTTTATGATATATTGGCAATCTTCTGCTTTATCGGTCCCTAGAAATGATCTTACGTTATTTTTGGCGTTGCCAGTAGGTAATCGAATGTGCAGGGTCTGAATATGAGTTCAAATTTCTTTTTTGAATTCCGGATTCTAGTCCCATATCTAATAGTAAGTCGAACCCTGGATTCGAGTTTGTCCTCGGGTCGAATCCAGAATAATTAAAAGACTACTAATAGGTTCTTTTAGATAATTGGCAAAATAGAGGTTCCAAATGCTTCAGATGAGGTTCACCACACTGGTTGGAATATTTGTTCTTCGTGCCATGAGGATGCTGGACGTAAACGTTCGCATTTAATTTTGCCGTGCTTAAACTCTTCGCGTATTTATATAATTGACGTTACAAAGGATCCGAAGAAGCCTGAACTTACCAAGGTTGAATAATAATTAAGTGATCGGATTACGTTTTAAGTTTTCAGACAATTGAGCCAAAACAACTTTTTGATTTGGGGGTTGGTTTCCCTCATACTACACATTGCCTTGCTGATGGAACTATTATGATTAGCACATTGGGTGATGAGAAGGATTCCCCAAAAGGTTTTATTTTAACTTTCATGATGGGAAATTACGATATTTTTCATGCAACTCAGTGCCTGCGGACGATTTATTTTTCTTTGCCTAAAAATCCATTTTCAGGCGATTTTCTGCTTGTCAACTCTGAAACCTTTGAGCCAATAAGTCGCTGGATTCCTGAGGGTCAAAATGCGTTGCCTTATAATTATGACTTTTGGTATCAACCTCGTCGTGGATTGATGATCAGCACAGAGTGGGGAAGCCCAAAAAGTATTAAGCAAGGTTTTAATCCTGCAAATGTTGATAAGGGTGAGCTCTAAATTTCTTCTTTCTATGAAATTTTTGAAATTAAAATTTAGACTATGGTCATTCTGTACATGTCTGGGATTGGCAGAAACGTCAACTTATTCAGACAATTTCTCTTCAACAACCAGAAGGCAATATTCCTCTGGAAGTCCGTTTTCTTCATGAACCATCGCGAGCACATGCTTTTGTGGGAACTGCTTTAGGTTCGGCTATCTTCCATTTTTGGCGTAATGAGGGTGGTCCGGTACGAATTTGTTTTAAATTTTGTTTTTAATTCACGTTTCTCTCAATTTAAGGGTCAGATGGAACATTCAATGGTTGCTGCTATTCCACCAAAAAAAGTACAAGGATGGGCACTTGAATGGATGCCAGCACTTATAACTGACATTCTTGTCTCAATGGATGATCGGTTTTTGTACATTTCTTGTTGGTTACACGGAGATATTCGTCAATATGACGTTACAGACCCGGCAAACCCTAAACTTGTTGGACAGGTTTATTTTTTAATCTAAAGAAAATTTTAAAATATTTTCTTAACTTTTAGTGTTTTATTGGTGGTTCGATACATAAAGAAAGTGGAGTGAAGGTTCTCGAAGACAAGGAATTGACGGTTAATACTTTTATTTTCTAGACTTTTCTAATTTGATTAATTTTAGTCACAACCTGAACCTCTTTTTGTCAAAAACAAAATTGTGCAAGGAGGACCTCAAATGTTACAATTGAGTTTGGATGGCCGACGTCTTTATGTGACCAACTCTTTGTATTCTGTTTGGGATAAACAATTTTATCCAAAATTGTTGAGGTCAGTGAAGTTTTTTATTTTCTGAAGGGTGGATGAAGTTTTATTTTGTTCTTTTTTGCGCTTATTAGGTATTTTTAAGTTCTTGGGAATATGAAATTGGGGTTTTTATCATTAAATCATTCTATTAGATTTTATCTCTAATAATCTTATTTTCTACTTAATATCTTTTTACAAATGTATATTTTTAATTAGTTTTATATATTCTCTTTAATTCACAACTCTTTTTTGATCTTTTTCGAGTTTCCTGCAGCTTTTGGTGGAGGTGGAGGTTCATCATCGTCATCATCTACTTATTTTTTTATTGGTCTATTCTTATATTAAAATGCTAACTTACCGTCTAATGAGATTGTACCCTGAAAAGTTATTTGATTTTTTTAATTTTGAGAATATCTAACCGCCATTATTTGATCTATCCAAAGCTGTAAAGCTTCAAGATTTGCGTCACAATGTTTTTTAGGGTCGTCTAAATTTAATTGGCTCATTTCAAGCCAAATACCCTCGCGTTCTGAAATGTCGACAAGTCCAAGTTGTGGACTTTCTTCAATGTCAATGCCAAACATTTCCTGTAAATTATCTTGTTATTTTTGTCAACAGGGGTGTGCCGAAACAGATTTTAAAAGCGAAAGAATGAAAGACGAAACTCCAGAAAAACAAAAATTCAGTGAAAGGCACACCCCCTGCTTTCTATTAACTCTCGTTATATTTAATTCTTCCCTTCATTTATTTTATATTACCTCCCAAACATCAACCATCAATGGAAACTCATCTAAAAATATTTTCATAATCAATTTAAATAAATTTCTTCTTGAAATTCCAACCTGGATCAATTAGAACAATTTCAAGTTTCCCTGCATGTTCTTGATTTTCATCTGCCAACTTCCTTAGTAATTTAAACAATGCTCTTCCTTCACGAGTTTCCTCATCACAAAAAGCTAAAACTAAACGTTCATCTTCTTCTGGATCTCTCCAAACATTAAAATAATTGTCCAAACGAAGTTTTTGCATTACTGGTTCTCTATGTTTTTCTACCCAATCTTCAAATTCTTCTTCAGTGTCTACTGAGGCTGGGGCATATATTGGGTCATCTTCAAATGGATGAAGTAACTGTACTTCCCCAACACGCTTTAGGCCAACTTTCTTTGCCCAATAGCTGGTTACTACAGCGAAAAATTCTACTTCTCCCATAAATTCTTCTGCTGCTTCTTCAAATTCCTTAAGAGCTGCACTGCCAGGCTCTATTAGAAATTAACTTTATTTCAACTCCATTTTTTACTAACCAAAATATCCAATAATTCTCACGCATTCATCATCCATATCCTCAAACTCTTCTAGATCGAATTTGTCGTTTATAATTGTAACGGGGTCGTCAGGAACCTACAAATAGAATTGTGAGGTCTTTTTGTTTTCTGGAATATTTCTAATATTTTCTTAACACAACTTACATCCATTAGCCACGAAACAAATGTATCCGGATCTTAATTATAAAAATTTAGAATTATCCATTCTTTTAATCATTTATCTTTCCTTACCTCTAACTCCATTATATTCGATTTTGTAGCCATCTTTATAGACATGAATAGTATCCTCGCCTTTCTCGACCTCTTCTTGATTTCTTAATCTTATCTCTTTTGTTGTATTTACTGTGTAAAAATTATATCCTCTTTTTGTCATAATCTGTTTAAATTTTTTAATAATAGCTGAATAATTCTCTGAAACATGCCTGGGCAGACAGCTGAGATAAGGAAAAAAATTTTACTGATTAAGATAACATTTTTGAATACCTGAAGAAAACATTCATACTGATCAAACTCACTGTCTATAATTTAAAAAAATTTATTCAAAAATTTTATTTGAACCCACCATCCTCTTCTACGTCATTGAAAAATACTACAGATTTAGCGCCATCGGCAAAACATGTTTTGTTAAAGTTTTTCTCGGTTAATACCTTATATATTTTCGTTTTATTTTTAAAGTTTGCGACCAACCTCAGTTCGATCAAATCCTTTAAAAATTGTTTAAATTAGGATTGTTCACTTTATCTTTATCTCACTTAATCTTATCATGCATGATCTTATCATAATCTTACACTTTTTTTATTATTCTATTAACTAACCATCATATTCCAGATCTGGGTATCCAAGAAACATGCCTTTAAATTGAATTCGGGAATATTTTCTTGTGATTTTTAAACCTACAATGCAAATCTGCCGTTTTTAGAACGCATCTAACGTTACTAAATGTTGCCAAAAAAGCAAGAAAATATATTAAACATCGCTGCATGAGTTAATTTAAGTGTTTTTTGAAATAAGAGATCAATTTAGGGATAATAGCTGTCCAAAACTGGGGAATTTTTCCTTATAAGTTTTTTTATTCCAAGAAATTTAATAATTTTTGTATAAATAATGGGGAAATGAGCTTTGTAGTTAAGGAAAGCGTTGGCGGGCAGATTTTAGGAGTAAAAAGAATGGAGAGGGATAAAAAAGGGATCAAGTGTTTACCTCTAACTTTGGCCTGGGAAAAATGGTGGTAAAAGGTCTTAAACAACTGGTAAAATTTTTTCATGTGCTCTCATCTTCTGATTTTGTTTTCTCTTTCATTTTTCTTCTATCATTTATTTTTGCGGCTGGCTCATTGCTTTTTCAGATCAGATATTTTAGTTTGAAGAACATTTTTAAATGGAGGAGGGGGTTTAACATGGTGAGAGTTTAAGAGGAAGAATAGAGCGTAAAAAAGAACAAAATAAAAAAGGTTTAGGGAAGAAATTAGGCTAAAGTTTAGGAACAGAAAAAGGGTAAACAGAAAAGGATGATTTACTTGAGTAATCAGTTATTGGCCCCAAATATTTGGTAAATTTTGGGGTTTTGAATTAGTAGCAGTGCTCGGTCGGATTCCGATTTTCAATTTTTGAGCTATTTCCGATTCACAATAGTTCCAATTTCCGGCAACATCGCTATTTCCGACCGATCTCTGATTAGTAGATTAATAAAGAAAATTGAGTAAGGGAGAACCATCAACAACTGGAAAAAATAACTGGGGAAATAAATAACCTGAATTTTAATAAAGTCATGACTATTTTTTATTAGTTTTATTACAAAATTTAATAACAGAAAAATGAACCTTTCTCCAATTTATTATTTTTCTCTTTAAAACTTGATTTAAAAAATTAAGATTTAAAGGGAACCTCATGACATTCATATCAATCTCGCTTGATAAAAAAACATTTAAAAAAGACTATTTTTTCTTAAAAATTTAAAAGAATAATGGGCCAACTAGTTGGACTCTTAAATTAGTTAAAAACAATTGTTTAAAGTTTAAAAAACTAAATTTTCTTTTTCAATAAAATTGTGTATAAGGAGGGGCGCCCTTTGTTTGACCTTTTTTCTGATTTAATGATTAATTAAATTTTAATTTAAAATTATTTTTTAGCGACGGCTCTACTATGCTTCAATTAGATGTTGATATTGACAATGGAGGTGGACTTTGTGTTAATCCAGCATTCCGTATAGATTTCGAAAAAACCGAAAATCTTCCTAATGGACCTTACTTGGCACACGAAATGCGTTATCCTGGTGGAGATTGTACTTCTGACATTTGGCTTTGACTGAATGACTTTCAAATTAATTAGGGACTTCTAAATTAATTAAGGACTTCTAAATTAAATTAATAATACATTTGTAAAATGTCCATTGAATAAATATTTTTTTATTTTAGAAAATCGACATGAATTAAAAAATTATCGATCAGCATTGATTTTTTTGAAAAATATATTAACGAATAGGATTTATCAGATTTCCCACAAATTACTAGGGTTCCGCACAAGAAATTCAATTTTTTTGTGATTTAAACGGCTTTTGAATGTTTATCAGGCTTTGAAAAATAAAATTTTACGAAGTAAAAAAGTTTATTAGTATTTTTCATGATTCTAAAAAACTGAAAATTTTATAAAATAATAATCAACTCCATTTCCTTCTTGGTCACCTTACATAAATTTATTTCCAGCAACACATCCAGCATTTTTATTAAGAGAGTAAAGAAAACAAATATACTGTTAATACTTAAGTTTGTAAACATTTTCCGGAAAAGTTAATAACTTTTTAAGTTTCCAGAAAGTATAAACTTGAATTTTTATTTTTAAACTTGAATTAAAGTTTGTAAATGGTTTCCGGAATAATATAAATATTTTCCGGAAAGATATAAACATTTTCCGGAAAGACTATAAACATTTTCCGGAAAGATATAATTTAATTTTCAAGTTTGTAAATACTTTCCGGAAAACTATAAACATTTTCCGGAAAATATAAATTAATTTTCAAGTTTGTAAATACTTTCCGGAAAACTATAAACATTTTCCGGAAAATATAAATTAATTTTCAAGTTTGTAAATAATTTCCGGAATAATATAAACCTTTTCCGGAAAGATATAAATTAATTTTCAAGTTTGTAAATACTTTCCGGAATAATATAAACATTTTCCGGAAAGATATAAATTAATTTTCAAGTTTGTAAATACTTTCCGGAAAACTATAAACATTTTCCGGAAAATATAAATTAATTTTCAAGTTTGTAAATAATTTCCGGAATAATATAAACATTTTCCGGAAAGATATAAATTAATTTTCAAGTTTGTAAATAATTTCCGGAAAAATAAACATTTTCCGGAAAGATATAAATTAATTTTTAAGTTTGTAAATACTTTCCGGAATAATATAAACATTTTCCGGAAAGATATAAATTAATTCCTAAGTTTGTAAATACTTTCCGGAATAATATAAACATTTTCCGGAAAGATATAAATTAATTCCTAAGTTTGTAAATGGTTATTTAAGTTTGTAATTTTTAAATTTAATTTTTCAAATTAGAGGCACAATTTTAGATAAATCCTCAGGCACAATTTTAGATAAATCAATATTCTTCTAATTAAAGTTTCCACTACTACTATTATTATTTTTCTTAAATTTATTTTTATTATTAATTAGTGGTTGGGTGAGAATTTTAAAGTCGATACAAAACTATAACAAAAGGAAGAACAAGCAGAAGAATATCATATAAAATAAATAAAGCAAGCTTTTCATAACATTTTCATAAAAACAGCACCGAGCATATTAAACTTAAAACAAGTTCCAATCTTAAAATTTTCGAATTTCTTATAACAACAGACCATTACTTAAAGTGTTTAATTAATCTTTTAAACCTTTAAAAACCTTCCTTATAATCCCTAATAAACTCTTTTTTTCTGGAAAAAGTTGCAAAGAAAAATTTTTCGTTTATCTGGCACATGACCAAAAGATTCGTTTTTTTGACATTTTTCAAAATATTTATTAAAGCTTTTTAAGGTCTTCCAAAATGGCAAAAAAGAGGAGAAAGTGTATATAATTAAACGAAAAATCTTTATTTGGCTAAGGGAGATTAAATTAATAAAAGAGGAAAAGGCCTCTTTAAAAAAGATAAACACACACATTATTATTTCTATGTATTTAACTTCCAAAAATTTTCTTAAAAATTCTTTAGAAAAATTTAATATTTGCTCTTAGAAACTAAAGCAACATTTGAACTCATTAAACAAATTTTTTAAATATCTTTCTCTAATAAGCAAATATGTTGAAATTAATATTGCGCGTATTTTAATACATTTTTCTTTTAATTTTCTCAGGAAAGAGGATGTAAAATTTTCCAGACTAAAAATTTTAAATTTTTATAAAATAAAAATGCAAACAATTAAAAATTGCAGTTTGAGAATTATCTGAGAAACCAAAAATCTAAATTAAACCCCCAAATTTATTTGATACTGCTTTTTTCTCCAAGGGAATAGGACTAAAATAACAATTTTTCCACGTGTTTTTTACTTTTTCCCAATTCCGCCATTTTACAATTTTTTAAATTATATGCTTATCCGTAACGTTTCCTAAGTTAAATTTGGATATTTTCACGTGTATTTTTAAATTTTTCCAAGTCTCTCACTCAGCCTAAACATTTTTGCAAATCGTTCATTACATTCTCGTGTATTTCTATTTTTACTCACGCTTCCAAATTTTTTCTCCCCAGCTTTACAATTTGCAAATCATGTTTATCCGTTACGTTCTCTTTTTATTTTCTAAATTTGGCATCCCTATTTTCATTCATGTTTCCAATCAAAGAGGATCAACTTTATTTAAATAATCTACTTTTAAATCTATTTCCCCTCCCTTTTTCCTTGTTAATTTACGTATTTTCTAATCCAGAAAAGCCTGACTTTAATAATATTTTTATCAAGAAAGGAAATATTTACTTTTATCTCCTTATTAAGAAAATGTTAAAAGGAGACCAAATTCTCAAGATTAAAAAAAAATAAGGAAAAATGGAAAATGTGTTTGGACTTTTCTCTTTTAACTTCCCTATCCCCTATCCAATTTCCTTTTGGCATTTAAAAAAAAAATAATTTTTAACATCTCCTCTCCCCTTCATTTTTCTCATTATTTTTAATTTAAAAAATAATGTTGCGCTAATGTTATTTGGACTTTTCTTTCTTGTTTACTTTCTTTTTAATTAAATGAAAAAAAATTTTTTTAGAAAAAAAACACATTTTCTTGCGCTTTAACAGTACATACTTCCCCCTCCCCTCCTCCTAGAAAATATATCCGGAAATTGGATTTCTTTGCACCTGTCTCGTTTTTTTAAATTGTGTTACCATTGTGCAATGGGGTGTGTGGGGCAAAACACCATCTAAGTAAAATACCGTCCGGACGGAAAAGTAAAAAACGTCGTCCACTTTTGTTCACTTTTCCACCAATATCTTTAGACCCTACGGCTATTGAATCTTGGATAGTACTATAGGCTTCTATGCCTAAAAATCTTATTTTAAAATTTTTTTCTGTGAGCAAAATGGAGGGTAATTTTTACTCTAGTTGGTGGACAGTATTTTGGTAAGACGGTGTTTTGTCCTGCCTCTCTGCAATGTGACACCACCTATTTTTTTCGCGCACTTTTATTTTTTCCTACATGTGGTGCTTACATAATCAACTTTTAAAAAAAAGGAGAAAATAAATTTTAAAAAGCAGAAAAAAATATTTCTAAAAAAACAAGTAAATAATTAAAAAATGTGTCAATCACACATGGTTGCTAATATTTTGAAATAAAAAAGGCACACTTATTTACATACACACACTTTTTCTTACTTAAAAATTTACGTCTTTTGTGTTACATTTACATTTTTAAATAAAAATGTGTAACTTGTCGTCCATCTGTGGTTTTAAAAAATTGCGTTAAAAAAGCAAAATTGCCTAAAAATTACCTTAAAAAGCCTGAAAAAAGTACTATAGGCTTCTATGGTTTCGAGCTATCCTACTGGTTTCGGGAGTCTTGGATAATGTTTTTTAATCAACGTAAACACACGCAAGAGGTTATTTTTCTCTCAAAAATCCCGATATGTTCGCCCACCGGTCTGTCACCAAAAAAATAATCTTGATGCATTTATAATTTCTTGGAATTTTTACCAAAAAAAGTTTGTTACTTTTAACCTCAGATTTATTTTTCATTCTAAATTAACTTGACTAAAAAAGCTAAAAAAAGTTTTTCCTTCAAGTTTTCTACGAAACCCCCTTCAATTTTTTCCTCTTTTACCAATAATAGTGTCTCTTACATATATATATTTCTAGTTCCTACGCTTTAGGCACTTTAATAGCTCTATAAACTGATATCTAAATGAAATATTTACAAACACTCCCACACATAAAACCTCAAAACATTTTCCTATGATTATTTTCTTCCGCTTGTTTTAAAGAACAAAGATTTAAATAGAGATTTTGGTTAGCAATAAACAAGAATTTTTTAAATTACAAAAACCACACAATATATACCCGCATTTTTCGATTAATTCCTCTGGCGATTTAATATTTTAACCTATCCGCCGTAGGATGAGGAATTACTTAAAATTATTTGAGGGAGGTGAATTATTCGAGTATTGAAATTAGAACGTTGCAGTAGAGGGTATTTATAGGTGGAGAATATTATTGTTTTAAAAACCATTCCTGGCATGGGGAACTACTCAAGAGTGGGGGGAATTAATCAAGAAAATACGGCAGCCACTTTTTTGTCTAAACTTTTTTGACTTTGTATTCATCAAAATTTATTTTTGTCCGTCTTTAATTATAATTACTTGCTACCCTAATTAAATTATGCTTATTTAAAACATAAAGCAAATATGGATATTCTAATTTTAGAAAATAAAAAAATCTCTAGGCTTTAATATAAACAATCAATCAAAAATTCTCCCTGACATTTACATTTCAAAGTAGGAAAAAAATTAAATTAATATTTTTATAGAAAAAGGAAAAAAATAATTAAATTAGTATACTTCAATATTTTTTTTGCTGAGAAAAAAATTTTATATTAAAAATAAAAATATTAATTCAAATAATAAACCTACAAATTCTTTAGTTTTACTTCGGCTAGTGACCGGTTCCAAAACCGGAAATGCCAGCAGACTGCCAGCAGACCGAGATATAGGCTTACAAACCTTCCAAGTTGGAAATGCCTACGGACAGAGATGTAGGTCCCCGAATATTGAAAAACACCATAGGGAGACCCAAGCTCATTTATTAAGAATTTGTGAGCATATAACAGAAAAGTACCAAAAAATATTTAAAAAAATAATATTTCTTTTTCTTCAATATCTTTTATTTTTAGTTCCTTATTTTTTAAAATTAGCTACATTATTATTTCAGACATCATCATAATTTTTTCTTTTGTTTTAAACAGTCATTGTCTAAAATTTTTCTTTTGAATAAAAAAACAAAAAAATGAAGTACCCTTTTTATTAAGTCTAGGTTTCCCGGAATTTCTTTTTTTATTCTTTCAACTTTTTTTTAATTTTTGATTTTTCCTGACTACTCCCTTAATTTTTTTCTTAATTTTATTTTCTAAAAAAATTTTTTCTGATATTTATTAAAATAATTTTAATATTCAAATCCCTAGAAATATTTAATAATGTCTGGGATATTTTAATCTCTTTTTTATTTAATCCTTTAAAATAATTTTTATATATTCCTAGTAAAATTATTTAAAATCTTTCCAACTTTTAAACCGATAAATCCCTTTAAACATTTAAACCTTTAAAACTTAATGAACAAAAAAAAATTTAAATTTTAAAATAATCAAGCTTAAAACTTAAAAAATATAGTCTAATATACCGTATTTTTTGTATTAGAGCCCCACGTTGAATTAGAGCCCCACGCTGTAATAAAGCCCCACTTTCAAGGATAGTTGAAAAATAGAGCCCCACGCTGTATTAGAGCCCCACGCTGAAATAGAGCCCTATTTTCTAAAATTTACCTATTGTATAATAAATTATTATTTTTTAATAACTATACTGTTTTTTTTCCTTTTATCTAATGTTCTGTGCCAAATTTAGATATTATATGTGATTAAGAGAATATTTGGGGATAAAAACACCTTAAGCTGCTCCAAATCCTCTACAATAGAGGGATTTGGATGTTATAAGAGATATCAGAGATTCTTTTATATACTGGCAAGCATAGATATTGGCGAGATCAGCCTAGTTATCAGCAGATTCATCTCAGAAATCCTCCGCTATCCGATTAATCCCCAAATCATTTATACTCTCAAAATCACTCGATATCCTTATTAATCTCCAAATATCTTCTTAATCACCTTAATCCCATCTATATTCTTCAATTGGGACTGAACCGAGATATATACACGTAGTGACCGTGCGGACTGAAGCAAAATATAATCGAACCTTCAAAGGCTCGATAGGATTCGAACCATCCACAAATTAAAATTCGGCTTTAAATCCACCTCAAATCCAAATAATCGTGCCATACTGTACACGCTAACTATTAACTTTAGAAATATCACAATGGTGAAATTTGTTTTTGTGACAAATTTCACCATTTGAGTAAAAAATAGGCAGTTGCATACATATCACTGCCTTACTTATAATTGAAAATTCCCTTATATATTTTCAAAAATTGGTTGAAAAATAGAGCCCCACGCTCTATTAGAGCCCCACGTTGTAATAAAGCCCCACTTTGAAGGATAGTTGAAAAATAGAGCCCCATGGGGCTCTAATACAAAAAATACGGTAAGCCATAAAAACGGGAGTCAGGCATATCGAGGGGGAATAACGGGATATTTCAATTTATGAAGACCTATGGCCACTGGAACTTTCATAAAATTATCCTATTGATGTAAAAAGTTTCCGTATTCTAGAACCAACATAAATAAGCAACAAGTTATTTTTGTCCCCGAAATCCCGATATATGCTTCCCTAACCACATAAAAACTTCCGCAAACTCAAGAGCTTTTCTTTGCCTTCTTAATTAGTATTTCCCTATAACCAGCTGAAAAATTCCTTTTTTTATTTGTGTGTTGTTTTTTGCTTGTGGGTGGTCTCTTTCATTCACTAACTTGTTTAAAAAATTAAAAGAATTTCTTTTAACTTATGACTTTATGTGACTTACTAATCATTACTAATCATCGTCATCATCAGCGCGTACTTTCTTTGAACCGAGAAAAGAAAATTTTTTCTTTTGTTATTTTTTTTCTTTCTATTCCATATGTGAAAATTTGTATAAATTAAATGTAGGAAAAAACACGCCAAATAAAAACCAGTTTTTAGTTGGCATTTTAAAAAATGTACAAAATAAAAAAAAGTTTTTTAAAGGAAAAAAATTTTGAATGCAAAAATATGTCAAATTTATTTAATTTCTTTCCGATTAAACAACACAAACTTTTGGCCTTTCCCTTTTATGACGCATGTATTTTTTTATTTTTAAAATTTTATGTATAAAACTAGAAAATCAAAATTGAAATAACCCTTAGAAAATATTAATTTTAATTAGGGTTGTACCCCGGACGCTTGGGAGTTGGCGTATATTTTAAAAATATTTTTTTCACTTTCTTTAAAACAAAAAATAATAATTTTATTCTCTTGTACTTATTTAATATTTAAATCTTTCATACTTCATTTTTTCCCTCTAAAAACCACTTCAATCCTCTCCTATATTTTTGTTTATATTTATGTTATTGTCTCTTTTCTAAATACTTTTATCCCCATGGAGTTCTAATTTGCTATGACATGTCTCTGTTTTTTACAGATTTTTTATAGACTGTTGGTGGTATGGGCTGTTCATTAAAAAAGAAATCTTTCACCCCATTGTTGTTAGTTTTTAAACTTTTATAAAACAAAAAATTTGGTACTTTTTATGGTTTTTGCCCATACACTTTTTAGGCCTTAAGAAATGGCATTTTCAATTTAATTTACCAAAGATTAGAAAAAAATTTTGGAAAAGGAAGAGAAGAGAAGCTCTGATTTAGTGTATGGGTGGTCTTAATTTCCTGCTTCCTGCCTTTAAACTTTAAAAATTCAGAAAAGCTTCCTTTTTTTACTTATTCAGTTAAATAGATAAAACCAAATTTTATAATATTTTATTTACTAAAATCCTGACTTATGCATGGACACGGATTTTGGGATCCATATTCGGAAGTATCCGTGAGGTCCGTGTTCGTTTTCGCTTAACTTTTAGGCCATATCCATCCGCGGATATCCGCAGAGTTTGAGCTAAAGCTATATCATTTAAAGTATATATTTTTTAAATTTAATTTTCCTAACATTTTCCTCCATTTAAAAAACTAATTAAAAAACTCGATAAAAAAGTTTATTTTATATTCCTCCTTTTTTAAAGTCCTATTTTACTCACTAAATAAAATACTAAAAAATTCTCTCAATACGTTCCCAGACACAACGTTCCTCATTAACTTTTCTCCTTAAAATTATGCTGCATTCTCTCTCATTCAAAAAAATCCACTTTTTTATCCACTAGAAGAATACAATAGCCAGACTAAATGAAGCGAATAAAGGACAAGGGTTAAATGGAAAATTTTTTTAAGCCACCCAGAGTTAGAAAAAATTTTTTTCTAATAATTAGCGTCATTAAAGGGAGTATTTTTTAAAGTACCAATTAAAAGATAAAATGGATTTTTTTCAATTCCCAAAATGATTCTTGATTATTGCTTCCTTGTTCTTCAAAAAAATGAAAATTAACAAAATTGACAATTTAATTTGCATCTCTTCCCCTATTGTTTTTTAGTTTCTAGGAGCTATCAATTTTTTGTGACGATTAAAAAAAATTTATTTCAATGCTTTACCAAGTATATAAATTTAATGAGCACATTTATTCATCTATTTAATGCCCAGTTATTTTTTTTGCTTTTCCTTCTTTTTTACAAAAAATGGTAGCAGCGGAAATTAATAGGCAAAGAGCAGCATATTTTATAAATACATAGTTAATGAGTTCTTTAAAAAAATTTTTTTACTTGGTGACCTAGTAATTACTAGATTTACTTTTTTAATATTGTTGAAGCTTAGAAAATTTTGCTTAGAAAATTTGCTGCAAAAGTAAAAATTAATTTAATAAGCAAAACTATTCTAGACAAATTATATAGACACATTTCACTCTTAACCTAATCATTTTAATTTTATTTATAAAATTATTAAATTTACAAAAAAAAATTTTTTTTTAAAGTCTACACACCTTTACGACTATCTTATTCTTTCTAAATTTGTATAGTTTAATCTATCCATATTTTTTATTCACTCACAAAACTCACAAAAAAATTTTTCATCCTAAAATTCATCAGAACACACTAGAAAACTCTCCAAAACTCCCCAAAACTCTTCAAACCCCTTCTTAAAAATCTCTTTCAAGTTATTCAATAAAAATAATAATAAAAAATATTCTAGTGGAAAAATAAAATAAGAAAAAAGTTTTTGTTAATGAAAAATACAGAAAATCCATTAGATTCAGAAAGCAAAGAAAAAACTTATTTCAGAATTAAATAAAATCCATTTCTCAAAAATATTAATAAAATTTCACACGAAAAAAAATCTCAAAAATTTTTTTGTTGAAATGCAGTCTCTAGTAAATTTTTTTAAGTAAATTTTTTTTCTCTTTAAGATTTCAAAATGGTCCGGAAAAGTTTTTACAATTTGTAAAATATTTTATTAGATTCCGGAAAAGTTTTTACAATTTGTAAACTATTTTATTAAATTCCGGAAAAGTTTTTACAATTTGTAAAATATTTTATTATATTCCGGAAAAGTTTTTACAATTTGTAAAATATTTTATTAGATTCCGGAAAAGTTTTTACAATTTGTAAACTATTTTATTAAATTCCGGAAAAGTTTTTACAATTTGTAAAATATTTTATTATATTCCGGAAAAGTTTTTACAATTTGTAAAATATATCCGGAAAAGTTTTTACAATTTGTAAACTATTTTATTAAATTCCGGAAAAGTTTTTACAATTTGTAAATTATTTTATTATATTCCGGAAAAGTTTTTACAATTTGTAAAATATATCCGGAAAAGTTTTTACAATTTGTAAACTATTTTATTAAATTCCGGAAAAGTTTTTACAATTTGTAAATTATTTTATTATATTCCGGAAAAGTTTTTACAATTTGTAAAATATATCCGGAAAAGTTTTTACAATTTGTAAACTATTTTATTAAATTCCGGAAAAGTTTTTACAATTTGTAAATTATTTTATTATATTCCGGAAATGTTTTTACAATTTGTAAAATATTTTATTATATTCCGGAAAATTATTTAAAATTAGTAAAATATATTATTAAATTCCGGAAAAGTTTTTACAATTTTTAAAATATTTTATCAAATTCCGGAAAAGTATTTACAATTTGTACAATAGGAAATGGAGCTACATATAAAAATGGGGGCATATTACACAAGAGTACCTTTTTTTATTTCCTAAGCATTAAACTTTTAATTAATAAAATCTTAAAAATTGTAAAAAAAGTAAAAATTAAAAGAACACTTTTTACATAAAAAATTAGTTTTATATTTTAGATTGCGTGCCATGACTGTTTTTAACATTTTCAAAGCATTATTATATTTTTTTCCTTTTGGATAAACAAAAAAATTATTACAATTTTATGACTCGAATTTCAAGATTTTTTTGTTCGTTAAAAATGCTAAGCGTCCATTATTTATTTTTTTTTGCTTTAAAAAATAAGGAAAATAATAAAAAATAAGTTTAGGTGCTAGTCTAGTTTATGAATTAGTTGCACCTTTGTTGAGACTCATAAACTAGACCAGAGTCAATTTTTAAAAAATAATTCCTTAGCTAATTAGCATTTTTTGAAAAAAATTATTAAAATTCTGCAAACTTTTATTTAAACATCCTTACGTAAAAAAATCTCTACATTTCATCTGCCTTTCCTTTTCTAAACCTATTTTTAAACAACATTTCCTTACAACATTTCTTTTTTTACAAGATATCTTCCAAATTTAGTTACCCCCGTAAACAATTAAATTTTTTGAAAGTAACACACATACTTTTTTTATTTATTCCAATGTATTTTGGATTATATTTTCTTCTCTTTTTTTTAAATTCTTTTGTTAAATAACATAGAGATTTTTTCCTTTTTGAGTTTTCCGGTTCTATTTATTTTTTTATTTTTATTTTTCAATTTATTTTTCTGCTAAATTGTTTTTGACTTTGCTTTTTTTGTCCTTATTTTTTGTCTTTAATTTTTGGGAGGGTGACGTTTTGCTTTTTCATAAAATTTAGTTCATTATTCTTGCTGTTTTTTAAAAAGGTAAGAAAAATATAATCCAAAGGAAAGATTAAATTTTACAATTCTAAAAATTGGAACACACAATTAAAGTGACATAAAATCCCAAAAGTTATATTTAATTCCCTTATGCTTAATTAACTTGTTCATTAAATTTTAAATACCAACAGGTATATTAGCTATTAAAATATTAAAAAATAAAAAACTAATGTCATTTCCTCTTGATTGGCACTTAAAACATAATTTAAAAATATTTTTAATCCTTTAATTTACGCATTAATTAACTAATAAATTAAAATATTTTTAGGATTATTTAACCAATTTTTTAAACATCTCTTCCAATAATACTTATGTATTTAAAGTTTTGTATTTTTAATGTTTTAATATTTTTAATGAAGCTTAAGTAACTGAGGGGGATAATCTTTTGAATATCTCATCTAAATTATCCAATTACTAATTTCCTTTCCTTTTTGCTTCTCAAACTTGACTAAACCACCTGATACTTTATTTTTAATGCAAAAAATTTTATTTTTTTTAATTTAATTTGTTTACAATTTTTTTAACTTTTTAAACAATTTTCTCACAAAAAAAAAGATATATTAAAAAACATTTCTCAGAAATTAAAACAGTTATACTTTAAAGGAAATTGAGAAAAAAAAATAAAATAATTTAAAAATAAATATAAGAAAAATAATACTTTAATGTGCCTATATTTAATTTCATTTCCCGTGTCAAAAACAAAAATAAAAGTACAAAAAATATAAAAAAAAGTATATGCTTATGTTACTGTTAAAAGCTTTCTTTCTAATATTTATTTAATAATTTTTTTCATTAACCCTCTGAATAAATAAATAAAATTTTGCGTGTTTTTATAAATATATCTATTAGTCCCCCCTTTATTTTAATCAACATCACCTTCCATAAATATACACAAATTTATTTAAATATGCTATAAAGAAGCATAATATTTATAATTTTTTAGCTGCCAAAGACAACAAGCATATTTAAAATTAAGCGGCTATTTTTTTTATCTTGTTCCCATGGGGGAAGACGTTTTACTTCTTACTTTGTACTATCAACACTCTCCCCACACTTTCTCCCCTCTCATAAACGTCACTCAAAACAAATAATATTAGTAGACATTAATTACAATTTAGTAAATAAAATTTTAAAACAGATCTCAAATAGGCTAGAAAAATTAGATAAAAATGCCTTCTAAAGCTTCAGTCAATTACTACATAACTTAGGGTTTAATTAGGGTTAAACACAACCGGTTATTTTAACAGGTACCCTCAGTTTCAGTTTTTTGAAATGCGCTAATTAAAAATACCCCAGTATTGCTTTACAAATGTTTACCTTCACCCATTTATTTATCGAAACATTCAACTTCCTCAAAAACAAAAATATTTATTTTTTCTGTTCAAAAGCTCATATATTTGTTCAAAAGCTTTTAAAATTTTATGTTGTTTTTTCCCACAAAATTATTTAAAAAATTCAAGTCATTTTTTTCTTACTTAAAGCTTTTTGCTTTTAAATATTTCCATATTATTTCCTCGGATTATGCGGAAGGAAATGACCAACTTTTTAAGGACTCGTTGGAAAGTGTTTGGTGGGAACATAAAAAACATTAACTTATAATAATGGAAAATATGCTTTTTAATGAATCGATGGCGCCAGTCTTCCATAAAAATGCCAAGAAAAATTTTTTTATTTGGAAACTTATTTTGCACTTTGCTCTAAATATTTTTTTGGTTTTTGCCTTAGACTGAGATTGAGGTTCAACTAAAATTGAGTTCAAAATTGAGCATGTTTTTTCCTTTGATTTTCCTTCTAAAATGCGCCTAATCTCTCCTCGCGCATTTTAAACTATCAAATGACTTGTTTTTTCCTACATAATCGTTGGTCTTTCTATTTATATTTTATTATTAATGTGCAAAAAATTATTTTTTGAATATTATTCTCCATACTCCCTTGAGGCTTAGAAAAATATGCCAAAAATGGGAACCAGGTTTTTTATTATTATTCTTATCCCTTTTTACCTCTCCTTACGATTTGTAACGGATGAGGCTTATTTTTTATCCAAAAATGTATTCTCTTTATTTGTAAATTTCTCCTCGTTTTTATCTAATTTTTAGCTTAAGTATACAAGAAACAGTTAAAATAACTTATTCGAAAAATTAAAATTTCCAAGTGCAAAATTTGAAACTTAATCTCAATAACAAATAAACATGTTTTAGCTTACTTATTTTTTATATTACCTCATAAAACGCAATTTAAATCAAAGTACACATTTAAATTCCAAAAACTCAAAATCCTTTGGGATTTGAGTAATTTCGAGTAAAAAGGGAAGTAATTAATAGAGTAAGAGCAATTAAGCTTTACCAAGTCTGTTCCCTTACTATTATTTTAGCAAAAAAGGACTTCCTTGTTTCTTTTGTTTTTTAAAAAATACTTAAAATTTTGGCCATATTTTATAGTTAATAACCCAAAAATTGCGAAAAAATGTTACAGAAAAAATGTTATAAAATTTCATAAAAATAAAATTTTTAATCTTTAGATTTGTCGTTCATATTTAATAAATAGTAGCATTAAACCCATTTCATTCTTTTAACTTTGAACCCCTTCTATTAAAAAATAAAACATCAATAACAACAATTAAACAACACTAACATAACTACAAACCACCAATGGAGAAACAAACACAAAGTGGATGGCCCGAATGTTTGCTTCAACATCCTCAACAATGCCGAGAAATCAAAATTAATGCAAAGGCAAAATTTCAAAAATTAAAACCCCGTTTAAAAAAATTTTTTACAGGTCCCATTGGACTGGGCTCTTCCCCTATATGGCTTTTTAATGCCCCTTGTTGTAGCTATAACTGTACTTACAAATTCATTCATTGTAATTGTTCTTTCACACCGTTCACTACGAACACCTACAAATTTTGTACTAGGCGCTATGGCCATTAGTGAAGTCAATATTTTTTACAAATAAAAACTCAACTTAAAAATCTTTTTTTAGCTTTTAACAGCACTTGTATGCCTTCCATGGCTTTTATATTACTATACATTCCAAGGGTTTGAAACAGATGAACATCAAGGCCTCCCAGCTTTTTGGTGTTGGCTCTTTCCCTATTTAGCTACTATTTTACCATCAATGTTTCATACCTCTGCGATTTGGTTAACAGTCTATTTAGCTATTCAAAGGTAAAATTCTTTTAAAATTCATTCTTTAAAGTACCTAATTTTAAAGATTTATCTATATTTGCATGCCCAAGCTAGTCCAAAAACAATGTACTATGCAAAGAAGCAAACAAGTAAATCAAAACGGATTTAAAAACTTCAAGTCTATTTTTTAAGATTGTTATTTGCATTTCTATAGCTTCTATCTGGATTTACGCCCCAGAGCTTTTCGCAAACTACAACCAATCCTACAACATTTTTAATTCTCAAACAAACAGTAAAAATAACAAAAAATTTCTGATCAAAAAAATTTTTTTTAGAAACCCGCTCCATTTGTGTCATGTCACAAACTGCTCTCATTCATTTGGTTGGAAACAATTTTTATCATTTGTTGCTGTACGGACTACACACAATACTTGTTCACACATTACCATGCATTTTACTCGTATTTTTTACGTGGAAATTACTTACAGCAATAAGAGAAGCAGACAAGAAACATGCAATTTTAATTGGAAGAGCACCAACAAAACAACAACAACCTCAGAGGAAATATTCAGAATCACCAGAAAAATCTCCAAATACAATGCCTTTTATTAACAAAGATGTTCGCTATTCTTTTGATGAAAGTGGATTTAGCTTTAACAACAATTTTCCTAAAACATCGAATGCACCAAGATACAGCATTTCTGACACTAAACGTGTTCATGGATTGAGACAAAATACAAGGGTAAATTTTTTTACTGGAAAATTCAATAATTAAAACCCAAAAATCAACCAATTTCTAATTATTTTAACCCTCTAAAAACTAAAAACAAAATTTTTAGATGCTACTCGCCATTATTTTGCTCTTCCTACTTACTGAAATACCAGCAGCACTTATTTTTTCTGTTCATGTTGGCTCAGTTGTTTTTAAATTAACCTTCATTTTAACTCATTATGCAACACTTAATAAACTCTTAATTATTAGGTAGCTTTGTTTTCCTCAAAATTTTAATCCTTGTATTTTTCACACAGAAATGTTCTCATTGTAATCTCATATCCATTACGATTCGCGATCTATTGTGGAATGTCTGCACAATTTAGAGAGGTAAACTAAACTTTTCACCCTTCATTACTAATTATTAATTTTTAAAAAAGGTTGTTCAACAAATGCTCAATACAAAAAGGCGTAAATTTCTTCTTCTAATAGTACACTCCCCTTACTGGAAACTTCATGCAAAAAATTCAAAAACTGATGGTAAAAGTGACTCAACTATAGTAAATGAAAAATGTGCTGTAGTCCAAGATTCTTTATCATCAACAACAGTTTTACTATGGAGGGAAAGACAAGCAAAAACGATGACAACAAATCATCCAAAAATTATAAATGAAACAGAAATTATGACAAATGGAAGTACAACACCAATGTTGTTGGAACCAAATAGAAAAGAAAATGAAGGACATAACTGCTTCAACAATAATAAAAATAATAATGAGGAAGATGAAGATAGAGAATATGAGAACGAGTATAGATTATAAAAAAATTTTTTTAGTTAAAACTAGTGTGCGGAAAAATTGCATTCAAAGAGCCCGAACAGGACAGGGATCCCGCGCACTCTAGTTAAAACATTACTTATATTACCCTCATGTTTTTGTACTATATGTTTGTTCCTAATTTAAATTTTCTAAATTTATATAAAATTTTTAAAACAAGAAAATAACAGGTAGACAATTTCAAAAAAAAACATAAAATATCCAGAAAAAATACTAAAATTAACACAGAACGAAATTCTGATACAAAATTAGATAAGAGTAGAATCAAAATAAAAACACAAAAATATCTAGAAAAAATACTACCGGAAAATTAAAAAAAAAAGAAAAAAATTAGTCTTTGGAATGTTTAGAATATGAGGCTTAAAAAATACTTATAGAAAAACATAAAAAAGCTTACAAAAGACTTAGTTAAAAGCAAGAAAAAATTAAAAAAATCTTTTAGAATCACATTTAAAAAAACTTATGGCCGCTTAAATGATGGTGGGTGATGGATGAGATGATCATTTCACACTCATCCCAGTGAAATGAGTTGCTTAAAAATAAGAAAAATAAATTCTCATTACCCCAGATTTTTCAAATATTTTTTTAAATTTAATAAACCAACCCCATCATCTGTGGCATTATCTTGTCCAACACCAGCACCATTTTCTTCTCCATTATCCAATTTAGTTGTAGTCAATTTCTTTCGTTGTTTATCTTCTTGAACATTCTTCTTGCTTACCTTTTTCTTTTTTAATTTTTTCTTTTTTTCTGACGTTGTTGTTGTTGCTGTTGTTATATTTTCATCATATTCCAAACCATCTTTATTAATTGTTGCTTCTTTAATTTTTCGCCTTCGTTTATTAGGATTACTTTTAATTGTTGTAATGCTGCTTCTTTTATTGTTGTCAACATCTACATTTTCTTCAACTTCAACTAGTTGAATATTTAGAAAATTGTCAGTTAACTGAAACAATAAAGTAAATTGTAAGTAAAATTTTTTTCGGTACTCTTGGGTTATCTCCCTCCATTTCCCACTCTCTCATCTTTTTCCTTTCTCTAAAAGTACAAATAGATCCAAATTAAATATTGTTAAAGGATTATGGAGGTAAGTATCATACTCTGCTTTTTAGAACCAGTGATCCGGTACTCACTTTGTCCCATGTGTGGTCTTTTGAGTAAGGAAAAAGAAAAGAAAATGGGAGGATATAACCAAGAATACCAAATTTCCAAAAGAAAAACCTCATTCTCCTCAGAACTTGAAAGTGCTCCTTCTGGCATTTCACCATCACCTTTGTATATTGTATTTTTATTATTCTCTTCAGGGTTTTGTTCTGCTGTATTTCCTTCTATTTCATCATCGCTTGTTTTGAACAACTTTCCATTTTGATTTTTACTTGATTTTGTATTCTTCTTTATCTTCTTGTCATTTTTCTTCTTATCCAAATTCTTCCAATGAATAGTAGAATCTTTTTGCTTCAAAAATTTGTCCAGACCAACAACACCATCAATTTCCAGAGGATTTTGTATTTTACGGATTGCCTAAAAATTTTATACATTCGTTACTCTTCCCCAGACAAAAAAATAACCGGTTGAGTCCGTACAGCATTATTAGCTGAATCAACATTTTTAGAAACCCTCTTCTGTTTCGGATTATCTTTAACATAGAATGGGTTGTTCAACTGCTCAACTTGACGACGTTTTTGTTCCGATTCTTTTTGAATTTTACTTTGGGAAGTTGAAGCAATTCCATTAGTAGAAATATCAATATCATAAGACTGTTGTTTTATTTCGTATATTTTAGCTGCTGAATGTTTTGCCTGTCGACCATGCTGTGGAAGATTTTCACGTTCATAATGCGAGGTATTAATCTGAAAAATTTCAAAGTTAAATGAAATCTATTTGCTATTCTGAATCAAACCTCATTATCAGACTCAATGCTAGAAACCTCTTCTTCTTCATCTTCATTATTATCCGAAGTATCAGGTTCGTTTATCCATTCATCCAAGTTTAAGCTGTAAAATTATATTAGAAAAACAGAACATATTCCCAAAAATATACCCTTCAGGTAAAGGAACTCGTCGTTGTGCTTTTGGTGCGACTGGATTAAGTTCATCCTCGAAACATCTGGCAAGACTAGCACCTATTTTTATTCTTTCAGCGTGTTTTGTTGAAGCATATTTGAGCAAAGCAAGAAAATTACATGACTGAAAAATGATATTATAATTTAATTTTTGATAAATTCTTCTTACCCTTTCCTGAGCTTCTAAATGATCCATATATTGAAACTCTGGTAGTTTAGAGCAAAATAAATTGTCCAATGTCTCAACACCATCCCAATCTTCCTCTGCCTCCAATTTGCATAATTGTAGAGCATAAAGTTTAAGCATATTTTGAATAAAGACACTGAGCAAAGCACCAGGTATCATTGACAATTTGACTCTAATCATCGCTTCTAATAGACTATCGACATTGTTTACATGTTGGGCATATTCTCCACAAATCCAGGCAGCAGCTAATAATACTTCCGCTATATTTGCACGTTGGGTGGGACTGTTTCCCTAAAATAAAGAAAATGCAAAAACATCAAAATTTAAAAACCTGTAACAAAGGCTGAACATTTTGAACTAGAAGAACCATTTGAGAAACAGCAAAATGTCTGACGGATTGAACACGAACTGCAACATCCTGGAGTTGTTCGGCAATAAGTACACCATATTTGGTACCCTCAACTTTGGTTAGTTCAACGAGAACGGATATATACCTAAAAATAATTGCTCGTGTCAGAAAGGAAGAAAAGAAACTAAAAATAAACCATTCAAAATTTGTAATATATTTGTAATTGTCATGAGAACATATTGCAACAATTTGTCGAAGCAACTCATCTCTATAGAAAGAACCCTAAATTTGGAAATATTTAAAATTTATTTTGAAAAAAATGACTAATGCTACGTTCACATAAAAGTCTCGCGCGTCTTGCAACAGACGACAGCGGAGAGTCCTTATTGTGAAAACCTGCGACTCTCGCTAAATGAAAATCGCAAAGCGACAGAACGCTTATGTGAACGTAGCTTAAAATTCATATTTTGATAAATAAAAAAGACCTCAGCACATTCCAAATGTTCCATTAATCTCCGAACAATTTCCATAATATTCTTTTTTGAAATCATTCCATATAATAAATCCAATGCTCGTAAACGTATACTTTCATCTTTATCGTCCAAACACCTCAAAACAATATCTTTATGTGCTTGTACTGCTTTTGGATGAGTTTGAAGTATTCTTCCCATTGCTAAAAGACCCAGGTATTTCTGAAAGTTAAAAATTCCTTTTTAATTAATAAAATTTTTACCAAATTCTGATCAGAATCTTCAATTAAAACACCCAATTTTTGAACGCAAAGCTAAAAATAAAATATAAAAAACAATGTTTCTTATAGGGACTTGCCTGAATACTTGGAGTGTAATCGCCTGGGCCTTCAGATGATATGCTTATTAAAATTGCAATAACAGTATTTATACACTGAATACATAAAATAATTTTGGGACAACATTTAAAAAAACCTCATATAACAACGACATGGCTGATGTCGAATTTATCAGGCTTGTCAAAGGCTCAAGTAATCTTCTTCCCAATTTTGGTTCAAAAGGTACCTTGATATTGTTAAATATTTTGTAAGATTTTACAATAAAATTACCAAAGATCCAAACAATTTAATTATTTTAATAAGCATCCAATTATTCGAAGAGGTATTTAATAACTTGAAAAAGATATTTTGTAGAGGCAAATAATTCCTTGGATTTTTTCGAGCAAGTTCACAAACGACGTTTACTGCAGCACTTTGAACACCTTAAATTCAAAAGTTTTTAAATCTAAAATTAAATTTTTTGCCTGGATCTTGATCCTCCAATCTTTCTTTTAACTTTGGAAACATCGTTCTTAGAGTATCAGGATATTTTAAAAACATTTTGAAGAGAAGCAAAAGAGCTTTTTTACGAACATAAGGACGACTTGAAGAGAGCTTTAAAAATAAATTTAAATTTAAAAAATTTATTTAAAAAATTGGTAAAATTGACGTTTACGGTCCCCTTTATTCTCCCAGCACCCACTCCTCCCATGATTTTCGCCATGAATGTACAAAATGGTCAGTCTTTCCTCCTTTTATTCCTGCCAAAATATAATTAAAATTAACCCTTTTTGATTACTTGTTGGAAAAAGGGGAATTGGAATGGAAGGAAAGCCTGTACACTTTGAAGGAAATATTTGGGACATGAAAAAGAAGCCCTAAAACTCAAATTACCTAAAAAAACTAACCAAATTAATAACATCCTTTTCAAGATCTTGAGCCAAATCTGTAGTAACAAAACAAGAAAGACCACTTAAAGCAACTCCAACATCGTAAATATTTGAACTTTGCAAATCTTTTCTAATTAAATTTGTAGTAAGCATTAAAACATCTGTCTCATCATTAAAGGCTTGTGTTGCAGAAAAATATCCAATCCGTTTTTCATTAAATTTGGTACTGGCCATCACTTCAATAATATTAAAAGAAGCCCAAGAAATATCATAACCAAGCATTTGGAGCTGAAAAAATGATAATTGTGTAGTTTCCATCCCATAGGCCACACCCCTTTTTTGCCTTATAAAATAGCCATTTGGGTCAATATTCTCATTTCTCTGTCGCTTATCCTTCTAATAAATAAATGACGTAAAATACTGATTCAGGAAAGGAGGCGAGGTTTATGAAAAAGGAGCGGGGTCTATGGGACGGAAACTACACTAGTTTAATTAAATTAATCGAATTAACTTAAAATAAACCAAAAAATAATTTTAAAATTCAAATAAAAAAATACATACATAAGCTAATTTCTCGATCGCATTTGCCTTGACGAAATTTGAATCTTGCCGCAATTCTGATTTTATATCTTCAATACAAGCGCCAATGTATCTAGACTAAAAGAAATTTTTTAGTTAAAATTTTCTAAAAATAAAAGAAAAAAACCTCATTTTCCTTGTTATTTCTAATTCCTCTAATCAAATCAGCTAAATTCTTGTCGAATAATCTATCAATGTTGTTACGTACTTTGCGTAAAGTACCATCAGGAACGAGATTTTGTATTTGCATTGATGAAGAAATAAAGCTTCAAATATTTAATAAATGCTTCTGAAATAGACAATAAACGATAGTTAACGAACAATAAACAAGATTACTAACAATAAGCCGGATTTCGAAAAAAAACTCAAGAAAAAATACACTAGAAAAATCATGCTATGAATCAGATACACTGAAGCGACCTTTACCAAATGGGACACTTCAGTCCAGATTTTTAATTAGGCTATTAGAGTCCCAATATTCTTCTGCTACAGTATAAGAATCGATAATCAGAGAGAATCGGATAAGATTCGCTTTCTATCCGGGGTGGGTCGGTTTACCCGAAACTCGGTCTTTTTTCGAACCGGAACCTGTTTTTATGAAATTTTGAAACCCGACATGACTTTTTTTCTTAACCCGGCCATACTCGCTGTTTATTTTCATTTTCAGGATTATTTAAAATAAAATACATTTTTTAGATCTCTTAGCAATATTTTGGATTTCTAAATTTAAAAATTAATTAATCAAGCTTCAAGATGACTGGAACAGAGCGGAAAGTTTTTCAGGTTTCAACTTTTTTTTAATTTTCGAGATTTTGATAACTCAATTTTTTGTTTAGAAATACTACCCTCCCGACTTTGACCCATCAAAAATCCCAAAAGCTTCTGGTGGACGAAACAGACAATTTATCCAACGTGTAATGACTCCATTCAATATGCGATGCAATACTTGTAGTGAATATATTTATAAAGGAAAGAAGTTTAATATGAGAAGAGAAACGGCTGAGGGAGAAAGCTATCTTGGCTTGAGGATTTTCAGATTCTATTTTCGGTATTTCTTTTTTAATTTGGGGATTATTAGCTCTACAAAAGACTCAGGAGATTCTCTCATATGTTGTGTAATCCCCCCTCCTCGCCCTAACATAACTTGAAATTGAGAGTGGGTCTTACCCAACGTCCTTGGGAGAACTAAAGATTCTCGACCTGTATCTAGTGCTGGAGTTCTCCTAGTGCAATTATTGACTTCACTCATGACTTAAATATAGCCCTCTGACATTAGTAGTGCTACATACTACAGCCCTTCTTTTTTTAGGTGTCCAAATTGTCTGGCCGAAATCACCTTCAAAACAGATATTCAAAATGTGGACTATCAAGCTGAAAATGGAGCAACACGATTATTCGATGTATACAAATTTTGGCAAGAACAGGAACAAAAGGTGGAGGAGAAAGAAAAGGAAGAAAAAGAGGATGCAATGAAAATGCTTGAAAAACGAACAAAAATGAGCAAATTGGAAATGGAAGCATTAGGTTACTTTTATGTTTTAAGTGAATTAATTTTGAAGACCTATGAATCTAGGACATACAACTTGAAAGGGAATATAGAGGGATTTAAATGTTACCCATTTTTATGGTGATAAATACCCAGCTCTGTATAGGATTGCACCTTGAGCGTTCTGGGGTGATACTCTGGTTGAGTAGAGGGTTTCTATCCCCTTCAATCACCCCAGATTTCTCGGATATTCCCTTCCAAAACTTGTAGGCCGTCAGTGTCAATAGGCATTTAGAGTGTAGGGTGGTCCATCTTAAGAAATGTTTGAGTTATCTAAAAAATCATTTTTAAGGTCACATTGAGGAATTACAAGAAATTAATAGACGCCAAGAAAGTATTGATACAATTGGCTATTTAAATCAAATTGAACAGAAAAATGCTCTTACTTTTGCTGAAAGGTTGAAGCGACAAGAAGAAGAGGATGAAAGAGAAGTTGAAAGGCTTGTAGAAAAAACTGGAGGAAAATATACAAAAAGAATAAAAGAGGAAGATGAAGAAGATTTATTAAATGGCCCAAGTACAAGTTCTTCAATATTATTAAAAAATGAGGTCGAAAAATTTGTTGGGACAAAGTTGAATAATCTGAAGGAAGAAAATAATTTAAAACCGAATATTAAGCCTTCAATGGATTTGGCGTCCAAAAGAACCTCAAATCAAGCAAATTTATTAAATTCAATTGTAAAAAAGAAGAAAAATAAATAATTTATAAAGTGAATAAAAAATTTCTTTCTTTTGCCTGTTTTTCAATTTTGTTGAATCTACAATTTCTATTTATTTTTTTTTTAAATTTACTCACGACTCCATTAAATAATATTTTTAGGTCTTTAATTTATAAAAAATATCAGTTTAAAAATGATGGATACAAGTGAACCAGTTCAAAACGTTGAGGCAACGAAGACAGGTCGCCGTCGTCCTGGACCAAAACGCGCTCGTCGACTTTATGTTAAAGTATTTTTTTATAGAAGCATTGGTTCAAAATAAATTTATAAAATTCACAGGCAATCTTTACTGGCTACAAACGAGGTCAACGCAATCAATATGAAAACACCTCGCTTCTAAAATTGGATGGAGTGAATGATAAGGTTATTTATAATTCTTGAATCTAGGATTGTCGGTTCGGAGGCTATCCGACGGGCTGTGGTATACTTTGTTCGTTTCTTCGGTCGCTTCCAGACATCCGATGATTTTCCCAGGACCGAAAGACTACTTGAATCTTATAATTTTAAGCTTTTTTATTTTGTAGGAGGGGGCAAATTTCTATCTTGGAAAGCGTGCCGTTTACGTCTACAAAGGCCACAAGAAAATTGCTCGTGGTGGTGGACCAAAGACGCGAATTCGTGCAATTTGGGGACGTGTTACTCGCACACATGGAAATTCTGGAATGGTCCGTGCAAAGTTTCGACACAATTTGCCACCAAAAGCTATGGGTAAACGAATCCGTGTAATGCTGTATCCGAGCAATATTTAAAAGAAAAAGTGGAAAATTGTTAAGTTGTGTTATAATTAAAATTTGATTGATAAGGAAAAGTTGTTTTATTTTAAAGGTGAATAAAAATATTTGTTGTTTTTGGGTGCTTTATTAGAATTTATTTTTACTAGATCTCGACAAAATTATATTATTCAACTTCAAGCAAGCTTTAGACTATACTAGTTAGGTTTACCACGAGTCTTGATAAGCTAAAAAGTTTCCGGTGCTTTAGTGAAGAGAGATCCGTTTCCCTTAAAAGAATTATCGCATAAAACTTCGTTTTATTACGTGTTTTGACTTAAGTTTTGTACTACTTCAGAATGTCTAGGATATTTAAATTGATCTTTTTTCAGAATATTTATAAGATTGTTAAAAAACAAATATTTATAAATTATCATTAGCAAGCCCAACTTTAGATGTTTAAATGAAAACTTTTAAAAAATTCTAAAATAAAATACACCCCAAAAAGAGGATTATTGTTCATGCCTTACCCCTCACTTATTGAAAGTTTTAGAATTCTTTCCATGTTCTTCCATAATTTGTTCTCTTGTAAGTCTATATTTCTTATGTAAATGGTCAAATGCCTATAATTTGTAAAAATTACGAAAAAAATTTTTTAACAAGAAAAACCTTTTTATGTATTTCTCCATCATCCATTGAAATCACTGGAGCTATAAAAGCCAAAATAAATTGGACTTTAGCCTCATCATGTCTATTCATTTGTTCTAATGTCAATCCCATATAGTAATTATTGGCAGAGTAAAAACCAGGCTAGAAAAAATCGAAAACTCATTTTAAAATTCAAAAAACCTTAATAGCTTCGGCATTTTCAAAATGTCGTAATGCCTCAACATAAGTACTATTTGGAGGTCTTGAATAAAAAATTCCAGCGAGAAAGCGTTGACTTGTTGAAAGATTGGCAAAAGAATAATGCCAAACACCTAAAAAGAATTGTTTAAAAAATAAAAAAAAAATTCAAAACCAAGTGAATGCCAAGTAGTCGCGTCCTGTGAATAAATGAAAAAACATTAGAAGAGTAAAATTTAAAACTAAAGAAAAGAGACACGAAATTTTGTCCTAAAACATTCAGAATGCTCAAAAATAGAAGCCTACCAATGGGTCGAGTTCCAAGGCTCTTTCAAAATGATTGCGAACTTCTACCGCTTTGGACAATTGTGCTTTGTCACCATCAAGTTCAGAAACAATATTGAGCAGAATTGCATACCTTAATGGACAAGAAAAAAATTTTCAATTAAAAATTTAAAGAATTCATTTACCATTTATGAGTACCAAAAGATCCTTTAGCTGGTTCACATTTTAGCGCCTTTTCGATAATTTCAAAAGCTTCGCGAAACAAACGATTCTTCTCCTCGACATTTTTGGATTGTTTGCCTTGTTCACAAATAACTCTAGCGAGGCGCCATAACAATTCTGAATTTTCCGAAGAACGATAACTGAAAAATTAGACTTGTCTCAAATAAATTATAAAAAACTGGTAAATGTGGAGTTCCATTAAAAAAATAATGAATAAGTGCTTTTCTATATTTTCGAGGTTTCCCAGAAGGCTCGGATTATTACCTACTAGCAAGCACTTCTTCCTATAAAGCACTTACTCATTCCTTCCCCCTCATATTCGGACTCACTGTCAGAGTACTTTATTACCTAGAGACCGGCCTCAAAAATATAGAAAAGTACTTCTTCCTCGTTTTCTTTATGGACCAGTAACCCCGACATTCACCAAAGAATTTAAAACAAACCGTCTCAATATTCCATAAGCATTATCAATCAAATAAGCATTATAAAGTATATCAGCATCTCTAATTATTTTGTCAACATTTGCGTCATTAATTTCATCATTATCCTTCTTTGATGAAGTAAACCAAGAAATAGAAAGCAAACCAGTTCCACCAAATCCCAGAAAAATGTTTGAAAATTTCCATTGACTACTCTGTTGTTGTTGTTGTTGATAATATTTAAAGAAAGCAGGTCGAGCAATTGAATGAAATCGAAGTTTGTGAGGAGCAAAATTATTAAAAAGCAAGAATTTGTGGAAAATACGCATTCTTTTTAAATTCTATGGTCAAAATTTACTGGTTTGGGATAACCCACAAAGTAGCAAATAAATATAAAAGTTAAAAACTTTGTAAAAATGAATCATCTACTAAAATTAAAATTTAATAAAAATCAAATAACAATAAAAAAACAAAAAAATACTTAACGAATATTAACCTCTATTAATCTTCAAATTTTAATTTTCTTCTCTTTTTTGAATTTTTTTCAAAGCTAACATTTTTCCTCTTTCCATTTGAATTTTCAATTTGAACTTCATTTATTTCTTCAATTTCATCAGTATCAGAAGGCAATATATCACAATTATTTTCTTCTATTTTATTTAATTCAACAAGTAATTTCTTAGCGCCTTGCAATGAAGAATTCTATAAAAAAATGATAAAGACAGAAAAATTTTTAATTGAGGGAAAATGAAGCCGCAATACTAACCATCTGAAATACCAACCCCACAAACTATCGAAATACCAAACTGTGGTTAAACAGGACGCTGGGAAATGTTGTTCTTACAATAGAGGAAGGTTGGATGATTAAAAAAATTTGGTATTTATTTGCTTGGTTTTGGTATTTATTTGCTGGAACAATGTTGTTTCCATAGTTTGTTATTTCGGCAGCCTTTGGCGGGTTTGGCATTAAGGCTTCATACCGAAAATTGATTAAAACCCGATTCGTTGTTAAATAGCTACCTAAAAAAACCTCCCCACCAAACCCACAAGAAAGTTGAAAAAAAAAAACCTTTAAATTATTATTTCCATCCAAAGCCAACTTTAACATTTTTCTAGCATAATCAGAGCCACTTTCAATTATTTCAATTAAAGTATAACATCCACAATCCATTCCAGTCCAAGATTGTAAATTTTCTCTTTTCAATATTGACATTAAATAAAAACTTAATTTTTCTTCTTCCTTCTCTCTTAATCGATCATTTTTTAAAAGTTTTCGAAAAACAAAACGAGCACAACCACCAGCTATTATATGTAATGGACGTTCTTTATCTACACAATGTGGAATAAACTCATCTGTAGCAATTTGTGCAATTTCTTTGAAGCAAGCGGATAAATCATTAATGTCGATAACACGTTTAAAAGGTGATGAAGGAGCTATAAAGAAATTTTGAAAATTTTTGTTAACGTTTATTATTGGATCATTGCCCACATACTACCAACTGATTATTTTATAAACTAGGAAAACTTATCCCCAATATTCTAATATCGTGTTGAATAGTGGCACAGTGGCCTGCAATAGTTTGGTCCCTTCCTCCGATGATTCTATTCCATCACCCACCCCATGAATTTATATGATATCTAATTATCATTAAAATAAACTTACAATTAACATCCAAAGTATCCAAAATTAAAACAGCAGAAATTTTATTTGTTATCATTTCTCGCATATTTGCCTTCATAAATGTAAGTAGAGCTGGTTTGACACACTCAAACAAATTTAAATATCGAGAGGCCTTATCCAATTTCGTATGAGGATTTGAATCACCCTTTAGTAAAGTATTAGAAAAATTATTTTCTTTGAAAAAAACCTGTTGTAAAATATTTTGAAGACTTTTAGCAATTACATGAGGATCACGTGGATGAACCAAATAATGAAGAACAATAACTCCTTAAATTAAAAAAATATAGAGTTGAAATGAAAAAATTAGTGAGCGGGCATATCGTGATAGACCTATCGGAATTGTTGTGACAAAAATAACCTCTTGAGGGTTTACGTTAGTTCTAAAACAGAAAAAATATTCTAATAGGACAATGTACTATCCAAGACCCTTTTGGCCTTAGGTATTGGGTAACAACTACATTGAAATAACTCGATAAATGCGTCCCGATATGCCAATATGTCAAAAATTATTAAAAGAACCATGTTTATCATAAATTAAATCGGCAATATTGTTGGCAACTTCCTTAAAAATAAATTAATTTTATAAATATTAAGAAAAAATCCTTTTTACATTAATTATAATTTTATTAACCAAATTCGTATCATCAACACAATCAAATATTCCAAAAAGAACTCTTTGAACAAAATTGTCTTTACACGCTGAAATTGCCAATCCAGTAAAACTTTTGACAATAGATGTTCTTTGTTCAGGTGTAGAATTCCAAACACAAAGTAAAGCAGCAAAAGAGCCTAAATGTTAAAAATAAGAGTCGAAATAGGGCTTCAAAATTATAAAAAACGAACCTTCGTGTGTGTGACAAATTTCAGGCAAAAAATCCTTAAGACTTTCAATTAAAGAATTTCTCTGTTCATCAGAACAATATCTAAGAAAATCATAGAGTAATTTGTGTGTTATTGAAAGTTTTAACATCGGCACTCTAAAAATAATTAAAAATATCGAAAACTTAACAAAAATTTATACTTTAGAACAGCCCTATCTAACAATTTTTCCAAATTTTGTAAAATCCCAGCCATTTTGTCAGGGGTTTGTGTCGCAATTTCGTCAATAGAGGGCGGTAAAGAATTGTCTGAATTCTCCTAAAATTGATATAAAAAAATTTTTAATGCGAAAATTCTAAAAAAACTTGTAAAATAGCAAATTCAGGTCCATAAAATTCACTGACAAGTTGTCGATATTGTTTAGCATTTCCCCATTCGAAATATATTTCATTAACCAAAGAAGCAGAAAATAAAGATTTATATAAACGAACATAATTTCCTTTTAAAGATGAAATTATATGAACACGTTGCTCTTTTGTGCTTAAAAATAAGGAAATTTATGAAAGAACCGGAAAGAAAAAATGCCCTATAAATCTTATTACTTACAATCGGAAATTTAAAAAAAACATCTATTGATCTTAAGTGAGGACCTAGACCTCAAGCAAAATTCTAGATCAACGCAAGGTTCTTGACCTTGAGTCAAAAACAAAAGTTAAGGAAAAATCAAGGTCTGGATACAAATCCAGTCCGATCTCTAGTATTTACTTACCCATATTTAAGCAATTTCAGAATAAGAAATTTTCCAAATTGTGACATTGCCAATTGCACAAATTGAGTCTTCAATTCTTCAAATATTTGATCACATATATCTGACTTTTTCAATTTTAAAAGGCATTGAACCACTCTGGAAGTTGCATGGGAAAATGCTAAAGCTGCAAATTTGCCTGTGCACAAATCCATTAATTCTGCTATGCAATGAGAACGTTTTTCTTTTGAAACTTTTGTACTAAAAAATGAAAAGAAATAAAACAAAAATCAAGAAAAATAAAGTAAAAACCTTCTTATTGTTTCCCACAAAAGTTTTGCCTTCATCATAAGTTCATAATTCGGTTTATTTTTCTTTTCAAGTTCTCGAATAAATTGTTTCCTCTCCTTTTTAGTCATCTTCATAAGCATTTCTTTTGTGGATTGTTTAACTTTTATAACTCTTTTACGACGGAATTTGTTGTTAGATGTTTTAGAAGGTTGAAGACGTCTCTAAAATTAAAGGAAAAATATTAAGGAACTTGTATAAGGAACTTAAAGCTAACCTTTCTAATGTTCATATTCCTCTTCCCTTCAAAGTTATTCAATTCTTGTCCATCTTTATTATCCAAAATATCATTTTCCAGAAAATCTGAACTTCTTTCCTTGATTTGTAAACATCCATTAGCATTTGCAAGCACTTTTTTCTTCAAAATCCCTTTTTTAGGTTTTGGGACCAAATGTCCATTCACAGACAAATCTTCATCTTTCGCTTGTTTTTCAGAAGATTCATCAACATTCTTCGAAAAAGAAACACGCTTTCGTTTCTTCACAGTTTCAGTGTCATCTGAAGAAGGGCGTTTAATACCTATTGTCCTGATAGCCATCACAGCGTTATAAAACTCGAAGAAAATTTAAAAAGAAATCGCCTATAAGAGATAGAAAATGCCTTTAACACTATACAAGACAAAATTCAAGTTCAACAAATAACATTTTTATCTTTCATTTAAATAAGCAACAGTAATTTATACTTAAAGAAAATTTTGTCTCTTAACAATCATAGAAAAATTCTCTTCAGAAATCCATCCATTTTTCCCTCTCAATCCAATTTCTTAAATCCAATATCAGCGGAATACTCACGGAAACAGCGACGACAAATGTTTAATGAATACTTGCGGATCAGTCTTAAGAAAATTAATTTTTAAAATTTTTCAAAATAAAAATTCAAACCCATGATGATTTGAACAAACTCGGCAAGAGCGAGAGCCTGGACCATACTTGCGTGGACGAGACCAATGAATATTTTCGTGAACCATGACGATTTAAGCGTTGAATTAGCAATTAACTGATTTTACTAAAAACAAAAAAATTAGATTACACGACTTATGTTAACAAATTAAAAAAAACTAAAAAACCGAAACGAGAATCCAAAGGAACTGAACCGGACGGACTACTTGGTCATTTGGTCACAGTGACATTTTGGTCACAGTGACATTTGGTCATTATGTAATTTAGTCGCAATGACATTTTATCAGAGTGACATTTGGACACACCGACATTTTGTCGCGGCCATTTTGTCGCAAACCTTTAATGTTAAATTTGGACAGAAGTGGCACGAAACTTGGCCTTCGAGATTAAGTGTCGAGGCTAACCCCTAAAGAAAAATTTTTTCCTTGGCAAAATATATTTTATTTTAGATATTTATTAAAATAAACTAGTCTCTGACATGGAAAATGTTGATCAAATGATTATTGATTCGTTTGCAAATGAATTAAATTGGTATGAATTTTTCTAAATTTTTTTAAATTCATTTTTTAGTTCTTTTTCAACTACCAAAGAATTTCAAAATTTGTCAGATTTGGGGCCAAATCAAATAATTGAAGGAGTAATTCGCTGCCTTTGGAAATGCAATCCAAGTACAATAACAACTATTCCAAGCTATAAAATGCCAGGAAATGCTGTAGATCGATTCAAAATTGCTACAAAAATAGCTCAAGAAATTAAGGTTTCTTTTTTTACTTTTAAAAAATATTCTTTAAAAATTTAGTCGCTTGGAATTAATGATTCGCAAATTGGTTATCAAACACTTTTATATCCAAATGTTTTTGAGAGCAGACGTATTTTTCTTGCATTATTCGAACGATTACCAAAAGAGAAGGTTGTGGTTGATGAAATGAAACGAAGTAAGTTTTTGAAGGAACCTTTAAAATAAAAAGTCATTTTTTTCCTTTTTTTTAGCCCCATTGGAGCAGTTAAAATTTAATGTTGGTGAAGTTATTGCTAAACAACTATCAGAACATTGGACACCCGAATTTTGTCGATTTTATGATCTAAAAAGAATTGGAAGGTTTTGGCATACACGAGGAGAGGATACTTTTGGGAGGAATGATGAAAAAGAAGAAAAATCAGTTTTGGAGAATTTGGAACCCCCAAAAATTGGGTAAATTTTTTAATCCGAAATTTTTTAGTCTTTATTTTTAAATTTTAGAGAGAAACCAAGATTGCCCCCTAAACCTAAATTTACCGCCAAACCTACTACAAGTGAGGAACAAAAAGAAATATTTTCCTCAGCAATTCCATCAACTTCTGATCAAGTTTTTACTGACAACGAAAATTTGGCCGAACAAATTTCTTCTAAACGTTCAAATTTATTGGAAAGTCAAAATGTTCTTTTGAGGGTATTTTTTTAGAAAAGAAAAAATTTTCAATTAAAAAAAAATTTTTAGCTTCAACAACAAATTTCTCAACTAACCGACCAAATCCAAAATAAACAAGAAACAGCCAACTTGAACGATAAACGACTTTTAGCTCTTTTGGAGGAAGGGGATGCTGAGGAGAACTTGGAAAAATTGAGGGTATATAAATATTTTGTTTTATAAATTCCGGAAGCTGTTTTTAAGAGTTTTGTAGCAACCGCTGAAGAACGACGTTTAGCATTGGAAGAAAAATTTATGGAAGCAAAAGCTGAACTTCTAGAACGATTAGAAAATGCTAAAAGTGTTACAAAAGACAACTATCCCGAATCCTATGATCAAAATATAATTACTGAACTAGAAGAGGAATTTGAAAGAAAGAAAAGAATTCAGGCAAAATTGGTATGATTTTTTGAAATTTTTTTAAATTTATTCTTTTTATAGTTAAAAGAATTACAAAAATCCTCAACATCAGAAAATAATGGAATTAAATCAGAAAATCGTAAAAAGATGTTAGACAAAATTTTGGAGATTAATGCAATGGTTGTGAAACAAAACGAGCAAATAAGAAAGGTTTTTAAATTTGTTGGGTACACCCCTCTCCCTCCGTTAGTTTGTCATTCTTCCTTAAGAGTTACATAATGGCCAGACTTCCTTACTTTTACTAATGCTTCTTATCTGAACAGAGAAATTGAGTAAAATTGAGGAAGGCTGTCATCATGTAAATTTTGAGGAAACGCTGAGAATCAAACTAGTTTGGAGGGTTGGGGCGGAATATTCAAAAGGAAGCGTTTTTAAAATTATTTTTTAAAATTCTTTTTAGACAGCCTCTTCTGTTCAACAAATTCGCCGAGAAATAGTTCAACTTGATGGAATACTTGATCGAACATTTACTGCTGTAGACAGATGGATTGGTGCAAATGGAAATGTTTTTGGTAGTGGAATATCCTCTTCAATGACTTTAACACAAAAAGAAAATAAACAAATGGTTATAATTAGAAGACAAAGAGCTTATAAATTGCTTGGTAATTTTAAAATTTAATGAAGAATTAATTAGGGATGTTTGTATAAACGCAGAAGAACAAAAGATCCCCACAACTTTTTAGTTCTCTTTTATTGTGCATATATTTTGCCATGAGGACAAATTGTTTCAATAACTGGGAAGGGTTCTAACATTAAGAAAAGCCCTATATCTCAGCCCAAAACTGCTCCAACAATGAGGAAGCTTGTCCTCTATGTTATCGGAACACCTTTCCACAATGTTGGAACCCTTCCCAGATATCTGAACGACATTTCCCATTGTCTGTGGGTATTTTGTCCTTGTGAGTATTCTATATGTGGGTCTTCTATCACTATGTCAGTTAAAATAAAAGTTTCCTTTTTTAGTAAAAACTCATGAACAATGTGCCCTTATTACCAGTGCAATACAAACCCAAGGAGAAATGGAATGCCAATTAGATGAATTAACAAATAAAATTGAATTAGAAACTCAAAAAGGAGTGGATGGACAACTTGAAAGATTACTAGATGATTTAATGGTTATTCGTGCAGAAAATAGGGAATTGGAAAGAAGAATAGAAAATGAAGAGGAAGAAAATGGAGATGAACAGGAAGAAGAAAAAGGTGTTTAAATATAAAAATATGGTCGGATCTCATTTAAAGATACCCATTCTCGATTAGATACCTTCTACTTTCATTAGCGGAAGACCCCCTGTTGATATCCCCCTCAATACAAGACACGGTTTTCAGCCCCAGCCCCTGGCTACGCCCTTGCTTTCTGTTTATTTTACTCCTCAAGACACTCCTCAATTTGAAACTTTTTTATAATCCTTTATCTAATATCAGTGGCCAACCCACTTCTCTCCCTGTTTAATATGCTTCTCCTTATAAGACAGTTTTTCAGCCCTTGTGGGTATCTTATAATCAGATTCTACTCTTCAACTAATTTATAATAATATAGAATATTTAATATTATTTATTAAAAAATTTTTTAAAATTTTCTGGGAAATTTAAATGTTCTGGGAAATCCTCTGGAAAATCCTCTTTATGTTATCGGTGTTATCGGCTCTCCACTAGGTGCCACTCTTGCCCCCTTTTGAGAATTTTGTTGTATTCTATTAGCACTTTGTGACATTACAAGTGTTGTGTCACTCGCTATAGATCCTGCATTAGTCAACAAATTTATCCATTTTCTCCAAAAATCATCGATCATTTTCTTTCTAAGTTTGTCACTAGCCCAGAAAAGAAGCCAACTTGGCACTATCACAGACCCGCGAGATTGGGTATAAATGGCATTAAGATCAAATCCTTGTGTGTTTGCTATTAAGAATATTATAACCTGAAATTTTTTGAATATTTTCAATTTTCCCTTTAAGTCCTACTTGATTAAGGGCCAAAACAACGTGTCCTAAGAATGTAAGAATTGCATAGAGTAGCAATTTAAACTCCACTCTTTCATGATTTATTTGTTGGGTACTTTTGCTTGCTACATTCCTGGTTCTTTGACGTCTATATGAAATAAAGGTGCCAATATTTATGATAAAACAAATTATCATAAAAATAACACAAAAGCTAAAGTTTAATGGAAAAGCGTCGTAGATTGGCTATAAAAAATAAAATTTTTGTGGGAGGATTCATTTATTTCTATCCTATCGGACATATCTGATCGGGAGGACTTACATTAAATCCTTGTGCAAGATAAAAAGCAAATTTAGTTGGATCACTTGTGTCATTTTTTAAATAGCTTTTAATCGTGAGTACTTGAGCATACAATAAGGTGGGAATCCCATAGATTATTATAGCTGATGGAAGTAACAATTTCTTCCAAAGCTGGAATTTTTTTAAATTTTTAAAAATAAATCTGGGTTAATGTGCGAACCCTATCATATTTCAATGCCATTTCTACAGCTGTCCAACGATTTATAAGAATAATAATTGTTGCCAAAAAATCAGACATCATCGTATAGTAGGTTATAAAAAACGATATGCGAAACATCCATTCGGGCAAGTTGGAGTAAAAAGGATAAAGCCAAGATCCAAAAAGGATTGTAAGTCGATTAGCATAGTAGGTGTCAAACGAGTAAATAATGTTCTGAAAAATCAACAGGTGAGAACTAATTTGGTGAAAGGAAAATGCTTAGGCGCTGGGGGTTTAATTCTACTCGAGAAAGTAGAAGCTCAGTAAGTAGAGCATTTAAACGAGGTGTTAGCAAAGCTCCAAGCGAAAACAGTCAGCTCTTCCCGTCTGCTTGCTGAAATTTTTCTTAACTCGTACTGGAATAAAGAACCGAAAATAATTTGTAAATGTTTACCGGAATCGCACGTATTAAAACAAGTTTGAAGAACGGATTGTGAAACTGTTTATGTCGTAAAATTGTAATTATTTCAATAATGTAGAGGATTAATGATGGAATATTGGCGGCTATGGATAAGTAAAGAAATTGTTTACTTAGAGAAGAAAGCCAATCAAATATACCCATTTTTTAAAATTTTCTTTGAATTTTTTAGAATTTTATTTTTTGCAGAAATTTTAATAATTTGACGAGAATGAAATCTAAAATGGGCTAAAAACTGTTCGTAGATTACATAAGAATGACAATTAGTATATAAATACTTTTAGCTTATAGCTTAATAATTTTAAAAGTAGCATTTAAAATAAATTTAATTTCAATGTATGTATAGTAATTTTTTATTTAATTATGGGACAAGTACACATTAACAACAGGTGCATTTAATATTATAAATTAAATTTAAATATTTAATTTAAATATCAAATTTGAATTAAAAAAATTTTCTTTAATATTTTTGAAAACTTGAAAGAATTGTAAAGCATATAACTACATATTTAATTCCTAAAGCTATGCAGGAGTTGGCGTGGTGTAATGGAGATAACTGAAGATGCTGGTTCGCTCCCAGCCGCCAAATAATCTTTTGCATTAGCTGAAGGAGAGAAATAGCTTTACTTAATATACGATTTTTTTGACTAAATTGAAATGAGATTTAAACTTTTTTGCGTGTTCGTAGGTTTAAATACGCTTGTAAATCTGCACTTGTGGAAATAAATAAGGTATGACATTAATAATAATAAGACATTTGATTAATCAACCATATAAGATTAATGCTTTTTAAAAAGTTTACTTCCTTTATACAAAGCCTTTTTTTGTTTAAAAGTATACATTTTAATTAATATTTAGTTAAAAATAATTGGGAGAAATTGCGCTTTTCATTTAAGCATAAAATTGTCAAGTAAAGTTTAGTGTGTCACGAAAGGTGTTCAAAAATGTACTTATTGTTAGTTTTTTAAAAGTAAATAATTAGAATAAAAATGCAATTTTCATAAATATTTTTGTTGAAAAGTTCATTATAAATTATTTACGGTGAATTTTTGAGAAGTACTATTACCATAGTAAAATTTTTATCTACGTTTATTTTGTGTCCAAGTGTCGACTGTCCTTTTGTCTTAAAATCATTTTGTCCCAAATGTCTTTTGTCGTTGTGACCCAAATGTCCTCTGTCCTATTGTCGTAAAATCCTATTGCCCTGGATATCAAATCCCGGCATTTTATTAAAGTTATATCCGATCATGCTTATCGTGTTCATATTTTACTTGATTATTTTTATTTTTTAGATATTTAAAATGGATTTGAATCAAAAACAACAATTATTTACATCAAAAACTATTTTGGCGCCGATGGTAAAGGCTGGAAGAACGCCTCTACGCGTTCTTGCATTAGAATATGGAGCTGATCTTGTTTATACAGAGGTTTCTTTTTTTAGCTAATATTTCTTAGACTGCTTGAGAGGTTAGGTCTGGGTAGTTAAGTGGAAATTTCGTGTTTCGAGGGGTCATGGGTTCAAACCCGTTGGGGTGTCAATATTTTTTAAAATAAGTTTTTCATTGTTTTTAATTATTTTTTGACTTGTTTTTTCAGGAAATTGTTGATCAACGACTTCTAAGCTGCAAACGGATCGAAAATGGTTAGAAAATAGATAAATTTTGAATTTAATTTTTTTTGAATTCTTAGCTTCCCTCGACACAATTGATTTTATGAATGGTGATGATGTTGTTTTAAGAATTGCTGCAGTTGAAAAAGAAAAATGTGTTTTACAAATTGTAAGGTTTTTACTTAAATGTTTCTTAATTCAAAACAATTCAGGGTTCAAATTCTCCAGAAAATGCAGCTGAAATTTGTCGTCGATTTTCTAGTGAATGTATGGCAATTGATTTAAATATGGGATGTCCAAAACCTTTTTCTGTTCATTCTGGAATGGGTGCTGCTTTGTTGAGTGATCCTGTTAGAGCTAAAGAGGTTTTAATAATTATAGTTTTGACCGATAAACATTTTTGGAAAACATTTAGGGCAATTTTTTGGAACATTTTAAAGGCTAAGATTTAGGGTTTTTTTGGTAAATTCAAAAATTTCTGAAATTAATCTTTCCGGAAATTAAAATAAAATCGTTTAACTTTACTAAATATTCAAAATTCTCTTTAAATATTTGTTATCTAATTTTGTTTTTTTTTCAAGATTTTAACTGCAATGGTTGCTGCTGCTCCTCATATACCTATTACTTGCAAGATTCGTCTATTAGATTCGGTATGGTTATTTTTTATTTGACTTTTCGATTAATTTCTAGGGATTGGATCTAAATCTAGACCTCAAGGCATTTTTTAGAGTTTCTCGATTTTTTCTTAACCATGATTTGGTCAAGGGCCTTCTTTTAAAATCAAAGTTAAGGTTTTTAAGAATCTCTATTAATTTCTGTTTATTTTTTAAAATTTATTTTTAAGCCTGACAAAACAATGGAATTTGTAAAAATACTCGAAAGTTGTGGACTTTCAGCAATTGCCATTCATGGCCGTCAACGCAATGAACGCCCAAATCATGAATGTCGTTATAATGAATTGAGGGATATTTCTCGTTATTGTTCGACTCCAATAATTGCAAATGGTGGCTCTTCAGATATTCAAACATTTAAAAATATTGAAGAATTCAAAGAATTAACAGAAGCAAAAAGTGTAATGATTGCAAGGTCAGCATTTACAAACCCTTCAATATTTTGTGAAAATGGATTGAATTCAATGTCTGTTGAAATTTCAAAATTTTTAGAAAAGGTTTTTGTTTAAATTTTAATTTTTAAAATTTATTTTTTGATGTTTTAGGCCAGCCAGTTTGACGAGAATTATACTGCTGCAAAATATGTTGTGCAAAGGATATTGGGCAGCCAACAAGTAATTTAAATTTTAAGAAACTCGAATGTTCTTGTGCCCCGAAACCCGGTCCTAAATAAATTTTCAATATCCAATATTCGACCCAAAATCCGGTCCCAATAAAATTTCAAAAACCCTATTGATAAACAGGTCGGGAAACTGCCTATAAATAAAAGAGGGTTGATACGAATCCAACTACGAGCTTGTCGAATTGAGACTTTAGGCGAATTTATTGTATTTAAACTCAAACAATTTAGAAATTTTATTAATTTAATATTTATTTATTTATTTATTTCCACAAAGTTATTGGCGATATTAAATTGGAAAGGAAAAAACAGAATGAATGAATAAGCATAAAAATTATTAGAAATTTAAAGAGATAAAATTATTAGATAAAAGGTGGTTATTTTAATGTGTGTGGGATTTAGAAATTTATAGATTTTAAGTTTAGATAAAAAATATAAATTTCTATATTATTACAAAAATTTTTATTTTTAATTTAATTTTTATTTTTCCCCCTTCTTTGTCGTTTTCTCGACATTCCCGCCACCAGCCGACTTGAGTTTCAAATTCATGCCAAACGCCTCCCTGAACAGTTTAGTCGTATTGCCGTCATCTTTCTGGTGAGGGAGAAATTCTTCTAATTGTTTAGTGGTAGGATGTAATGCTGAAATTTTTTGTACTAGCTGTTCAAGATATTGCTGGGCTGTTGGATTCGACGCCAAACCCTCTAAAGTGTTAATCGCCACCAGGCCAATCATATTTGCGTTTACTTGCTGTAAATTCTTTTCCAATTGTTTTATGATGGCCCTGGTTTTTTCTGGGATGGTTGTCCAAAGCTCGGCATCAATTTTAATTGGTGATTTGATTGGGGGGAGTTCGGGTGGAGGAGGTGGTGGAGGCAAAGGAGATGGGGGTTTTGACGGCGGCGGTGGGGGTTTTGGAGATTTCTGACGATGGTGTTTATTAGCGGGAACAGGGCTGCGAGGCGTTCGACGACGGTGGTGGATGGTGCGACCGGGTGTTCGGCGATGACGACGATGACGAATTGGGGATCGACGGTCACGGTCAGGGTAGTAGGAACAATTTGAAAAAGGTTTGTGCAAGGTTGGTGCCACAATAGCAAGGCTTCTTAATTTAGGTATGGAAGATTCAGAAGTCGCAGTCGACTCTCCTCTCTCTGGTGGTTTGATAGTTGCTCGACGTGACATAATAAATTTAATAGAGAACTTTTTTTAAAATCTGTAAATTAATGAAATTATATATTATGAATAAAGAATGGAAGAAAAGAATGAACAAGGAAAGAATATTTACAAAAGAATAAATGTGGGAAAAATTTAATTGATGCGCGAAGTCGACGGCTGCTGACTTAAGAGAGCAATCGCCCGATCCAACGCATCTCTCGCCTGCAACAAGTTGTCGAGAGCTTTATCTGGCGCAGTCGAAATGTTAGGCTTAATTGGGGAAATTTCTTCTATTGGCGTAGATGAACGTTCAGGGGAGGGATTATGCGATATTGGTCGTTCAGGTGATTGAATTTTCGGGGATTGATGACGGTGGAGAACCACTTCCAAGTTTTGAAGGGGAAAGTAAGTATGATGGAATTGTCCCATGCGCCAAGGAATGAACCCATAACGCTGCTTTTGTCGGGAACATTTTGACGTTCCAATGATTCCCCCGCTTTGACGCAATACTGGTAAGTGCACTTCTTTGATGGGGCGCCCTTTTTTACACCAATGAGATACCAATGACTCCCCTGGATGAACTAACAAACTTTTCGCTGGCTGATAAGTGATATAATCCCATTCGACGATGGTCGTACAATTGTGAGTGTCCTGGATTTCCATTTTTCTCAAATATTCAGTAATTTTGTCGATGGTTTCGATTGTATGGAACCAATTATCTCCATATATACGAGCCAGGTGTAAATCTAGACGCTCGGTATTGAATTGCGATATTTTAGGTGGGGACTGAGAGGGGGTGCGAAATTGTCTCTGTATCATTCTAGCTCGACGCGGGGTACCAAAACCTCCAGTAAACATTTTATTAAAAATTTTAAAAGAATTAATAATGATTGATTTTGCAGTTGAATTTATATTTAAAAATGTGGGCGTGTTGAAATTAAATTTATTTTCGTAAAAGTGATGGAATTCTGATTGAACATACTGATAGTTGATTGGAATTTTTCTCTTTGCTGTGATTAGGGTGATATCATAGTTTTGTCGCTCACTTGTACAAAATGTGGGTGGCCTAGTTAGTCGTTGGAATTTTTTCTTTTCCTGGAAAGGACATCCGGCCGGCCACACTGAAAGTGCAATAATTATAAATGGAATGACGGGTAGTATCGGCGCAGGATGTTTTTGGCGTTTTTGTCGATAGAAGGGCCGAAAGGGCTTTGGCGTAAGTAAATAGATAAATCGAAGCGTTAAAATTATAATACTGGTCGACACAAGGACAATCCCAAGGAGATTCCATCCAAATTGGTTCGGGTTTGACGAAAACGGTTCGGGTTTGTCGATGGATGCGTACTTTATTGTCGTTAACGATTGAACTCGCGCCAAGGTTGCTAGGATGGTGATTGTTCTAGCTATTTGTCGGTAAACTCGAAATATTGGCGATAGGCGCATAAAGAGATAGACGGCGATTAAGGCAAGTCCAATTGACGATATTATGCCAAGAAATATTGGTCCACCTTGAAGAAGTTTGGATAGTACCCAAATGTCGAATCCTAAACTTGGCCAAAAGCTGAGTGTCTCCGGTTCGTTGATGATTTGTTCTGAGCGGTACATTTGATGTCCCCATTGCTTTCTGAGAGGAATATAGTATAAAGTGCCGTTTAAGACGAATTTTGTCAATCCTGCAGGGCAATCAACGGTGCATAAAGTATTGACGTCCGAATAGCCGTAGGGGATAGTTTCTTTGCCAATTGTGCCATTTGTCGAGCAATGAGCTACGAAAAGAGTACCATCTTCACACTTGACAGTAGCTAAGGGATTTGCATAGTCGGAGCGGCATTTATAGGTTATCTGAGCCCCCACTCCACAACGATAACATCCATGAAGTCGAGCCTCCTCAATAAAACACTTTGAGTCGCGTAATTGAAGGTGGATGGCTAACCCTTTCATTTGGAGATGTATTTGCACAGGTGCGTATACGTAAGTCGCTGAAATCGTCGGTCCATTATTCTCGAGCCACACTTTTGCCTTGGTGATTGGAAGTCGAGTTTCCGGAATTTCCATCATCGCATCCAAGTCTACATCGCGGCAATTACATTCCACTGTCCCGTCACTGTGGTTCGGGAAACATTCCTTGCACGCTTCTAAGTCGAGTGAACAATTAAGAGATCGAGCTGCTTCTTCGGTTCCACAGTGTAAATCCACAGGTAGTCGATTGACGATTGAAACGGCTTGTCCGTTAGTGACGAATGTTGACCCGAGTAAGGGCATGGGTGGAAGAGATATCGCCAACGGTGTAATGGAGATGTTCCCTGAGGCTGATGTGATGCCCGGGTGTAATTTGATGGATTTCATTTGACGACGGCCCCCGTTGGTTTCTATCGTGAGATCCACATCTATTTCTGGGCTCCAGCTTGGGCATGTAAACACTTCATAAACATTTGAGCTTGTTGGCCGCGCAAAATATCTATAGTAGAGGCAAGCTGATGAAGGCAGTCCACAACTGTTGCCCCAGAAACTTGTCGACGGGATACAGAATGTGTTACCAGGTAATTCTCTGCCAACTAGTAATTCCTTGACGTGACTATTTGGCCGAACATTTTCACAATGGTCGTTGAAGCAGGAGCCGGCTCGAGGACACCTTTTGACAGCAGTCGGTTCAACGCGGTATGAACGTAACCACGCGATTGATTCCTGGTGGCATACCATTTTTAAAGACAATAGACGCATTGTTATAGTACCCAGAGTAAGTCCATGCTCATCCCGCAAAAGTAATGTATTAGTTTGGCCGGCTGGTAGTAAAGTGAGTGTGGTTGCGCTGTTGATGGTACATGTAAGACCTTTGGTTCCTCTTAAACAACTCTCTGTTTGAGTAGTTATAGATATGACTGATGATGTTGGGATTACTATTAATATGCCTGTCATCGCTCCTAACATAACATTTGCTAGGCGATATCGAAATTGTCTTCTTTGGCGGTTTATATTTCTCATTCTTTCTCTAATATTTAATTCAGTGCGATGTAGTCGTCGTTTTACTTCAATATTTGCCCATTTCTTGCCGAGTATCCAACGTGTTAATTGAAATGGCATTTTCAAAATCAAGGTTAAGGCGTAGACGATAGTATGCAAAGAACGGATGGTTGTTAAAAGTATTCCAACCAGGCTACTCAAGATGAAGATTGACAAGAGTAGTAAGAAGGCTGCCCATCTAGGATTACAAGTTGGATTGACTAGCTGCTCGAGACAAAAGTAACAATTAAACAGATCGCATTCATTGACTGCCGGACACTCTATTTTCCTACTGATGCTGTTTTGAGAGTTGGCCCAGAACCATGCCTCACAGGTATAGTCGTTGACCAGGATTTCATGGGCAACTTCGTATGTGTATTCTTTTAAATTGGAATGGTCTATACAGTTGTTCATGCAGCACACTGCCGTTTTTTGGATTTCTATAGGCGATTTGACGACAACACCTCTATTTGAACATTGCAATTCACAACTTTCACACTCGAATCTATAGACGGAAAGTGCGGTAATAATTGACGAAAGGCCGATAAGACATGAATAATCAAATTGTCCACAGCGATACCAAAGTGTGTCTGTACTTAATACAGGAAGGCTAATTAAAGCTAAAACCATGAGTGACATCAGAGTAGTAGTCGATTTAATTTTAATTGGGTGTTTCTGATTTCTCAAGATCATTTTATGTGTACGAGCTGTTTTGTCACTAATCGTCGTGTTTTTTAAACTTTCTACTTTTTGTTTTATTTCGCTAGTTTCTTTAGGAATTTCTTTTATCGACTCCTCAATTTCTGTTTCTAGAGGACACAATCTGCTGATTGGACGAGTTATAATTTTCCCATCTCCGATCAAAAGATCGACACTGCGTATTTCATTTGTCGAACCATTTAACTTCACAATTTTAGCTAGTGGCCATAGATTACGTGGTCTTAAATCCATTTCGACGAGCACAATTTGGCCAATTGACGGAAGAAATTTTGATTGAGATTTGGGGGCTTTGTGATTCCATCCTGCGCGTTCTCTGATTGCAAGGATATACTCCTGACTCCATCTGTCCCAAAATACGTCGGCTGCCTCACGATAAGCCTTCCAAATTGCTGCCAATTGTTCTGGGCCCGAAAGTTTTTCATCGTCGCAATCTAATTCGCAAGTTATTACTCCTAAGTCATTGGGACCACTGTTTTGAATTAAATCCTTCGGCGTGAGCGGTAGCGGTGCTCCAGGCAGATCGGAAACCCATGTTATTGGTCGACTATTTACACTAGCTTCAACTTCCGACAAGAATGCACAAAGATCGTCGTAATCCAGAATTCGACGTCCGATTGTCCGCTGTATAGCTTTCTTTACTAGTCCAATTAGTCGCTCATAGGTGGCTCCCATCCATGGGGCGTATGCAGGTATAAATTCCCACCGAATGCCGTTTTTTGTCGTATAGTCCCAAGGTGACGTTTCAGAGGGCGGACCGGTCAGTAAATCTAGTGCTTTGTGAATTTGGACGAATGTAGGCGCGTTATCACTCAAGATTCTTCTCGGTTTTCCACGTCTGCTGATAAATCTGCGCAGGACGTTAATTACTGATATCGACGACATATCTCTTGTTGGCTCCAAGTAAATTCCTCTAGTGACCATGCAACAGATAATTAAAATCCATGCTTTGACATTGATTCCATCTTGTTTTGTAGTAGTAGGGCCTAAAAAGTCGAGACCGACGAATTCAAAGGGTTTAGCAGGTCTGACGCGCGTTGGAGGTAATGGCGGCATTATTGGACGAGCGAAAGGGGGGGCTTGCATTTTGTGGCATTGAAAACATTTATGTAAGAATTTTCTGATCGTTCGACGGGCCTGTGGCATCCAATAACGAGTAAGAAATTCTGTTAATGTCCAATCAACTCCTGCGTGTTTCAAATCGATGTGTATTTCTTCGACGATTAGACGAGTTAAAGGTGAGTGTCGATCTAATAGTATAGGTAATGCTAAAGTTTCGGGGCCAGTACAAAATGTAACACGTGTTTTTAGACATAAAAGTCCATCTTGGTTTATAGCCGTTGGATGTGTCGAATAATTTTCTAAAAGACGTTTTTGCTCCAATTTGATAATAAAAATTCTAGCTGCTCTATAATCATCCACTGTGATAGGTCCTTGCCGTGAGAAATTTGTCGTACTGGTATTTAACATTTTCGGTCGCAATTTTCCGATAAAACGCATGATCCAGATTATAACCCTCAGAAGAGTGAAAATTGAACTAAAACGTGATGGATCAATTATTGGCGGTTCAGGTTGGTTAGTTTCTTTATTGTTGCTGGAGAAGGTGTTAGTATTGACGGTGTCTATATTACTCTCATTATCTTGACTTTTGACGCCAAATGATAGTTCGTCAGGCCATTCGTTTTCTGGGCGTGAGAGCCAGTGAGGGCCGTTCCACCAAAGAGACGAATTTTGGAGTTCAGAAGGCGTTGACCCACGAGTGGCGATGTCGGCCGAATTTTGGTCTGTTCTAACAAAATGAAATATTCCGTTTGCTCCTTTACGAATTTCTGTAAGTCGGCGCTGTTCAAACTGAGGTTTGGGGTCTGTTGATTGAATCCAAGCTAAAACAATTCGAGAATCGAGCCAAAAATGGACGGCGTCGATTTTTCTATGAAGTTCGTTTTGTACGTGAATTTTAGCTCGAACGGCAATGAGAGCTCCAAGTAACTCCATTCTCGGAACAGTCAGACTCGATTTGGCGTTTTTTGGGCGCAGCCGGTTTCTCGCGAATATTAACGACGAATTGACACACAAATCTTTTGACGTGCGAAGATAGACGCAGGTTGCATATGCACTTTCCGACGCATCACTAAATACGTGAATTTGGCACTCTTCAAACTCGTTAAGTATGATTAGGCGAGGAATAGAGATGGTTTGGTCCTTCCAAGTTTGACGAATATTTTGCCATTCTTTCTGTTCCTCAAGATTAACTGGCTGATCCCATGTTCGATCGCCTTCCCATAGTCGTTGAAAAAATAATTTTGTCGACAATAAGCAAGGATTAATAAGACCCAGAGGATCGTAAACACTAGCTAGCGCGCTGAGGACTGATCGACGACTGATTACACTTTCGTCTTCTTTTGGGAATTTAAGTGTTAAAGAGTCATCAGATATCTCCCACTTGATTCCCAGGACTTGTGCTTTTGCTTTGTCTAGACGATCTTCCTCCGGTATTTGTTCCATAATTGTAGGCCGATGACTCAGAAATTCACGCAAATTCATGGCCGCTTGTTTGAATATTTCTTTAGCTTCTTTGATCTTTGCAAGGGCTTCTTCCTCGTTTTGGCACTGAAATAGGATGTTATCGACGTAAGTGTTTTTTGCCATCTCTTTCGCTAACTCACTATCAAATTTGTCATAATGATGAAGAAGTACGGCAGCCAACACGAAAGGAGATGAAATTACGCCAAAGACCATTTTCGTATATCTTTTGATGACCAGATTATTTGAAGATATGGGTTTAGTGACGTCTCGGAGCCAAAGAATTTTGCAGAATTGACGGTCCTCAGGCAACATTTCGATTGTATGGAAGGCGGCTTGGACGTCAGATAAGATGGGAATAAGGCAGCTTCTCCATCGAATTAGCATTCCAACTAGCGTAGGTAAAAGTACAGGTCCGCGATACAACGCTTGATTTAGGCTTGACGCTCCTTTGGGATGTGCGCTCGCATCTAAGACGATTCGCAATTTTTTAGGATTAATAACGGCGTGATGTGGCATGAAAAATTCTTGTTCGTCTCTTCCAGTTTCTTCTATTATGCCTTTGGATTCTTGATCTCGCAAATTTTTGTCGTACTTCTGAAGAAGTTCTGGTGAGGAGGATAGACGCCGAATATTAGCCTGAAGACGACTGTACGCCATTGCCCAATTTGAGTTTATGACTGGTCGAGGCTCTCTCCATGGGAGACGTACAGTATAAGTGCCATTCGGTTTTTGACGAATAGATTGTTTAAATAGACGCATAGCTGTATCATCATCTTTTTCTTCAGGATTTTCTTTTATTCCAATAGTTTCTAATGCCCAGAAATTCTCCATATCGTTGGAATGGTCGAACTTTTTGCCGTTAATAGACATAAATGTTGAGGAATAATTGGACCTTTCAAAGCATGATTCACCACCCAACACATCACCAAATATTGTTTGTATCTTGTAAAGTTTAGGGCCGATTTGACGTAAACCCGTAACAAAATTCCAAAATTCTCGTATGCCAATTAAAATAGAAGGCGTGCCTGTAACTGGTTCTATTTGATCATGTTTACCTGTAAATTGATACGACTCCATTTTAGACGATATTTCGTTAATTGTATTCAATTGGATTGGTTCCCATTTATCATCTTGACGTTTTAACTGGACGGAGACGAGAAGTGATCGTATTGTTTTTGGATTTTGATTTGCGAAGGTGTGTATACGAAGCATTTCTTCCGAGAGTTTTGGCGGTTGAAGTTGCTCAACTAATTCTTTGGTGATATAACTGGTTTGGCTGCCCGAATCAAAGAAAACCATAGCCGGAATTCCTTCTTTAGGACCTCCCAAACACGAGACTTGGATGTTTAGAGTCATTAGATGTGTTTTATTCTCATTTTTTATTAGATCGGCGTTAAAATATGTAACTGAACTAGACGAATTAGACGTATTTTCGACACCTTGATTTATTAACTGCTCCTTTTCTTCAGACTCTTCGTTAATAACACTCAAGGTCGTTACTGGTTTGTGAGTGTTTAGTGTCGTAGCATTGGCACCAGTTAATTTTGGTCTGAAATTATTTTGTCGATTTTGAAATGAATTTTGACGGGGGTTTTGATCGGGTTGCCTTAAATTTCTTGTTTGTCGAATTTGTATAGACTGATTAATTGACTGGAGATGGGCATTAACTTTAGAACAAATAATGAAATGATGGTCTAAACTTCCACAATTTCTGCAAGAAAACGACCGTGGACATTGTTCCGTCGAGTGACTCTGTTGTAAACACTTTAAACATCTTTTTTGCTCTTCTAACCGTGCTTTCCGTTCTTGAGGAGTAGGATATTTTAAACACTGGCTTGGTTTGTGGCCATTATTAGAACAAAGCGAACAAAAGGAATTTTGATTGTTATCTCGATTATTGGCGCTAAATACAGGAAAGGCTCTTGTTTGTTCTATTGGACGTGGTGTTTGTCGCGTATCTTGTCGTATTGGCATCCTTTCACTTCTAAACGATCCCGAACTATTAATTTGGTCCCGCGTTTGCTCTCGTCTTGGTTCACTTTGAAATGAAGTCATACATTCCTCAGTCGTTTGGCGAATTTTGACGATATCTATTAAAGCCTTTCGAAGCGCTTTATCGTCCCACTTCTTTTTAGAATGAAGTTCTTCTGTGACGAGCTGTTGGAGGACTCCATGAGGGAGTTTAGATTTAATAATGTTGCACAAAAAACGTTGATTTTGACCCCCTAAACTTTCTAATTGTAGACAAATCCGTTCCACTTCCTTCTGAAACTGAGACAATTCACGAAGATTATTTCGAATAGGTTGCATTTTAAGAAGTTGGGCTTCTAACTGGTCGCTTAATTGATCATCATTTCCATATTTATCTTTTAAAATCTCTTTGACGATGTTATAATTTGTGTCGGAGGGAGGGTATCCGCTAATGGCTTCACGCGCCGCCGATCCTTCTCTCAGGTTCTGTAACAGTAGGAGATGTTTTTGGAAGAGGGGATACGGTTGACGATCTACTGCATGTTCGAAGGATGCCCAAAATGTTCTCCATTCTCTGATGTCGCCTCCAAATCTAGGTAGACGCACACTATCAACTTTAAGGGCGTTCCACGGAGTACCGACGGGTAGTGCTTGTGGTTCATAAACGTCGCGGTCACTGTTTTGGCGAAGAGTTCGACGCTGTTGCGACCATTCTCTTTCTTCTTCTTCATCTGAATAAAACTGGCGTCTTTCTTGACCTGGCTGAATAATATGCGTTCGTTGTGATTCGTTAATATTAACTGATCCTTGCGCGCTTTGCGCTCTTGGTGAATTATTGCTGTCATTTTCTGAAGTCATTTGCCGCATAATTCGATAGGCTTTCAGCCGATTTATTGCCTCTTGTGCTCGGTTGACCAAACTTGTAATTGGCCAGCGATCGGGAAATTCGCTTTTGTCAGATTTTTCGTCGAAAGTTAAATAGTTGACCAGAAATTTTTCTTCCTCATCTTGCTTTGCTTCACTTAAACTTTCCATATACTGATTGTAGTGACGAATGACTGTCTGAAGCTGCTCGGTTCTCTGGGCGAGATGTACGAGTTCCATCTCGACCGAAATTTTGAGTTCCTGCTCTTCCTCTGCTGTGGGTTTCGATTTGATTCTGTCGATGTACGAATCGGCATTTTTTAGACGTTCTACAAGTGATGAGACTGCTGCACCGAGCTCCTGACGTAGTATTCGAGACATATTTGAAAGGTGGAAAGAAGTAAGAAGATTCAGAACAAAAAATTTGACGATTTAAAATTTTCTTTAGACGATGTGTAGGCAAAGGGATTTTTGCCAATTTGGTGATGTTGACTGAACTTTAGGCGATCCCGGGTCGTGGCACCATTTTTATTGATAAACAGGTCGGGAAACTGCCTATAAATAAAAGAGGGTTGATACGAATCCAACTACGAGCTTGTCGAATTGAGACTTTAGGCGAATTTATTGTATTTAAACTCAAACAATTTAGAAATTTTATTAATTTAATATTTATTTATTTATTTATTTCCACAAAGTTATTGGCGATATTAAATTGGAAAGGAAAAAACAGAATGAATGAATAAGCATAAAAATTATTAGAAATTTAAAGAGATAAAATTATTAGATAAAAGGTGGTTATTTTAATGTGTGTGGGATTTAGAAATTTATAGATTTTAAGTTTAGATAAAAAATATAAATTTCTATATTATTACAAAAATTTTTATTTTTAATTTAATTTTTATTTTTCCCCCTTCTTTGTCGTTTTCTCGACAAACCCCGAAACCCTACCTTTTTCTCAACCAGACATTTAGACTCCTACCTTCTTTCACAACAAAACTAACTTTTTTCAGGAATTTGATCCAAAAGGAAAGGCAACAGTTAATGCAGCAACCCTGAATGAAATTTGCTCAATTTGGGGTGTTAATGATCAAAGGAAAAGAATCGAACAACAATTACCCCAAGAAAATCAAATTGAAGTTATTGAAAAAGTTGGTGGTGGATTAATTACTTTTGTTTTTTTGAATGATGTTTGGATGGCAAATCTGAGTTTTGCTCCGTTAGTTGATTTTATTTTTTTAGAATTGGGAAATTTATTATTCAATCGGTTGATTAATTATGGGAGGGAAAGGGTAAATGAAATTGGGATCAATTGTCATTTTATAGGTAGTATTTGAAATCTACTCTAGAGTGCGACAAATTCGCATTCCCGGGATCCCGTAACGGAATTTTTTTATGATGTTTATCGGGACCAGGTCCTGCTGGACAAGGGCGTATCCAGGGGGGGGGGGCTAGAGCCCCCCCCCCGAAATGGGGGAAAGGGGGAAAAAATTAGGAGAAGGATGGACGAAAAAGTGAAATTTTTTCGCCTATAACCCTCAAATTTTAAAAAATTTTCGCCTGCGGCGCAAAAAATGGAAGAAATCTGGCTTCTTGAGCTCCAAAATCCTCAAAATTTTCGCCTGCGGCGCTAAAAAGTGAACTTTTTTGGCCTACGGCCCTCCAAATTCGAAAAAATTTTCGCCTGCGGCGCTGAAAAAGTGTATTTTTTGGCCTACAGCCTTCTAAAATTCAAAAAATTTTCGCCTGCGGCGCTGAAAAAGATGAAAATTAATGTACAAAAAAATTTGCGTCCGGAACGCCAAGGTAAACGCCAAAAATTTTTGCGCCCACCCAGTGTTAGCCCCCCCGAAACCGACCCCCTGGATACGCCCTTGCTGCTGGATCAATCCTTGTAATCCCACTTATCGCTTGGAACCTGGGATTCCGCGCTATAATCTCCTCTCTAAAAATTTTTTCAGAAAATTTTTTAATGTAAATGAAATTACTAATCATATCAATTTTCAGCGCTAGACTAAAACGAGGAGTTGAAGGTGCATCAACACCCAAATGCATTCTACACAATTATTGTCGAGAGAAGTTACTAGCAGAGCCTTTATATAATTCGGTTTAATTTTAAATTTTAAAAATCAAAAAATTTTTAAATTTAGACAAAAAGAAGAGAAGATGGACGTTTTACAGCAATTTGTTCAGTGGCAAATAAAAAATTTTCTTCTCCAATATCACAACCAAATATTCGAATGGCTGAACAGGTATTTTAATTTTTGAATTAACTTGTAGGGTTAGAAAAATTTTTTGAACCCCTGAATTTTTTTTTCTTAAGGTCTCAGCATTAGTCGCGCTTTATGGTCTAAAAAGTAGGCATAAATTAAAGGGGAATTGGGAAGATTAAAAATTTTTTGAAAATGTTTTTGGTTAATTTTGTTGATTTTTTAACTGTTTTCGTCCTTTTCGTTCTTTTTGTACATCAGAAAATTTTTTAAAAATTTTATAAAAATATTCATAAGAAAAGGGTTCTTTTTTTATTGTTTTTTGGCATTCAAAGAATTCCTATTAATATCAATTTTCGGTATATCCTTTTTCTTAAATGCGTTAAAAAAGGATTAATAAATCCCATTAAGTGAGTTATAAAAATATATCTTTCCTTCCTTTTTATCTTTAAAGCGCTAAAAGAAAATGTTTTTTAAAAAGAGAAAAGGGTTTTATGGATGTTTTGGGGGTTTTTTCTAATAGGATTATTACGCAACATAAAAGGGGATGAGGGGAAGATGAGCGGGAGGAATACTAAAAATAAATTTAATAAAAAATTATTTTCGAATATTAAAAATAGAAATAGTTCAGAGGGCTCACAAAATTTTCGAAATTGTCCAGGGCTAGAAAATTTTCCAATATCAACCACTGAACGAAAAATCTTCTAAGGCCCCATCAAGACCTCGCCCTAAGTAAAGACCGAAACAACTCCCCAAGAAAAGTGTATCTTAAGTTTCTTTTTTCCGACACCTTCATCTTTTCCGGCCGATCACTGAACAGGATCACAAAATTTCTGTAAAGTCAGAAAACCTTTAAAAAACAGTTTCCGGAGAATTTATGTTTTATATAAACATAAAATTTATTTTTTTATCCTTTCTCTTTAAATACATGCTCACACATTTTTTACGCTTTAATCTATCAGACAACAACTTTTCATTTATCCTATAAAAGTAATTAATTTTATACCTCTCTTTAAAAATATATAGCCCTAAAAAATTTGTTTCTCCTTCATTTTTTCTGTTGTTGTTCATCGTCTCGCTTCACTTACAGGCGTTTGTTGGTTCCTTTCCACCAAAAAATTTTTTGTTTAGTAAAAAGGGGAGAGCCGCCAATTCCCTTCCCTCTACCAACCAACAACAATATCGGCAGCAGTCCAATCGGCGTCTTTTGTTGCAATTTACAAAAAATGAATGCGTGATTAATGTTGAGAAAGGGCGGAGAAAAGGAGGGGGGAAGGGAGGGGTTTTTTAAAGTATTTTTTTTATATCGGCTGTTATATTGTTGCCCTGCCGATATTTGATAAATGGAGAAAGAAGGGGGGAAGGTGGCGGTAAAAGTGTGGATTGAGAATTGTGAAAAAATTAGTATTTAGGGTTTTTCCGTTTACTTTTTGTAGGGCTGGTATGAATGAATTATATGAAGAGACTGGTATGAAAAAAGGATACTTTTCCGGTAGATCCCCGAAATTCTATAAATTTACCTTAGCTAGTGGCTGGTTCCAAAGTCCTTCAATTTTTATTTTTCGATTACTCATTCGGTCTAAGTCGGATGGAACCACTCTCTAGTATCGGAAATGCATGCGGAAACTTATAGGAGCTTGTTTTTAGGGTCAAAATTTGATTAAACAAACATAAAATTCACAACCTTTAAAGCCTCATTAAAACGGGAATTTTGAACGCAAAAAATAATTTTACCTTATTTCTAACCTTATATTTCTAACCTTATTTTTTACACTTATTTTAACACCAATAAAAACTACACTCACATTTTTAGCACCGGATATACTCTTTAATTTTTATTATTTTTCCCTTCCGCCCCTTGACAAGAAATCAACTATTAAATAAAAAATAGAAAGATGACAATAAATGAATTTTTTAGGTAAATTTTTTGTAATAAATAAACGGAAGTATTTATTCTTTCTATTTTTGATCACTTTTTTATTTTTTTTAAATTTTTTTCACCATTTTTTGAGCAAATGCCAGTTTTAAGTTAATCGTTTCTTGAGGGGGTTGTTAATATTTCCAGTCATATTTCACTCATGTCTTTCCATTCATAATTTCCTTCACTCTATTTTTTCCTCCAGGAACGGTTCTTACATGTTCACCTTATATGGCAGGGATGTGCCTAAACAGATTTAAAAAGTGAAAAACGAAAGTCAATTTAAGACGAAAATTCGGCGAAAGGCGAAAATCACATCCCTACTGTATACTTATTTTTTTCTCGTGAGTCTTTATCCTCCAAAAAATTGTTTATTTTTTTAATTTCTCGTCATTTTTTAGGAATATTTTTTGCTATTTCCACTCAAATTATTTTTAAACATTTTTCACATTCAAAAAAAATTTTTTTATTACATTTTCCGTCCTTAAATGTTGCAATTTATTTATCTATGTTTATTCCAATACATCTTTTTACAAATTAAAAACCATTTTTTCCTTTAAAAATATTTTTATAGGTTTTAAATTTTAATTAATTTTAAATCTTTAATTTTTCTATTAGACCTATATTTCATTTGTTTTTTAAACATTTCCGGTGCTTTTAAACTTTAAATTAATTTTTTAAAATATTCCATACCCAAATTTTTTGAAGATTATTTAAAGAAAATTTTAAATTTTATTTTCCCATAAATTTTATAATTTTAATTTGTTGACCTCTTTATTTTCATAAATTTTTTTCTCGTTTACTATGAGATTAGGGTTGCTGTATTCGAGTTGGAAAAGTTTTTCGGAGCAGCCCGCATACTTTCGAGCCTTATTTTTATCGAGTCGGGCTGTACGGTTCTTTTCAGGTTAAAAGTACAAGTCCTGTTTTCTTTGTGCCGTACGACTCCTTCCTATTTCTACTCGATTTTTCAAACCGAGTTGGACCATTTTGACAATCCTTTATAAGATTGAGAACCATTCAAGTAATTTTTAAATCAACCTTCTTAATATTCCAATAAACTCCAACAACCTCCTATTACTTCTCCATATCTCTTCTCTAAAATTGGATAAAACTAAAGGAAAGCCTATTCCAAAAGGACAGTATAAAAACACACACAAACACAAAAGTGCCAAAACAATAAATAAATTTGACCGCCACCGTCATCAATCTTTTATGGCAAAAAAAAGAATTTTGGCACTTTTACTCCTTATATTTAATTTTCCCCCTTTCCTTTGGACATCTGCTATAAGAAAACTATTAATTCTATTTTACTATATACAAACTCAATTTATTTGTATATCCCTTTAAGTTTAATATCTCTTGTTGGCATCAGTGAAAAGAGTAGACTTTTAAATTTATGACAATGATTAATGATTAAAACAAATAGATTTTGGGAATATTTTTGGGTATTTTTGGGCATATATCTATCTACGTTCGGATCTTTATTTGATTGTATAATTTCTTTGAACAGTTATTCCTCCTAGTCTTTCTCATATTTATTCTAGCCATTCCCTTATAGGCCAGAATCTAAATACTATTTTTAATTGAACCCAATAATGATCTGAATCAACGAATAAATTTTCATTTCCTTCCACCATTTAAATATTTTATTTCCCAATCAAAGCCACCGATCAACGATCAACCTCATTTTATATTTGTGAGGCTATCCATCCATAAATTTTATTTTTCCTATTTACCTTTCCCACCTAAAAATCGTTCCTGTTGGAAGCATCTAAATTGTGTGTATTTTATGTTTGCTTTAAAAATTAGCATTTTTACCATCCTATGAATATTTAAAATCCTTTTCGAAGGCTTTTCTAATAGTTCATTCAAAAAGTAAAAACCTTTAAATGCCCTTATAAGTGTCCTTATTTCCTTAAAATTCTTTAAAACGTCTTTACGTCCCTTTGATTCTCCTTAAAAATTAATTTTTAAATATTGCCGCCAAAAAATGTCATTCAAGGCCTAACACCTTCCTTGTCATTGTTAAAGGCGTCAATCGACCAAAAAACTGCAAACACAAAAATTTCCCCCCCCCCCAAAAAAACAACAGTCATCATTCCCCCTCTGTCACAATCCTTCAACCCCCTCATACACAATTCATTCCTTTCCCCCATCATTGTTCACATTTTTAGTAAAAGCCTCGACACTTTTCTCACATTAATCAAATTCATTTTGCCGCCACCACCCGATCAATTGCTGTTTTGTCTATACGTGCTCCCCCCTTTTTATCTGGATTGTTGAAAATATCAAACAGACATAATCATATGCAAATAAACTTTTATATACAGTGTTGTATATTAAATCTAAGATACACCAAACTAAATTGAATTAGTAAACAATTGGGGCATCCCTAGAACCATAGATAAATCAAGAACCCCAAACTAATCAGCCCACTTTGGTTGGCCATTGGATTGGTGGTTGACTTTTCAACTCCAAATAAAATTTTTTTAATTTTCCGGAAGATTATAAATTTCCCCATTATTCTTTTCATTTTCTAATCTTTTTTTTTAATTTAATTCTTCTTCCTTTCTTTCAACAAATTTTTATTTTTTTTAAAATATTTTTTCAATTGAAGAATCATCCCTTTTTTAATTTTTTTAAATTTTTTAAATTCAATTTTCCGTCTCCACAACCCCTCCTTGTATTTATTGCCCCTTCATCTTCCCCCCATTTATTTTCCTTTTATTTTTTGTCCAAAAATTTTTTTCGGACAATTTGCAGCCGATCATCTTCTTTTTACCTTTGTTGTCCTTCTTTGCAACGGCCGAACAACAAAAATGTTTTTCTTCCGTTTCCGACGCTTATAACCGCATTTTAAATATTTTAGATATCTTTTTATGCCACCCGCCAATTTTTTCCGCCTCACGATTTTGTATAACTGAGCATTCCTTTTTGTGTCCGTTTAGTGTGGAATTAATTGTGTGTGGAATATTTTACTTAAAAATTTTTAGTTCCGGAAGGAATACACAGTAATTCCAGTAATTTTAATTAAGGAGAGGGACTTAGTAAGGGAGTAGGGTTGTCGGTTCGGAGCCCAACCGAACCGAAGAACCGAGGATTTTTCGTGTTCGGTTTTCTCCGTACTAACTTTTTTCCCTTACGATAACCTTAAAAAGTCCCTGCTTACGACAACCCTATTAAGCAGAGGGGGATCTTTTTCTGGGGGTATCCCTAACAAATAAATTTTCAATTAATTACGGCGACCTTAAATTAGGTATAACTTAAACAAATTCTTCAAAATTCAATTTTAATATAAACAAATTTCCGTCGAAACACCAATCATCATTTTATTTTTCTTAGATTACTGTGGGGGTGTATTAGTCTTCATTTTCCCTCATCTCTCGCCCTTTTCTATTTGCGCCTTTCTTTTCGCTTGCCAAATAAGGAATGAATTATTCTTGGATGATTACAAAATTTATTTTTTAATTTTTAGGATTGAATTTAAATTCCTTCAACAGTAAAATTAAAATTAATTGATAATGACAACAGCTACAATGTCACCACTTTTGGCTTCACCTAAAACAAAAACAACTTCTATGGTAGAGGAGAATGAAAATGGTATGGAGGAATTTTAGATTTTTATTTAGAAAAATAAAAAATTTTTTGGGAACTTTTTGTTTTTTGAATTTCCCAGAACCAAAAATTTAAATTGAAAAATTCAACTCCTTTTTTAAGATGTGGTTGAACAATTGTTGCGTGTTGCTGAAGCAAGGTGAATATTTTTTAAAAAGATTTGGAGCTTTTCTGGAATTTTTTAAACGTTTCTCAATGCTTTCAGGTTCACTAGAATTTATTTTTATCTGTTCTAAGGTTGGCGGTTCCTAGGAAATCTTGGAATACTCTGAGCCGGTAATTGAACCTAAAAATAGCCGAATACACCCGACTTTTATCGGCTCCTGTAGAATTTTTCTCACATCAGTACTTTCAGGTTCACTACCTTCATACCCGGAACTCTAATCTGTTCCTGAATTTTTCAAAATAACCTTTTAAAAATAGGAAAAAAAGCTATATTTTGGTTATTGCTTCCCTATTAAAGTAATAAATTATCAAAAATGAATACAAAAAAAATATTTAGTAAACTATTTAAATGAGCACCAGACAGCAAACAAACAATTCAGCGACCAATACATAAAAAAATATAGGGGAGCGAATAAAAATGCGCAGAAAAAAATGGGTGAATATTTTTGGGGGAAGTTATAATTTATGCGCATTTGGAAGGGGAAAGAAATAAAAAAATATAAATAAATAAATGTTGCCAAAAATGTTGAGAGAAAATAGAAGAAAATTGGGTTAAAATTTAAATTAAAAAAGTTTTCTTTAGGGAAGCAGTTGAACGACTAGAAAATGAACAGCGTGAAGTGCTTGAAGGATTAAAAGAAATTGAGGAAGATGAAAACTTTTTAACGAGGTTTTTTAATTTTTTTGGAAATTTCGCTTTAGAATTACGAAATTTCGTTTTAGAGCCAAACAAACACTAGCTGATTTGGCAGCAGAAAAGCGTATCCACACAGACGCTATTCGTCAAATTGATGAAGACCGCCAAGAATTATCTCCAGCATTGGAAGAAATGCGCCTAAAACGCCGACGTACAGAAGCAGATTTAAGTGAAAGATGTTCTCACGTTCCGTTGCTGTTGGCACAACTACAACAACGTGCTAAACTTTTAGAATTGGCATGTCCGTTAATTGATGATTTGTTGCCGTCTGGGTTAACTGCTGCAGCTTTTAATAGGTTATTTCGAAAATTTTTTAGAAATTTTGTGTTTTCGAGATTTTTCGAAATTTCTTATTTTTTGAAAAATTTTTCTAAAAATTCCAAAAAATTTTTCTGCCATTTTTAGTCGTGATCCAGTCTCTCAACGTTTATCAGACGATTCACCTTCAATTTATTCAACTTCACTTCCAACACAAACCACAACACCAAATACAGCTAATATACCCTCAATCCTTCAATCACCGCCTTCTTCATTAATGCTTAACTTTCCACAAACAAATAATAATAATAATGTTGATTCTTCAATGCAACAAATAAATTTGGTTTGGAAAAAATAATTTTTTAAATGTTAAAGCCCCACCCTGAGATAGGGCCCCACCTTGGAGGATAGTTGAAAAATAGAGTGTCCCCTGAATTAGAACCCGTTCAGGAATAGAGTTCAATTTGAGCGAGTTGTCCCTGAAATAGGTAGGGGCTCCACTAGGTAGGGGCCCCACCCTGAATTTTAGAGCCCCACTTTGGAATCTAGTTGATATAGAGCCCCATGAGGCTTTATTATAGGAGAAATACACTATCTCTATATTACAGCATGGAATAGCAGCTTTATTTATGTTACAACATGCTGCAACTACACACCAATTTGTTACGGCTGCCGCAGCTGCTGCAGCAAACAACAACAACACTCAACAACAAAACAACAACAATCTAAATTTTAATAATTCACAACAACAACCTAACCACCATCATTTTTTGTCTCAAGCAATTCGACATAATAATTTTATTAGACAACAGCAACAACAAATTGGAGGAGGAGGAAATCAATTTCCAATGCGGGCATTAGAAGAATTGTAAATAATTTTTAAAAATTTTTTAAAAATTTAATTTTCTTTTAAAGAAGCCGCGCTCGAGAACAACAAGCAAGAAAGGTACCTAATGCTGCTCAAAGAAGTGCTGCTGCTGCTCTTGAAACTACACATCAATCGCCTCCAATGAAGGTTTGTTTTCTTTATTTTTATGGGGAGTTTATTAAATTTGTCGACTTGGGGTTTCTGACATTTTGAAATTTTGACCATTTTGGTACCATTGATCTGAGATCTGTCCATTTTTAAATTTATTTTAAAATTAAAAAATTTTTCCCGTTTCAGACTTGTGCCTCATGCCAAGACCAAATCCATCGAAATGCTCCAGTCTGTCCCAACTGTAAATGCAAAAGTAGATCAAAAAACCCAAAGAAACCACGAAAAAAGCTGGCAGAACGTTAAGAAAATAAATTTAAAATTTTGAAGAAAAAGCCAAAGAAATATAAAATTTAAAAAAAGGTTAAAATTAATTCTTGATTTGTTGTAAATAATTTTTTTTAACTGTGGATTTTTAAAAATTATTTTGTAGTTACTTTTTTTTTGTATTTGTGTGAATTAGTTGAATAAAAAAAATTTTTTAAATAATTTTTTGAATGATTTAAAAAGGGTTTTTATAATCCTCTGTATTTTATGAAGATGAGTGTTGTTTTGCTCTGGTGGACTCAATGGCCGTAGGGCCCGGAACCAATAGTGTAACTGTTCGGGGCTTTTTCTGGCGGTCCCCTTGACGCTTGGAATGCCTTGTCTGTTCTGTGGTTTCATTTTTGTTACAACAAAGGTTTGCTTAGTTTCTTGACTGTTTTTAAATTTAGAAATCAACTTGTTATATTTTTCCAGATTCTCATAGATGAGTGGGTGAACGATTGTTGGCGTTCTGGATGGCTTTATGGAAGCAAAGGTTTGTGGATGTTTGAGAAAATTTTAAATGTTTGTACTTCCTTTAAGGTTGTTTTTTGTTTAACTTTTTTATTCAACTTTTCTCTCTACCCTCTTAACCGCTTCTAAACATCCATTAAAAAATATAAAAATAAGAGGTGAATAAAAAATGTAAATGAATGGCCTTCCCTCATAAAAATAAATAAAAATATAAATACATTATTACCCTATTACAGGCATTTTGTGTCAGCCGATTTATTCAACAAAAATACCATTTTTATTTGTCGCTCCGTTGGTTTTTTAAGGAAGAGGAAATAATGATGAGCTCATCAAAAAAAATCATTCTCCAATATATCCTCAACAACAAAAAAAGGTTTTTTCTTCATTCGCCTTCTTGATTATTTTTGCTTCTTTCAAACGTCCTCATCAATTTAGCTTGGTTTTTTTAAATATAAAGGTAAGTTAATTTTTTGTTAATTTTTTCTGGGGTTTAATGGTGGGGAGGACATATCGGGACAGACAATATTTTGAATTAGATGAGGATAAAAAAATCGGGGTTGTGGATACAAAAATAACTTGTTGTCTATTTACGTTGATTTTAAGACAAAAACTCCTTTCTTTCAATAGGGCAATGTATTAGCCTTTTGGTCTTATTGGCATGACGCGTGGCCTTAGGTCCTGAAATGAGTGGGGTAACTGTTCGTATCCTGAAATACCCCGATATGTCTTCCCGAATATATTTGAGTCCGATTTTTAGTGACTTTAAATGGAGCAAAATGAAGACGAAGCAGTTCAACAAGATATAAAAAGTGAAAATGAGGAGAAAGGCAAAATTGAAGAGATTGGAAAAAATCAACAAGAAAATGATGAAAAAGAGGAAAATTATCAAAAAGAAGACGAAAATGAGGATCAAAAAATAACCAATAATTTGTATTTAATTAAAGAAGCTTGGTTAAAATTAAAAGAAATTGAAGACAATTTGGAAGGAGTTGATTTGTCAAAAAATAAAATTAATTTAATAAATGAAGAATCAAAAGAATATTTTGAATTGGATGGGCAATTGAAAGAAGAAAGGGAAAATCATGAGAAAAAAATTAAATTAATTGAAGAGGTTAGTTGGGGGAGAAGTTTTTTGGTTATCTTTTAGTTTACTGGTCCCTAGAAAAAATGAGCAAGTGCTTTTTAGATGTTTTTGAGGGTTGCCAGTCAGCAGGTTTATCGGTCAATTTTAATTCGAATATCGGACCTGAATTTGAGCTGGTTGAATTTGGATGAAAATTGAACATTCTCCGACTCCTCACAACAGGAAGAGGAGTTTTTTTTTCGGTGGGTAGGGGGGGGCCAACCACCTGGCTACGGGCCTGCCTCACAATCAGCCACTCGCTTACCCGCTGACAACCTCAAAAAATTCGAAAAGCACTTAATTGTTCATATTTTCTGAGGATCAATCAACTAGGAGACTACCTGGAGTTTTTAATTTTTATTTTTTTTAAATTTTATTTTAAAGGATACAACAGCATTAGCGAAATGTTTTTCAATTTCGCAGCAAAAATGTAATGTTCAAAGAAAAGAATTAAAAAAGAAGGAGAATGAAATTTTGAAAAATTTGAGGGAAATTGAAGAAAAAATGTTTAATTCTCCCTCAACTCCAATGAGACAAACAACACAACAACTAACAATAAGGCCGCCAGCAATGCTTCCAACAACGCCTTTTCTACTCCAAGCTATTAATGCTACAATACAACAAGTAAGTTTGTGTTTTTGTTTATTTTTATATTTTTAAAAACTTGACAAGTTGTGTTTTCCGGAAAACAAGTTTGTTTGGAAAACACTTTTTCCAACTTGTTTTTATAAATTTTCTATTAGAACATTTCCAACATGTTTTTTTTATTAAAAACATTTAGTTCCCAACATGTTTTCAGAAAAACAAGTTTCTTGTTTTAAGCACTTTCTTTCCAACTTGTTTTTCCAACGTTCCAATTAAAACATTTCCCATCTTGTTTTCCTGTTTTTCCTTGTTTTAACCAATTTGTTTTCAAACTTGTTTTTCCCATCCTTTTTATTCCAACATTTCCTACCTTTTTTTAATTTAAAACAATTTAATTTCCAACATGTTTTTAATTTATAGCAATTCCAACAAGGACTTCAACAATTACAACAACAAACTTCCCAACATCACAATGCTTTAAATTTACAACAACAACAACAAAGTTTGCAAAACATGCAAAAATTGAAGGTTATTTGTTTTATAAACGTTTAAAAGGAAAAATGTTTTTTTCCTATAGAAATGTCAACACTGCCCGAGTTTTATACATCGAAACGCGCCTACTTGCCCCAATTGTAAACAAAAAATTGTTTCTAAAACATCAAAAAGAGTTCGAAAAAATTAAAAAATTAATTAATTTTAATAATTTTTTATTCAAAAAAATTTTAAAAAATTCGGAAAAAAATTTTGGTTATGAACATATTTGTTTATCTGCCCTACAATCAGCCCTTTCATTCGCAAGAAATAAGCGCCCGTTTTGACAAACACATAATTGGTATTGTGAAGCCCCTCCGACTCCCATACTTTTTTCTAGACCAGACATGAATATGTTGCTGGATTCTAGGCGGATATTTCCCTAGAAAATTTGGAAATTATTTTTTGAGGGGAGGAGGTGACAGAATGTCCACATAAACGATCAAATAATTGACCTGTTTAGCTCTTAATTGAATATCAAACAAGGAGTTTATGTGTATTTCTCCAGCACTGCTTAACATTTCTATATCTTGACCTGCTTCAACAATTAAACTGCGTGTTGGAGATTCGATTCTTTTTAAATTTTAATTTTTTCAAAAATTTTTATTTTTGATACCTGAGAGGACTGTCAGGTTCAGGGCGTATAATTGCTGAATTTTTTAATTATTAATTTTTTGTATTTTTATTTTTCGGGTTTTTAACGAAAAATAGTTTTTTTCTGGCGTTTTGTTTTTTATTTTTTTTACCTGTTTGTATTGCACCTTCAAAAACACTGCCTCCATCATCTTAAAATTAATTTAAAATTTTTTTTATTTCAGATAAAAAATAAAAATTAAAGATGATTCGTTCTATTCGGTCAAACAATTTATTATTCGCTTGCAGAGCCATTTTAAACTTAAATTTTGCCCAAAATTTCAATCAAAATCAATTAATTATTGCAAAGAATTATGGAACCAAATCTCATCACTCGTCAAAATCAAAACAAAAAATGAATACACTAAGGTTTAGTTAATTCAAAATTATTTTTAAATTTATTATTTTAATTTTAGAGAGATGGACGATGTTGAAGAAGTAGTCAAAGAAGGGTAATTAATTTTAATTTGAAAATTTATGTTAAAATTGGGCGAAAATTGAGGATTTCAAATCTATTTTCGTTTGTTATTAAATATTTATGGGGATAACATCGATTTTTACAACAGAAAAATATTTTGCGCTGAACGGGTTCGAACCTTCCCCCTATTTTTAAAAATTATCCCACTTAACCAAAGTGGACGAAATTTTTTATTTGTCTTTTTTCAGCAAACTTTCAACTATTGGACTGGCACAAAAGGCAAATAAAGAACTGAAGGATTGCTATCAAATTTTACAAGAGAATATTGCGAAGCATTTGACGCTTGAAGTGAATTTGAAGACATATGAAGATATTCCTGTTACTTTGCAAAATGGGGAGGTTTGGATTTTATATTTTTTAAGGAAAGATAAGGCAAATAGGGGAGGGGTATTTTCATAAATGAATAAAAATTCTAAAAAAATATTTTTAAAATTCCTTTCCCATTTTCGATTAGACCCACAAACTCTTCAAATTTGCTCGAATAACTATGCGCAATCCAACAACAATTGCTATTAATTTTGTTGATAATTTGGAGGCTATGAAATCGGCACGAACTGCGCTTCAATCAACTGTCGGTGAAAATGTGAATATCCAAGCGGATGGATTTATGTTGTATGTACCGGTGCCAAAAATTACTAGAGGTTTATTTTTAAAGGATTTTGTGAGGGAAATAAAGTGAGGGATGGGAAATGAATTTTAAAAAGGATTTCTCTTTGGATGAATGAAAATAATTAAATTTTAGAGGGATTGGGTAGACCTCCCTTGTGTTTTTACTTTTAATTCTTTTAATTTTGGCATCAAAACTAATAAAAGTACATATGAATAACCTAATTTTTAAAATTAAGAACGCCGAGAGGAGATTGCTAATAAAGTTGGGTCTGCTTTAATTAAAGAATACAAACAGGCGTTACAACAGGTTTTTAATTAAGTTACACCGTTAAATATTTTAATTTCAATTTTTAGATTTACAGCAAATACAGCAGGCTCATTACCGACTCAACAAAAAAAGAAGACTTACCTATTCGATTAAACAACGGCTTACTGGCAGAAATGCGTAAACTCTCTCAAGAAGGCGAGAAACGATGTAAAGAAAGGTCAAAAGCTTTGCTCAGTGAAGTTTTATAATTTTTGGACAGGTTTTTGTTTTTTGATATTTTTGTTTTCTTATTAAAATTGTTTTTGCTCACTGATTGTGAGAGGATTCGATCCCATGACCCTTCCTGAGGGAGAACTGGGAATTAACCCACTTAGCCAAAGAAAAATTGCTACCTTCACTATACTCGCCTCAATAGTCTCCCTCCTTCCTCCAAATTTTCTTACCTAATATCCGAAGATTTTCGAGCTTCAATCCAATCTCATTCGAGTCAACAAAAAAGAGTGACTTTTTCTGTTCATCTAGCACCTCAAAACGGTCACAAATCATTTGTGCTTTCCCATCGGGTTGTAAATGTAATGCGGCTGTTGAATGCCCGGTGTGGTTATGAGCGCTAATGGAAACTCCTAAAGCTGAATCTATCGAGAGAGCTTGATCCTTTAAAGATTAAAATTGAATTTTTAAGTAAGAAAATAGCTCTAACGTCAGCGCTACTCAATTGAGAGAATTGTACAGGTTTTTCAAACTCCGATCGTCCAACCACTTTTCTTTGTAAAATTTTGATATTATTTAATAAGAGGGTTTTTAAATACCTCTTATACGGTCCTCTTCAATCTTCAAGGCGCCTATTCCTCCCTATAATTTTAAATGTTTTCCCTTGGTGGGCTTGAGAATAATTTTAATACCAATGAAAAGTCAAGTACAGTCATAATCCAGAATGTAAAAGCCAGGTTTATAAAGACAACAAGTGTTAAAGCAAGAATGAATGCATACAAACAACGTTTCCTCCAACCATAAATCCCAACTCTTAAATTAAAAAAATTTTTTTCCAAAGATTTCGATTAAGATACCTATAAATATCAGAATCTGGTACAGGTTTAGCACTAGAATGTACTACAGTCATTTGTTGGGGTGTTGCCCCACGGACTGAAGGAGGTTGATATCCATGAGGAGGGGGACTTCTTTGTCTAGGATCTATTGTATCTGCTCTAGCCCACACTGGTTCATCATCCAAAATTGTACTAGTGGCATAATGATGGGACTGGGGAGAAGAGGAAGAAAGTGGGGGAAGTGTTCCAAATCTTGGTTGTTGGTAATAATAGGCACTTCCACCGTTTGCATGCATTTTAAGGGATTTAATAATTGTTGGAAATTATGTTTTTAAAATTAATTTGAAGAGAAAAACGTAAAAAAAGAGCAAAAGAACGTTTTACTTCCGCCTATCGATAGTATGTGAAAGCAGCCCTCGTGTAGAACAACTGTTTAATCCTTTGATCCTTATTGTTAAATTAGTAGAAGAGGAAGGTTTTGAGTAACAAATAAATAAAACTAACAATTAAAAGTTTAATAATTGCCAAATTTTTAAATAAATTGGGTATTTTGGAACAGTGATATTTTTAAATTGAAATTAGCTCTTTATCAGTTATCCCTTTCTCAATTAATCCTTAATTGGATTTTTGTAATTTTTATTCACTTTCATTGGATAAAGAATAAAAAATAAATCCATTTCCGTTATTTTCTCTCAATTAGGTCAATAGCTAGAAATATTCCACTTTTATTTCTTTGTTTTTTATCAAACAAAAGTATTCAGACAAAGATTTAGAAAAGAAAGGATATTAAATTTTTTGATTGATATAATTGCATAATTAAAAGTAAATCTTTTCTAAAAAAGAAGGGCGGGGTTTTGTGGGGTTGTGAAAGGATGTTGGAGGGTTTTGTTGAGTTGATTAGTATTTAAAAGAGTGCAGAAGCTAAAAAATATTTCTTGTCGACAGGTTGAAATTTTGAAGCTTCAATAATCAGCAACATGAGCAACAACGATAAAGAAAAATATTCGGATACTTCTCCAAATCTGCTTAATTTAATAGCTAAAGTAGGAATTCTAGCTAGTACTTTAACACTTGTAGGTATTCTACTAATAGTTCCGATGATACTGTTCCAAGCTAATCAGTTGAGATCGAATATAGAGAGAAGAGCGATTCAATTTAAGGTGAGAGATTGAAGATGCTTTGAAGATGGAAATGTTTTTTAAAGCAAAATTCGGATCGAGCCTGGAAGCTCATGATAAATGAAAAGATGATGATTCAAAGTGAAGCTGAAAAAGAAGACGAAACTTCAAGCAGGTCCTTTAGATCACCACGGCATCAACAAAGTTGTCAAGGTTCTGAATTCGTCAATTCGTTGAAATAGTCGTCAAACATTTCAGGCTGCCACTCATTGACTTGTCAGACTGGTTTGCCAGGACCGAGTGGACCCGCAGGAACTGATGGATCACCGGGAGATGTAAAATATTTTAGAAAATTCTTTTAAATATTTTTAAAGACAGGAAAACAAGGTCCAACGGGAGATGATGGTTTTGATGTTCAATTACAACCAGAGGCTGATATGCCTTGTGTGATCTGTCCTGCTGGACCTCCTGGGCAAAGGTTGAAAAGGGAATTTTTGAGGGTTTCTAAAATAATTTTCAGAGGCCCTCAAGGCGAAAGAGGGATGAGTGGAGAGCCAGGCACTTATGGTGAACAAGGTCCTCCTGGCAAAAGTGGAATAGATGGGCCTTATGGAAGGGTAAGAATTTTCAAGTTAAAACATTCTTATCAACTTTTTTAAAGGAAGGACCTCCAGGCAATGTGGGAATAAAAGGTCCATGTGGAAGGAAAGGACCAATTGGTGACCAAGTTATTTCTGGTATCTTAAATTTTCTTGTGTTCTGAAAAAGTTATTCTTTCAGGAATCGGCATTAAAGGTCCTCAGGGCCCTCCTGGACCTTCTGGAATTAAAGGACCTCTTGGAAGTCAAGGAAAAGCAAGCAGGCATTTTTTAAAGATTATTTTATACCATAAATATTCAAAATTTTATAGAGACACTGGCCTGCCTGGAAAGCCGGGCCCTGTTGGTCCGCCTGGACCCCCGGGAGCAAATGGAATTATGGGTGAAAATGGAATGGTTGGAACGCCTGGAGAGCCAGGAGAGCCTGCAAGTTATTGCCCTTCGGTAATCTTTAATTATTTTGAATAAATTCCAAAAATTTTCTTTGCCTAGGACTGCGGAGTCTCACACATAAAGGCGCCTAGTTTTGCAATGGAAATGAGCGAACCGCCATCACCTCCTTCCTATAGCAATCGGGAAAAGCCTGCAACAGAAGTGCTGTTTCGACGTCGGAAAAAGAAGCAATAGAACAAATGTTTTTAAGAAAAATTTTTGAATTTTTTTGAACAAAATAAAATATTTTTTTTAAATTTTAATCTTGTTTATTTTGACAATTATGTTGTTCTTTACAACTATTTATTTTTTTCCTATTTAATTTTTCACCGTTCATGCAATTACCTTTAATAAGCTCGACTCTAGTTACCTGTCGAGTTTCGGTACACCTCAATTGAGTCCCGACTCAATTGAGTCCCGGACCCTATAACTTATCAAGGGATGGTCACTTTTTGTTACTCTTGGTACCATTGGATAGGGCATTAAATAGGCTACAATATACCAAAAAATCAAAATTCCTGACCGACTGGTAAAAAAGTTATGACCGATAAAGTGCCGAAAAATCAGATTTTTTTGAAAAAGTTAGCTTTTAGATCATAACTTTTTTATCAATCGGTCAAAAATTCTGATTTTTTGATATTTTGTAGAGCTTTTGATTCTCTATCCAATGATACCAAAAACATTAAAAAGTGACCATTCCTTGCTGAGTTATAGGGCCGGGACTCAGTTGAGCCGGGACTCAGTTGAACTGCTCCGGTCGAGTTTATTTAATTCAAACAAATTAGTTTTGCGAAAATTATATTGATGTGCATTAATCTCGAAACGAAAAGTACGGAGCAGTTCAATTGAGTCCGCACGATTGAGTCCCCACGATTGAGTCCGCACGATTGAGTCCCCACGATTGAGTCCCGGCACGATTGAGTCCCCACGATTGAGTCCGCACGATTGAGTCCCCGTTGTATATACCTCAATTGAGTCCCCGTTAAAAATTCCCGGTAGGAATTTTTATTTTCCTAGATTTTTTTATTGTTTTTTTTTATTTTTTTGTTTTTCTTTTGGGGTTTGCAACTAATTTTGTTAATTAGTTGACCGAGCATCCACTCAAGTCCATCCGAGCACTGAATTTTCTCAATGAGGACGAGAGGGAGGACGAGAATCTTGTGTAGGTAAAAGTTTAATTTTTATTTTTTAATTTTAGATTTTATATTTCAGGTTGGTCTAACTTTGCTCATCACGTGTCGGACTTCATCCCACGGCTGCAACGATGGGAAATTTGAAAAGGTTTGGAATTTTTATTTTGTTTTTCGTTTTTATTTTTAAAATTTTTTAGTTGATTTTCGTCAGTTTCTGACTGGCGATTTTCAAGTTCACAGTTTCTGAAGGAACGAAGGTGGTGAACTTAGGAGAACAAAAAACGAAAGAAAGGCCCTTCTTTGGCACAATAATTGAAGCTAGACTTTGGTTTTTTTTAATTTTTTTGATAAAATTTTTAAAAAATATTTTTTTATTTTTTTTTTCACATTTTGATTTTCTCCCGTATCCAGGTAAATTCTGCCGGAGTCCGGAAATTAGGAAGGAGTTTTTACGTTCGTAATTTAGATAGTTTACCCTACCCTCCATAGCAGCACAAAAAGTTTTTCCAGCGAAGATTCTGTTGGTCAAAATTTGTTCAGAATCATTCAATCAACTTGATTTTGGTCTTATTCTTATTCAACTCATCTCGTCGATCCCTTTCGAATGAGCTATTTTTTGTTTATTCGAATGTTTCGCAACAAAAATTCCCCATGGAATTCCACCAAAAAATCCACCATTTCGAGCCCCATATCTCGGCGAGAACTTGTTCAACAATGTTGATTTTGGTGTCATTCGACTCACTACTTTCGAATGAGCTGTCATTCAAAAAATCTCTCGATATCCCTCCTAATCCCCAAACCCACAATATCCATCTTAATCTCTCCGAATTTGTTGATATCTGCCTTAATTCAACCGATATCCCCGCTTAAATCTACTTATATCCCTTGATATTCACCAATATCCATCTTGATACCTCGATGTCGCATACAAGTCCCCTGATATTAACATTAATCCCTCCAAATCCCCAAATATCCCTCTTAATCTTTTTTAATATAATTAAATCTAGGGGACTCAATTGAGGTATATACAACGGGGACTCAATCGTGCGGACTCAATCGTGGGGACTCAATCGTGCCGGGACTCAATCGTGCGGACTCAATCGTGGGGACTCAATCGTGCGGACTCAATCGTGCGGACTCAATTGAGGTGTACCGCGAAAAGTATTTTGATGTGGAGTTAGAGAAAGAGAGAAAAGAGTGACGTCATATTTTTGCGAGATAATAGAAAACGAGAAAAATTACTGTATTTTTAATAATTTTCTAGAACATTCTATTATTTTTCTCTGGTTATTGATTTTTGTTCTAGATGACGTCACTTTTCTGACGGTTCACCTTCTCCATTATTTTTTTGCCTTTGTTCAAAGAGGCAAATAATCGCAATGAATTTGAAGCAGACAAGAATATTTTCTGTTGATAAGTGGCTTGCGATTAAGTGGCTCGTAAATAAGTGGCTCGCGATTATGTGTCCGTTTCCCGATTTTTTAGTGTTATTTTTTATTTATTTTTTTCAATATTTAATTAGAATTTTTTTTGTTTTTTAGATAATCTCTATTCCTTATATTTTGCAATTTTTTTTATTTTCGTCAATCGCTAATTGAATTCAATATGAGTGGCTGGGTTGCATACATCCAAACTCTGACTGACAGCTGCAATGTCATCTCCAGAGCTGCAATTGTTGGACTTACTGATGGAGGGAGTGTTTGGGCTAGAACGGAAGGTGACAAAGAATTTAAGGTTTCTTTTTGCTTTTCAATATTTTTTAAATTCTTTTTCGTTTTATAGGCTACTGAGTCGGAACTCAAGAAGTTTGTCGGTCTCTTTGACAATCTTGATAGTGTTCCAGGAACTGGCGCAGATCTAGAAGGTTTTCTTAATAAAATTCTAGTTCGACTCCATCCCTTCTTCAAAGTATTAACGAGGGTAGAAGTTGCTTGCTCCCTTAATTCACTCTATGTCCCTATTGGCGTACAGTTATATAGTCTGACCGTTTTTAGTACTTTGAGGAATAAAGGGGGACGTACTTGAATTTTACCGGTTTCTTGGTTGTTGACGTTTAACTTTCTTTTTAGGTGTTCACTACATTGTGCCGAGAACTGAGGAGAACCTCATTTTTGGCAAGAAGGATAAGACCGGGTTTGTTTTCCGTTTACAATTTATTTATTTTTCAAATCTTAGGTTCTTTGCTGCTAAAACCAAGTCAGCAGTGTTGATTGCTATTTATGAGGGTGAAGCGGCTGCTGGTGCTGATGTTCGTGGGGCTATCGAATCTTTGGCAGAATTCTTGGAGAAAGCAGGATATTGATGTGCAAAAGACTCTCTATTCGACCAAAATTGCTTCTCTGCTTTTATTATAATTTGCTTTATCTTCTATTTGTTTGACGGGTTATCAACTGATTTTCACTTAAAAAAGGCATGCGCCTGGTATTTTTCGTTTATTTTTTAAATTAAAATTTAAACACCGTCTTTTGGTTATTATTTTAAACAAGCTTTATTTTGACGATTGTGTCTTGAAAATTGATAAAGACTTGAGGAGAGGAGTATTTACAAAATTCTCTTTTTTGAATATTTAATGATTTTTTGAATAAAATTTTGTTTAAAAATCTGTTTTATGTATATATTTTTTTGTTAATATCCGTTTCGGAACGGAGAATATTTTTAAAAATTTTAATTTCTTATTAAATAAAAATCCCTTCTTTTTTCCATTCTTCTCTTTCGGCTTCTTTCTCTTAATCCACCTAAATCCTAACAAATACGACTATCCGCTCAAATATTTGAAATTAACCTCAGGGGCAGTTTTCCTTTGGACCTTTTTCCATTTAAAAAGAATTTTTTCAAATTTTTATTTATTTAGCCTTAATCAAAAATTAAAAAAATCTTTAAAATGGCTGCTGAAGGAACTTCAACTGATTTTGACAATCTTCAACGAAAATGTCAACAATTAATTGAAGAAAATATTCAAAAAGATAAGAAGATTCTTTCTTTGGAGCAACAAGGGGCAAAGGTAAAAATATTTTTCTCTTGGAATTTAGATATATTTGTGTTCAGGGTTTGCCTGGGTTAAGAAAAAAATGTGGCTCAAATTTTTGGAAAATTCGTTTGGATCGGGTTTCAGAAAAAAAACCGGATTTGAGGCATCGGGTCCCTTCCCATATTTAAAATCTATTCATTGATTTTTTAAAAATTTTGATTAATTTTTTTATTTTCAGAAAAAGTGCAAGAGAGGAAAGAAAAAGGTTGGAATTTTTTTGGATTTCAACTAACTAATTCAGTTATTTTTAGACCAATCCTGGTCGTCAACAAAGAGAGCGACTGAAGCGAGCCAAAGCAGCAGCAACTACAACGAAAATGGATGCTCCAGCCCAGGTCTTTGAGCTTAATTTGTAACAAATCATCGCTTGATTTTTGTAACCAAAGGATAGTTTTCCGGGTTTCGGGTCCTTAGATCGGGTCACTTAAAAATTTTAACGGCTTAAAATTTTGGTAATAGAATATCTTTAGTTATCTAAATTAGTTTCCAATGCTGTCGTGGTTACCCTACTCTGGGTAAAGGGCAATAGAGTGAAATTGGTAAGAAAATCTGCCCATTATGTACTTTCTTGAGGAAGGAAAAAATGGAGGAGGGGGGGGATAAAGTGGACTATTACCGTTTAAGCTCATCAGATATCTAGGTTAACCGTTAACGAGAAATTAGTAAAATATTTAAGCTGTCAGCGAGATGTGAAGAAGTCGAGGAAGCAGCTGAAGAAGTTATGGAAGTAGCTGCAACAACAGCAAGTGAAGAATTTTTGAAAGGACTTTTTTTTGAAAATTTTTAATTAATTCGAGGTATCTCGTCGACGCTTCCAGTCCAATCTCTATATTTATTTTGTTATAAAATTATTGCCTTTTGACTGTTTTTGACTTAATAAATTTTTTATATATTTATTTTGTTTATTATGCGTTTATTGACGTTGATATTTTTTTAATTTTGAACAATTAATGTGTTTACTCTATATTTCAGCTTAAACAGATCTTAATCAAAAATTTAAAAAAATTCTTTAAAAATGGCTGCTGAAGGAACTTCAAATAATTTTGACAATCTTCAAAAAAATGAGGAGCAGGTTTTTTTTAAAAATTTTTCAAAGAACAGCTGAAGTGTAGTATACCTGAGGTAAAATTTCGATACAAAACACTTCATTGGAGTCGAATGAGCTCGTCCAGCGTCGAATGACCCCAAAATCTCCGTGATTGAATAAGATTGGGCAGAGTTAGGATAAAAGAACAAACAACGTAAACCTATGTCGGTGAGATGTTTTGTATTGAATTTTGCTTCCGGTATATGCACTTCATTCCAAAGTATTAAAAATTTTTATATCAAAATTTTTCAAATTTTTATTAATTTTTTATTTCAGCCAGCCAAAAAGAAGACGTTTAACCTCAATCAGCATCAGAGAAAGAAGAGAAGAGAGGCTAAGGCGGCAAATATTTCTAATGAACCTCAACCGAGTATTGATCCTCAAGTTGCTTTGGTCAGTCAAGTTTGATTTCTTTTACACATCTGTTCATCTGGGTTCAGAAAAAGTCGGGTCGGTCCTTGAACAATTCCTTGCCCCGAAAAACCCTGAGTTTTTTGTTCTTGGGTCGAGTAATATTTTCATTAGAGAATTAATGTTTTCATTATATCAAAAATTTTCAAATTTCAATTCATTTATTTTTTATTTCAGCCATCCAAAAAGAAGAGGAAGCGTAATGGGCCGGTGGGCAGATTTTTAAAAATTCAAGCTAATTAATTTAAATTCCAGAACCTCAACAGACAACAAAGAATAAGGAAGTGGAAGAATAAGATGTCAATTAATGCTAATGGACCTCCACCAAATTTTGATCCTCAATTTGCTTTGGTCAGTCAAGTTTGATTTTTTTATACATATGTGCATCGGGGATGGACCGGGCTGAAAAAAAGTCGGATCGGTTTTTGGAAATTTCTTGGGTCGAAAAAACCCATGGTTTCTGGTTCTTGGGTCGTTTCAGTGAAAATTTTACTTCGGCCTAAATTCTCGTAATAGGAGGATTTATTTTTTAGTTGTCTAAATCAAGTTTTCGGTTCACCTGATTCCTACGTTAACCTTTAATGAGGTTATTAATTATTTTAATAATTACCCTACTTACCTATACCTTTACCCTACTCTGGGTGAAGGGCAATAGAGTGAAATTGGTAAGAAAGAAAATCTGCCCATTATGTACTTTCTTGAGGAAGAAAAAAATGGAGGAGGAGGGGGGGGGATAAAGTGGACTATTACCGTTTAGGGTCATCAGATATCTAGGTTAACCGTTAACGAGAAATTAATAAAATATTTAAGGTGTCAGCGGAATGTGAAGAAGTTGAGGAAGCAGCTGAAGAAGTTATGGAAGTAGCTGCAACAACAGCTAGCGAAGAATTTTTGAAAGGACTTTTTTGTGAGAACTTTTAAATTATTTTTAATTAATTCGAGGTATCTCTTCGACTTTCTCAGTCCGACCTCTATATTTATTGTTGTTATAAAAATTTGCCTTTTCAACTATTTTTGACTTAATAAATGTTTTAAATATTTATTTTGTTTAATATCCGTTTAATAACGATGATATTTTTTAATTTTGAACAATTAATGTGTTTATTCTTTATTTCAGCTTTTGAACAGATCTTAATCAAAAATTAAAAAAAAAATTTAAAAATGGCTGCTGAAGGAACTTCAACTGATCTTGACAATCTTCAACGAAAATATCAACAATTAATTGAAGAAAATAATCAAAAAGATAAGAAGATTCTTTCTTTGGAGCAACAAAGGGCAAAGGTAAAATTATTTTTCTCAGTGGAAAATTAGATATATTTAAGTGTTCAGGGTTGCCTGGGTTAAAAAAAAGTGGCTCAAGTTTTTGGAAAATTCGCTTGTATCGGGTTTCGGAAAAAAACCAAGTTTCGGGTCGTTTTTTGTTGAACTTTCCAATATTCAACAAAAAGTCGGGTTAAGTTTTGGGTCAAAAGAAACCAGATTTGAGACATCGGGTCCCTTCCAATATTTAAAACTTATTGATTTTTTAAAAATTTTGATTAAATTTTTTAAATTTCAGACGAATAAGAATAAGAGAGGAAAGAGAAAGGTTGGATTTTTTTTGGATTTCAACTAACTAATTAAGTTATTTTTAGACCAATCCTGGTCGTCAACAAAGAGAGAGACTGAAGAAAGCCAAAGCAGCAGCAACTACAACGAAAATGGATGAATCAACACAGGTTTTAGATACTATTAAAAAATTGTTAAATTGTAACAAATCATCGCTTGATTTTTGTATTCAAAGGATAGTTTTCCGTGTTTCGGTCCTTAGATCGGGCCACTTAAAAATTTAAACGGAATAAAATTTTGGTAATAGAATATTTTTAGTTATCTAAATTAGGTTCCAATGCTGTCGTGGTTACCTAACTTTTGGGTAAAGAGAAATAGAGTGAAATTGGTAAGAAAGAAAATCTGCCCATTATGTACTTTCTTGAGGAAGGAAAAATGGAGGGGAGGGGGGGATAAAGTGGACTATTACCGTTTAGGGTCATCAGATATCTAGGTTAACCGTTAACGAGAAATTAGTAAAATATTTAAGGTGACAGCGGAATGTGAAGAAGTTGAGGAAGCAGCTGAAGAAGTTATGGAAGTAGCTGCAACAACAGCTAACAAAGAATTTTTGAAAGGACTTTTTTTTGAGAATTTTTAAGAGAGATATCTCGTTGACTTTCGCAGTCCAATCTCTATGTTTCTTGTTGTTATAAAATTATTGCCTTTTTGACTGTTTTTGACTTAATAAATTTTTTAAATATTTATTTTGTTTATTATACGTTTAATAACGATGATATTTTTTTGATTTTGAACAATTAATGTGTTTACTCTTTATTTCAGCTTGTGAACAGATCTTAATCAAAAATTTAAATAATTTTAATAAAATGGCTGCTGAAGGAACTTCAAATAATTTTGACAATCTTCAAAATGAAGAGAAGGTTTTTTTCATTATTTTCCAAAGAACAGCTGAAGTGTAGTATACCTGAGGTAAAATTTCGATACAAAACACATCATTGGAGTCGAATGAGCTCGTCTTGCGTCGAATGGCCCCAAAATCTCCGTGATTGAATAAGATTGGGCAGTTAGAATAAAAGAACAAACAACGTAAACCTATGTCGGTGAGGTGTTTTGTATCGAATTTTGCTTCCGATATATGCACTACATCCCAAAGATTTGAAAATTTTTATTATATCAAAATTTTTATTCCTTTTTTTATTTCAGCCAACCCAAAAGAAGAGGAAGCGATGTGGGCCGGTGAGGAAATTTTAATTCAAGTTAACTAATTTAATAAATTTTAGAATCTCAATAAACAACAAAGACTAAAGAAGAAAATGGCTAAGATGGCACTTATTTCGAATGAACCTCCACCAAGTGTTGATCCTCAAGCTTTGGTCAGTCAAGTTTGATTTTTTATATCAGCCCCGGGTTCTTGGGTCGTGCCAGTGAAAATTCTACTTCGGCCTAAATTCTGGCAATAGAAGGATCTTATTTTTTAGTTGTCTAAATTATGTTTTCGGTTTACCTTATTCCGACGTTAACCTTTAATGAGGTTATTAATTATTTTAATAATTACCCTATTTACCTATACCTTTACCCTACTCTGGGTAAAGGGCAATAGAGTGAAATTGGTATGAAAGAAAATCTGCCTATTATCTACTTTCTTGAGGAAGGAAAATATGAAGGAGGGGGAGGAGGAGGGGGGGGGATAAAGTGAACTATTACCGTTTAGGTTCATCAGATATCTAGGTTAACCGTTAACGAGAAATTAGTAAAATATTTAAGGTGTCAGCGGAATGTGAAGAAGTTGAGGAAGCAGCTGAAGAAGTTATGGAAGTAGCTGCAACAACAGCTAGCGAAGAATTTTTGAAAGGACTTTTTTTTGAGAATTTTTAATTAATTCGAGATATCTCGTCGACTTCCCAGTCCGACCTCTATATTTATTGTTGTTATAAAATTTTGCCTTTACATTTGCCTCTTTTTGACTTAATAAATTTTTTATATTATTTATTTTGTCCAGTATGCGTTTAATAACGTTGGATATTTTTTTAATTTTTTTCCCATTCTTCTCTTTCGGCTTCTATCTCTTAATCCTAACAAATACGACTATCCGCTCAAATATTTGAAATTAACCTCAGGGGCGGTTTACCTTTGGACCTTTTTTCCATTTAAAAAGAATTTTTTCAAATTTTTATTTATTTAGCCTTAATCAAAAATTAAAAAAATTCTTTAATAATGGCTGCTGAAGGAACTTCAACTGATTTTGTCAATCTTCAACGAAAATGTCAACAATTAATTGAAGAAAATAATCAAAAAGATAAGAAGATTCTTTCTTTGGAGCAACAAAGGGCAAAGGTAAAAATATTTTTCTCATTGGAAAATTAGATATATTTAAGTGTTCAGGGTTTGCCTGGATTAAGAAAAAAATGTGGCTCAAGTTTTCGGAAAATTCGCTTGGATCGGGTTTCAGAAAAAAAACCCAGTTTTGGGTCGGTTTTTGTTGAACTTTCCAATATTCAACAAGAAGTCGGGCAAGTTTGGGTCAGAAGAAACCGAATTTGAGGCATCGGGTCCCTTCCAATATTTAAAACACATTTAGTGATTTTTTAAAAATTTTGATTAATTTTTTTTAATTTCAGAAGCCTAAAAAGAAGAATCGAGGGCCCGCATATGCGCTAAAACAGGTTGAAATTTTTTTTAATTCGAATTAAATCAGCTGATTTTAAGAAACTGGACAAAAAACAAAGAATGAGGTTGAAGAAGAAGAAGGCCCTTCTCGCGGCCACCCAAACAACTGAAGAAAATAAATTTGGAGATAATAATCTAACTGAAGCTTCTACACAGGTTCTTAGATATTAAAAAATTTTTTCTAAAGTTCAGTGGTCCTTGTAACATCTATAGATTGGGTAGATCGTTGACCTTAAATTCTGACAAACTGTCCCTTGATTTTCGTAAGGCTTAACGAGCCGGGTTTCGGGTCATTAGATTGTGTCACTTAAAAATTTAAACGGCTTAAAATTTTGGTAATAGAATATCTTTAGTTATCTAAATTAGTTTCCAATGCTGTTGTGGTTACCTAACTTTGGGTAAAGGACAATAGAGTGAAATTGGTAAGAAAGAAAATCTGCCCATTATGTACTTTCTTGAGGAAGGAAAAATGGAGGGGAGGGGGGGATAAAGTGGACTATTACCGTTTAAGCTCATCAGATATGTTAAGCTCATCAACCGTTAACGAAAAATTAGTAAAATATTTAAGGTGTCAGCGAAATGTGAAGAAGTTGAGGAAGCAGCTGAAGAAGTTATGGAAGTAGCTGCAACAACAGCTAGCGAAGAATTTTTGAAAGGACTTTTTTGTGAGAACTTTTAAATTATTTTTAATTAATTCGAGATATCTCGTCGACTTTCCCAGTCCGATCTCTATCCTATATTGTTGTTATAAAATTTTGCTTTTACAACTATTTTTGACTTAATAAATTTTTTATATATTTATTTTGTTTAGTATGCGTTTAATAACGTTGATATTTTTTAATTTTTAAGATATTATAGTGTAGTTGGAGAAAAAATGAGCGTATATTGATGAATGTAAGGTAGTTTATCACGTTATTTAGAGAAATTATAATAAATAGTATAGTTAGAGAAAAATAAATATTAGATGGTTGAGTCATTGAGTCCTGCTGGTTGAGTCCCTGAGCCATTGCGTTTTATAATAACTTATTGGGGACTCAACCGTCCTGACATAACGACGATCCTTAATGAACAGACGAATAATGATATCCTGTTGTTTAGAGAAATTATAAAAAAGAAATAGTGTAGTTAGAGAAAAAAATAAATATTAGTTTATGGCCAGTTCGGTGCTCATTTTGAGAGCGAAATAGCTTAAAAGCGATTTTTGTGAAAATTGAAAGAATCCTTTTGAATAAATTATTGATAATTATTGATTTTATCGATTTTTGGAAAGAATAAATTTTTAGCAATAATTATGATCAGTATCGATTTTTTAAAAATATAGATATTTAAAAATTATTTTTAATAATTATCGATTGATATCGATTTTATCGATCAGTAGTATCGTTTTTAGAAAATAAAATTTTTAAAAGAATTTCCTTCATCGCACTCAACTTCCGAACCCAACCGTCCTATTTAAATTATTCAACTTTCAGCCTTCAGACTCAACTGTCCAGTACTCAAAAGAATTAATTTTGGGATAAACTGTCATTTATTTGGCGCATGAGACATTACACCAAATTTTGGCACATTTTTAAATCGTATAAAATTATAAATTTTTCACAAAAGGAAAACTTTTTTTGCGACAATTTTTGTTATTAACTACGAGCGTTAGGACGCCGCTTCGCGGCGTCCTAACGCTCGTAAATCACCTAATTTTTTTCCAGACGAATCTTAACCATTGCAGGATCACCAAAATTTATAACTAAAATCCCTGATAGTATCCTTTAGTCCAGGATGATCTGATATCCATCTTAACCACCCTAAAATCAAAGATACACACTTTATCGCCAAAATCATTTCCCGTCACCATCTTAATTACCAATCCAAATCCTTTGAAATGTCATTTATTACACATTCAATCTCAGTTTTCACCATTTATCCATCGAACTTACAACTCCATTGGTATCCCTCAAATTACCCCCAAATCCCAAATATCACTAATTCCCTTTGTTGTTCCTCTACAAAGCCCGAATTCTGAAAAACACCTATAGCCCTCAAAACATATTAAATCCCTCTTAATCAAACAGTCACAGATATCAGAATTTATCCTGGAAATCCTCAGAGATCTCTTTTAACATTATACTCTTAATCACTATCCTAAATCTTTATACCTTTTAAGCGCCACAAACCTCTATCTCCTTACTGTCTGATTTTACTCTCACACAAATCCGCTAATATCCAACTTAATCACCTTCCAGATATCACACTATAATCCAAAACCCCACATTTTCTATTATATTCATCATCTTAATCATCTCAAATCCTCTTCCAGATGTCCTCAAAAACCCAGATACAAAAGAATTCAAATCCTCTATTATCCCTCTTTTTCATCTTTTATGCTCAAAATTCTCTGATGTCTCTCTTATCGCCCTCTAACCTCTTTTTCGAAATCTTCTGATCCTCAAACACCCTCATTATTAGCTATCAGCTTTTTCCTAAAATCATATGTAGATATAATTCTTTAGCCCCAAAAATCTTTGTTATTTTCTTTAAACATGTACATATATAAATTCTCTGATATCTCTCTTAATCCCCTTCCCCACCCAAAATCTCACATAACCCTTTTTATCACTCCAAATCCTTTTATTTATATGTCGTCTAAAACTTGATGTCACTTTTTATTCCCCTGAAGTTCCAGCTGTCAACCTTGATTCCTCTAGATCCCCTCTTATCTTTTTTTTATTTCCCAAAATCCCAGATACCAACCATTATCCTCCCAAAATAATCATGATACTCTTTATTCCCTAACTCGCTAATATCATTTTTTCACAAAACCTGATCCCTTAATCATCGATTAGTTCACGTTCCAAGCCAGCAGATATCCTTACTAATACCAAACTCCTCAATTCGAACTCCTCAATTCCTTTATCAATCTTAACCCTCACCCAAAAAATTCCCTAGCGATCTCCGAATTCCCCTTTTTCACTCTTTTCAACTCTAAATACCAATATTCCTTTTATCCTCAAATACTATTTTTCAATCATAAAAATCCACTAAATTCCCCATGTATACCTCTTAATCCCCTCAACTCTCTAATATTCCTATTAATCACACAAATTCCTGGTCCCTCTTAACCCAACAGATTGAACACTCCCAAATCACTGCTATCCCTATTAATCCCTATACCTCTTTATATTAGTTGTTATTAAGGGATAGTCGTTTTTATAGGGAAAATCGTTTTTTAATTAAGGGATAGTCGTTTTTATAGGGAAAGTCGTTTTTTTATTAAGGGATAGACGTTTTTTTCTTAGTCGCAAATATTATAGTTATTTAGTCATTATTTTTTTACATCATTAGTTAGTCAATACTTACTTAGTCGCTACAAATACAGCTCTAAATCATTTTGTCTCCCCAAAAACATTCTTGATGTCCAAAATTTCTAAAACCGTTATTAATCAACTGAATCCACCTACATCACTCTTATTTATTCCAAAGTCCAATACACCACTCTTACTCACTCCAAAATCCACGAAAACTATTAAACCTAAAATACCTCTATATCACTCTTAATCATTCCCAAAATCGATGATAACCTTAATTCACATATCACATTATATCACTCTTAATCTCCAACAGATATCTCGAATCACCATTAACAGCCAAACTTACTAATCCCCAAAATCCCCGTTATATCTAGTAACCCCTATCCCATAATATCATTCTTTTTCGCCCTGCTAATCCTCAAATACTATTTTTACAGTGATCACTCAAAAATTTACGGTAACCCTCTTAATCCAAACATCACTCTCATTTGTTAGTGACCACCAAATACGCAATATCATCTTAACCCCTTAAAGCAGCAGATATCTTCATAATTAAATTTCTGATATCGCTATTAATCACCCAAATTCCTTTTATCATTCTTAATCACCCAGGAATCTCTATTTCCCTATTAATCCACTAATCCCTCTAAATCACTATTAACCATTTCCATATCCTTATTTATCACCAAGTACTCCTGGTAAACATCTTACGAATCACTGATCCCACATATTTATTATACCATAATTAATTTTTACCTATACCTTTACCCTACTCTGGGTAAAGGGCAATAGAGTGAAATTGGTATGAAAGAAAATCTGCCTATTATCTACTTTCTTGAGGAAGGAAAATATGAAGGAGGGGGAGGAGGAGGGGGGGGGGGATAAAGTGAACTATTACCGTTTAGGTTCATCAGATATCTGGGTTAACCGTTAACGAGAAATTAGTAAAATATTTAAGGTGTCAGCGGAATGTGAAGAAGTTGAGGAAGCAGCTGAAGAAGTTATGGAAGTAGCTGCAACAACAGCTAGCGAAGAATTTTTGAAAGGACTTTTTTTTGAGAATTTTTAATTAATTCGAGATATCTCGTCGACTTCCCAGTCCGACCTCTATATTTATTGTTGTTATAAAATTTTGCCTTTACATTTGCCTCTTTTTGACTTAATAAATTTTTTATATTATTTATTTTGTCCAGTATGCGTTTAATAACGTTGGATATTTTTTTAATTTTTTTCCCATTCTTCTCTTTCGGCTTCTATCTCTTAATCCTAACAAATACGACTATCCGCTCAAATATTTGAAATTAACCTCAGGGGCGGTTTACCTTTGGACCTTTTTTCCATTTAAAAAGAATTTTTTCAAATTTTTATTTATTTAGCCTTAATCAAAAATTAAAAAAATTCTTTAATAATGGCTGCTGAAGGAACTTCAACTGATTTTGTCAATCTTCAACGAAAATGTCAACAATTAATTGAAGAAAATAATCAAAAAGATAAGAAGATTCTTTCTTTGGAGCAACAAAGGGCAAAGGTAAAAATATTTTTCTCATTGGAAAATTAGATATATTTAAGTGTTCAGGGTTTGCCTGGATTAAGAAAAAAATGTGGCTCAAGTTTTCGGAAAATTCGCTTGGATCGGGTTTCAGAAAAAAAACCCAGTTTTGGGTCGGTTTTTGTTGAACTTTCCAATATTCAACAAGAAGTCGGGCAAGTTTGGGTCAGAAGAAACCGAATTTGAGGCATCGGGTCCCTTCCAATATTTAAAACACATTTAGTGATTTTTTAAAAATTTTGATTAATTTTTTTTAATTTCAGAAGCCTAAAAAGAAGAATCGAGGGCCCGCATATGCGCTAAAACAGGTTGAAATTTTTTTTAATTCGAATTAAATCAGCTGATTTTAAGAAACTGGACAAAAAACAAAGAATGAGGTTGAAGAAGAAGAAGGCCCTTCTCGCGGCCACCCAAACAACTGAAGAAAATAAATTTGGAGATAATAATCTAACTGAAGCTTCTACACAGGTTCTTAGATATTAAAAAATTTTTTCTAAAGTTCAGTGGTCCTTGTAACATCTATAGATTGGGTAGATCGTTGACCTTAAATTCTGACAAACTGTCCCTTGATTTTCGTAAGGCTTAACGAGCCGGGTTTCGGGTCATTAGATTGTGTCACTTAAAAATTTAAACGGCTTAAAATTTTGGTAATAGAATATCTTTAGTTATCTAAATTAGTTTCCAATGCTGTTGTGGTTACCTAACTTTGGGTAAAGGACAATAGAGTGAAATTGGTAAGAAAGAAAATCTGCCCATTATGTACTTTCTTGAGGAAGGAAAAATGGAGGGGAGGGGGGGATAAAGTGGACTATTACCGTTTAAGCTCATCAGATATGTTAAGCTCATCAACCGTTAACGAAAAATTAGTAAAATATTTAAGGTGTCAGCGAAATGTGAAGAAGTTGAGGAAGCAGCTGAAGAAGTTATGGAAGTAGCTGCAACAACAGCTAGCGAAGAATTTTTGAAAGGACTTTTTTGTGAGAACTTTTAAATTATTTTTAATTAATTCGAGATATCTCGTCGACTTTCCCAGTCCGATCTCTATCCTATATTGTTGTTATAAAATTTTGCTTTTACAACTATTTTTGACTTAATAAATTTTTTATATATTTATTTTGTTTAGTATGCGTTTAATAACGTTGATATTTTTTAATTTTTAAGATATTATAGTGTAGTTGGAGAAAAAATGAGCGTATATTGATGAATGTAAGGTAGTTTATCACGTTATTTAGAGAAATTATAATAAATAGTATAGTTAGAGAAAAATAAATATTAGATGGTTGAGTCATTGAGTCCTGCTGGTTGAGTCCCTGAGCCATTGCGTTTTATAATAACTTATTGGGGACTCAACCGTCCTGACATAACGACGATCCTTAATGAACAGACGAATAATGATATCCTGTTGTTTAGAGAAATTATAAAAAAGAAATAGTGTAGTTAGAGAAAAAAATAAATATTAGTTTATGGCCAGTTCGGTGCTCATTTTGAGAGCGAAATAGCTTAAAAGCGATTTTTGTGAAAATTGAAAGAATCCTTTTGAATAAATTATTGATAATTATTGATTTTATCGATTTTTGGAAAGAATAAATTTTTAGCAATAATTATGATCAGTATCGATTTTTTAAAAATATAGATATTTAAAAATTATTTTTAATAATTATCGATTGATATCGATTTTATCGATCAGTAGTATCGTTTTTAGAAAATAAAATTTTTAAAAGAATTTCCTTCATCGCACTCAACTTCCGAACCCAACCGTCCTATTTAAATTATTCAACTTTCAGCCTTCAGACTCAACTGTCCAGTACTCAAAAGAATTAATTTTGGGATAAACTGTCATTTATTTGGCGCATGAGACATTACACCAAATTTTGGCACATTTTTAAATCGTATAAAATTATAAATTTTTCACAAAAGGAAAACTTTTTTTGCGACAATTTTTGTTATTAACTACGAGCGTTAGGACGCCGCTTCGCGGCGTCCTAACGCTCGTAAATCACCTAATTTTTTTCCAGACGAATCTTAACCATTGCAGGATCACCAAAATTTATAACTAAAATCCCTGATAGTATCCTTTAGTCCAGGATGATCTGATATCCATCTTAACCACCCTAAAATCAAAGATACACACTTTATCGCCAAAATCATTTCCCGTCACCATCTTAATTACCAATCCAAATCCTTTGAAATGTCATTTATTACACATTCAATCTCAGTTTTCACCATTTATCCATCGAACTTACAACTCCATTGGTATCCCTCAAATTACCCCCAAATCCCAAATATCACTAATTCCCTTTGTTGTTCCTCTACAAAGCCCGAATTCTGAAAAACACCTATAGCCCTCAAAACATATTAAATCCCTCTTAATCAAACAGTCACAGATATCAGAATTTATCCTGGAAATCCTCAGAGATCTCTTTTAACATTATACTCTTAATCACTATCCTAAATCTTTATACCTTTTAAGCGCCACAAACCTCTATCTCCTTACTGTCTGATTTTACTCTCACACAAATCCGCTAATATCCAACTTAATCACCTTCCAGATATCACACTATAATCCAAAACCCCACATTTTCTATTATATTCATCATCTTAATCATCTCAAATCCTCTTCCAGATGTCCTCAAAAACCCAGATACAAAAGAATTCAAATCCTCTATTATCCCTCTTTTTCATCTTTTATGCTCAAAATTCTCTGATGTCTCTCTTATCGCCCTCTAACCTCTTTTTCGAAATCTTCTGATCCTCAAACACCCTCATTATTAGCTATCAGCTTTTTCCTAAAATCATATGTAGATATAATTCTTTAGCCCCAAAAATCTTTGTTATTTTCTTTAAACATGTACATATATAAATTCTCTGATATCTCTCTTAATCCCCTTCCCCACCCAAAATCTCACATAACCCTTTTTATCACTCCAAATCCTTTTATTTATATGTCGTCTAAAACTTGATGTCACTTTTTATTCCCCTGAAGTTCCAGCTGTCAACCTTGATTCCTCTAGATCCCCTCTTATCTTTTTTTTATTTCCCAAAATCCCAGATACCAACCATTATCCTCCCAAAATAATCATGATACTCTTTATTCCCTAACTCGCTAATATCATTTTTTCACAAAACCTGATCCCTTAATCATCGATTAGTTCACGTTCCAAGCCAGCAGATATCCTTACTAATACCAAACTCCTCAATTCGAACTCCTCAATTCCTTTATCAATCTTAACCCTCACCCAAAAAATTCCCTAGCGATCTCCGAATTCCCCTTTTTCACTCTTTTCAACTCTAAATACCAATATTCCTTTTATCCTCAAATACTATTTTTCAATCATAAAAATCCACTAAATTCCCCATGTATACCTCTTAATCCCCTCAACTCTCTAATATTCCTATTAATCACACAAATTCCTGGTCCCTCTTAACCCAACAGATTGAACACTCCCAAATCACTGCTATCCCTATTAATCCCTATACCTCTTTATATTAGTTGTTATTAAGGGATAGTCGTTTTTATAGGGAAAATCGTTTTTTAATTAAGGGATAGTCGTTTTTATAGGGAAAGTCGTTTTTTTATTAAGGGATAGACGTTTTTTTCTTAGTCGCAAATATTATAGTTATTTAGTCATTATTTTTTTACATCATTAGTTAGTCAATACTTACTTAGTCGCTACAAATACAGCTCTAAATCATTTTGTCTCCCCAAAAACATTCTTGATGTCCAAAATTTCTAAAACCGTTATTAATCAACTGAATCCACCTACATCACTCTTATTTATTCCAAAGTCCAATACACCACTCTTACTCACTCCAAAATCCACGAAAACTATTAAACCTAAAATACCTCTATATCACTCTTAATCATTCCCAAAATCGATGATAACCTTAATTCACATATCACATTATATCACTCTTAATCTCCAACAGATATCTCGAATCACCATTAACAGCCAAACTTACTAATCCCCAAAATCCCCGTTATATCTAGTAACCCCTATCCCATAATATCATTCTTTTTCGCCCTGCTAATCCTCAAATACTATTTTTACAGTGATCACTCAAAAATTTACGGTAACCCTCTTAATCCAAACATCACTCTCATTTGTTAGTGACCACCAAATACGCAATATCATCTTAACCCCTTAAAGCAGCAGATATCTTCATAATTAAATTTCTGATATCGCTATTAATCACCCAAATTCCTTTTATCATTCTTAATCACCCAGGAATCTCTATTTCCCTATTAATCCACTAATCCCTCTAAATCACTATTAACCATTTCCATATCCTTATTTATCACCAAGTACTCCTGGTAAACATCTTACGAATCACTGATCCCACATATTTATTATACCATAATTAAACAAACAAAATCACCGATATCCCTCTTAATACCCAAAAATTCATTTTAAGTCATTGAACACTAAAACCCGTTTTAACTCTTAATCATCAATATTAATTCCTAAAATTCTCTTATATCACTTATAAGGGATTAATTAATTTAAATCATCAAGATTTTTTAATCCAAAATTTTTAACTACAAACCGAAAACAATCCTTATCTCCTTCTTATTAACTTCAAAATCGTCGATACTTCCTAAATCCTTGCAAATCCCACAATACTGTAATAATCCGTCTCAAACCCCAATATCGCATTTAATCATCTCAAAATCTTTGATATCCATCTTAATCCCCAAGCTACCCCAAATCACCGATATCACATTTTTTTTCAAAAAACCTGTTAATCCCTAATGCCCGATAACCCCCTTAAAATAGCATCTTCACATTTAAACGCCAAAAATCCTTAATATTCACGTTTGCAACGAAATGATCCCTTATATATGTATACCAAAATTTACCTATATCCCAATTAATTACTCTAATTCCCTAATATCTTACTGAAACTAAAAAATTTTAATCAAAATCCTTTATATCCCAGTTAATTCCGAGTATTACCTTAAACATACACAATAGTAATTTCTCGGAATAGTCTATATCTCTTTTAATCCTACGAATTCTCCCAAATCCCCGATATCTCTATTAATTTCAAAAATCCGCCTTTCAATTTCTATTTGCAAAAAAACACGATATTCTTATAAGTTCGCTCAAATCCCTGATTTAATCACTCATACTATTAATTCCAGAAAATCCCATAATATATCCATAATAATCTCCAGTTACTTGATATTCCTCACAACCCACATATCAAATCCACATATGTATATCAACCCATTTATCACCCTTCAATAACTCACCGATATCCTTTTAAAGCACACAAATCTGCGTTCTTATCAGCGTTTATTCATTCTGATTCCCAATTTCTTTTTTAATTACACCGGTTCTCCGCTATACCCCTCAAATCCACATATATCACTCCTCACTCATTATTTTTTCCTCTAGATCCTCGATATTCCTCTACGATTCTCTTTTACTGCCCCTAATCCTCATATTTCACTTCACTTTAATCTCTGGTATACCTCTTAATCGCCCAAAAACCCCATATCACCCCATTTTTCATATCACCTATGTTCCCCTCATTTTTGACTCTAACACTTTACAAAACCTCTCGTTAACCTTATTACTCAAATCACCGATACCACCTCAAATTCCACATACCCAATTATCCACAAATACCTTTAATAATTTCTAGTACCGTATTCCTCCATCTCAAGGTTCTAACCGACAGATTCCCATTTATTTCTTTTAAATCCTCGATATCCTTTTGACTCTAATGATGTAACATTAAAGTTTATGTTTGCGACTAATTAGCTGCGATTAACTAAAAATTAACTGCCTGCGAGTAAAAGGCAGACGGCTGGTAACTGTCGCGTCTAAATGGCAGATGGCTGGTTGTTTTTGTTTACACTTAACTTTACCATTAAAAATTAGAGAAAAAGAATTTTTTCTCTCTTATTTTTAAAAAAGAAAACTTTTCGTGTCAAAACAAATTCTGTTTTTCTTTTTAAAAAAGGACAAAAAGCGTGACGGAAAGTGTGAAATTATATTGTTAATAACAATTTTTGGATGATTATCAAGACTTTGAAGAGTAAAATTTAATAAACTAAAAAACTATAAAGTATTTATCATGATTTTAAAAAACTGGAAATTTAAAAATATAACAATCAAAATTTTCAACTGAAATATGTTCTAGGATTACGTAATCTTCGTAAATGTGTTGTTGTTGTCGATCCAGAAGTTGTTGAAGAACCTAGAAGTGAAGTATTTGAAGAATTATTAGAAGAGGATGAAGTAACAAAAAAATAATTGTGTTTCCCCCTTCTGGTACAGTAACCATTTCGCACTGAACCTGGGCACTAAAACGGCTGCACACGACCGAATTTATTTATGCTCTCTATCCTAAAATTTTTCTCTTTAATTTTGTCTCTAACCCACTATTTTTTTAATTATTCTTCTCTAATTTTGTAGATGTCTTTTACTTTTAAAAGGTACTGAGGACATTTGAGTATCGTGAACGGAATAAGTTTTATGTCCATAACTTTTTCCAATATTAATAATGAAAAGAATTTTTTATATCATTCGAAAGGTCTCGACATATCGCATCTTTATTGTAATTAGACTAATCCAATCTAAACATCATACAAAAAGTTTGGGTGATATACCATATTGCTGGCAGAAAAAAAGCAATTTTATAGCTGTAACTTCTTTTTGGATGTTTAGATCAGCTTTACAATGAGTGAAATGCATTGAGGATTCCGATACTAATAAAAAGTTCACTCTGATTTACTCAATCTGGTTTTTAAATACTGATAATTGCGTTTCCCACTTCTTGTACAGTAACCATTTCACAATGAACTGAGGCACTGAAACGGCTTCAAACACCCATTTAATTATGCTCTCTACCCATCAAATTTTTCTCTTTAATTTTGTCTCTAACACACTATTTTTTCCCTTATTCTTCTCTAATTTTGTAGACATCATTTACTTAAAATCCCATAATACGGGTAGAGGGGACACTTGAGTATCGTTAATGGAATAGTGTTTTATGGCTATCTCTTTCTAACATTAATAATGAAAGGGATTTCATATATTATTCGAAAGGTCTCGAGATGCCGCATCTTTTTTATAATTACACTAATCCGACATAAACATCCTACAAAAAGTTATAGGTAATATACCATATCTTGCTCTGATTTTTTAAATTTTTCTTACCGAATTCTGATGCTGGTCTTGATGCAACCATTGCGTATCAATTACCAACGGGTAATGAGTAATTCTCTGCATTGGCAAAGAAAAAAAAATAAAAAAAACAACAAAAAAATAATAAAAATAATAATAAAAAGCAAAAAAAACTGTTTATCACAAATATCGGGTAATACTAATCCTTGTTTTAAACGAGCTTCTAATTCTACGAGTAAATGTTCGCTACCATCACGAATTGCCAAAAATATTGCTATATAAAAAAAGAAATACATATTTCAATCATTAGAAAAAGTAAACATTTTCCGGAAAAATATAAATTTTAAGAATAGAATATTTACCTAAATAATTGTTTCCTTTCAGAACTCTGAAAAGAAATTTATTTATTCAAAAATTAAAAATATACAACGAAAGGGAGTCCACTAACATCGTTGTCGGATAAATTTAAATAAAGTTTAAGTCAAAAAAAAAGTCATAAATGGGAGGTTCCGGAAAAATATAAATTTTAAAAATAAAAAGAATATTCACCTAAATAATTGTTTCCTTTCAGAACTCTGAAAAAAAATTAAAATTAAAATTCATAAAAAATTATTTTACCGTTATCACAGATTGTGTATTTTTGCTTCCCATTAATTCTGGTGCTGACATAAAATGTGAAATCAGAAAAGAAATCTATAAAAAAATTAAAAATATTTTAAATAAAATTAAGAAACGAACAGAGCGCAAATAGGAAGCTTCTGATGTAATTACCTAAAAAGAATTTTTAAAAAAAATTTATTCGTATATTTTTCTAACCTCAAAATAGGCTTCTTGCAGCTTTCTCTGATCATCGTTCAGTTGTTCTAGAATACCAGATTCTTTCACTTCTAAAAATTCTGATTATATATTTTATAGTTATATTTTAGGAATAAATTATTTAATTCTTCCGGAAGAAGTATAATTTTCCGGAAAAATATGTTTAATTATTCCGGAAAAAATTAACTTTCCGGAAGAAATATAATTTTCAGAAATAGAGAACTTAGATTTTCCGGAAAATACAAATTCATATTTTATAAATTCTGATTTTTCCGAAACCAATTAATTTATTCTTTCATAATTATAAAATTCTGATTTTTCTATAAAAATTAATTACCTGGCAATTCACACCATAACGAGCGTTGTGAAGCGAAAATACTCTGGCCAAGAAGACGTTCACGTTTTAAAGGACGAATAATGAGTGAATCAGCTAAAAATTCAAATTAATTTTTGAAATAAAGATTTAATTTTTTACCTCTTCCCGAATCTGTTGTAGAAGAGGAATGTCTTCGAATAACTGCTGAGGAATTACTGGCAGAACAACTTCTACTAATACTAGTTGGATCTGAAGGATGTTGTTGTTGTTCGTCCGATTCTGGATAACCACTAACGAAAAAATTTTTTTAGAAACAATAAAATTTTGGTTGAAAATTATTCAAAAGGTTAACATGGAAATTCTAATTTTTCGAAAATATTTATATTTTTTTATTCCGGAAAATATAAATTATGATTCTTCCGTAAATATAGATTCTGATTCCTCCGGAAATGTAAATTCTGATTTCCCAGAAAAATTTATTTTTATTCCGGAGTGTATAAATTCTGATTTTTCTAAGTTATATTCTTCCCGAAATATAAATTCTGATTCTTCCGGAAATATTTCTAAAATATTTTCCTGAATTTTATTTTAAACAAACTCACCTATCTATTTCATCCTTTTCTTCTTCCTCCTCTTCACTCTTCTTTTCACCTTCCCCATCTTCTTCATCAATTTCAGTCTCTCCTCCTCCTTTCCTTTTTAACAAAATTTTTTTCTTTCCAATATTTAAAATTTCTTCAATAGGTTCCAAAGAATCATTAATTCTTTGTTGTTCTTGTAATAAATAAATTTGATAAAGAGGTTGTTGATCGGGTAATTTAGAATATAATGAAGCAAATTTTGAAGAAAGTTGTTGCTCTTCAAAATCATCATCTTTTAATTTTTTTAAATGATTATTTGTTGTTGCTTGTTCGTCTAGTACAAGTTGATAATTATTTTCTTCAACTGTTTTTGAAGTCTTGTTGTTTTCCATAACTGAAATAAAAATATAATTAAAATTTTTCCGGAAATAATATATTTTTCTTCAGGAAAATAAATTAGAATCTTCCGGAAATGTCTATTTTTATTTTTATTCCGGAAAATAGTTAAAAACTCTTATAATTAGTTCGAAAGTTTCAATCAAGAGGGTATTCAGTGCCTGTATATCTTAAATTGAAATCCACCAATTTCTAAAAAAGTAAGTGATAAAAAAATTGAGTGATCTCATACAGTAAACCAACATTCTCGATCACTTTCATTTTCAGCACTTTAAAGTAAACAACAAAAATAATTCTAGAGGACGTCGAATCTGCGTCTTATCCTACACAAACCAGTGGCACACTACCAACTTATGCGCTTGTATAACCCCGTACAAATAATTTAACAAACCTCTCAAGTCTCATTAGGAATCAGTTTGCCATTTGCCCCTATATTCAAACATTCAGTTAGTTCCTGAAAACAAAATATATCATCCCTTTCAGTCAACCAAAAAACCTGAATGAACTCTGCAGCCTCTCTTCTGTATTTAAGTTCAGCAGCCGAATCCATTGACATTCTTGATGGAAGCCTCGCAAGCTCATCGTCCGCAAAATACCATTTTGGTTTCTTTCCAAGTTTGCCAGATGATGGAACTGGTTCTGTCAACCTTCAAGTAAGATCTGGAATGATTTTATGTAATTCTAAAAAATTCCCCCAATTCTAATAGGATTAATAGACTAAAGAACAAGTTAATGGAAGATTTTTATCAAAAAAATAATCGAGGGGGAGGAACCTTTATTAATGGATTAATCTTATGGAGAAATTTCTGCAGACAAAACTTGCAGACTTTTGCTAAAAATATTAAAAACAAACCATCATTTTTATATTTGGTATCTTTTGATCATCGATTGCTGTTGACGGTTCTGTTGTTATTGTTGGTGCTGGTCTAGTGTTAAAATTAACGGGAAATCCCCGAAGGAAGGAAACAAAACTCCACGGCACTGACCTACAAGAGACTCACAGGCACTGACCGCTGAGATAACTCAACGGCACTGACCTACGAGAGACTCACAGGCACTGACCGACGAGATATCTCACTGGCACTGACCTACAAGTGACTCACGGGCGCTGACCGCTGAGATTACTCAACGGCACTGACCTACAAGAAACTCACAGGTACTGACCGACAAGATATCTCACTGGCACTGACCTACAAGAGACTCACAGGCACTGACCGCTGAGATTACTCAACGGCACTGACCTACAAGAAACTCACAGGTACTGACCGACAAGATATCTCACTGGCACTGACCTACAAGAGACTCACAGGCGCTGACCGCTGAGATTACTCAACGGCACTGACCAACAAGAAACTCACAGGCACTGACCGACAAGATAACTCACCAAAAAAACCCCAAAAGGACACCTCACCCAAAGAAACCCCAGAGACAACCCCAAAACCTGAACATGAAGAAGCATGTTGATGCAGCTTTCTTCTATATTTCAGTTCAGCAGCCGAATCATAGACATTCTAGATAGAAGCCTAGCAAGCTCATCGTCCGCAAAATACCATTTTGGTTTCATTCCAATTTGCTAGATGATGGAACTGGTTCTGTCATCTTTCAAATAAGATCTATAAAATTAAAAGATGAGAATAAGTAATCAAGGCTGTAGGATTGTAAAGAAAAAGGTGGGTCTAACCAAAAATCCTCCTTAGAAAATAGAATAAATCAATCAAGAAGAGAACTAGGAAGAGATCAATAGTGAACTCTTAAAGTTCGAAATTCCCCTCAAAAAATTAAAGAAAAACCTTCAGTAGATCCACCAATAAAATAATATGGAATGTCAGCTCCAGGCGTTCTGCCAGGTTTATCTTCTTCAATTGGAGCCGAATCCAAATCATCGGCATTCCATCTGTTTCTAAGCTGAAATAGAGAATAAAAATGACACATTAATTATTCAAAATTTAAGAAAATATTCAACGTATTTAAACGGATATTGCATAAAAAATTATTTAAAAAATTTAATAATAAATTATATTTAATTAAAATTTTAAAAAATTATAAAAAATCATATGTCAATTTGAAATAAAAAATTTTGGGAACAAAAATAAAATGACAAATAGAAAAATTAAAAAAGACAATTTTTGTGATAAAAAATAGGTTTTTAATAAAACATTTGAAAAGGGTCATCACTGTAATAAAATTCTTTAAGAATTGTATGCTTTGAAATATCATAAATAAAAGGTTTTGTCTCCAAATCATTTCCAAAGTTGGCTTTAATTGAACATCGTTGTAATGAAATACATGGTTTATACGAGTCAGAATTATAAGTCAATAAAACTGCTTTACCTTAAAAATACATTTTTTAAAAATATTTTTGTAATATTTACCAATTTGTTTTCCATTTTGTGTGAAGAAAGCATATGGAAGTTCATGTAATTTATTATTTGGTGGATAAACTAATCCGCAACCAAAAACGTCGTTGTTATTAAAAGCAAAATGATCAATTTTGAAAAATTTAGATTCTTCGAGTTTAATTGTTGCATGATGTGCAAACAATCTAATGCATTCATCCTTATTTAAATCAGCAAGAGAAAACGTCATCTTATTTTCTTTCTCATCTTTTTGATATATACATTTAATTTCAAAATAAAACGAAGAATAATTAAAACAATTTTGTGGTCTTTTGAATGCATTTTCAGCCATAACAGAAAGGGATTGATCAAAACCTAAAAATATTTATAACTTAAAATTCAGTATAATTTTTACGGGACTTGGCTAGAAGGCTAAAATTTTGGCTATAATAACAAACGTATGATTATCTAAATTCTCCAAAAATTCCAGAATTTTTGAGCTATTCTTTCAGAAATTATGATCAAAAATGTCGATTCTCCGAAAAATGTATAATTTGTTAAGGTCCAAAACTTGAAAAATATTTGATGAAAATCTTCATAAATTTAGGTTTCCCCTTAAGTGTCAGTTGCTAGTCCCGTGCTAAAACGGCCCCAACCCATTTTTACCTTTCTCCTCCATACAATTAGTGTATTTAATATTTTCATCATCAATTATATTTCCAAAACCATTTCCATTAATACAAGTACCAAAAGGGTTGTTTGAATTAATGCAGTTTTTAGAACAACAAATAAAATTCCAATTATTTCTTCTCCATTTGTTTTTAATTTGGACAAATTTCTTGAAAAAATTATTTGATAATTCTAATATTTAAATTTTAAACTAACCACAGAATTTAAATTATTCACAGCATTAGTCATATTACTTGAACTTTGAGTAAACTCATCATCAGAATCATCAGGACTTCCAACCACTTCGAAAAACATATGTTTAATATCATCCAAAGAAGCTTGAACACGGCATGTTGGACAATTTTCTGCCTAAAAATAAGAGAACAAAAAATTATTAAATCAAAAAATTAGCATTTAAAAATAAATTTCCTTACCCCAGCAATCCAAAAGGTAATACATCCTTCGTGGAATGTGTGATTACAATTTTTCAAACTATAAACTTCATCATGATTTAATTCATCGAGGCAAATAATACATTTGAAGGGAGTTTTTTTGCGATTCTGAAAAATTAAAAGATTCAGAGTATAAGCCCATCTGTATTAAAAGTCCATCTCTACTATAGACCCATGCAAATAAAAAATAAGCCTATTCTCTAATAGAAGCCTAATTAAAGATATATTGAAAAATATAAGCCCGTGTCTTTAAATTAAATGAAAATAGATACAACTTAATTTTTTCAATTTTTTAAATTTAATTTAATAAACTAACCAAATATTTATTGTACAATTTGTTGTATTTAATTGCGGACACATAATTTTTGTTGTCAAATAAATCATTTGCCTTCTCCTATAAATTAAATTTTAATAATAATTTTAAAATTAGTTTTTGATTTATAGATGCATATAAGGGACGAGTAAGGGTTACCCAAAACCTTTTTAGATATTAAAAAATAAAGGTCCAAAGAATATAGCTTATTGATGAAATGTTTTTCTTGAATATTAAAAGTTTCGATATTAAGCAGCTCAAATATTTCCTCAATTCTCGTTAATGACCCGAAACCAGGCTCGTTAAATCTTACGAAAATCAAAGGACAATTTGTCACAACTTAAGGTCAACAATCTACAGTTATTATAAGGACCACTGGACTTCAAAAAACTTTTTAATAATATCTAAAAACCTGTGTAGAAGAAGCATCTACTTCAGTTGTAGTTGTTTCTTCAATAACATCATCATCATCTCCAATTTTATTTTCTTCTGTTGCTTGAGTGGCCGCAAGAAGGGCATTGTTCCTCCTCATCCTTCTTCGCTGTTGACTGCCAATCTTCTAAAAATTTGCTGAATTAATTGAAATTTAAAGAAAATTTCCCACCCGTTTTAGCGCACGTGCAGGTCCACGATTCTTTTTAGGCTTCTGAAATAAAAAAAAATTAAACAAAATTTTTAAAAAATCACTAAATAGGTTTTAGCTAAAGGAACGCAGCAACCAAAACACGGAACTAAAACAAAAATCAACCTTTTGAGGTGCTGTTGATAATCCTTCTTCAGCCATTTCATGTTCAATATTTGTTGATAATCCTTCCTCAGCCATTTTTTGTAGAGAAATTTTAATATTTTTGATGAATAAAGGCTAAATTAATGAAAATAATAATTAAATTTACAAAAAAAATTTTTTCATGGTATCAAACCCAGAAGGTCTAAACTGCCCCTGTGGATAACTTCAAATGTTTTAGCGGATAGTTAGATTTGTTAGGAAGATACTGAAGACGGAAGAGAAGACGAAAAAAGAGCAGAGGGAATTCTTATTTAATAGAAAATCAAAAAAATTCTCAAAAATATTCACCGTTCTTAAACGGATATTAACAAAGATAAATATTAAAAAAATTAATTTAAAAAATTTATTCAAAAAATTTAATTTTTAAAAATCAAAAAATTAAACAAACAAACAAATTTTTGCACAAAAATAAAATATTTAAAAAATTTTTAATCTTGTTTATTCTGCTGAAGATCTTGTTGTTGTTGGTGTTGACGTGGTGGTGTTGATGTAGAAGAGACAACAGCAGCATTTCCAGAAGTAATCATTAATTGTGGAGGAGGCAAACTGAAAAAACAATAAAATTAAAAAGACATTTATAAGAAAATAAGGAAAAGAAATAAAGAAATATATTAAGGAAAAGCCTCAGAAATTTACCAATTAAAAATAAGAATATCCGTGACTTAAGTTTTAACAAACACCCGAATGGAAGGCCCACTATGGGGCAGTTGAGAAAATTCGAAGAAAAAAAACTTCCAAACCTAAGCAAAGAAGGAATACATGTAGAAGTAACAATTGTTGATTGTTGCTGTTGTTGTTCCAAATGTTTTAACGGACTGGAAGTAGTACAAGAGACAACATTAGAAGAATTAATCATGATTTGTGGTGGAGGTATTAAACTGAAAATTAAAAAAAAAATAAAATTAAAATGGTGAAATGAAAAGATTTTTTATAGGCTACTAAATATTGTTTTGTAATATTTGATATCAATCCTCATGCTTTGAAAGTTTACTGGAAAAATTAAAAGCAAAAAGGTTTTTTCACTTTGGTTAAGTGGGAAAATTTTTGAAAATAGGAGAAAGGTTCGAACCCGCTCGGGGTAAAATTTTTTTCCAAAATTTCAAAAAAATTGGATGACTAGGAACGACAAATGCTTAAGTAGAAAATATTTTCAAAAAAAATTTTTATAAACCTTAGCAAAGATGGAATAACAGTTGATGTTGTTGTTGTAGTAGAAGCAATAGGTGTTGGTTGTTGTTGTAGTTCTGGTTGTTGCTTTATAATTTGTGGTGGCGGAACAGAAAAAAATGAAGCTAAAGTTGATGGTGGAGGAGCAATTTGTGAAAGCCGATTTATAGACAAATCTGGATTTGAAGAAGGCCTTGAAACTTCTACCAATAAATTTGGAGGCGGAATTGATGTGTCAGGAAGTGAATTGGACTGAAAAATCCAAAAAATAATTAGTATTTGGAGAGTTAGGAAAAAAGAATCAAGTATGAAAAGATAAAAATCAGGGATGGGCACTGCCTCATTTTAAAAGCTAAGGGGAAAAATAAGCAGAGGTTGGGACGAACTTAGGAAAAAGTTAAGTGCACTCCCGTCAAGCTCATGCACTTTGGTTAAGTGGGAAAAGCTTTCGATTGTTGTTGCTTTCGATTGGTATAATAACTTAATTCGGAATCATAAAATTTATCCCACAAACTATGACTTCAAACAGAAACCTCAAAACTTAAAATTCTTAAACCGGATTCCCTACCCGGGTCTTAACTAATCTAAACTCGATTAGAGTAAAAAAAAAACCGAAAAAATAAAAAAAGAAACCGTTTTAATCTGCTCCGTATTAATTATTGGATTAACAATGGAGTTGGCAATTGAATTTGAAATTGAAATATTTTGTTGTTGGTGTAATAATTTTGAAGGTGAAGAATATAGCAAAGATTGTGTTTGGCTAAAATGTGAAAATGAATTTGTTGTTGATGTTGTTTGTTGTTGTTGGGAAGATGGTGAGGAAAATATTGTTGTTTGTGAATTACTTAATAAAGAAGAAGAAATTGAAGATGATGATAATGGCGGGGGTTGTTGTTGTTGAATATTGTTTAGAGAAAAATTTGGTGGTGGAGTTGAGAATCTTTGAAAAAAATTTTTTTAATAAAATATTTGTTGGGAAATGCTTTGAAATAAAATAAAGAAGAAGAATATAAAAAGGAAAAATTTATCCCACAACTACTTTCCACGAAAAATTTAACAGCCATCCTTTGGGCTATCGTTATCCCCAACAACCCTTCTTTGAGAAGAAGATAACCAAAAGGTTTAAGAACCAAAAAAAAATCAAAAAAAAATTGAAAGAAAACTAACTCGGTTTTTATTAATCCAGCACTTACACCGCCAGCTATTAATCCACCAGACATAGTTGTAGCTGTTGTTCCTCCAATAATATTTGGTGGAGGTACAGAAAAGTCAAGAACCTTTTGTTGTTGCTGTTGAAGCTCTAAATTTGTTTGTTGTTGCTGTTTCTGTTCAATAATTTGTTGTTGTTGAGGGAGCTCTGGAGGACGATAGGATGGTGGTGGTGCTTCTTTTGAAAGACGATCAATTTCTTCTCTTTCACGAGAGATTATTTTGTCTAATTCACTAAAAAATAGAAAAATAAGAAAAAAATTAACCGAAAAATTTTTCAAAAAAAATCAAAAATTTAAAATTTTGGGACAAAATGTCTCACAACTAAATTAGGGTTGGACCCTAAACCGTAGAGGTTCAAAAGTCCAGAGGTGTGGTTTGTTGGAGTTTCAGATGTCGGGGCTGGCTCGGTTTCGACAAAATAGATAAAGTCAGAATCCCTACCGTTGAAACCCGCCCGTCTGGATCGAAAAGCTCAGTCGGGATTTGGCAGTTGTGAATGTCGTGCTCGGGTTCGCAACAATCGTTCGGACTCCCAAAAAATGTCTTGGTTCGGGGTTTAGCCAAAAATCGTTACGGGTCGGGGGTTTAGTCAAAAAAGCCGGGTCGAAATCCAACCCCAATTTAAAAAACAAAAAAAACAAAACCTCAACATTCCCTTCTTTGCATTCAAAAAATGGTTTTGTTCTCTATATAATTCAACTCCTTGCAATATTAAAGCTCTCAAATCATTTACAGGCATTGTCAAAACTTCATAATCGGGTCTAGCTAAAAGTGCCTCAATTCTTTCTTGGATTGGTTTAGATGGTAGAGAACGAGTCATTTGTTGTTGTTGTTTTTGTTGTGAATTAAATTTTGATTTTTGTTGTTGATCTTTTTGAAGAAAATACATTGTAGAACGTTGATGTCGAGATTCAATTACTTTGTCCATTGAAGAAGATTCTCCTCTAGAAAATTACTAAATGAATTAAAGTTTGAAAACATAAACTCTAACTAGAATTCGTCTTAACTCTTCAAGGGGAAAGGACATTATCCTATCAAATCAATTCCTCTTTGAAAGAGATTCCCCATTCCAATTGGGTCATCAGGTCAGGTATGAAGTCAAAAAAGCTTCTCAGGGATGTTCACTTTTTAAATGTTGGATTACATCTTTAGCATCGAAGAGGGATTTTAAAAACATTATGAACTCTTCCCTTCTCTATTTCAAGAAAGGTCATTACTCTCGAAACCCCTTCCATTGAGGAAAGACTTGCAATTCGCAGTTTAGACAAATCTACAAACAAACAAACCTATTGTTATTATGACGATCATTATTTCTAGAACGCGAACGGCGATGTCGACGAGAACGATAGGATGACGTATCTTCATTTCTGCTGTTTCTACGAGTTGATGTTTTGGATGACTCATCTTCATTTAAAGTTGTTGAGGATTTTCTTGAATGCTTGGTAGACCGAATAAATGTTGGTCGTTCTTTAGGACTGAAATAAAAGAAAAGTTAAAATCTGGGAGATTATGGAAAGGAAATGGATTATAAGGACAAGGAAGGCAAGAGAAACTCTTCAGAGACAAAACTTTCCGAGAAAAGAAAGAGGGCTGAAGGGTCATTTTCAGAACCGTAAGATGAAAAGTAACAGGGAGAAACGCTATCCGAGTCTTAAGGACCTCCGCAACATAGACTGGTCGGGATCTGGATCCAGACTCTGATTTTACTGAATCCAGGCTCTGACCAATATCAAGGCATCTCTTGGTGTTCCTTGATTCTTCCTTGAATCAACGTCAAATCAAAAAAGCATACGGGTTATCTTTGAATGGATCCTTCACGGCAAATTTCATATTCCTTAGCCTTTCCAATGCTGCCTTCTTTGTTTTAGGTTCTTCAACAACAACAGCATTATCATTAGTCGTAGTATCAGCTTGCTGTTGTTGTTGCTCTTCATGCTCTTCTTCCTCCTCCTCACCTCCCCCTTCCTCCTCTTCCTCAAATTTTCGTTTTCGACTTTTACTTTCTTCAGAAATATTTTCTACATTATCTTCATTATTTCCACATATTGTAGCTTTAGTTAAAGCTTCATTATCACTGGGGACTATTTCTCCCTCATCATCTTTTAATGGAGTTTCCAAAATTGCTTGTTCATCGCTTTGATTTAATTCATCAATTTCAAGGCTATTCTCTTCAGTCATTTTTAGCAGAATAAATTAATTTATTAAATTGTCTAGAGGAATATCTAAAAAATATATCGGAAAAAAACAATCAAAAACAACGAGAAACAATGAAAAACAAAAACTTCCTCTGCGCAAGCAAATTACAAGCAAATTTCTCTAACGCTCTCCACTTTTAACGTTCTCTCTAATTAAATTGACGTTTTAAAAAATTTTTGTTGAGTTTACATTTTGACATTCGACAAAAATACAGACTACACGGACGCCTTGTCGCTAGAGCGCTTTATATTTAGAGAAAAACTGTAATACTTCGCTTATTCTCTCTCAAATTATTTTCTCACCATTTTCTCTCTAATTACATCGATTTATTTTGTTTTTTAGCTGATCAGCTAGAGAGCAAGTGATCAATCTTTATCTGCTGACTTTTTTCTTAATGTTTGCTTAGAAAAATAACAGACTTGAGTAGAAAAAAATATTTTTTATTTATTATTTTTAAGCGTAGACAGTCAACAAAAAGAAGCTTTTTGCACTTGACTCTGTCATTCATTCTTTTTTTCCTCTCAAGAATTAAAAACAAAAATAATATTTACACCAGAATATCAGCCCAATAAAGTTCCAAAACTTATCAGAATTCCCAAAAAAATGCCTCGAACACTCTTCGATATTTGCCTCTCTGCTGTATGTCAAAGAAGTACTTGTTATGATGAGGGTGATTTGGCTTTATTACCCTGTGATTGTAAATTGCGATTGCTAGAATATTTTGTTTCGCATGACTTGGTAAATTAAAAATAAAGCTGAACTCTCCGGCTAATACAAAAATCCTGGCCTGTGCTGGGATCGAACCAGTATCCCCTCGATTGACCAGACCGAAGCGTTATCCATTACACCACGACCTCTTCTGTATTTCCATAAGATTTAAAAAGCTAAATGCTCTGTAATTAATTACAGCATTATATTTATTTTTCATTAGATAACAAGTGAGCATTGTCTAAGCCTTATTTCTCGCCCAATGTTTGGACATAATCTAGTAGGATTTTTAAAAATAAATTGTAAAATCTCCCAATTGTTTTTAGACCAAAATATGCTTATACTTGAGCGATCATCTTGATGACAATACTTTGGGAATATTAGCAGAGTAAGGGAAAAATTCTTTGAAAAAATTCTAAATCCCCAAAAATTCCCCAAAAATAATTTCAAGGCATTGTAACAATCTTCGCTATATTTCCCTTATTGAATGTTCCAATATTACTGACATTGGAATAATTAATTTAACCAAAAACCAAACAAAACTTGAACGGCTTGAACTTGTTGGACTATCAAAAATTAGTTCAACAGCCTTTGCTTTCGTAAAATCTAAAAAGCTTTCAAATGTGGATTTAAGTGGATGTTCTAAAATAAGCTCTGAAGGAATATTTAATTTGGTTTATAATAATCCCTCAATTATTAGTCTTTGTTTAAATGGATGTAGTGGATTGGATGAAGTAAGAAAATTAAATTAAAAAAAATTTTTCCAAAATTTAATTGAAGCAAGCCCTTTATGACATCGCGCATTGTATTGGGGAGAGGCTTTGCCGTCTAGAACTGGATAATTTACACAATTCCAATATTATTGAACGGGTACAAGCAATACATAGTCTTTCTCAAAAGGTTTAAAAAAATTTCTAAAAATTTTTTTTGAAATTTTTTTAGTGCCCAAACATTGCAAGATTATCGCTTTGTCAGTTCTTCCCGGTACTTAGATTAATACCCAATTTAAATTCTAAAATTTGTAAAGGAGGAAGAAGCAACAGAGCAGCAATGCTTAATTGAAGGAAGTGGTTTGAGAGATATTGACCTCTATGGTATTCTTTTAAAAAATTAAATCCCCTCCCAATTTTTTCTATAGGAAATTATTTTTGGCAACCCCCAACACTTCCTTTAACCTTGTGCTCTTTACGCCTCTCTGTTACGGGTCAAGAAAATGTACATCAACTTCTTACAAGTTTACAACAACAAACTAAATTGGTTAATATACATTTACAATTACAATGTTTTGAAGAAGATGCGGTAAGGAAGAATAAATAATATTAATAAGGATGTCAGGGGTTAAAAGAAGAAAGTCCGGTTGGGTTTTGGAATTTTCTTTGGATAGCCTTTCGGGTCAAAAGTAAAGGGTTTGGGGTTTTCTCATGTTTTTGGGTCGGATTTCGGATCGGGTCAGTTAGGAGGAATTGAGAGGGAATTGGAAAAAATCCAAAATAAATTTTCTTTTCAGCATTCAATAGAAAACGCAAACACATTCCTCTACAAATTTTTGCGTATAATGGGAACTAAAATCACTCGCCTTCACGTAAAATATTTTTTTTAATTCAAAAAACTCAAAAATTAACAGATCGCTGTTCAACGCCTTTGCGATTCTGTTATGTTACTTATAGCCTCACAGCTCCCAAATTTGAGTCATTTAGCCTTGGATGTATATTACCTAAATTCGAATACATTAAAACGTCTTTTTGCCGGTGGACTTCACTCCCAGGGGGCTAAATTACGCTCTCTACGTCTTTGCCGTTTAAAAATTACATATCGAGCATTATTTTCTATTGGGCGTTGGGTAAAAAAAAATTTTTCAAAAATTTTTATAAAAATTTTAGGCCCGTTCCCTTGTCGACTTGGAAACCTCCCACATGTCTTCCTCTGTCGACGACCGTTTTCTTGTCCTTTTGGCTAAAAATTGTAAACTTTTGCAAACGGTAAGGCTTGGAATTAATTTTTAAATGAAGGCGAGTGATTTTTTAAAATTAAATAACTTTAAGGTAAATTTTAATGGTTGTAAATGGGTTACAGATAAAGGACTTGCTGGATTAGCAAGGTTGGGAAAATTATAAAAAAAATTAAACCTCAAAAATTTTTTTTAAAGAAATAAGCGTCTTCGAGAAGTTCGGATAAGAGGGACAAGTTGTACTGACAAATCACTCTACTCGTTGGCACAGTAAAAATTTTTTTTTAATTTTTTAAAAGTCATTTTCTCAGGTTCTGCCCGGCCTTAGAATGGATTGCCCATGCTGATTTTAGTGGACGTCCAAAATTTAGTGACCAAGCATTAAAATGTTTAAGAGATGCGTGCATACAACGAGTGATTTGTTAAACAAGTTTTTTTAATAAAATTTAAACAAAAAATCTTTTACCTTTTTCTAATTTTGATAAAAAATTTCAAATAACAATTTCATCAAATGGTAATTTTTCTGAAAATAAGTTGATATTTGTAGTGTCAATTTTGAGTTGTCTAGCGCCTAGTATTGCTGCTCTAAAAAAGGAAAAATTTATTTTTTTTTTATAGAGAGAATAGACAAATTCGAGATATTTCCAAAATTCCGAATTATATAAGAAAATTTTAAAAAAAATTAGAAATATTTTTCCTAAAGAGTTTCATCTTTGCTGAAATTTCCGAAACCTATATTTCCCATTTTCCCCAACAAATTTTTACTTCTTGCTTGTTTCGAATTAAAAAAAAACCCCATCACTTATAAGAAGAGTTATCGGTTTCAGAACAGGACCGAAGAAAGGAGCATTCTCGATCGGATTACGAACCGATGGAAAAAAAATTTCCCAGAAAGGTTTTTAATTTTTTTGGTCCAGGATATCCCAAAGATCTTTCCCCGAATACACCCCCCCCCCCCCCACCCCTTATAAATAATCCTTTCATACCCTATTGCTGGAGAACTTGTAGGTTGATAAAAAGCAACTTTTCGGAAAGTCCTTTGATTTTTCTCTAAACAATTTGAAACATTTGTTGCCAAGCATCTTTCAAATCCTTTCCTTAACAATTGCCAACTTTTAAAGACTGAACCAATTAATAAAATTGAGACTTTATTTGTATAAAATTCTTCATCAAAATGTTTGCTAATTGCACAAATATGAGCAGCTAATAAATAACCAGCATCAAAAAATATTTTTGTGGCTAATTTGTTGTTGTTTAGACCTACTGGAATTTTTGAAAAAAAAATTATTTTTTAGAAAAATAATGAAAAAAATGTCAGAAAATGTTAGATGTCAATGTCAGTGACATATATATGTCAACACTCGATATGCAAAAAAATAATTCACAAATGACAAAAAAATCCCAAAAGGACCAAGGCTCTACCCAAACCTTATACATATTAATATAAAATTAAAGAGACCGTACATTCAGCCAGTAATTTAGTAAAAGAAGCAATATAAGATTTTTGAAAGTTTGGTCCATACAAAATATTCATTAATTCCTCTTTTGTTTTAATTTTAAAATGTTTGAGTAAATGTTCTTTTACAGTTTGGATATCTTCAACATCTTCATTTTCATCTAACACAAAATTGTTTGAAAAAGAATTCTCAAGCATTCCATCATCAAAAGAGAAGATATAACGAATTGCTCTTAATAAAGAAAATTGAATTATTCGAAATATCCAACAGGAATGTCACGGGTTGCGAAAAGTCAGATCGGATTTTTAAAAAAAATTTGGATTAGGTTTGGATTAAGCTCGAAAAAGGTTCGAGTTTCGGGACTTGACTCGAGTTTCGGGACTTGACTCGAGTTTCAAGTCGAGAACGGGATTAAGATGGAAGGCTGGGCTTCGGGTCAAAAGGTGCGCATCAGTAACCGAAATCGAGTATCGGTAAGGATACCCCGTTATTTCTTTGACATCCAGAAAATAAAAATATATAAGAAAACCTCATGCTAATCCAAAAAGCACCGCCTTCATCGCCTACCAAATGTCCCCAACCACCAACTTGAAAAAAGAAGATTAATTTTAAAAAAAGTTTAAATTTGAAAAAACCTCCATGCACGCTACCATCCGACTAAAAATAAGAAAAAAATTATTCAAAAATAATTTTAAAAAATTTTTACCTTCAAAAGACGACAAGTTGAACCAGTACCCGCAATTAGAACAATACCACCTAAAATTAAATTTTAAACTAAAAAAATTTAAATTCCAAACTTTTTTCAAAGCATGTAGCAACAGCCGCAACAGCATCACTTGTAAGAAACAAAGCTTCTGCCAAATCTCCATGTTGTGAACGCAAATATTCCAATAGAAGGGTGTTGGTTGCTGTATTTTCTGCTCCAGACAAACCCATACCCTTAAGAAAAAAAATTTTTTTGAAAAATATTTTGGGCATTCTGAAGCCATTCTGAGTCACTGACATCTTAAAAAAATTTTAATAAAAAAAATTCCGAACCAAGGCAGCTACAGGCAATTTTATAGGCGTTGACGTTGAATGCTCCTTCTTATTCTTTTCAACAATTGCCCCACGAAGCCATCTCGAAATTTTGTCAGCAGTACTTTCAACTCCATCCAATAGAAAATTTAAGCCTGGACCGCCACTTAATTGATGCAATAAATTTCCACGAGAATCTATCAAAACGAATGTTGAACAAGTTGCACCACTAAAATTTTGTATTTTTAATAAGTAATTCTGATTTTTATTCTGGAAAAAATTTTCTGATTTTTTCTGATTTAAAAAAATTCTGGTTTTTATTCTGGTAAAGATTCTGATTTTTAAAAAAAATTCTGATTTATTTTTTTCTGATTTAATAAATTAAATACCCTTCAATCCCTGCAAATATTTTTCCATCATTTTCCCTACATTTATTTTGCATTTCTTCTTTATCATTATTGCTTATCATTTTGCTGTCCAATAAATAATTTGACCTAATAATTTTGCCTATACAAATTGTATGTTTACAAGTATCAACACAACGAATAAGTGTAGAAATTAAAGAATAATTATTTGTTGTTTGTTCCAATAATAATTCTTCTATGGTCCAATCTGAACTATAAAAATAGAAAAAAATGTGTGAATGTGTTATCATGTGAGAATTATTAATAATCAATATTAAAATGTGAGGAAAAAGGGTTGGATGTGCGCCAGAAAAAAATTTAAAACGACATAAACACAAGCTGTATTTTTTTCTTGGTTATATGTATAGAAAAATAGTATATTAGAGGGCAATTGGTTCTTGGAGAACCCTTAAATATCCGGAACTGAACCGAGTCGAAGAAACGATGATTTTTCGGTTCCGAACCGACAACTCTACTATGCCAGATTTTCTAGAAACATTTCTATTGGAAAACAACCCCAACAACACCTATTTCCGAGTATCTCTTTTTATTTATTCGATTAGTTTTTTGGAATTATACAAGTTCTAATTTTTCTTCATTAACTTATGAGGCCAAATTCTCACAAAATTGTGCCTTTCAGTAAACACAAAAAAATTATGATAAAATTAAAAACTTACTCTCTTATTTGGTAGGAAAAATAAAATTCCATTAAAGGGAAGACATCAAATAGCCGTCTCAACATTTTTATTAAAATTTCAAAAACACACGGATCATAAAACACATCAGAACCAAAAAGATAATCAACTTGAATTGACTTTTCGAGTAACTCAGTAATTCCAGTTTCTGGATTTTGCCAATCAAAACCCTGATGGGGAGGTAAAAATTGGATTTGAAAAATTAAAAAGTTAAAACTAACCAGTAAGTAGACACTATTTTCGATAAGGGAGGCATCAAAATTCTTTTCCAAATTGTTTCGGATTGACGTGAATGCCTTAAAAAATATTTTAGAAAAATAAAATAGCTAGAGACTAGACATCGGAAAACTTATGTGGACCTTATCTTTGGTTTATGATTTTGGTTGAAGACCTAGACACCAGATTCTTAACCTTGGAAGTAAAGGAAAAATCAGGGCTCACTGATAACGGCCTTGATTTCTCACTCTGAACCCACAATCAGAAAATCAAGGTCTGGATCCAGATCAAGGTTCACTACTCTCGACCTTTGAGTAAATGAATAAAACAGGCCAAAGAAAAAACCAAGGCACACTGAAAAATCCCTTGATCTTGACTCTGATTCCAGAAAAATCAAGGTCTGGATCCATATCCAGTCCGACCTCTACTAGAAACTAGGATCGGAATTTTTTTAAAAGTAATTTTTTAACCTAAACAGACTTTGTCCAAATGTGATTGTTCAGTAATCACAACTTTAGAAGCTCCACAACGTAAAGCAGCCATTGAAGGAAGTGCAGCTACACCAGAACCAATTTCCATGACAGTACTTCCTTTCCAAATGTTTGGGTTTGAAGCAATAAATTCGCCTGGAAATGAGTAGTGTCTCAAGCTTGTAGGAAAAGATAGTAGGGAAGATCAGAAAATGTGTAATTTTCAAAAGAAAACTAAACGAATAAACAAACTCCAAGGAGGAAGTGTTCCCAAAAAAATTTTCCGATAAAATTAAAGATCGGCAAAATTCATTCCTTGGATCCGTTCAAAAAATCAAGCGGGAGGGAGCACCTGAGAGTAGTCCGGCAAATCCTTGTACTCCAGTTTGTCGTTTAAGACCATGGATTTAAGGGACGAGATCCCGCACTCTAACACAAGACCCGTAGCGTGTCGAACCAATCCCTTAGAAAAAAATAAAATTTCAACAACCTTACAAACGAGTATCTTCTTTAAAAAATTATTTTCTTACATAAAATCTCAGAACTAGGCCAAGTATGTTGCCACATATACTGCGTTTCCATCAATGGAATTTATTGTATAACACACAGCAGAATTAAAAAATAAGTATTTCTAAATAAAATAAAAAGAAATAATGTAACTACATGTATTTAAGTATTAAATAAGCAAAAACAAAAATAAAGCGAAATTGAGAGAGAAAAAAATTATTTTTGATTTATGTAATTAAAATGTTATATAAATAGAATCAACTCAACACAGTTATATATGAGTTGGACGTACATCTTTACTTTTATTAGTGAAAATTTTAATGGAGAGCGCTGTAAAACAAATGCTGAAAAAAAGTATTTTTCAGCCCCCAAAAGCAGCCGAAATAACAACCCCTGAAAAGCTACATTAAAAATTTACGTCCAACCTAAATTTTACACAAGCCTTTTTAATGATAGATATCCTTTTTTAATCATTTAAAAAATTAACCAAAATTAAGGTGGTGGCTGTCCTCCTCCATTACTATTATTATTTCCACCACCACCATTATTCTCATTATTTCCATCTCCCCCACCTCCAAATTGTCTTCGAAGCATTTCAACTAATTGAGGATTTGATTGATTAATAACGCTAGCCATCTAAAAAGATTTTTTAAACAAAAAAATCTTCAAATAAATTTTTTACCGCCTCTCCAGCCCGAAGCATATCAGCCATTGGATTACCTCCACCTCCTCCTGGTTGATTTCCATCTCCCCCACCAGCGCCACCACCTCCAAACATATTCTGCATAACATTTTGCATCATATTGCGTACGCCTGGTTCCTAAAAAAATTTTTTATCAAATTTTTAAATGAAAAATCCAAAACCTGCATCATTGCTCCAATAGATCTAGCCAAATCAGGATTATTAAAAAGTGCACCAAAACCGCCTAGAGCACCTAACGGGTCCTGAAGTTGAACAAAAATCGAATAAAATTGAAAAGAAAGTAAAACGAAAAACCTGTGGATTATTTGCAAAAGTTTCACGAGCTTTACTCAATTTTTCTTCAGCAATGCTCAAATTGTTTTTATAACTGAAAGAATTATTAGTTAATAAAAATATTTTTTTGAAAAAACCTTTCGCTAGATGGATCGATTTCTAATGCCTTTTTGTATGCCTCCACAGCTTGGTCATAACGATTCTGACAGGAAAGAGCAACTCTAAAAAATAAATAAACAAATTTTAAAGGAAATCGACAAAGAATTATGGAGATCGGTCGGAATCCAGAGTAAATATCAAAGCATTTTTCAGAGTTCGTGATTTTTCCTTGACTCAGGGTCAAGCAATTTGGTCAAGGCCCCTCCAAAACCAAAGTTTTTTTTATATTTCCGATCTCTAGACTTATTAGACCCAAAGAAAAAATTTTCTGTACTCAAAGCCCTCATGAAAATTTAACATTAAGCATTAAATTATGTTCAAACCCCTTACCCCATTCGTCCATAAGCTTTAGCATAATTTGGATCCAATGCCAACGCAGTACGGCAATCTTGAATAGCCAAATCATATTGTTCAAGTCGGCAATAAGCAGCGGCCCTTTAATTTAAAAATTATTTAATACCAAAATTCTTAATAAAACCTATTGCAAAAATAGACAGGATCTCTATTCAATTTAATAGCATCATTATATTTCAAAATAGCCTCATCAAATTTGCTTTGTTTAACCAACTCATTCCCTTCTTCTTTAAGTTTGTTTGCTTGAGCAATCTCAGCTTCAGTCGGTGTTGGAAATTCATCATCCTAATAAATATAGTTATTAATAAGGAGTTATTAATAAGTCAAAGATTTAGTCAAGAACTTGGGTGGGAAATTATCTAACAAATACACACACCCGAAACCGGTTCATTGCAAAACTTCGCGACGAATCGCGCCCGGCTAAAACGGGGCAAATTGCCAGAAACTTACCCACCATCGGACCCGCTTTTTCGGTTTGCGCCGCTTCGGTCTGCGTCGTTTTAGGCATCCCCGTCTCGAAGAACTCCCATAAATTTTCTTAGAATAACTCAAAAAATAATTAAAAAATTAACCCCATCAGGCAATCCCTCAGCCGCTTTAAAAATGTCAATTAAAGGCTTTGATGGTTGAAAAGCGTAATTCTTATCCGAAACGCCAAAAGCACCTTCCAAACATTGCGTAGCAACTAAAAATTTTAATCTTAAAAATGAAAAATTGCCAAAAAAAACCTTCAATTTGAGCCTCCTGATCTTCCGTGCACTGATTTGCAGAAACTTTATGACGCAAAAATTGAACAAAGGAAACAATTAAATTGCGCTCATCATTAGTAATACGTCCCTTATTGTCAAACTGTTCAGAAGAAGAATTTTCGGTTTTATCAGAATCCATTTTTTTAAATAAAAAATAATATAATTAACTAAAAAGGATAAAAAATTTAGAATTGTAAGCAATTTGTAAAAATAAATGATTAAACAAAAACATTAGATAACAAGGAACACGTTCAAGAAACGTGTTCATGTTGAAATAATAGGTGAGCGACAAAAAAAAGAAAATTAAAGGAATGGGCAAAATGGTTTTTGGTTAAATGAAAGTTATATAAAGAAATTTAATTGCAATAAACTTTCAGTTAACCAAAAGACATTTCGCCAGTCAGTCAAAGTTATGACATTTTGTCGTTGAAGAGGGGTGCGAGAGAAAAAAATATTTTGTTAAAAAATGACATTTCGCCAGTCCGTCGAAATATGGACATTTAGTCATCTAAGGGAATCGAAAATTAGAAATTTTTTAATATTTTATTTAAAAATTAAAAAATTTTTTGAAATTTCTCTATAAAAAATTTTTAAAAATTAAAAATCCCTCTCTTTTTTTCAATTTTAATTTTATTTTAGTTCTTCTAATTCTTCCAATCTTTTTAAGGATTTCCTTGCTTCATTTGTCAAAACTTGAAAATTTTTATCTTCAAAGTTTGAATATAATATTAAAATTTTCTTCAGCCTTTGTAAATTATTTTTGTTATTAAGAGCACCGCTATTTTCAATTATTGTTGGAATACTAAAAAAATTTTTTTTTAAATTTATTTTGAAAGCAGAAAATTTTTAGAAAATTTTTTATAGAATTTAAAAAATCCCACAAAAATAAAAAAAACGCCCCTCAAACCCTCAAGAATTTACACTTAAAAAATCTAAATTAAAAAAACTCTCAAGCCTTTAAAACCCTCAAAATCCTTTTCACCCCCCTCCTACAAAATAAAAAATTAAAAAAAACTAAAAATTTCAAACTTTCCAAAGCATTTGGAAAACAAAAGTTGTTAAAAATCCCTAAAACTTGAAAAAAAAAATTTTTTTGAAAATATCCAAAAATTGTTCATCACAAAATCTCTCCCATTGGAATGGAAAACAAAAATAGTTGAAAATCCTTAAAACCTACAAAATTTTCAAAATACCCAAAATGGTCCATTTCTGACACAAAATCACTTCCCCATTAATTTAATAAAAAATAAAAAACCTTTCTACCAACGCCAATTGTAATTTAAAAGCAACAGAATGTTTAATTACAGATTCTTTTACAACCAAAATTTTTGTACTCTTCAAAGTTTGTTTATATAAATTTTCTAATAAACCACAAATTCTCGGTAAATATTCTTTTACAATTTTCCAATAAACAAAATCTTTGGAAATTAAAGTTATTGTTTTAATTACTTCAACAGATTTAATTGCAACAAGCATTTCAGAATTTGATAGTTGGATGACGGTTTGAAAGTTGGAACTCTGAAAACAGAAATTAATTTTTAAGAAAAATTTTTGAAGGTTGAAATTTTTTAAAAAATTTTCGCAGCCTTTGGATTGTTAACTTGACATTCTTAAATTTGACTTAATGAATTCTCTGGAATTTTTGAAACTAAAAAATTTTTTTCTGAAAAAATATATAGGCTTTGGTTTCTTAACGTAATTTTTGGAATTTGATTTTTGACGTTTTTTAAATTAAAAAAAATTTTTTTAGATTTTCGTAGGCTTTGGGTTGTTAATTTGACATTCTGAAATTTGACGTTCTGAATTTTTTTTTGGAATTTTAGAACCAAAGGATTCAAAAAAAATCTGAAAATTTATTTAGGTTTCTTGACGTAATTTTTAAAATTTAATTTTTGGACATTTTTAAAATTTAAAAAATTCCGAAATTTTTTTTTAAAATTTTGCATGCTTTATTTTTAGTTTCTTGACGGTTCACAAAAATTTTTTAGAAAAATCAAAAAAATTTAAAATCTAGAAAAAAAACCTCTTCTTCCAACATATTCCCGAATTTTTGAATTAATCCAAGCCAATTTTGATGTATTATTGGAAGCAATTCATTTTCATAATTTTTTACCAATTCCAAAGAATATTTTAATATATCCAATATATTTAATTGTACAGGTAAATATTGGGATGAAATGAAGTGTTTTGTTCTTTTTAAAAATTAAAAATAAAAATTATTTTTAAAATAAAAACCTTTTTAAAATTGTAACTAAATTCTGAATTAATGGATAATTTAAATCATTTAAATATTTTTCATTTTCTTCTTCAAGTACATTTTTATTTGGAATATCTTCAGTTTCCTCTTCATCATCAGAATATTCATTTACTGCAATAAATAGAATTTTTTATTAAATATTTTTTTAAACATTTTTAGGCGATGATCTGGTTTATGTTAGCTCCCCACACCTCAACTAAATTGTTTTTCCCGTTTCTTACCCAAAAAACCCTCGTTATTAAAAAAACAATTTTTTAAACGGGGACCCTAAACCAACGTCTTTTACCTATTTTTCCAAACTAAAGTTTGGTAGATCCGGATCCAAAAAGAAGGATATCCGAAACTCTCGATTCAGATCCGAATATCTGAAGATTACCCAGGATCCGGTAACCATATTCCAAAAATATTCTTTTTTTTGGGTAATGCTCTGACGTTTATCTCCTCTCATTATTTTTCAAATATTTTTTATTTTATTTAAAAAATTAAAAAAAAACCTTTAGAAGTTGAAGGTTGTTGTTCATCCACTATTATTGTTTGAGAAGGTATTAAAGGATAAAACCAATTATACAAAGCTTTACAATAATTTTTTAAACAGAATAATAAAAGTAAAATTTGTTTTTGATTTGAATAATCTAACCAAAATAATAATTCATCCAATGCTCCTTTCAATTTAAAATAAATTTTTGGGTTAAAACATCTTGAAATCATTTCAGATAAAACCATTGGAAAGCGTGGATTTGTTGGGAAATCCTTTAAAAAATAAAATTTTAAAATTAGATTCTTGATATTTTGTGATTTTTGACAAAACGAAATATTTTTTATTTCGTAAAATTTTGAAATTTTAATATTTTGAATAAAAGTCAACATGGGGCAGGATCCCGTACGGGATTTTACGGGATCCTGTCTTGAAATCCTATGTTTTACGAGATGAACGGAATTTACGGGATTAATCCCACGGGATCCTGCCCGAAAAATTTTTTAAAAAAAATCCCGTTAAGGAATCCCGGGAATAGGAGGAGGAATCTCAGGGTTAAGGAATCCCTGAGTCTTTTGCCATTCTTAAATACTCTTGGGTGGATTTTCCAGAATTAAACAAAAAAATATAAAAACCTGTGCGGCAAGCAGAATTTTAAACATTAACAAATGGGCATTTTCAAAAATCATTTCAGAAACATCTTTATATTGGGTAGAATTCTTTAAAATATTAATATAAAAAATTTTAAAAAAATACTCAAACCTTAACTAAATTATTTAAACAATTATCAGCCGCTTCTTTAACACAAATATTTGAGGAAGAACAATATTTTAAAGTTTCATAAAGCAAATCACCTCGATTCTTTAAAGAAATTTGTTTAAATTTTTATAAATTAAATTTTAAAATATACTTTTGCAGCGATATTATCCAAATTAATTGAGGAAAGGCAATTGAATATGAGACTAAAAACAAGAAAAAAATAAAAGAATTTATCCAAAAAAATTTTTTAATTTGTTATGTATGTTTTGATTGATTTTAGAGTTCGAACTCGGACCGGGAAACCGAGTATTTGATAAAGTCCTAGTCATATCCAATTTCGAGCAACTTCATGGGATTCTGAATTTTTTTTTGAAATTTTCATAATCCGATTTTTAACATTTTTTGGCGTTCCAACAAAAATTTAAATTCTCAAGTTGCTTAAATAATTCACCAAAAAACCATCAAAATAAGAAAATAAAAACAAACCCAACTAAACAAGATTCATCAGTATTTAAAGGTAAATTATCAACAATTTCACTATCCAAAATTTCTTCTTCCAATAAAGAATCAAATAATTTTAAAATTGAAATAATATCATTAATTAAATTTGATAATTTATTTTGATCAAAATTATTATTATTAGAAGAAGAAAACGTTGAAATTAATGTTGAAATTAAATATAAAATTGAAGTTTTTAATTTTATATCTGTTGTGTTTGTTGTTGATGTTGAAATAAATTTATTAATTAAAATATCAAATAAATCCTGAAAATTTTAAGGAAAATTCTAAAGTCTTTTAGATTCATATTAAGGTTCGAATCTGGGCCCGGAACCCGGTATTCTGAAAAATCCCGTTTTTCAGACATGAGTACGAGCCCAGTAACAGACTAATATGAGCAGTTCCTAATTTTTGAGCAAAAATTGTTCAAAAAAGTAAAAATTCAAAAGGCAAAAAATTCAGTCTGTCTGATTTTTGAGCAACCCTATTTGGCAAACTGAATCCTTTTTTCATCCTATTTTAAGGAAAAAATTAGTAAAAAAATTTTTATAGAAAATTTTATAATTTTTAACAAATGAAGATACCTCAAAATTAGGTAAAACAACCAAAAGTTGAGCAAAATTAAAAATAATTTTTGAATTAATTCCAAATTTTAAAGGAGGAAGTAGGCCATCTTTAAAAAATTTTTACAAATTAAATTTAAAAAAAACCTTGTAAATTTTGACTATTTTTAACTAAACAAATTAATTGTTTTTGTTTATCTACAACCAAAACAGACAATATTGAATTTAATAATAATTCTTTAAAATCAGAAGAAAAACATAAATTGTTGAGAGAATTAGAGCCAAGCATTTGTAAAACATTAAACAACTGAAAAAAATTTAATTTCAGAATTTTTGTTAATTTATAAATTCTGATTTAAAGAAGTTACAATTATCTGTTTACTTGGCTTATTTATGTGTTTCTTTAAAAATTCTGATTTCTAAATTCTGATTTTTATTAATTTCTACAATTAAAAATTCTGATTCTGAAAAATTATTATTTTTCAGAATTATTTTCAGAATAATAATTTTTTCAGAATTATTGTATTTCAGAATCAGAATTTGTAATTGTAAAAATAAATAAAAATCAGAATTTTAATATTTCAGAATTTTTAACTAAAAATCAGAATTTAAATTTCAGAATTTATTTCTTACATTTTGTAACGGAATTTCTCCATCAGTTGCATTAATTACATCATTTTCCAATCTTTTTAATAAATTAACCACTTTATTTGATAAACAGGTTTCAACAAAATTTGCATTTTCTGATTGTAATTTATTAAATAAATGTTTACATTCGTTGGAAATTCTGAAAAAACTTTTTAGAATTTTTTAAAAAATTTTTTAAAATAAATTAAAAATTATTTTCAGAATTTTTAAACATTAAAAGAAATTAAACCTAATTTGTTCATCATTATATAACAAAGAACAAATATCAATAACAATTTTGTTGAAATCATCTCCACCTATTAAATTAAAAAAATTATTAAAATATTATTTAAATTTTTGATAAAAATAATTTTAAAAATCAGAATTAAAAGAAATCAGAAAGAAATCAGAAAAATCAGAAAAAAAATCATAAGAAAATCAAAATTTAAAAATCAGAATTAAAAAAATTATAAAAAAATCAGAAACAAGAATATTTAAAAATCAGAAAAAAATCAGAATTTTTTTTATCGCAACTTCAAACAACATATTTAATTAAAAAATTAAAAACTCACAAAATTCTCCTTTAAAATCAAAAATTGTACAAATTAATTTAACAGCCTCAAACCGAATTAAATCAATTTTTGAAGAAGCCAAATTAGTTAGAATTGCACAAAATTGAGGAAAAATTTTTTCTTTGGCCATTTTAATCCATTCATCATTTCTTTCAAAAATAATTATTGAAGACGTTGAAATTAATCTATTTTCAATTAAATTTTGTTGTTTAAATAAAGGAAGGAAAGAAATAATTAAAATATTTGAAAGAATCTGTAAAAAATAGAAAAAGAATAATTTTAGGTACTTTATTCATATCCCGCTCCTCCTGCCCCCCTCTCTTTTCGGGTCAAGAGGGATCATTCTTGCATCCTTCGGCACAAAAATTGATCACTTTTCCCCATTTTGGGGAGAGGGCGGGGGGAGCATTCACCTCTGGTTACGGGCAGTAAGTCATTTTTGCTTAAATCCGAGCCAAGAAATTTTATAACGCTGAAGACCCAAATAATGAGGGAATATGAATATCCCAGTACCCAATTTTTCAATAAATTAAAAAAAGTCCAAACCTTACAAGAAAATTGTAAAATTTCAATAGAATGTATTTGTTGAAGAATTACATTTTTTATTCTTAAAAAAATTCCAGGAAGAATAAAAGCAATAAAGTTGGATGATAATTCTTTATATTTTAAATTGGTAATTTCACAAATTAAATAGGCACATTTTTTACTGAAAAAAAAATAAAATTAGTTTGCCGAGGGGAAGTAAAACAACGAAAAAGCTTCAAAAACAAGTTTCGAAACTTTCTAGGTAAATTATCAGGAAAAGATCCTATAAAATCGGAATTGCATAGAAAAATTTTAGCACTTGTTTAGTTTATGCATTCAATGAAACTTTTAGTTTATACAGCTTTCCAAGTCCTGTGAAAAGTTAGGAACCATTGGACTCCTAAGGATTCACAGAAGCCATAAACTAGAACATCGCCGAAATTCTTCAAGTCTTTCCTCCACCTCCTCCATTAAAAATTAAAAAAAATAATCAGAAACCGAATTTGAATATCAATTTGAGAACATCCAAAGGTATCCAAAAGTAAAGAAAGTAGATGTCCCAAGGCTGGTCGAAAAGTTGTTTTGAATAATTCTAAAAAAGATTAAAGTAAAAATTCAAATTAAAAAATTTCAAAAAAAGACCTTGTCTCAACTGTTTAGATTCCAAAATCGAACAAATTAAATTCTCCAATTTATCAACATCATGTCCCTTCAGTATTCTTTTAGTTTTTTCTTCATTCAAATTTGTATCTTCAATTGAAATTTTTGTTTGTTCAATTAAAAATAATTCCAATTCAGTAAGCATTAATTTTTTTATAAAGAAATTTAAAAATAAAATTTTTAGAATATTGGACGACTTAAAGATATAAAATTAAAAATAAAACTATAATTTTGTCTTTTAAAAAAAATAAAAAATTTTTTTATCACAATAATTTATTTATAAAGAATGCACATTTATAGTAAAGAGAACGAGCCGTTTTGATTCCCGAAAATTGGAAATTCCTCGTTTCTTTGAGGGTCAGGAGCAGGTTTGGAAGCCCGAGGCTCGTAGAAGCTCGTTGAACAAAAAATTCGAAACCGTACCTGTGTACGAGTACGAGAAAAAAACGCCTGTACAAAGGTACGAGAAAAATAAGGCCCGAATGAAAGTACGAGTACGAGCCAATTTAAAATTCCAAACACTGGTCGGGATTCCCGAAAATCAGAAATTTATTTTTTTTCTTCGTCGGCTCGTTGACTGATTTATAGGAAAAAAGTTAATTGATACAAATCAAAAAATTAAAAAAAAGAAAATTTTCTAACAATCTTTTTGAAGGGATTTTCGAGGGTAAAAATAAAAAAAAATATTTTAAAAAGGTTAGGGCAAGTAAAGGACTTAACAAAAAAATATTTTTCTTCTCCTTCTATTTTTCTGTACTATTATATAAAATCACAGATAAACAAACCAACAAGGCACCAAAACCAAATAAAAAGGTTACATGATAATTATCAAAAATTATTAGGGAAAAGATGACAACCATTATAATTGAAAGGGAAGAAGCAAAACTGAAAAAAAAAGAAAAAAAATTCTCAAAAAAAATTTTTAACTTTTTTAAATGTCAAAATGGTAATTTTCGGACTGTCCAATTTTCAGAATTTTTTAGAAAAAAATTTAGAAAATGTGTAATAAAATTATTCAAACATGTCCAGTTCCGAGAATTTTTGGGGAAATTTCCTAAAAAATTTTTTAAAAATTTCAAAATGGTAATTTTCCGGAATGTCCAGATTTCAGAATTTTTTTAGAAAAAAATTTAAATTTATAAAACCTTTTATAAAGATTATCCAAATGTTTCATAATAAGTGAAATATAAATTCCTCCAAATGACAGAAAAACTTAAAATAAAAAATATTAAATTTAAATTAAAAAAATAAAAAAATTTTTTACGAATTATGCAAACAACTTTAATATTGTAGCCAAACAAAAATCCTCGTTCAAAAATTTGATCCTGAAAAAAATTTTAGAATTATTTTTCAGAAAAACGTAAGAATTAATTCTTAAGAAAAGAATCAGAATTTTTTTATCAAAAATAAAAATCAGAATTAATTTGAGAAATTTTTTCAGAAAAATTCAAACAGAATTAATTTTACCGAAACAAAAACCCCAGAACTATATTTCAGAATAACAATTTTTCAGAAAAAAAAATCAGAATTGTTTCCAGAAATAAAATCAGTAAATAAAAAATATAAAATCTCACATAATCCTTCAGAAAGCAGCCTAAAAGAGCAGAAATAACACCACAAAAATACCTAAAATAATTTTAAAAATCTCCAAAATATTCTTTTCCTCACATTTGTAAATTTCTAATCCAAAAGGAAGTATTTGAAGATCCATCCTTTAACATTTTTTCAAAATAAACTCCAGCAAAACTTGAAGTAATACAAGCACAAAAAACACAAAATAAACCAGTTAAAGAATTTCTTTCAATTTTATTTTCCAAATTATTTTCTTCTTTTGAATTTTTATGAAATTTGGAAATATCTAACTGAAAAAAAATTAAGGGGAAAATTTTTAAAAATTTAAATACCTCAACAAGTGCAAGGCCAACACAAAGTTGAAATATTGCCAACCATCTACGCAAAGAAAATTGACGTCGAAGGAAAAGCATCTGTGTAAGAGGTAAAATTTTAAAAAATCAGAATTCAGTTATGGAAAAATCAGAATTTATATTTTAGAATCAGAATAAGACCAGAATTTAGTTCAGAAAAATCAAAACAAAACCAGAATACGGTTAGGAAAATCAGAATTTAAAATCAGAATATTTTTCAGGATAAGACATGGATTTAGTTTGAAAATCAGAATTTATTTTAAAAAATCAGAATATGACCAGAATTTGGTTAAGAAAAATCAGAATTTAATTTAAAAAATACCATAAAAATTGCAGTAAACGGAATTTTCAGTTGACTGAAGACCTATAAAAATTCTTTTTCAAATTTCTATAATCAAAAAGACAAGCCTGATAAACCGAAGCATCCAAATTCGAAAGCGCAACAAAATCCAAATTCTTTAAAAAAATTTTGTAATTTAAAAATAATTTAAAAAATACATTTTGTAGTGCATAAGCCAAAGAAGGAACAGCCATTTTTACAAGTTCATAAGGTTTTGAAAAAAATTCAAATTTAATAAGCTAAATTGAAAAAAAATTTTTGTTGGTAGATTTCGATATCCCGCCCCTCCTCCCTAATTTGAAACTTAAGTCCGATATTTCCCATCTTCATGCCTCTTATTCATTTTCCTCATTGATTTGCCAAATATGGCTAAAAATGAAGGAAAGAATAACTGACACTCAAACTAGAAGGGAGGCGTGATAATCAAAAAGCAAGGGAGTAGCCTGGGGTCGAACCCTTCCTCAAATTTTTCCATTTTCACCATTCGGGAAGGAGGGAGCTTTAGCTCCAGAAGTCCCCTGGCTAACCCATGCCAAAAAGTATCAATTTTTCAAAATTAAATTTCAGAATTCAAACCTCATTCCCTTTTTGTAAAGTTTCACTTCCAGCATAAACATAAAATAAAGTTATTAAGAACTTTGCACATTCCGAAGAGAAGACGACTTAAAAAAATGAAAAAAAAATTTTGGTAAAAAATAGAAATGTCAATTAAATTTAAACCGAAACAGAGACGAACCAGTAGATGAAGAATATAACTAAAAATTGGAAAAAATATTTTTTTTTAAATTTCGCTTATTAAATTTAGAAAAAATAAAATTTTTTGACAAAAATAAACAGACGGTCCCCATACATAAAAAAATATTTTTAGTCTTATTTTATAACAAAAATATCACCAGAATATTAAAAAAAAAATTTAAAAATATAAAATTCTCCAAACCTCATCCTTAGGTGTCATTTGCCTTGTATAAGAAACCATTAAAGTATAACCAGTCCACAGAAAAATAGTTACAGCAATTACATATAATTTAAAAAGTAATCCTTCTTTTTTAGTTAAAGTTGAATAAAGAATTGGTAAATTTGATTCAAGTAATGCATCTTTATCTGACATAATTTTTTTCTTTTTTAAGGGAAAACTAAAATGAAATAAAAATTTAATTTAAAAATGAAGCGAAATTATGTGAAAAAACTACGTGGAAAATTTTATTCCAGGGAAGATAACTTTGGGGGTAGATGGGAAAATAGGATATGAGCATGGTTGGGGTTTCCGAGTCTGGCCGACGCGCGAGTCATTTTTATCGGGCCGGCCCGACCAGTCTTTTTCGGGCCAAAATTAGAAGCTTGACTTGACCCTAAGCCGAGATGAGTAGATGGAAGGTGTTATGAACAAAAATATCCCCTGGCATGATTCAATAAAATAATACTGACTTTAACATAAGGGTTAGATCAGCGGTTTAAATGTGTAGGAGTCTCACGTAGAAAAATAAATTTAAATCAAAATTTTTGAGAAAAAAACAAGGCAAAAAAACCTTTTAAAATAATTAATAAAAAAAACATTTTTATTTAAATTCTACAATTTTTATCTCCACAAAAATACAATTTAATAAAAAACACAAATTTATCCTATTTTTAAAATTATTAAAAAGGTATTTTTTAATGATTTTGTAATGTTGAAGATTTTTTTTCTGGTAATAAACAAAAATTTTGTTCTGGACAGTTATTTTTAAAACAAAACAAAATAAGGTATTATCCCGATTATCTCTTCAAAAAAATTTTTTATTCTTCGATCTCATCTACACTAATAAAAATTATACTTGGTCGAAGGGTACAAAAAGGTCAAACAAATATTAAGTTAAAGACAATTCAAAATAAAAACAAAACAAGGCGTAAACCAGGGAAGTAACCCTTCCGCATTTCTAGAAGCGGAAAACGTGAGGAAATAAAAAATAGAGGACTAAAAAAGACACATTTCCAAAGGCATAGCCAAGGCCACCAATGAAATCCGACCCTGGTCAGGGTCACCAATGAAATCCGGCCCTTGCCCATGTCTAGTGTAAACGTTATCGGAAAAACTTTTCGGAAGAGATATTCGGAGGATATCACCCACAAAAATCCACAACATTAAAAAAACCTAAAAAACCTTTCTTTTTCCTTCTCAAATAATTTTTATTTTGAACAATATTTCCACGCATCTGGCATATAATTCAATCGTGTCTGATCAACAGAAGTAAGATGAAAGCTTTTCCAACCAAGAGGTCCAGTATAAGGAGAAAAGTGACCGCTATACATTCGACTGAAAGGCATTCCTTGAGTTCCCCATTGAATTGTACGTACATGTTGATAATAAGAAAATAGAGTAATTAAAGGAATTGAAGTAAAAAGTGCTCGTTGTAACTTAAAATCACCTGGAAAAAAAATTTTTTTTTATTTTTTTGTGTTTATATTAAAAATTTGGATAGAAACAAGGTGGCCCTTTTTTGTAAAGTTTCAATAAATTTACAGATAAATATCAAAACAATTTTGATGTTAACATCATCCGATTCAGCTTGAAAATCCGAGTAAAGTGATGACATAAATAACTAGATTGACCGCTATATATCGGAGCAAAGATCAAAAAAATTCCTAGGATGAAATGTCTCGTTTTGGTTATAAACAAGCATTTTAATTTTCCGGCAATTCATAATCTTATAGAAAATTAGAAAATGTTCCGGACTTAAACTAGAAAAATTTAATCTCAAAATACTTACGCATCGTAGCATGAAGTGCACCAGTCACAACAGACGCTTAAATTGAAAAAAAAATTTTTGAAATTTTTTTCTATGATTTTTAAGGATAAAATGTGATATGTCAAAGATTAATTTTTTAAAATTTATTTATTCCCTCCCCAAGAAAATCGAAAATAAAAAAAAATTTAATAAAAAATTAAAAAGAACTTCAGAAATATTGTTTAAAAAAATTAACCTTTAACCACTACAAAAATTTTAATAAAAAATATTATTCAAAATCAAACCAATAGTCCAATTCCAAGTATCATCAATATGTCTAATCTTTGCAGAAGTACAAGCAGTAACACCAAAAGTCATTCCCAAAGCAGCAGGAACAGGAAAAAATCTGAATGCCCAATCCTTGCAAATACCCGTCCAATTAACCAAAACTTTTAAATCTTTTTTTCCACGATCCAAATAAGCCGCAGCGAAAGCTTTAAATTAAAAAATAAGATAAAAATTGTGGAAAAAAAGAGAAAAATTTAAAAAATGGAAATTATAAGAGAAAAAAGATTTTGTCAAAGCCTAGTTTCAGAAGGACGTAATTGTTCAATTTCTATAGCTAAAGTTATACCCATAATCAAACTTAATTACTCTTAATCAGTCTAGTTTTAAGTCCAAAAGTCAAAAAATTTGAAGCCCTATAACTTTTCGACTGGGGAGGGGGGGATGGGTGAGGTAGGGCCGAAAAAGAAAAAAAACTAGCAATAGGAAATCGACCGTGTTCTACACAATGGTATAAAAAATAATACATAACCACTAAAGAATCAACTAGCACGCATCCTAAAATTCACTATCCAAAATAAGAAATTAAACAAACATGCAACAGCAATATATTTAACAAGCGCAAGTCCCTTCTCAATACAACCTTCATTCATTGGTTTATCCCAAAACCGGGGACCTCTATGTGTTTGCAAAAAATTGTGTAATTTAAAATGAGTTCCAAGTGTTCGATATTCTTCTTTATATTTATCCAAAAGTGGAGATAGGGCAAATCCAGGATGTTCAGGGCTTATGTCAAAATTGTTTATAATATTTTTGTATTGACCAGAGCTTTCAGTAACCTACAAAAAAATTAAATAAAATAATATTAGTTTTTTTTATCCTAATTTTATTCCAGGGTTGGACCCCGACTCCTTGAAGGCGCGTTTGTTGGGGTGTGCTGGAATATGACAGACAACAAAAAGTTAGTGCTATTCTTTCAGTCATATTCCAACGCACCCAGCCAAACGCGCCCTCAAGGAGAACGCCAGACTTCATCAAGTTTTTCCAAAAAAAGTCAGTTCTTATCGGGAATAGCCTCGTCAGTTTTTAGAGGACATAACTCAGGGGTCATAGCCCAGTTCTTAGGGGCATAGCCTCAGTGCTCGGCGAGGTCTCTGGGCGAAGACAGGACCGGTCAATCCGAAAATCTCAGCGTCAGCGAAGCCACGCCCTTACTCTACTCCAGTGAAGACTTAAAAAATTATTAACAAACCTTCTTTTGATGTTCATCAAACGTCATTGGTTGATCCCCTTTTTTAGTCAAATTTCTATGATATTGCGTATCAAGCCCAAACGGCCCAACAACCGAAGTTCCATCAGGTACTTTTGGATCATACCAATAATTATCCCGTTCGCGATGATCATAACGAATTCCACGGGACATTCCCCTTCTCAACATTTCGTCTTTATATCCAAGTTCTGCCCACCATTCTGGACGACCATTACTTTAAAATTAAAGGATTAGCTGCTTAAATAAACACTTACTATTCTTTATAGCAAGGCACCCAAAAAGGTCGTTCAATTCTAATTGTTGGAGACAATGGAGGTTCGTAAGGATCTTTATAATCCGAGTGGGAAAACATGGCAAAAAGTTTGCAATAACACTGAAAAAGAAAATTATTTAAAAAATTATTGCCAAAAAAAATTTCTTTCAGATTTTTCGTTATCGATTTTCCCTGAAAAGTTGGAATTTTGTGACGAAATGGGTAAAATAAAGTGTGCCGACCAAGTGACCGTGGCAAAACGTCCGTTCAAAGAAAAGATTTCGAGGAGAAATAGTGTAGTGTTTTGGGAGAGTTGTTGGCTCCTATACAACTCATCTAATCGTTAACTCATCTATTCGTTAACTCATCTACACGGCCAAAAAGGGTTAACTCATCTAATCGTTAACTCATCTATTCGTTAACTCATCTACACGGCCAAAAAGGGTTAACTCATCTAATCGTTAACTCATCTATTCGTTAACTCATCTACACGGCCAAAAAGGGTCAACTCATCCAATCCTTCGGAACGAGACTATTGAGTACCGGCCGGTTGAGTCCATGGCCAGTAGCAACTGGTCATGGACTCAACTGGTCATGGACTCAACTGGTCATGGACTCAACTGGCCATGGACTCAACTGGTCATGGACTCAACTGGTCATGGACTCAACTTACCAGAGACTCAAACGGCCAGAGACTCAGACGGCCAGAGACTCAAACGGCCAGAGACTCAAACGGCCAGAGACTCAAACGGCCGGAGACTCAGATGGCCAAAGACTCAAACGGCCAGAGACTCAGACGGCCAGAGACTCAAACGGCCAGAGACTCAAACGGCCAGAGACTCAAACGGCCGGAGACTCAGATGGCCAAAGACTCAAACGGCCGTTACTTAATAGTCTCGTTTCGAAGGATTGGATGAGTTGACCCTTTTTGGCCGTGTAGATGAGTTAAGGATTAGATGAGTTAACGATTAGATGAGTTAACCCTTTTTGGCCGTGTAGATGAGTTAACGAATAGATGAGTTAACGATTAGATGAGTTGATCCCTTTTTGGCCGTGTAGATGAGTTAAGGAATTTTAGCCGTTTAGATGAGTTGAACGTTTTTGGCCGTGTAGATGAGTTAACGAGTAGATGAGTTAACCGGACACGGAGTTGTTAGAGAAAAAGTTTTTCAATTTAGAATTTTTAAAAATTTTCTTAAATTTTACAAGGCCCTGCATTACTGTCGTTATTTTCACTTTAAAAATGTCAGAAGACAACGAATTAGACAACGACCATCAAGAATTAAGCCCAGCAAGTGTTAATGTTAGCGCAATTCAAAGGCAACTATCTGCTGCTGTTCAAGCTGCTGCTGAAGAGCCTTCTTTTAATTTAAGACTTATTGAAGCTGTGAAACAAAGCCATTGTTTATATGACCCTTCTGATAGGTTTCTTTTTGTTATGATGTAAGGTTGTAAGGCAATTTATTTTTTCTTGTGGAAGTAGCGTAAAATTTGGCCTTGGGTTCTTGCTGCCATTTCTTACCTTAGCTTTTTTGAATTGTCACAAGTAATTACTTTATGATTCCGGGTTATATGATAGGATTATGTTTTTATTCTACGCATATCTTTTTGTATTTACTAATTTATCGAATCATGGCATGGTGTAGAAAGACCCAAACCAGGCATTAATTCATTGAACTACACTAGCATGGTCTTTCCTTTCTTATTTTATACCTCCACCTCAATTCCTTTTATTTAACCTTATATTTTTATTTTTAGACAATATAGAAGTGCTGACTACAAAATTAAAGTATGGAATCGTCTTGTACAAATGCTTGGATTTCAAGGTGTTTTTTGATTTGTTTAAAATATTTTTTTATTTCCTAGGAGATGCTAGAACTTTGTATAATCGTTGGAAGCAGTTGAGAGATAAATATGGAAAAGAGGTAGATACTTTTAAAATTTTTTTGTTTTTAACTTTATTTTAACTGTAGAAAAAGAAATTGAAATACAGTGGAGAACAACATTCACAATGGCAATATTTTAAGGTTTTTATTTTATTTTTGGTAAATATTTATTCGGAGCCAAACCGGAGAATCGAATTTAAAATTTCTAAGATTTGGTTCGGTGACGAACCGAGTAACTTTATATTTAATTTGAATAATTGAGATCAGACATGTCGGTGGATACTAATTTTAATATCTGGATATTTACTGCGGATACAGGCGGGTATCCGCAGGCATCTTGATATTATCTGTATCCGTATCCATGATCAGGTCTGGTTGGAATTAAGGTTGTCTTCGGATATCCTATTCGATAACTGAACCGAACATTTTGGGTATCCGGAACCCTACAAAAATCCTTCCAAATAAACTCAAATAATGTCTAATATTTTTATTTTTTTAGTATTTTGAGTTTCTCGATCCTCACATGGTTGATAGGACACAAACTCGTTTTGAGCGGAACAAAGAAGGAAAGAATGTTTGTTTTTAATTATTTTTATAAAAACAAAAATTAATTTAAGGATCAACAACAAATAGTAATAACTGACCCCAATTTTACTCTCCATTTGATTGATGAAGTTCGACTGCAACCTTGTCTTTATGACATTAAGGATCCAAAATATCGACACAGTGAATATAGAAATCAGGCTTGGGGAGAAATTGCGAAGAATTTGTCTTTTCCAGGTTTCTGAGTCCTAAGAAGTTTTAAAGAATTTTTCAGGTGATATAAGCTCCCTCTATAAACAGTGGAAAAAAGTTCGAGACCGTTATGTTCGTGAAAAACGAAAATTGCGTATGGCTGGCAATGCAAGCAATGAAGTTTCTAATTGGGAATTTTTTCGTGATTTGATGTGGATTGACCCTTTTTTGGATGAAAGAGCAGCGTTAGTTTTGTTTTTCACTTTTTAGGAAGATTTTTAATTTTAGTCAAGTTAAACGAAAACGTGAAAGTAGTGAAGCGTCGGGAGGAGAGGATGAGCAAATTTATTTAAATGACAGTTTTTCTTCGTCTACAACTGCTATAAATTTTTCTAATGGCATCAATTCTTTACAACATGATGATTTGGGGACATCACAAATGTCTTCTCATCATTCACAACAACAGGTTTATCATTATTTTGATTATTTGGAGTTACACATAGAAGTTTCCTATGTGACTTTAAATGATTGGGCCCTGGTCATTTTTTAAGAAAACGAGCATCGGATTCGCATTAGGAAGTCAGGGACCTCTATCGAATCGTATAATTTGTACTCACAATCAGTAACCGAGCCAGTTCTTTGGTGTTAAAGATCACCAAAGAACTGGTCTCACAAAGTTGTTTTTAAATTTCTGACTCCTTGCGCTGATTCTGCCTTAGCCTTTTACCTCCCATAGATACACTCTTGACAAGATTTCCCAAAAATTTTTTTCTAGCAAATTCAAAATCCTTATACAATGATGTCAATTCAACAGCCACAACAACAACCTCTAGAATCAATTCAACACCCTTCTTTTAACTTTGGACATCAATTACAACAATTAGTCAGACTTCAGCAACACCCACCAATGCAAAATAATACAAATTCAAATATTGTTGTGGGACATTCACTTACTGGATTACACCAAGTTCAACAACAGCATCAGGTTTCTTTTTTGAATTTTTATTGAGGAAAAAGAACTTTAACTAGAAAAGAAATTTAAGTAGTGAGAATTGAATTGCTAATAGGTCCTCTTTAGGGTTGGAAGACATGGATATCCGAGCTTTTCGGTTCGAATATAAGATTTAGATATCCGGGGATTTTTCTGGATATGCTAACCAAGACTCGTATTTTTTATCTTCACTATTACCAAAAAACCTTTTTTAGAATAAGAAAAAACAATTAGGATTGGATTTATAGAAGTCCTCTTTTTAGGGTCGGCGAATCTGTATATCCTAAATTTTCTGTCCGGATATTGGATTCGGGTATCCAGGGATTTCCTCGGATTCGTTAACCTGGTCTCATATTTTCTATTTTTTTATTTTCACTTTTTACAGAAACAACTTTTATTTTCAGAATTTATCAAGAATTCGTCCAGCATCACTTTTAAATGATTCAATAGGTTTAGTAACCTCCTCATCTGTTCAAAATAATTCAAATCAACAATTAATGATACCACTTCAACAACAACAATCAATACCTTTAAATACTAACAATTTTTCTCAACTTGATACAAGCAATTCAATTAATGTTAGTGAACGTCCAAATGATCCAACAACTTTACAAAAACAGCAACAACATTTAATTTTACCTCAACAACAACCATCAATGGTCGATGGAGAAAGAGCTTTTGCACACAGGTTTTTTTTTAATTTTAAACGTAATTTTGTTTTTATTTTTCTTTAAGTGTTGTTGCCGATTTGCTTTGCCTTCCAGAACATGCACGTATTATGGCAAAGGCACAAATTCAACATTTGTTAGAAAATTCAAAAATTACAATTGTTAAGGCATAGAATTTATTAGTATATTTTCAGGTACTTTTTGGATAGCCCTCCGCTCTAGTCTGAGTCTCAGTTTTCTTTCCTTCATAGCTATCATTTCTTTCCTCGAGCGGTATATATATGAGTCATATATGGTTGGCGTTTTCGAGTCGGACCGACGGTCGTGTCATTTTTTACGGGCCTCATTTTTATCGAGTCGGGCCATGAGTCTTTTTTTAGGTTAAATCATATCTTATGGCCGACACGATCTTTCAGTTCGAGTCAGTCCATTTTGGCATCCCTAGTCATGTAAGTAAAAATATATATGTTTTATTGCTTGACAAAATATATAACCAAAAATGAGGAAGGAAAGAATTAAAGATACTCAAATAAGATTGGTAGGGGCTATCCAGAAGTACTTTTTTTAATATATTTCTAGTCTTTTTTCCTAGATAACTTTTATTTTATTTTTAATAAATTTTTTGCTGGAAAATTTTTTTTCATTTCTTAAATTATCATTTTTTAAAGCCTTTACTTTTATATTTTTTTAATTTCTAAATAATTTTTTAACTTTGTTTTTAGGCCTTTATTTTTAAAAAATGGAAGGGAAAATTCGTTGTAGATTATGCAGCGAATTATTTAGTGAGGCTCACACTTTGGAGGCACACATTGCTACTTCTCATATTTACTACACACCTTACGAATGTGAATTTTGTGGAAATGCTTTATTCCCGACTGATCGAGCATTGAGGGATCATTATAAAAATATTCATAATGTTGAGGATTTTGTGGTTTGTTTTTTTTTAAATTTTTATACTGGATACTAGAGACGTCCAAAACTCTTGGTCTTGATTCCAAGACTTCTTGGTTTTTTGGTCTTGGTATCTCTACGGGATACACCAGTTTGACCTGAAATGTTTTAGTCGTGTGTATCCATTATTTGTGGAAAAATCTCCACCCACTGGCCAACCCACTTTAAAACACAATTAGGAATTGACACTGCTTGTGTATATTTTATAGTGAGATATGAATTACTTTTTGTATCAATTATATTTTATTTGAGCTATTAATCGTTTTGAAGTTTGGTGGACTCCCTTTTTAAGCTAGTTGTTTCATTTTACTATGACTTTTGTGAAGCTAATTTTTAATTGAGTTTATGACCGATTACTTGATTAGATTTTAAAAATTAAAATTGATTTTCTTTTTCTAGATAAAATATAGAGTTAATCCAGAATTGGAAAAACGTAAAGAAATGTTGGATCAATTAATGCTCGATTCAACAAATTTGACACTTAAAGAACAACAACAACAAAATGCTCCATATGGTGCTTTTGCTTCTCAATTATTAAAAACATGTACAACACAATTATTGCGTGAACAATTAACTAAAACTGAATTATTTGTTAATCAAAGACAAGGATTGAGGGATGATTTTAAAATTGAAGATTATTTTTCGGTTTTTTTAAATTAAAAAATTTTTTTTTTAATTTTGTATTTTTAGCCTGAACCTGCTAATATTTTAAATAATCATTTTGGACCGTCAACTAGTGATAGTAGTAATAGTGTTCTAAATGAAAATCAAAAACAGTTTGTAATTTTTTTTAATTTTTATTTTTAAATTTTTGGACGTTTTTAATGTAAATTGATCTTTTAAAAATAATTTACCGCCAATTGGATTCGAACCTTCGACCCTTTTTGTGGTGGGCACAAAACTTTTCCCACTAAGCCACAAAAATGTATTCCCCGATTTTTGGAATATTTTTGGAGCGGATTGCTTCTGTTTAAAATCTTCTAACTTTGGTTAGCATATGGCTAGAAATTTGATTTTTATATCAAATGATAGAGCAGATTTTTGGCTACAAAATAGTTTTTAAAAATTATTTTTAAAAAAATTTATAGGTTTTTACACGACCCAAAACCACTTTTTGGCCATTTAACTCAAAATGAACTTATTTGTGTTGGTTCAATGAATGGTTCTGAAGACAATTTTATTAATTCTACAATTGGTTTAATTTTTTCAAATTTTTGAAATTTTTATTTTATAAATTTTAAGCAAAACAAAATGGGTCTAAAAAGCGTGTTAGACGTAAAATTAATAGTGATGGAAGTATTGAACCAAAAATGGAAATGAATGGAGTGATTGAGGAAGAGAAAGTGGTATATAATTAATTTGCTTTAGGGGCGTTTCCAAGGCTGGGATTCTTAAAAATTTTTTTGTCTTAATTTTTTAGTGTTGAGAACTGAACTTTAAAAAATTTATTTAGTAAATGACATTTGGTCCCATTACATTAGTAGAAAGACAGCACATTCAGCTGGGTTACCACAGGATAGTCCTGGACGTTTGGGAATCCTCTCACAAACCAAAATATTTGAGCCTTTTCACTTTTCTATTTTATTTTAATTTTTTAAAATAATTTTCAGACAATGGTTGAATGTATTGACTGTAAGCGAAAGGTTGGAAAATATCGAAATTCAATGCTTATTCATACAAGTACTCATCACTGTGATCAACCAATTTTTGAATGTACTGGTGAAGGTTGTGATAAAAAATGGTATTCATTGTCTGCTAGAACTAAAGAACATATTGAATCGAAGCATGGAGGAAATTATTCACTTTTAAAGGTTTCTTTTAATTTTTAAAATTTGGTTTTTGAAAGAGGGGGTTTTTTAGGGGTTTTTTGTTCTCATCAATCTCTCTCCTCTTCTCCTCAGCATCCTCCTCCTTTCATTAACTAACTAAGCAAGTGCCCAAGTTTCTTCTCAACCCTCCTCCAAAAGTCACTTCATCTTCCCATCAACATTCCTCACCTCTAGAAATTTCTTATTTCCTTATGTAAGGGCAATAGAAATTTCCTTTCATATTAAAAACAATCCAAATTCCTCTCCCTATTTTTTAAAAATTTTTTCCATTCACTTAATAACTTAATTTTAAAGGATAACCGTGCTGTATTAATGCCAATGATGAAAGCAAAAACTTCAAAACTTTTTCCAGACTATTATTCGTTGGCTACAAATTTGAGGGAATTATTACAATAAATATTTAAAATATATTTTAATTTTAAAAAAATTTTGACTTATTTTTTGCCTGATATTCCCTTTAAAAAAAGTTTTCCCTAAAATTCTCCCACAATTTTGTTCATTAAAAAAATTATTCTGATTTTAATTTTAGAAATCAGAATTTTTAAAACTTGAAATAAAATACAAAAATCAGAATTTTGAGTTAAATAAACAAAATAAATCCGAATTCTGGACAAAATACAAAAAAATTAGAATTTGATAAAATACAAAAATCAGAATTTTAGGGAGTTACTTTTATACATTTTATTGTTTTATTTTAAAAACTTTCATTTTGTCACGTCTAAAAATTACCCTAGTATTTAAATATTATTCTAATCAATTGACATTTTTTCAATTTTTTTGATTCTGTTTTGATAATAAAAATAATACATATATAAATTTATTTAAATTTTGGTTAGTATAGGACACGGCTGGTTAATTTTCCCCTTATGTTGGCCTCTTATTTTCATTTCTATTTGACCACCACATGGGGAAGGAAATTAACTGGTCGAGTCCACTATTAATTTTTAATTTAAAAAAATATTTTTTTAATTATTTAAAATACTTTTATGTTTTCAAAATTATTTTTTTTTATTTTTAAAAAATTTTAGAATTTTTTCAGCTAATTTTCAGTCAAAATTTCAGTCAACAAATTATTCAAAAATATTTTTCTTTCTTCAACAACAATTTTTAAAAGAATGGCAACAACAGACAACAACAAAATTATTAATTCATCATTGAATGAACAACGTCTTATTTGGATTGATTGTGAAATGACTGGATTGGATCCAATTAAACACAGATTGGTGGAAATTGCTTGTATTGTGACTGAAGGTGATTTGAAGGTGGGGGAGTTTTTTTTTAATTTTGTGTTAAGTTGAACCTCGTTTTTGGACACTACCAGTGGGTTGAGGATACTCGATTTGAGTGCATTTCAAAATTTGGTAGGCCCCATTGGGAGGGAGAGTTGTACAGGTGTTACCCTCTCTATTTAATACACCTTCATTGGGTGTGGTGCTCAAAATTACATTCGTTCAAAATTTATTTGGTCAGGATACCTTCTATTTAATATACCCATTATGAAATTCAATTGGAGTATCTAAAAATGAGGTTCGACTATTTGAGAAAAATTTTTATTCCAATTAATTTTTTGTGAAGACAGCGCGTAGTTTAAAACTTGCATTTAGCTTTAAATCGCTATTTGAGTTAAATTTCTCTTAAGCTTTTCTTTTTCATGTTAACAATTTTTAAGGAATTACTATTTTTTAAATTTTTTCTTATATTTTTTCAATTAACAATTTTTATTTGTAATTTAATACTTGAAAATTTAAAATATTTTTTTTAAATTAATACTTCTATACTAGTCAGAATTTTCTATCAATTAATTATTCCTTCATATATTCAAAAAATTCTTGTTTACTAATTTTTCCATCACCATTTTTATCAACTTTTTTATTAAACCCTTTCTCTACTGCTTCTTCAATTGTTTTTGCATTTGCTTTTTCCAATTTTTCTCTCAATTCTTTTAGGTCCATTTCTTTTGCCAATTCTTTCCAATATTTTATAGCTTCTTCTAAGGATATAAAACCATCATTGTTTTCATCTATTTTTTGAAATATTTTATTAAATTGATCTTGCTCTTCTGTTGACTTTACGTTATTGATAAATAACTAGAGGAAAAAAATTTGTTTAAAATTCTGATTTTTTAAATTCTGATGGTTTGAAATTTCTGATTTTAAAATTCTGATTTTCTAAAATTCTGATTTTTTGAAATTTCTGATTTTAAAATTCTGATTTTGTTAATTTTTATTCTTGAAATCTGACAGGTAAAGTAGTGGGGTATTAAATTATTAGAATAATGTATTTTGTTTTGTTAAATTTTATATAGTGAATACTTCAATAATGTCTTGTGTAATTTCTTATTTTAAAATTTTTGTTTATTGTGATTTTTTAATTGTGTATTTGGTTATGTATTTGAAACTTTTATATGGTCGAGAATTTATTTGAGGTTTTTCGAGAATGTTTATTAGGTGTGGGGGTTTGTTGTTTTTTGCATATAAAAGATTTTTTGAATCATTAGTATCGTTATTTTAAATTCAAATTCATTTTTAAATAACAAACCAGAATAAGCATAGCAACAAAAATAATTTTTGACATTTTTAAATTTTTGTAAGAAAGGTCTCAAAAAAAATTTTTTTAAGAAAATGAAAGAGGGTAAAAAGACACATTGAAATAGGCGGAGCGTTTTTAAAAATTATTTAAAATGATTAATTAATTTTTCTTAAATCTAATTTAATAAAAAAATAAAGATAGTGGCAGAATTTGGTCCTTTCGCAATTAAACAACCAACAAATATTTTGGAGGGAATGAATGATTTTGTTAGGCAAATGCATGAGAAAAATGGGCTTTTAAAACGTGTGGAAAGTGAAGGGATTGAAGAAAGTGAAGTTGAGAATAAGGTGAAAATTAAATTTAAGAATTAAAAATTATAAATTGATAGGAATTTAAGAAATTAGAGGAAGGAGGACGGGGGGGGAAGATAATAGGAAGACGGAATTTTTTCTTTAATTTTGGGAAATTTTTTTGTGTAGAGGTGTGGGTTAAGGTAGGGATGAGATTTCTTCCGTCTTCTTCTGTCTTCCATTTTTTATTTCCGTTTTTTCGTCTTCAGTCTTTCGTTTTTAAAATGGCAGGGCCTATCCTTGGGTGTAGGGGTGGTTGTTTTAAGTGATGCATATTAATATGGTAGTTTAGTTGTTAAAAATTTAAACACATTAAGGGAAGGGGGAAAAGATGACGGGGAAAATAAGGGAAAATGACTGATTTTTTTTTTATTTTCGGGAAAGAGATTTTTTGTAGGTAGAGTTGGGGGTGTTTTTAGTTGATATTTAATAGTTGTTTAGGTTAGCTATTTTATTTTTTTCATATGAGATCCAGAAAGTTTCCAAAAATTTATTTTTAATTTCCTCAATATTTTCAAATATGTATAAGTCAAAAAATTCTCTTCTTCTTAAGCTTATGGAATTTTTACTTGTTCATACTCCACCAAAAACGTGTCAATTAGCTGGAAATAGTGTTCATTATGACCTTCAATTTCTCAAGCGTTATATGCCCAAATTTGTTGAACATTTACATTATCGTATAATTGATGTTTCGACAATTAAAGAACTTGTTAAGCGTTGGTATAGTGACTCGGAAAAATTGGTTAATATGCCTCCAAAGAAATTAAATCATTTGGCGATGGATGATATTAAGGAGTCGATTGATGAATTGATATATTATAAGAAACACTTTTTTGTTTGAAAATATTTTTTTTTGAAATTTTTTGTTTGGAATTTTTGTTTTGATGAATTTAATGAATCTTGAGGTTAATTTGTTTTATAGTTAGAAAAAATTATTATATGGGAGATTGGGTAGAGAAAAGGCAGCTATAGTGGATCAAAGGGGTAAAGCAGCCTAATTTTTCTTGGATTTACAGACTAACTTTAAAAAATTTGTTTAATTTTTTTTTTGATTTGGAGTGGGGGATTTTTCAGAAATATTTGAGAAGCTTTTTAATTTTTTTTGAAGTTTTTTTTAATTTTGGGAAATATTGACGGAATTTTTCAAATTTAATTTTCTATCTACTGTTTTCAAAATATTTTATAAAATTCTTTAAAATATATTTTTTTATTTCTTCAATTTTTTTTGTATTTTATTCTATTCTCTTCCATACACTAATTCATCTAAATACTCTTCTGTAGCTCTCAATCGTTGTAATTTTTGTGCTAATTCTTCACATTGACAGTCTACTGGGGTTTGTGCTGCTTCTGTTGATGGGCGTCTATAAGAGAGGGATTTTTAAATTTTTTTTTTGAAAAAAGGTCTTGCCTCGAAAAAGCTTTGACTTCCCCTTCAAATCCACAGCGTATCTATAAAAGGAAATTTAATTTAAAGGATTGTAAGGAAATAAATTACCTCATCAGTCCAAAAAGCTATTAATGTACGCCATGCTCTTCCAGCTTCACGTGTTTTCTAAAAAAGAAAAAATTTTTTTTTGGTTTTTTTCGTCTTAGATATCCTTCTAATAATCCCCTTCTCTTACCTGAACACATTCTACTGAGCAAACTTTTTCCATAACTATTTCCCCAAGTTTGTCCCATACATTGGCTGATAGTTGAGATGTTCGAGAAAGGAACTAGAGAAAAAATGGGGGGTTATTTTTGAAGAATTTTTCCCTTAATTCACCGCGTGTTGTTGTCCAATACATTTGCTACTCGAATTAATTATTTGTTGAGTTTCTGAATCCCCTTCTACAAACTGAACCAAATCGTCAATAAACTTTATAAGCATTCGAATATGTTCTTCCATTGATGCGGGGTTAGGTCCTCCACCTGAAGCCTTTTCCCAACAATCAACATAATCTGCTTTGCAGAAAATCTTAAAAATTAATTTTATTTTCTGAAAAATAATTCAGAATTTTTTAAAAAATAAATCAGAAATTTTTTGCTGAAAAATTTTTTAATTTTTTGGGGGAATTTTTTTTTTAAATAATTCTTAATTTTTTAATTAATAAATGCAGTTGTTCTACTATTTCTTAAATAAATTCTGATATTGTTATATTCTGTATTTTATTAAATTCTGATTTTTAAATTCTGATTTTAGTCAAAAATACATTCTAATTAATTTTCTCTAGAATACATATTCTGATCTTTATTTTTATATATTCTGATTTCTAATTAAATATCCTTTACTCCTACAAACAAAAAATTCTGAAATTAATTCTGATTTTGTATTTTCTCTAAAAAATACGTTTATTCTGATTATTTTATATTTATAAATTCTGATTTTTAATTAAATATCCTTTACTCCTACAAATATTTTTTCTGTCCTAATTTATTTCCCCATTCTTCCCTACTTCTTTAACTGCAGGCTCTGTCTGTGCCAGCTCCATAAATATTTTTCTCATTAAAGAGAATAATTGTCCTTGTTGTTGACGCATTTGTCGCCATGTTGTACACAATGCAATTTTTTGACTGTTGGACATTCTGCCTAATAAAGAGAGGGCTTCTGTTGATCCTTCAAATTGAATCGAAAATTAAAAAAAAGTTTTTTTTTGGATTTTTTACCATGTCTATGTCGAGAAGACTTGCTTCTAAAATTGCGAGATCCTTTACGTGACAAACTTCCACTTCCACCATTGGCTGATTGTACCCCACAAGAAGAGGGAGAGGAAATGGCTGGATTGTGGTGATTGTTGCCAAGAGGTGAACCTGTAGTAGTAGCCCGTGGAAATCGTAAAGATTGTGTTCGCCGAAAATTTGAAAAAGGTCCTCCGTTCTTTATTGCAGCCATTGTTGAGCTAGCAGGCATTTTAATTTTATTATTTTTTCTCTTAATAATTTTCTCGTAAAAATTCTGAAATTAATTCTGAAATATTTAATTCTGATTTTTGTTTATAAAATACTTTTTTAAATATCTATTCTGAAACACATAATTCTGAAATATTTAATTTTGAAATTAATTCTGAAACAATTCTGAAATACAATTCTGATTATTAAATTCTGAATATTTAATTCTGAAATTAATTCTGAAACTTAATTCTGAAATACAATTCTGATTATTAAATTCTGAAAATAAATTCTGAAATATTTAATTCTGACTTTTTGTTTTTCTTAGTATTTTCTGAAAAATATAAATTCTGGTTTTAATAAAAATAAAATTCTGATATATTAAACCACGGCAATTTTAATCAAAAAATAATAATTCTGATTATTAAGTCTAAGTTTAAAAATGTTTGTGTGTTATTTTCCTCCGTTATTTAAAATTCTGATTTTAAAGAAAAGATAAAATACACATTCCAATAAGATGAAAGATGAAAGAATATTTTTAATTAAAATTTGTTTTAATAAAAAAAGGATAAAGGGTAAAAAATATTAAAAAAATATTTAAAGGGGTATAAGATAAAAGAAGAAGAAGAATGTGTGTAAAAATTATATTTTGCCGCTTTTTAGACATTTTTTTTGTTTGTTTTGTTTGTATTTTTGTGTAGAGGGCGCTAACGAGCTTATATATATCTTAAGGCTTTTTTTGCTTTAAATTAGAGGTGAGGAGGGAAAGGTTTTGTTGTGTGTGCAAATGAATATTTTTTGTTGTGTTTCTTATCTATCTTTTGCCATTATTTTTATTAAGGGGGTTTTAAGAGGGGATTTTAACTAAAAATATTAAGAGGGTTTTTTTAACTAGCTTGGTTTTTGGAAGGAAAAATCAGAAAGGATTTTTGAAGAGTAAATTTTTTTCTGCAAGTGTGAAAGACTAGAAGGAAGAGGATTTATATATTCCACCTTTTAAGGTCATCCTAGTTCACTAATTTATTAATCTATTCATTTATAAATATTACATATGTCTAGAATCTAAAATGGTCTTCAATAAAATATTTTCTTTTTTTTTAAAATTTTTATTCCTCCTTCATAAAGCATTTGGAAAGAGATGCCCTGGCGCAACAAGTCGTGTGCGCGCGCTGCCTTATAAAATTGTCAGATAAATACTTGGAGTAATAAAAATTTTGAATAAATGTCCTCAATAATGTTGCCTAACAATTCTGAAAATTTCAGAATTTTTAGTTTTGTATTTCAGAAATTCTGGTTAAAAATGCTGATTAAACTGCTTATTTTACTTAATTTTTTGAACATTTTTGTCTATAACTTTTAAAATATTAAACTAGAAATTCTGAAAATTTCAGAAATGTTAGTTAACATTATTAGGGATATTTATACAAAATTTTATAGCTTTATCTTCTTTTTTGAACGTTTTATAAATCTGCGCCTTAACGTCCTCCATATCCAGACGTTCCTTCCTTTTATTTTCCTTAATGGGTTTGAATACATTAAAAAACTTATTGAATAAATTTCCTTTTAATAAATATCCATGGAACCATAAAATCGAGAAAATGACGAAAAAAAAAGAAGAAAAATTGTGTAAAAAATGGAATATTAACGATGGCACTTTATATAAATTCTGGTGTATAATTTATAAATGTGACGGGGAAAAAATTTAGTTTTAATGGATTTATAAAATGTTCCAGGTGGAAGATAAAAATATGAATAAATGAATAGGATTTTTTGGAAAAGGTGGAAGAAGATTAATTTAGAAGGAGGGGAATGATAGTAGGATAAAATGTAATGGTTTTTAGTTAAGCTAATATGAAGAAATTAGTTGGAGGAGAAGTTTTGTTTGGATTAAATTCTGATTTTTTATAGAAGTTCTGTGTTTTGTTTGGAAAAAATTCTGATTTTTATTATAGGAAAAGTACTGTTTTGTTTGGAAAAGGTTCTGATTTTCTTTTAGTGTTTTGTTCGAATAAAATTCTGATTTTTTTAATTCTGATTTTTTAAATTCTGATTTTTAACAACTCTTTTTACAATTCTGTTATGTTTTTCTGATTTTTTAGCTTAAAGATAATTATAAATTCTGAAATAATAATTACAAATACTAAATTCTGATTTTTATATTATAACATATATTTTTAATAAAATACGTATTTGGTAGTATAATTCTGTTTTTCGAGGGAAAATACATTTTATGGTTATAAATAGTGTTTTTCCTTTTTTAATATTAAAATATTAAAAGTGATGACAAAATGTAAATTTTAAAAAAGAATTTTTTTCACACATTTTTTTAAAGTCCAACTAAAAACACATCAGAAATGGACAGGTAAAAGGAAAAATTTTTTTATATAGAAAAAAAGCAAACAATTATGTCACTTAAAATTTAAAATTATGGGAAATTCTTTTTATTTTTTTCAATTATTTTTTTTTCAATTATTTTTTTTTTCAATGTTGCCTTGGTTTTTAGACTAAATAAAAAAATGTTTTTAAAGTAAAATGTAAAATAAAAACGTGAGTAAAAAAGTTTTTAATTTTAAATTATGGGGGAGATGCTACTCTGAAATTAGAAGAGAGAGACAATAAAGCATGGAGGAAGGAAGGGGTTTATAAAACAATTCAAAGTAAACTTAGAGAGGTGAAATTTTGTGGGTATATTGTTGATGGTGTTATTTAACAGTTCTGAAAATTTCAGAATTTTTGGTTCTGTATTTTACGAGTTATGGATGACTAATTGCTTGCGGGTTAATGAAGGGCGGTAGGAGTTGCGCGAGTGTTCATAAATTAGTTAAAAGAAAACTTAGAGAGATGAAGTTTTGTGGATATATTGTTGATGGTGTTATTTAATAATTCTGAAAATTTCAGAATTTTTGGTTATGAATCTCAATGGTAATGTTTAAAATAACAAAAATTTTCAAATTTATGTTTGTTTTTCTATCATAACTTTTTAATTACCCAACCAAAAATTCTGAAATTTTTAGAAGAGCTAGTTAAAGATGTAAGGTAGATCTATTTAAAATTTTACAGTTAAAGGTTTAAATTTGACAATTTTATAAGGGAGCAAATTTGCGTTAGCAACAAGTGAGAGTTGTTTAATTTTTAATACTTATTGTTAGTAGGTAATTTAATTTATTTTTAGTGTTTTATTTTTGTAACTTTATTCTTTTACTCTTTTGTTGTAAAATTAAATTTTCTTTTAATTTTATTTATTTTATAAAAATCAAATTATTATTCTCAATAAACATTCAGAAACCAAAATTCTTTCTTCTACTAATTAGGTGGCAAATAAAACAAAAGAGCTTTTGAGAGATAATAAAATTTTATTTTTTAAAATTAACTTTAAATAAAACAAATAAAATAACAAAGCCATAAAAATTTGAACGACAGGAAGAAGACAAAGGATGTTGGAGAAAAAAATATAAAAAAATTTTTAAAAAAAATAAAAAGGAAAGGAGAACGCTTTTTTAGTGCGTGACAACCCTCTTTTTTAGAAAAAGCAAAAATTTTTAGTTGAGTATTTTTTTAATTTTTTCAATATCAAACAAGGGGAAATAAACATCCGGACGCGCGAAATTCAATCATCAGAAAAATTGAAATTTAGAAAAGAATAAAAAAAATTTTTTTGTAAAAGCAAAAAAGGGTTTGGATTTATATTTTTAGTTTAAAAATAAATTTATTTGAAAAAATTGTAAGAATGGCAAAAATAATTTTTTATTAAATTAACGGTTGGGTGCGTTAATGTTTGCGTGTGAACCTATAAATATCATAGGTTGTTAAATTTTTTATAAATAAAAACAGAATATACATAATTAAATATATAAAAATCAGAATAAATGAATAATTTATTTTTAAAAAATATCAGAATTTTCAAAACTAGATAGATCAGAACAATAATTTAAAATCAGAATTTAAAAATCAGAATTAAATAAATACATTAAGCAAAAATACAAAAAACGAAATCAGAATTTTATTAGATCGTAATGTGTTTTTAAATTTTTTAATTTATCAGAATTATTTTCAGAATTGGTTTTCAGAATTTTTTATTTTCAGAATTATTTTTTTCGAATTATTTTCAGATTTTTTTTTAGATTTTCTTATTTCCAGAATTATTTTCAGAACTTCTTTTCCAGAATTTTTTTCAGAGTTATTTTTTTTCAGAATATTATTTTTACAAAACACAAAAATCAGAATTAATATTTAAGAGTCTTCTTAATGTTGCAGCAACATCTAAAATTACTATCTTCTTTTTTTGTTTTTATTATATTCTGTTTTTAAATAAACAAAAGTTTTGCTTTTAAAGCTTCAAATAAAATCCTTAACTCAATTTAGGCAATATTGTCTTTTGCTATATTTTTTTTATTTATTTTTAAAACTTGCTTTCAATTTATCCTTTCCTCTCTTTCTCTTTTATCTTTACGGTCAAAGCACAAAAAAGGAAAAAAATAAATAAATTTCTAAAAAAAATCTCGAGGGAGCTTTTATAGCAAAAAAAGCTAATTTAGGCACAATGTTTTAAGGAAAAAAATATTTATTTAAAAAGAGAAGATTAAAAATAAATGAAAAAAAGGATTTGAATTAATAGGGAAGAAAAAAAGGTTGGAAAATAAAATAAAAAAATTTTTTTAATTGGTTTAGTAAGCAGAAAAAATTGTTTTAAGGCCTATAACTTTTTGATAAAATTAAATTATGTTTTATGTGTCATATGATAGGGAATAATGTGGGTTAATAAAATATAAAAAATGGGGAAATAATTTTGTGCTTCTGAAAAGTTTTTAATTTTTAAAATTAAGTTTGCTGTCGATTTTTGGATGTATGTTTTTTGAATGTTTTTGAAATATAACTTTTGTATAATTTGAGCTAAAGGATTGGTTTATATGTTAAAAGATAGAGGAGAATGTGAGCTACAAAATAGTAAAAGATTGAATTATTTGATAAATTTTCCGAAAAGTTGTGAATTTTTAAAGAGAGTTAGTTCTTGAGGTCTCTTCTTTTTGGAGGTGTTGTGGGTATTTATTTTAAGGATATTTTTTTAAATCAAAATTCGTGATTAAAATGCTTTTAACTAAAAAATAAATTGATAATGGAAGAATTTGACGAGATAAAATTTTGACATTTTTATTTTTGGCAAAATTAAAAAAAATTATATAGGTCCCCAAATAAACGATTCTAGTACTTTTTGCCCACATGAAAATGCCTTGGCTTTTTCTAGCCATATATTTTAGTCCATTTTTTATGCCGGCCGTCCACTCTCCTTTTTAAGCTTTGTTGGTGCTTATTTTACAAAGCATTTCCTTCAATTATTTCCTTATATTTTCCCCTTTTCAATCTTTCAATTGTTAGTTAGTAGTCTTGTGTCCATCATTTCCGCCGGCTGCTTTTTCTAGCTTCAATTAGTGTGTGTGTGTGTGTGAATAGTTAGTTGAAATTAGAGTATTTATATTGACTGAGGAATTATTAAATATTATTATTTTGTTCATACCCTGGAGATTTTGAGATATTTAATTTCATTTAAAAAATTTTGGAAAGGGTAAATCTGTCTTTAATCAGAGAGAATTCTTCTCGAAAGTCCATTGAAGGAGAATCTCTATTAACTTTTTGTCCATAAATTTTTTTATTATCACCATACCTGGTTATGGATATGGATATGGATACAGATAATACCAAAATGCCTGCGGATATCCGCCTGTATCCGTCTGTATTCGTTGTAAATATTCGGTACCAAAATCAGTATCCGTGACCAGGTCTGATTATCACTTTACTTTCATTTTTTCTTTCCTCTTCGTTAATCCCAATTAATCTCAATTTTAACCCTTAGCTAAAAAAACTTTTTTCCTCGAAAACATTCCTCAAACATTCCTCCCTTTCCAACGTCCATTTTCAGCACTATTTCAAAGTAGCCAAAGCATTAAGGGGAAAAAGCAAAGGGTTAGTTAGTGCCTACCCGCACTTTTATAAAAATAGCCATGTGCCATTGGCCACTTTTCTCTCATTTTTTTATTCTTTGTAGAGTAAAATCCATCGATCTTTAGATTAATTTGCAATAAATCTTAATTAGAAAACTGAAAAAAAATTTGTCAAATAAATAAGAGTGTTGGAAGAAAAAAATCACTTTAAGGGACTTGATTAAACATGTTTAAAAATTTTTTTTCGTCTTTTAACTTTAAGCTACAAAAATTATTTTTTACAAATTTTGTAGCAAATTTCAAGCTCTATCTTTTGAAATTGACCTCAAATTTTTATTTTTATTTTCAAAATTTTTGGTAGAATTTTTAATTGAATTTAAGAGGGTCTTTCCCATTAGTTGTCTTCTCTCCAGTCATTAAAAAATTTTTTTTTAATTTTTCAAAAATTTATTTTTTAAGAATTTTTAACTTTCAAAATTATTTTCTATTGTTTATTTTAAAGCTTTATATGTCTTCTATTTTATTACAAAATTTTAGAATTTTAAGTTTAGTATACTCCAAGTTGTGATAATTAATATAAGGTCAACTTGCCCTCTCCCCTGCTTATGCACTTTTAATTTTATTACAAATCCCAAATAAAAGCTAAAATTCTATAATTTTGTAGATACAATCTCTAAAGTGTTAAGTAATAAACTGCAAAATTTTAACTTTTTTGGTTCAGTATGTCCCCAGTTATAAACATAAAATTGAGGGTTACTCATCGTTGCAGCATATTTTATTTTTTTATTCAAAATCAATTTTTTTTGAAGAATAAAAAGAAAGTTTATTACTGAATAGGGGGATAGCTCTAGCTTAGTTTATATAAAATAAATAACACTTTGAAATTCTATCTTTGCAAAAAATATTACTAATCTGTGAAAATGTTTTTGGAGACAATGAGCTCTCTCCCCTACCAAACCACCCCCATCAGGGCTGTGCGTCATGGCGTTTGGCGTCTGGCGTTTTGCGTTTTGGCGTTAATTTTGGCCGATTTTTGGCGTTTTGCGTTTGGCGTGATTTTCCGATTTTGGCGCGCCAAACGCCAGAAATATACACCTCTAATGATGGGAATTTTTAAAATAATTGGTAGAAGGGACGATCAAGAAAGGAAACTTTTCTGCTTACAGTCTTCCAAAATTCTCAAAATTATCGCCTGCCGCGCATAAAAATGAAGAAATCTACTGCTTGGACTTCCAAAATTTTCAAAATTTTCGCCTGCGGCGCTTAAAGTAGGGAGCTCTTATCTAAAACTAATACTTCCATCATGGTCTTATCTAAAACTAATACTTCATCATCAACCATTTACTCACTTCAAGACCTATGTTATTCTTATTACCCACTTCTTGTCTTCATATCCACCTTAATCTCACGGGGTTCTACCCAAATTTTTTCCGGAAAAATTTCGGAAAACGAACAGAGCGCAAATGGGTCAAATCATATGTCATTCGAAAGAGCTCGTCGAGTTGAGTCGAATGGTGAAAAAATTTTCGTGCGGACTCATAGAGGGGCTGAGATATAGGCCCCCGAAAATCGAAAAACCATAGGGGGGACCAAGCACTTTTTTGGGGTGAAAAATTCGAAAATGCAAATAATAGCTTATTCGAAAGAGCTCATCAAGCTGAGTCGAATGACACCAAAATCAACTCGAAATCTTGATTCTGAGCCGAGATAGAGGCTTAAAATGGTCAACATAAACCTATGGGGCGTAGGCGAGGCGCTTGTGCAAAACCCCGCGCTTCGCGCGGGGTTTTGCGGCACGCGCCTCGCGGGGAGTCTACGGGCGATGGGTTCTGGGCTCGTAACTTAATCCTATTCCAATTATCGCTGTAATGGGTTATCTGGCTTCCTCCGTAGCAGGAAAAACCTCGACGGATACCAAAGGTAAGGAGCTAAAACAAACGATCATAACTTTGTCAAATCAAGTCAGATTTCGTTGATTTTGGTGTCATTCGACTCAGCTCGATGAGCTCTTTCGAATAAGCTATTATTTGCATTTGCGAATTTTTCACCCCAAAAAAGTGCTTGGTCCCCCCTATGGTTTTTCGATTTTCGGGGGCCTATATCTCAGCCCCTCTATGAGTCCGCACAAAAATTTTTTCACCATTCGACATAACTCGACGAGCTCTTTCGAATGACATATAATTTGACCTATTTAGGATCTGTTCGTTTTCCGAAATTATACCTTTTTTCCTTTTCCTCATTTCGGGAGATAGGAATTCTCCCCCATTGGCTAGGGCCTGCTTCCTGGTCCTACTTAATTCAAAAAATTTTCAAAAACTCTTCAAAATTTCGCATCCGGCGGTAAAAAGGATGAATTCTAGCTTCTAGGAATCTTGAAGATGAAAAAAATTTCGCCTGCGGCGCTAAAATGAGATGAAAAGAGGTTTTTGAGTCTTTATAGACTCTAAAAATTTTGGCGTTTGGCGTCTGGCGTTTGGCGTTTTGGCGTTAATTTTGGCCGATTTTTGGCGTTTTGCGTTTGGCGTGTTTTTAAAATTTGAAAAATTGGCGTTTGGCGTTTGGCGCGCCACGCGAAAATTTTGGCGCACAGCCCTGACCCCCATTCTTCTTCCTCCATCTTCTTCCATTTTTCTACTTAATATTTTTAAACTGTTCAGTATTTAATTTTCTCTATTGTTTAGTCATTATGCAATTTAATTTTTTATTCATATTATTTTTAAATAATTTGTTTAAAAGCCTTATTTTTGGGGTAGTTTGTCCATCTTATTTAAAATTAAAATTATATTTTTAACTAGGCCTTGGTCTATTTTTATTATTATTTTGGCCATCTTGGGCAAGTAAAATTACCCTAAAATATCATCCTTTTAGTATTTATTACAGTGTTTATCACCTTTGGCACGTACGGGGTGTATATTACGTTCTTGACCGTTTTGATACTTTTTTTTGAATTTCGATTTTTGAATTTTTGATTTTCTTTTTACTTTATAGCACATATTTTTAATAGTATTATTTACTAAAAAAAGAAGAAATTTTTTTGTTAAGCCTGAAAATTATTATTATTATTTTTAAACGTTTCCCCTTATTTTCCCTTCAATAATTCGTTCACTCCAAAATAAATAAACACACACAATTCGCGCAACTTGTAGTAGCACAACAACAAAAGCACTCATCCATCCCTCTCTATACTTAAATTCTTCACTTTATTAAAAAATTTTTTTGTTGTTAAATTTTTAGTGATAGTTAGGGAAATTAATGAGGAAATGCCCTGAGGGGGTTTTCACTTTTTCTTTTATTTTTTTAATAATTTTTGGGGAAATTAGGGATCTGTTGGGGCCACTTTTTTATTTTTTTATTTTTTCTAAATAATTTTTAAAAATTTTAAAAAATAAAATAATTATCTTCTCAATTTCCAAAAATATATTTTATTTATTTTTTTTTTCATTTTTAAAAATATAATAAATTAAGATTGAAGAGTTTTACCCTAATTTAGTAATATTTTAAATAAATAACTAAAAAAATAAAATTTATTTTTGTGTGAACACGGGAACAGCAGAAAAATAAACGGCCAAGGTCATTTATTTTATATTCTTCCCCCTCTTATTTTTTTTAATTCTCGCAAACTTTATAACAACCATAATAAACTTGATTAAAAATTGCGGATTAAAAATGTTTATTCATTTTCTTCAGAAACATTTTTAAAAAAGTTTCAACCTTTTATTTTAAACTTTTCAGAATTATTTAAAAACTTTTTTCTGATTAATTAAGATTTCAGAATTTTAATTGAACTTGTTTCTGATTTTATAAAAAAATTCTGAAAAAAATTTAAATCAGAATTTTTTATTTCAATTTTATTTGTATTCTGGTTTTTATTTTTCCGTAAAGTTATAATTAATTTTTATTTATATTTCCGGAAAAAGTTTATTTTCAGAATTTTTTAGAATCAGAATTATTAAATTAATTTCCGGAAAGAATTCATTATATTAAGCTTGTTCTGATTTTATAAAAATTCTGATTTAATTAAATTTACCTATTTTTCTGACTTATTTCTTCGGAAAGTTATAATTTTTATATAATTTCCGGAAAAAGTTTATTTTCAGAATTTTTTAGAATCAGAATTTTTAAAATCAGAATTTTAAGTATTTTATTAAACTTGTTTCTGATTTTATTAAAACTTTAATTTTCTGGTTTTATTTAAAAATCAGAAATAAATCCCTTAATTCTTTTATTGTCTCATCTTTTTTGTTTGTAATATTTCATATCCTTTATTTTTTTCCCTCTCTATTGTTTTGCGCGAAAATAAACAAAAAAACTTTATTTATTTTTTTTTTGTTTATTTTTTTTATTTTGTAAATAAATAAATATTTTTTAAGTAATTTTAAGTGGTTTTATATAGAGTAAGTAGATCAGTAAACGCGTCAAAGCAAGAAGAAAAATATAATTTTTTTCTGTCCACTTGGAAATTGAGCTATGTAGTTTAAATATTTTTAATTTTTATTTATTGATTTATTAACAAAATTTTTAAATTTTTAGTTAAAATCCAAGTCTTTCAAAATTGACAAAATACAACAATGCCTGAACAATCGGATATATTGACCTCTCAACAACAACAACAACGGCCACCACCAAAAGTGCCCCCAAAGCCTAAAGTGCCACCTAAACCAGTAAGAAAATAATGAGAGACTAAAAAAATTGAAAAAAATTTTAAGCCAAGAGAAAAGTTGGAAAATAAACAACAACAACAGCAACAGCAACAACATCCAATTTTAGAAGCAAAAATAAAAGAAGAAATAAAAGAGGAAAATAATATTAATAATATTAAATCTGAATTATTCAAAAGAGCAAATTCTGTTAGACTACCAAAATCAGAACCTTTTAAAATTACGACTTTACCTTCAACATCAACAACTATTATAAAACCTTCTGCTAGACCCCCGCCTCCACCTCCTAAAGCAATAAAATCAGAATTAATTGAACAAAGGCCGAGGTATAAATCAGAATTATTTATTCAAACTTTTTCAGAATTAAAATAAACTTTTTCTGATTTATTAAAATTTCAGAATAATTAATTAAACTGTTCTGTTTTTAATTAAAAAACCAGAATTTTTTTAAAGCTTATTTCAGAATCAGAATTAAATTAAAACTTTCAGAATTTTTTATATTAAAACTTGTTTGATTTATTAAAGTTCAGAATTAATTGTTTCAGAATTATAATAAAAAATTTTTTTTCAGAATTTAAAGTTTAATTAAAACTTGTTTTAAAATCAGAATTAATTAAAGTCAGAATTTTGTTTAAAACTTGTTTCAGAATTAATTACAAAACTTGCTTCTTATTTTTAGATTACCAGACAACCCACCGCCTCCACCACCAAAACAATTTACTACTTACCAACAGCAACAACCACAAATAAACAACAATAATTCTAATTCTGAAATTTATACTGAAATTGAAGCAAATAATGAACAATCTACAAATAAACCACAAAAATTACAACAAAAAATATCCTTAGAAATAAATAAAAATTTGAGAAGAAGAAGCAATGAAAGGCGAAGAACTACTCAATTTGAGCTTTTTAATGAAGGCAAAATTGTTAAAAAACAAAATGATGATAATGAAAATTATAATGACATCGAGAATAATGCTTCTGATTTAACGGTGAATTTTTTTATTTATTTTTTATTTTTTTAAAGAGGGAAAATGAGCGTGCTAACGCACCTTTGCTTCAACTTCAATAACTTTAGAACTCGCAAACTTTTTGAAATTATTTTTATATCATTCGATAGAGCTTTAAATTAGCTACAAAATAGAGCAAAAAGCAAAAATTTATTTAATTGTACAAAAAAGTTATGAGCGAAAACCTATCAAAAATTTCGATTATTGGGTGTTTTTTGATCATATTTTTGACTATTTTTCCTTTACTTTCTTCAGAAAATTCTAATTTTATTTATTTTTTTATTGTAGCTAATTTTCTCCTTTATTTAATTACAATTTTAGAATATCCAAAAAAATTTTTTGGATTTTTATATTTAAAATTTTGTGTTGTTAACACTTTTATTTGTTCTCAACCTCATTTTATTTTTTTAGTTAAAAAATTCAAAATCTACTCGTTTCTCCCACATTCCACGCTCATCAACTACCGATTATAAATGTGAAAATGTATCTACAGCATTAACTAACTCAATTCATGTACTTCCCTCTTGTGCTAGTCAAAGACTGTCTAGGGCTCAAGATTTTGGACGTTTTGGTATTGGAATAAAACAAAATTTGGCTAAAGGGGTAAACAAATGATTTTAAAATAATTTTAAAAATTAAAAAAAATTTTTTAAAGATGTGTAAAATCCGTTCAAGAATGTCTTATCTTTCCTCTGCTTCCTCTTCTCCTTCACCTTCTTTTAAAAACGTGAACAACAAAAGAAATGATTTTAGGTAATTTAAATGTGAATAATTAAATAAAAAAAACTTGTTTCAGAATTTTTTTCAGAATTTTGTTTATTTTTATTAAAACTAGAATATACAACCTTTTTCAGAATTTAATTAAAACATCAGAATTTATTTAAAACATTTTCAGAATTTAATAAAAACATTATCAGAATTTAATTAAAACTTGCTTTCAAACATAAAACTTGCTTCTTTAATTAAAACTTGCTTCTAAACCTTTAAAAAAATTTTTTTTGTAGTACAATGACTTTGGATAGACATCAAAACTTCTCTAATCAATCTAATAGCAACAAAAAACAAAAGCAATTTAAAAGAAATTCAACATTTTATTTGGATGAAAATGAGGAAGAGGAAGGAAACAACAGCAACAAAAATAACAACAACAAAAACAATATTTCACAGCAGGAAAATGAGGAGGAAAGGGAAGAACAATTTTTAGAAGAAAATGACTATTTTGATGATGATTGGTCAAGCAGCACAGATACTAATACCTCTAATTTAGAAAAACAAGAAGAGGAAGACGAAGAAGAATATATGGCTGAAGCAACAACATTTTCTTTTGAAGGTAGGGGGAAATTTTTAAAAAATTATTTTAAACATTAGTTAAAAAATTTATTTTTGGTTGATTTTTAAGTTAGAAAAATTTTAAATTTTTATTTTTTCGAAAAATGAGATTTGTTAGAAGCAATAATTCTCTTAAGTTTTCTATAAAATCTTGTCTTTCTTGCTTCTTAATATTTAAAGATATACTTCTAATTAAAAAAAAATTTGATTTGTTTAAAACTTGTTTAATTTTTATTTCTGGTTTTTAATGTTTATTTCCAGAATTATTTCAGAATTTTCTTATTTTCAGAATTATATTTCTGAGTTATTTCAGAATTTTTATTTTTCTGAATTATTTCTGAATTATTTCAGAATTTTCTTATTTTCAGAATTATATTTCTGAGTTACTTCAGAATTATTTCAGAATTTTCTTATTTTCAGAATTTTTTTCAGAATTTCTATTTTCCAGAATTGTTTCAGAATTCTCTTATTTTCAGAATTTTTTTCAGAATTATTTCAGAATTTTCTTATTTTCAGAATTTCTCATTTCCAGAATTATTTATTTTCAGAATTATTTTAAAACTTGCTTCTAAATTTTCTTGTTTTCCCACAATTTTCTTTTAAATCAAAAATCAGCTTTAGGGTTTAAAATTTTTTTCTAATTTTCTGTCTACTTCCTATTTTTTTCTAAAATATTCTCACCTATTTTTTAATTTCTTTTAATTTTTTTTTCTACCTATCACCTTTCTTAAAAAATTTTATTTTTTTACTTTTTTCTGATATTTTTTAACAAAATTTTCTTTTTGTTTTATATAATTTCTAGAAAGGTTTTTACTAAAATTTTTGTTGTTATTTGCTAAAGCGAGAAAAAAAATCGGAAAATGTTTTTCGATGAGACACAGCTTTTTAAAAAATTGTACTATTTTTGTATTTTGTTAAAGGGAAGGATTGGATTGGCAATGCTTTTATTTATTTTGAAATAAAAAAATATAAGGAAGGCGCGAAAGGCCAATGAATCATAAATAAATATTCAAACTAAAACAAAACACCCTCTAAAAGCAGCGAAGGCTAACAGCAACAATTTTACGGACTTTAACTAGTACATATAAGGCAAATATAAAATATAGTTATTCTGAAATAACTTCAACTTTTCAGAATTTTTATAATAAACTCTTTTCTTCTGATCTTCTGATATTCTAAGACTTGTTTGTTTCTTATTCTGATTTTTTTAAATTTTTTTATTTATCTTTTTGTTCTATTAATTATTCCAACCCGCTAGGACACCAACTTTTATAACTTTTGATTGGATATATATTTCGGATTGTTTTTGATATCATTCGATAGAAAAGAAAATTTACTACAAAATCCCTTTAAAATTATTTTTTGCTTCAAATTACAACAGATTTAAGGCTTAAAAATGATCATTTTTACGCATTTTTGAATGTTTCTTGACCAGAACTTTTTTTTTCTTTATTTAAAATTTAAAAATATTGTCTACTTTGTAGCAAATTTTCTCCTCTATTTATTGATACCAAAATATTTGAAAAAAAATAATTGGTTCAAAAGTTATGATTTTTGGTGTTATGCATGTCTATTACTCTAAAAATTAAATTTATATTCGTTAATAAATTATCCAAAAAATCTTTTTTTTCCTTCTTCAAAAATTGCAACATTTAATCATTTTTCTTTCATTTTTTCCTTCCTTTTCAGATTCATCTCCAGCTGCTCACCACCACCGCCCTTCTTTACAAGAAGAAATACAACTTGCATTAGAACGATTAAAACACGGCGGTGAACCATCATTTATGAGAGAGGAAGAAAAAGTAATGGTGGTGGATGAATCTCAAGAAGGTAGGGAGGGGAAAAATATTTTATAAATATTTTTTGTTAAATTAAAAAAAAATTCTTTTTTTATGTTTTGTTTTTAAATAGGTAATTAACTTTAATTTTCTCTCTATTTTTAATTTATCAGAATGTTATTTTTATTTTTTTAACTAACTCAAGGGGTGTGGGGAGATAAATAATTTTATAGAAGAAAATCAGAATTTGTATTTCCGGAACAAAAATACAACTATTTATATGTAAAAAACCAGAATTAATATTTCCGGAACAAAAATATAAATATGGAAAATCAGAATTTATTTTTCCGGATAAATATAACTATCAGAATTATAAAATCAGAATTAATTTATACATTCCGGAAAAGATATACCTACTTACATTAACTATTTTCCGGAATAAAAATAAATAACATTTCCGGAAAACTCGAATTTATTTTCCGGAAGAAAAATACATTGTTGTTTCTGAAAAATATTAATTATATTTTTATTTCAGTTATGGAAAACAACAAAACTTCAAAAACAGTTGAAGAAAATAATTATCAAATTGTACTAGACGAACAAACAACAAATAATCATTTAAAAAAATTAAAAGATGATGATTTTGAAGAGCAACAACTTTCTTCAAAATTTGCTTCATTATATTCTAAATTACCAGATCAACAACCTCTTTATCAAATTTATTTATTACAAGAACAACAAAGAATTAATGAATCATTGGAACCTATTGAAGAAATTTTAAATATTGGAAAGAAAAAAATGTTAAAGAGAAAAGAAAGGGAAGGAGGAGAGGGTGAAATTGATGAAGAAGATGGGGAAGGTGAAAAGAAGAGTGAGGAGGAGGAAGAAGAAAAGGATGAAATAGATAGGTGACTTTGTTTAAAATAAAAGTTTGGAAAATGTTAATATTTCCGGAAAAATCAGAATTTATATTTTCAGAAGAAAATAAGAAAACCTATGAAAAATCAGAATTTATATATTCCGGATAAATAATATGTAATTATTTTCCGGAATAAGAATTAATTTTTCTGGGAAATCAGAATTTACATTTCCGGAAGAATCAGAAATACTTTTAATTAAAGGAAAAAAATTTTTTTCTTAAGTGGTTGTCCAGAATCGGATGAACAACAACAACACCCTTCTTCAGATCCAACTAGTATCAGTAGAAGTTGTTCTGCCAGTAATTCCTCAGCAGTTATTCGAAGACATTCCTCTTCTACAACAGATTCGGGACGAGGTAGAAATTAAATTTTAAATTTCAAAAATTTAATTAATTTTCAGCTGATTCACTCATTATTCGACCTTTAAAACGTGAACGTCTTCTAGGCCAGAGTATTTTTGCTTCACAACGCTCGTTATGGTGTGAATTGCCAGGTAGATAAATGTTTAGAGAAAAATCAGAATTTTATACTTCCGGAAAAAATAAATTAATTGTTTTCGGAAAAATCAGAATTTATATTTCCGGAAATGTAATATAAAACTTTCCGGAAAAATCAGAATTTATAAAATATTAAGTTGTATTTTCCCGAAAATTTTTTTATTTCCGGAAAAATATTAATTTATAATTTTCTGGAAAATCTAAGTTCTCTATTTCTGGTAATTATATACCTTCCGGAAAGTTAACCTTTTTCCGGAATAATTAAGTATATTTTCCCGGAAAAATTATACTTCTTCCGGAAAAATTAAATATATGTATATTTGTTCCTAAAATATAACTATAAAATATATAATCAGAATTTTTTCAGAAGTGAAAGAATCTGGTATTCTAGAACAACTGAACGAGGATCAGAGAAAGCTGCAAGAAGCATATTTTGAGGTTAATAAAATTATTTATAAAAAATATTTTTATTTTTTAAGGTAATTACATCAGAAGCCTCCTACTTGCGTTCCGTTCGTTTCTTAATTTTATTTAAAATATTTTTAAAATTTTTTTACAGATTTCTTTTCTGATTTCACATTTTATGTCAGCACCAGAATTAATGGGAAGCAAAAATACACAATCTGTGATAACGGTAAAATAAATTTTTTAAATGAATTTTAATTTTGTTTTTTTTTCAGAGTTCTGAAAGGAAACAATTATTTAGGTGAATATTCTTTTTTATTTTAAAGTTTATTGTTCCGGAAAATGTTTATTTTTCTTCCGGAAAATGTTTATATCTCCGGAAAATATAAAATTATATGTATTTTCCGGAAAAAATATAAATTCTTTTATTTTTCCGAAAACAGTTTATCGTTCCGGAAATTTTACGGAAAATGTTTATTTTCCGGAAATTATAAATTCTTTATTTTTCCAGAAAAAGTATAAATTCCTTTATTTTTCTGATAATTAAATATTTCTTTTTTTTCTGTAGCAATATTTTGGCAATTCGTGATTGTAGCGAACACTTACTCGTAGAATTAGAAACTCGTTTAAAACAAGGATTAGTATTACCCGATATTTGCGATATTCTTTGTGCTCATTTTGAAACACAATTTGAACCTTATATTAATTACTGCTCTAATCAAGAATATCAAGACAGAACACTTAAAAAATTAAGAACAGAAAATGGATTATTTAATTCTTGTATTCAACGATTGGAGAAGGACCGGGAATGTCATGGATTGGATATCCGTTCATTTTTGATGTTACCGATGCAAAGAATTACACGTTACCCGTTACTAATTGATGCTATATTGCAGTGGTTACATCAAGACCAGCATCAACATTCGGTAAGGAAAATAAATAAAAAGAGAAATACAGAAATCAAAACGAATCAGAATTTATAAATATGAATTTGTATTTTCCGGAAAAATATTAATTCTGTATTTCTGGTAATTAAAATTACATTTCATCCGGAATGTTATACTTTTTCCGGAAAATTCTATTTTTACCGAGAGTTAAACTTCTTCCGGAAAAATACAAATTGAAATTAAATCAGAATTTAAAAAATACAAACATTAAAATACAGAAACCAGAACTAGAAAGAAATACAAAAATCAGAATTATATATCAGAAAAATATACAAAACACAGAAACCAGAATTTTTTAAAAAATACAAAAATCAGAATTATGAAAATTAAATAAAATACAGAAAATCAGAATTAAATTAAATGAAATACAAAAATCAGAATTAAATTAAAAATACAAAAATCAGAATTAATTTTATTTATTTTAATTAAAGTTAGCAACACGAGCTTTAACACTTGCAAATCAAGCAGTGCATAATTGTAATGAAGGTGCTAGAAGGATGGAACATACAGAAAAGATGTTGGATATTGAATCGCGTTTAATTTATAAATGTAAAGATTTGAAAAGAATTGCTTTAGTAACTAGTGGAAGGTATGTAGTGAAAAGTGGACAGTTAATTCAGTTGGCCGAAAAAAGAAATGGAGAGTCTAAAACAAAATTGGCTTTGGCTGCTAGAAGTGGGGGAATGAAGGTAAACAATAAATTAATTAATTAAAAATCAGAATTTTAGTAAAATCAGAATTTTTAAAATCAGAAATACACGTTAATGGCTGTTTTAGCCAGTCTCGAGGCTATATTTCGGGCCATAATTTTTTTGAGCCCTAACCGATTTGAATAAATATTATACTATTCGAAAGCTATGGATGTAAGGATTATTATGTCTAACAGGGTAGATTTGATCAGACCATCCAACACAAAGATAGAGCCAAATATGTAAGTGCGCGCAATCGTGCTTTTTCGTGATTTTTGATATTTATTAGGCTTTAACTTTGAGCAGAATGATCCAATCAAAACATTCCTGTTAGATAAAATAATCCACACATCCAGAGCTTTTAGTTGATATATAAAACACAAGAAAATATTAAATTTAAAATAAGTTATGTCCCAATAAATATCGAAAATCACGATTCTCCGCACTTATCAGATGATAACTTCATAAGGAATAATTGGATCTTATAAGTCCCATTGGGAAAAAGAATCCTCACATTCAGAGCTTTCGATTGGTTTTTATTCATTTAAATCGGTTGAGAATCAAAAAAGTTATGGTCCAAAATATGGCCCCCTCCTCCCTCAAAATAATTATTTTTTTATTTTAAGGCTCGCCCCCTCGCGTTTTTTCTCTTCAATGATCTCCTATTAATTACAAAACGTCGTCTAAATGGACAATTTGTTTGTAAAGATTATGCTTATCGTCGTTTTGTTGTTTTTGAACCTTTAGAATTAAACAATTTGCGCGTTCCTCCAGGGGTAACTTCAGCATTAGGAAGTGGAAGAAATGCTCATTTACTTTCTTGTGTTTTATTTCAAAATGCTAGAGGGAGACAAGTTGAATTACTTTTAAGTGCTGAAAATGAAAGTGATCGAGAACGTTGGTTAACTGCTATGAGGCCACCTACTGTGAGTTTTAAAAAATTGTTGGATTTCGCTTAAAGACTCCCTTAAACTGGATACCCTCTCGTTCGAACCAGGCAGCTTTGATCAACTACAACTTTTTTATACTCGGTCCGATCTGAACAAACCTTGTATCATTCGATAGCTTTTGATTATCTCTATCATTTTCCCAATAGGATGGATTAACTCTAATCACTCATTAAAAAGTTAGGGGTCTTTAAGTGCAGCCCTCTCGATCGAAAACAGGCCAACTAAGAGTTTTTGATCGACCACAACTTTTTTATACCTGATCCAATTTGAACAAACTTTATATCATTCGATAGCCATTGATCAGCGCTATCATTTTTCCAATAGGGTGGATTAGCTCTGGTCACTCATTAAAAAGTTAGAGGTCTTCAAGTACAATTGTTCGGTATTTTTCGTTGTTATCCGGATATAACTCTTTAGTATGTGATCAGACTTGGTCCAACCTATTGGGAAAAAATAGCGCTATTCAAGGGCTTTCGAATGATACAAGACACACTTGGATCGGATCAAGACAAAAAAAGTTATGGGCAATCAAAGCTGATCGATTTGAGATACTTTTTTGAATGTTGGCTGGTATGGGAGCTTCCTTTCTCTATTTAAGCTAAACCGTATTATAAGGTACGAGCTTTTTAGCCTTATAGAAGTATCTGAAAACAGGCTTGCCTGCCTATTAATTTAAAAAATATTTTTTTTCAGTGTGCTAACCCTGACGAAAAAATTTATGAAGAATGGGACTGCCCTCAAGCTGTAGCTGTACACAATTATGTGCCTACTGAAGAAGACCAGTTAGGACTTTCACCTGGTGATGTAGTCAACGTTTTAAGAAAATTGGCGGATGGTTGGTATTATGGAGAAAGAATTCGTGATAAACGTGGGGGGTGGTTTCCATCTTCCTACGTTCAGCAATTAATGAATGATCATGTGAGGGCACAAAAATATAAACAACGATTTAGAGTATTACAGGTGGATATTGAGAGTTGTTTTATTAAAAGAAAAATACAAAAAACAATCAGAATTAATTTTAAAATTTCTGAAGAATGAAGGGATTACTCCCTAAGTTGTAGCCGTGCAGCAGCACGCTCATAAAATATAGTATATCACCTATAACTTTTTGTGAGATGGTTAGATCGGATTAGTCTAATTATAAAAAAGATGCGCCATCACGAGACCTTTCGAATGATGTATAAATTTCTTTTCAATATTAATATTAGAAAAAGTTATGGCCATAAAACGCTATTCTGTTGACGTTACTCAAACGTCCTATTATGGGATTAATAGTAAATAACGTCTACAAAGATAGAGAACAATAAAGGAAGAAATAGTGAGTTAGACAACAAAATTAAATAGTAAAAATAGTGGTTAGAGAACATAAATAAATGCGTTCGTTTGCGGTCGTTTCAGTGCCACAGTTCAGAGCGAAAAGGTTACTGTACCTGAAGGGAGAAACATAATTTTCAAAATTTAAAAATCAGAATAATTAACCAGAATTAATTTAAAAATCAGAATTAATAAATCAGAATCAACTTTTTAAAATATATTTTGTTTTTTAAGTCGGTATCAGAATATCGCTCTTCATTGCATTTCCCTCGTGGCAAAAGAAGTTCATTGGCAACAATATTGCCTTCTTTCGTTACTTCATCCTCTTCCAATAATTCTTCAAATACTTCACTTCTTGGTTCTTCAACAACTTCAGGAACAACAGCAACAACACATTTGCGAAGATTAAGTAATCCTAGAGCCTATTTCGGTTGAAAATTATTTTTTGTTATTTTGTAAAATTTCAGTTTTTAATAAATACTTTATTCTTTTCTAGTTTGTAAAATTTTACTCTTTAAAGTCTTGTTAAACATTCAAAAAAATGTTTCGTTTAATCGCAAAAAAAATCAAAAAAAATTTTTTATTTTGTGGGAAATTTGAAAATTTATTTAATTTAAAAATTTGCCAAAATTTGGCGTAATGTCTCTTGCGCCAAATAAATGACAGTTTATCCCAAAAATTAATTTTGTTGAGTATAGGACAGTTGAGTCTGGGACTAAAAATTGACCGGAGCAGTTCAATTGAGTCCGCACGATTGAGTCCCCACGATTGAGTCCGCACGATTGAGTCCCCACGATTGAGTCCCGGCACGATTGAGTCCCCACGATTGAGTCCGCACGATTGAGTCCCCGTTGTATATACCTCAATTGAGTCCCCGTGGATTTGATTTGAGAAAAAAATAGTAATTAAAGAACAAAATTGTACTATTATTATAATCTATTATTTCAAACAGGATGGCGGATATTTTAACTAAACGTAGAAAGCCTAAACTTGTTCATGATGGATATTTATTTGTTTTTCATAAAATGAACAAAGACGAAGACATCAAGTTTTGGAGATGTGAGGCCTTCAACAAAAAAGATGTCAGATGTAAGGCTCGCCTACATAGCGACCTCAACAACTCTGTTTTGCGTGAATTAAATTATCACGTTTGCAGCGTCAACCCTGCTGTATGTTCAAAAGCAAGTTGTTGTGACAGGGATTAAAAGAAGGTTTCTTCTAGCTGATTCTTCTAGCTGACCAGTTTCTTCTAGCTGATTCTGGCGTGGGGTGTACCCTTCTGGCGTTTATACTGAAAATAATGATCCAAGACAACATAGGTTTATTGTCTTTTTTATTTTTTTAATAGATTATTTTTTAGAATCCTCATATTTGGTCGTATGTCATTTGGGGAGTGGTCAGAACAAATGGAACATGTTTTTGTTGATGGGAGCTTTAGCGTTACTCCTCCTTTATTTTATCAAATTTTTTGTGTGCTTGCAAGGTTGGTTGAAGTTAGGTTGGTTGAAGTTTATATTTTTAATTTAGAAAACGTAAGTGGGTGTTCCCTGTGCTCTATGGGTTGCTGACGAATAAAACAAAATCGACATATGCTCGCTTTTTTCGACTCGTCAAAGAAATTTGGCCGCAGTTCAACCCACGTGTTTTCTCAACAGACTACGAAGCAGCAATTATTGGAGCTATTCAGGAGGTTTTTCCTCGTTCAGATCTGGCTGGTTGTCTGTTCCACCTGGTTAGGAATCTTAAAAAAAGCGGATTATGCCATGTGTCAACAGGGAATGGAACCTCCACCTAAACGAAGAAAGTATCGTGATGCCGATAGAAGAATTCATGCGTTGGTCCAAACGTATCAGGCCGCAAATCCAAATTTTGATCACAATTATCAATTTCCAGTTGTTTATCCTATTCACCCAATTATTGATTTTTTAAGAGGTGTTTCTCATAACTATAATATGGATCCATGAATATTTATTTATTTGAAAATTTTGTTTTAGAATTAGTGACTAGTGTTTATTAGATTGAATAAAGATTTTTGATAATCTTGATAACATTTTTAATTGTGGGATTTTACAAAACATCCCGCAACATTTTTGAAATAATCACGCATGCAGGATTTGGAATTTTTTTTGAAATTTTAAGGTTAAATCCACGGGGACTCAATTGAGGTATATACAACGGGGACTCAATCGTGCGGACTCAATCGTGGGGACTCAATCGTGCCGGGACTCAATCGTGGGGACTCAATCGTGCGGACTCAATCGTGGGGACTCAATCGTGCGGACTCAATTGAGGTGTACCGAAAATTGACGAAATTAAATGGGACGGTTGGGTGCGAAAGTTGAGTGCGATGGGGGAAATTCTTAAAAAATTTTTATTTTTTAAAAAATCGATACTAATCGATAAAATCGATATTAATCGGTAATTATTTTTAAAATAATTCTTAAATATTTATATTTTCAAGAAAATCGATATCAATCGATAAAATCAATACCAGTGCATAATTTACTTTTAAAAATTTTTTATTTTCCAAAAAATCGGCACTAATCGATAAAATCGATAATTATTTTTTGAAGACTTATATTCTTTCCAAAAATCGATAAAATCAATAATAATCAATAATTTATTTAGAGGAATTCTTAAATTTCACAAAAATCGAATTTTCAATTTTTGCCATTACGCTCTCAAAATGAGCACTGAACTGGCTATAAATACTTATATTTATTTTTTTCCCTAACTACACTATTTCGTTTTTCTAATTTCTCTAAACAACAGGATGTCTTCTAACTCGAATTGTTTATCAAGGAACATCCAAGTTAAGTCACTCCGGCTGAGCCCTGTCTAAATTTCTATAGAACACAATAAAAACAAAGTCGAAACATTTTATATAACAAAAAAAAAGAAAAAAAAAGAAAAAAATAAAAAAAGAAAAAAAAAATAAAAGATTAACAACAAAATTTAAAAGATTGTTGTAGAAGCACCACCTTTTCCTGTTGATGTTGTTGCTGGGAATCGTTCAAGTCTAAAAGAAAAAAAGGATTTAGTGTACTATTGGACCTCATTTGAAGCCTAATATTGTTCTAAATTTTTGATGCAAAGGGTAGATTAGGGAGGAATTCACAATTTATTCTCCCTACTTTTACCTAAAGTATAAAGAGGCATCCTACAAAGTTCAAAGAAAACAGCCTGTTATAAATGGAACAAAGTTTCAAATGTTCTTTAAGGAATATGAATATGTCCCCGAGGAATTTAGACAATGTTTGTACTCGAAAATAAGAAAGAGATAAACTCATTGAAAACCCCAAACAATTCAGAAATCTTCTCAAAAAACCCCCTCAACTAAAATAAATAAATTACCATTGTCTCAATCACGCCTTCCTTCCTCTCCAAACATTCCCAACCAAAAGAAGCCCAATGCTTGGCTGTCTCCGCCAGGAACGTCCAACCAAGGAGTGTGTTAACTCGCAGTTGGACATGTTAAAAAAATTTTTTTAAAGAATTTTTAAAATTCTTAAATAACCTTCCAAGCCATGTTTTTAGGAGCATATTGTTGCATCCAAAGCAACATCAAAAAATTGTCAAAAGGGTCGACATCAATTGGGCTCAAATCTAAAAGAAAATAATTGCTTGATGAAAAATAAAAAAGAAAACACCAAGCGAGTATTGAACCCGCGACCTATTCTCGTATAATCGGTAGCGCTACCAACTTAACCAACTGTCATTACGAAAGACTTGTAAATGTTTTACTTTATATACAAATGTGAACTTTGAATTTGAGGGATCTAACCCTAGTTATTAAACTCAAAAGCCCCGAAAAAAAATTAAAAACCTTTCAACTCCATAATCTGCACATCTACAAGCCAAATAGACGCAAACATCAATTGTGTCTTCTTGTTGAAGCGATGCACTTTGCTATTTGTCATCCGTGTTGTGGAATGTTGTGATTCAAACGTTCAGCCATTTCCTTAAAAAACAAATTTTATTTCATCCAGACAAAAAAGAAAAACCTGAACGAACTCTGCAGCCTCTCTTCTATATTTAAGTTTAGCAGCTGAATCCATTGACATTCCTGATGGAGCCTAGCAAGCTCATCGTCCGCGAAATACCATTTTGGTTTCTTTCCAAGTTTCTGTCACCTTTCAAGATCCATACTGAAAACTCTAAAAATGTTTAAAACCCCTTCCCTCTACCAGACAATTGCCAAACACAATTTCTAATCGAATTTGGAAGAGGATTAATCACGGATGAAATCAGGGATTGTTTGTGGACAAAACTTGCTTGCGTAAAAAAAAAAGCAAAAAACAAACCTTTTAATTTTTAAAAAGATTCCATGGACGTCCAAAAGTGCTTTGATGATTTTTTTGCTTCTTCTTTGTTCTTGTTCTTCTTTTTGTTGATTTTTTTGTTTTTGTTCTTCTTCTGTTGAGTTTTGGTTCTTCATTTTGCTGATTTCTTCTTTGTTCTTCTTGATTTGTTGTTCTTCTTTTTGTTGATTTTTGAGTTACTTCTTCTTTTGTTTCTTCTTTGTTTGTTGCTGCTGGACAATTCTTAGAGGCATGGCACTAAATAAGTTAAATGAGTTTGTTTAGGCAAAGTTATAAACTAACCATAAAGCTGATGAGCAGTTATCAAAGTGCCATAGAAGCAACAAGTCCCGTGAAAATGCTAGCCAGACCTCGCAACCCCAAACAGAAGGAAGAACTCCAAACACTGCCAGGAGAATTCCATACACCAGCCGTTAGAACTCCAACAAAGCCAGACTCCAAACAAATGCCAGAAGAACTCCTACAAATGCCGAAGCAAATGCTAGAACATTCCCCCAACATCTGACGGAACATCCTTACATTGTCAAAGTTCTTTCGCACAGATGCTGGGTTATTCCCCCGAACATTGCCGGAACATTCCCCCACATAAACAGATGAAGAACTCCAAACACTGCCAGGAGAATTCCATACACCAGCCGTTAGAACTCCGACAAAGCCAGACTCCAAACAAATGCCAGAAGAACTCCTACAAATGCCGAAGCAAATGCTAGAACATTCCCCCAACATCTGACGGAACATCCTTACATTGTCGCAGTTCTTTCGCACAGATGCTGGGTTATTCCCCCGAACATTGCCGGAACATTCCCCCACATAAACAGATGAAGAACTCCAAACACTGCCAGGAGAATTCCATACACCAGCCGTTAGAACTCCAACAAAGCCAGACTCCAAACAAATGCCAGAAGAACTCCTACAAATGCCGAAGCAAATGCTAGAACATTCCCCCAACATCTGACGGAACATCCTTACATTGTCGCAGTTCTTTCGCACAGATGCTGGGTTATTCCCCCGAACATTGCCGGAACATTCCTCCACAAAACTAAAACCCGCGCAACACGCCTAAAGGACGCACGCAAGGACTTGTGCTTATGATGTTGGAGAAGAGAGCTCCACATCCGCCTCTACTGCTAAAAATATGATTTCATTTCAAAGTTAAAGAAAACTGAAACTAACGTTTTGAAACAAAACCAGATTGAAGAAGTCCAGATGCAGCAGCTTATTTGGTTGCAAAGCATACAAAGCACTGAATGAAAAAAAATAAAGAATGTTGTTGGATTACAACACAGCAAGTTTTGTCCACAAAATGGGAAAAGAGAGAGAGGGGGGAGTGAAGGGCAACTAAGATTGTGCCAAAAACAAGCCAATTGTGTTTGAAGAGACCACCATCATCATCGGTTATCTAACAGTTCTATAAAAATAAATAGGAGGCAAATTAATTAGTTGAATAAAAATTTAGGGCATTTTTCACCCGTGGCGTAACTGGTAGAGCGTTAGGCCCATTTGTTAAGAAAGGGAGTTCGAACTCCAACGGAAAACCAGTACAATAATCGAAAACTTTTCTCATACCCAAAAAATAGATGAAAACTCTAACTTGAGAGGACACACACGAAGGTAAAAATCCCCAATATAATCTAACCAAACAAATTTAAAAAAAACTAACTTGTTCAGCTTCAATAACCAATCCCTTCTCTTTCAAAGCATTAGCCAAATTGCAATAAGCGTCAGGAAAATTTTGTTGTAGTTCAATTGCCCTCTTGTATGTTTCTATCGCCAAATCCAAATGTCCTTGTTCGTAATAAACGCAAGCCAAGTTTCCATGTACGACTGCGTGGTTGGGATTTAATGCTAATGCACGGAGATAGCAAGAGACAGCTCTAAAAAATTGAAAAATATAAAAAATGAAACGGGATTGGGAAGAATGAGTCATGTTTTCATTTTTGATGGGCCTAACCAAGGTTGAGCGCTATTATCAAAAATCCCGTTCATAACCCCGTTCAGTGAAATTTTAAATAGTTCTTCAGGTGTGTTGGCAAAAGGAAAGATTGGTGACCAAGGTTTTAAAACTTTTCGCCGATTCGCTCTGTGTAGGCCAGACAGAACTCAATGCCCCCAACCGGTTAACATTGGAAAAATAAACAATAATCAAACCTATCAAATATTCTTGCTTCCTTCAACATTTCCCATATTGATCAAAGCATCAATAAAATTTGGATCAAGCGTAATTGCCTTTTCAAAGTGGTGCAATGCTAACCAAAGTCCTAAATCGCTTCGAACACAGTAAAGGTCCTAAATTAGGTAAAAGGAAAAATAAAAATATTCTAATAAAAAACTAACCGGATTGTATTGAAGAGCAGTCAAATATGCTTGAATTGCCTGTTCAAGATCGCCAACATAAACTAGAGCAGATGCCAAATTTATGTATCCATCGATGAAATCAGGTTTTAATCGCACAGCAATATGGTAATTTTTGAGAGCTTCAGTTAAATCACCCTTCTCTTTGTAAGCATTGCCCAAGTTGCTGTAAGCTTCTGCACATTCTGGATTTACTCTTATAGCAAGATTAGAGTATTGCATCGATCTGAAAAAAGAGGAGGTAATGGATTATTTATTCACGCGGATAGGAGGGTAAGAGCCTAACAATATGTCTAAATTCCCCCTGAATTTCTTATTAGGTTTTAGCAAGGGAAGAATTTCGATCGTATTCTCAGATGTGTCGCCCCAAAAAGAAAAGTCGGTTAACAAGGCTTCGTGAAGCTGAGGGAACCCCACTCGACTAGTCTAGTCATAAAAACTATTAAAACCTGATGCATCAACAGCTCCAACATTATTTGAAGAGACGACTATTATGTTTTGTGGGTTCAGAATTGTCCTTGCGTTGTTCCTTGTTGAATTTGAAGTTGGGGGATGATTTTATGGAAGCCTGAAGTAGTGTTTTGGAGTACCTTAAAGAAAAAATCTGTAGAATTGAAGTATTTTTCAAAATCCAAACCTTATCAAATGTACTAGTTGAAAAATTGTAGAGTTGTTTAGAAGAATTGGAGTAAGTTGAGGTGATTGAAAATGTTTTGAAATAAATAAAATGATGGAATGTTGAGCATGGACAATTACATAATTGTTGTTCTTTGAATAAATAATTCTTTTCACCTAAAATAAAAAGAATTGTTTGTCTTGTTGTGACAAAAATAAAAGTGGAAGGCTTGAGGAAAGAATCAATAACTACCCAACCATCTCCGTTAATTAACTCTTTGTTGTTGTTTCACATTGGTTATTGATTATTGATTTTCTCAGCGGACTTTGCTCAGACATGCAAAACGCGTGGTGGTTAGAGAAAAAGAATTTGCATTTCCTCACTCTTCCGTGAGTGAAAAATAAATTTCTCTTCTCTAACCAGTACGCGTCTTAGCTTCGCTGAGCAAAGTCCGCCAAAAATCAATAACAGAAGAGAGAAAGAGGAAAAATAAGAGATGGGCGATAAATTGATACTCTCTCCCTAAAGGGAGAAGTGGGGTTGCCGTTGTAATTAGGGTTGCCGTTTCGAATTAGGCCGTCGTTCGAGTCATTTTTTCGGGCCTTATTTTTTCCGGGAAAGAAATCGAAGCCGAATTCGATCTTTCGAACCAGACCGGACCGGCAGCTCTAGATCTAATGATAAGACTAGCCTAGTGAATACTTTCCCGAATTTGTCGGGATTGAAGACTAAAACCCAGGAAACATGTAAATTTTGGGCAGAATACGTATCAGGGAAGTCATCTGAACCCGAACTTTTCCCGATCCTAAGAGAGTTTAGAAAATCCCAATTCTTTCCTCAACCTGTGCCATCCCCACTAGTTACAACCATAAAAACAACAAAAAAATAATCTGTTAAAAAACAGTTGTAAAAGCAAAAAAAATTTTAAGAGAAATAACAATTTTTATAAAATTAATAATAAATAAATATGTAATAATTTTTTAACAACAAAAATAGAGGCCGAACACGTACAAGATATCTCGAAAAATCTCGATCCCAATAACCAAGATTAAAAAAATAAGAGGAATGAAACTTTAAAAGAATCGAAAAACCCCGACCCAAATAATCAAGATTTTTGTTTAAGATCTCGTCTCGATCCGGTCTCTAATACAAATAATTTAGAAAATTAACAAATTAATTAAAAATAATTTAAAAATAACCAACAACAACTTCTTAAAAAACATCCTTCAACCATCATTTTGGGTGGTTTCATTTTGTGCTTCTTTTGCCTTCTTTGCCTCCTCCTCCTTCTTGAACAGCTTCCTCTTCCGTTGTGGGAGTCGTCGTTTACGTTCTGGTGGCTGAAAATAAAAGGGAAAAATAAATGAAACAAAAATTTTTTACAAAACCTCATCATTAGCATTTTGTCCTTCAACCACATTATTATTATTAATTTGAGAAGTTGAAGGTTGTTGTTCTTCTTCTTGCAGCATTGTAGACGTTTGAATTGTAGACGTTTGAAGTGCAGGCTGAAAGAGAAAAAAAGAATTTTAGTTTCAACAACGAGGAGTGAAGGTTGTCCCAACAAGGGAGGATGTTGTTTCAACAAAGAGGACAGCGTTTGGAAAAATCTTCCCCGTTGTTTTAGCTTCCCCTGAAATCACCCCCTGGTTATGCCTTTGGTAGCAAAAAACATCCCCTACCCCAAAAACACTGAAAATAAAAGGGAAAATAAATTGAAAGAAAAATTTTTTGAAAAAACCTCATCATTAGCATTTTGTCCCTCAACCACATTAGTAATTTGAGAAGTTGGAGGTTGTTGTTCTTCTTGAATCATTGTAGACGATTGAAGTGCTGGCTGAAAGAAAAAAAATATTTCTTTGTTTCAACAAGTGTTGCTTCAGCAACGGGTTTGTTGTCCCAACAAGGGAGGATATTGTTTCAACAGAGGGAATTCTCTGTCGTTGAAGCTTTAGCTTCCCCTGAAATCCTCCAGATTACGACCTTGGGTAGCAAAAAAACATTCCCTCCCTCCAAAAACAAACCCATCCCCTTAAAAATACATTTTTTCTTTAGTCTTTTAATGTCTTTAGTAATGACTTTATTCCGAAAACATTTTTCAATACAAAAAACCCCAATTAAAAAAAAATTCAAAAACCTCATCAGTTTGAGTGGCAGATGCAGAAGATGAAGAAATTTGTTGTTGTTCTTGTTGTGTAATGGAAGTAGGAGTAGACGGCTGAAGATGTGGCTGAATAAAAAAATCAAATATTTAAATGTTTTTGTTCCAACAATGGGGAAGATTTTGTTTCAAGAGGAAAGCGTTTCGGTCGTGGAAAACCCTTCCCCGTAGTTTAGCTCACCCTGAAATCACCTCTGGGTACCCCTAGGGTGGAAAAAACATCCTTCCCACCAAAATAATCCGATCCCCTTAAAAACGCATTTTTCCTTTATTAGTCTTTTACAGTCATTAGTAATGACTTTATTCAGAAAGTATTTTTCAATCTAGAAATCCCCCAATTAAAAAAATAAATCAACCTCAATGACTTGGTTATTTTCCCCATTCTCCTCTCCTCCATTCTCCTCTACTTGTGTAGTTTCCAACTCCCCCTCTTCCATTGAACCATCACCTCCTTCTTCTTCCTCATTATTAATTTCTTCTTCCTCCTCCTCCTCTTGCGGGGGCAGGGACGGAATTTGCGGGAATAGAGACCGAACTAGAGGCGACTTGGATCTTTCATAAAGCATTCGATATTTGTGTCGAGTACTAAAAGAAAAGGATAAAGTTAAGAAAAAAGGAAAATTAGTACCCTTTAAGTGCATGGGTAAGTGTGTTGAAGTCGGGCTTTATATCAAACATTTCGTGAAATGTTTCCTGAATAAACAGTTTCAATTCATCTCGTTCCTTTTCAGCCTTGAGAGCCCGAGCAGTCAATTCTTCTTCCAATTTAGCACAGTTGTTGCAGGTATCCATTTTTAATTTTAAAAAAAATTTAAAAAATCTTTAAAAATCTTTGGGGATTGAGCACTATAATTAAGATTAAAAAAATATATATAATCTGTTAAAATAAACAGATAACAATCAAAATATTAAAAAAAAAGGATATATTTTTATAGGCAAAATAACAATTTTTTTAAATATTTTCTAAGGATAAAATTAGGAAGAGCAAGACAAGAGTAAAAAATAGATATATAACAATTACTCAACAAAAAATAATCAAAGAGAGAGAAGATGAATTAACAAAAATTGAATTTTAATAGAGAGAAATGCCACAAAAAGTTTTGATGAAAAGGGTCTTGCTTTTTAGATAAATCCCAATTATTTTCCTCTCCTCCAATTTAAACTTAATTAACCTCTTCCAGGCTTGTCTCCAGCTCACCCTCTTCCTTTTCATCACCTCCTTCTCCATCATTAATTTCTTCTTCCTTCTCCTCTTGCTGCTGCATTAGAGACTGAATTAGAGGCGTGTTGAATCCATTACAGAATGTTTCAAAATGCTGTCCAAAACTAAAAGAAAAGGATAAAGTGAGTAAAAAAGGAAGACTAGTACTTTTCAAAAAAATGGTCAATTGTGTCGAAATAGGGCTCCACCATATCCAATGCGCGAACTGCATTCTTAGCAAACAGTTTCAATTCATCTCGTTCCTTTTCAGCCTTGAGAGCCCGAGCAGTCATTGCCTTCAAATCCTTTTCCAATTTACCGCAGTTGTAGCAGGTAGACATTTTGAATTTTAAAAAACTTTAAAAAATCTTTAAAAATCTTTGGGGATTGAGGATTACTTTAAAATAAAAAGAAAAAAAAATATATAATCTGTTAAAATAAACAAATAACAATAAAAATATTAAAAAAAGAGAGATCTTTTTTAATAGTAAAAATAACAAATTTTTTTTATATTTTCTGAGGGTAAAATTAGGGAGAGCAAGACAAGAGTAAAAAATAGATATATAACAATTACTCAACAAAAAATAATCAAAGAGAGAGAAGATTTTAATAGAGAGAGAGAAATGTCACAAAAAAATCTTTTAATGAAAAGGGACTTGCTTTTTTTGGATAAATCCAAATTGGATACACAAGGTTAATCTTAACAGACAGACCTCTCTCACTTTTACATAACCCCCGTAAATAAAACTCAATTTAAATTGAAATTAAAAAAATTTTTTGTCTGGTCACTGAGAGGCTTCGGGCTACTCCCAAAACATCAATCCTTCCTCAAAAAACCCTTCAAAAATTTTTTCAGATCTAAGGATGTATGTAAAAGTAAGATCATCCTAACAGTACACAATTCAGTTAAAGACAATAAATTTAAATAAAAAAAACCATGGCCATCCAACAACATTTCCAACAAACAAAGCTCCTTTTTCATCATCATCAATTAATTAAACTTCAACACAAAAATCTTCTAGATGAGGCATTGTTTGTGTGTGTAATTATTTAAATAAAATTTTCTTGATCAACAAATAGGCGAAGATTTAATTGAATGATTTTTTGTTGTTGCTGCTGTTGTTGAAGATGTTGCTGCTGCTGTTGATGACTGTGATTTATGTGTTGTTGTTATATTATTTATCCCGTTTTCTTTTTTGATTTGAAGCACCGGTGGTGAAGGAGGTGGAGGCAATTGTGCTATAGATTTAGCCATTATTGGTCCATTCTTCGATTTTTGAATAAATCTTCGGGCATGGCAGTCTTTGCATTCTTTGTAGACACGTGTAAATTCATCAGTTAATTCTGAAAATTGAAAGAATTAAATTTAAAAAATAAAAAAAAGAAACAAACTATTTAAAAGTTCAACAGTCATGTCTGGGTCTATAGAGTTGAACCAAGGGCAGTCATCTGTCTGAGGGATCTGAAAAATAAAATACATGATTAATAGAAATTTTTAAAATTAATAGTCGGCAAGTTAGCTATCTAAAAATAAACAAAGTCTCATTTAAAACTCATTCAGTCTACATGAGGTGCATGACTTCGGAGTCAATCCCCTACCCCAAAACCGATACCAACTTCTTAAAAGTGCATTTTTTAGTCTTTTAGTAATGACTGTGTCGGTCAAGTAATGAATCTTGGCGGTCAATACTTGACCGCATCGCAACAAAAGAACAACTACATATCAGTCTTACAATTAAAATCCGTAGCCAAAGATAGCTCGGATTGAGAACAGAAAGATTCTTCCCTCAAGGTCAATTAAAATCAGTGTGAATTTAAGAGACTTTGTGATCTACCCCTTGTCTTTAAGATTAAACTCAAAACCCTAAAACCATCAAAAAAACTTCCAAACCTCATAATCTGCCCAACTACAAGCCAAATAAATGCAAACACAAGCAATTGTCCTCTCATTGAAGCGAATGCACCAATTTGTCAGTTGAATGCTTCAAGATTATTAAAAGAGCAACATCCAAAACAAATATATGGTTAAAAAAAACTCACATATCTGTTGCGAACCAATAAGCACACTCGGTCAATTTTTGGCTTTCTAAAAAGTTGCAAATGAAAAATAAGCAAAAAAAAAAACAAAAAAACCTTGTTTGAATTTCTTCATATTTATAATAATAATAGGATGAGGAAGGTCAACATGGAGCTCAAAGCCTAGAAAAAAAAGTTTGGTTAGTTATAGATTCAGCAAGATTGCTTCGCTATGGATTTTAATGTTGGGTTGCAGAGATCGAGTTAGGTTTAACCCACGTCCAGATTTTCCTAGAATATACTCAGGGATCCAGTTCAAGTCAGTTGATTCTTAATGGCTTGTAGGGATAAAGTTTGCTATGCAGCAGTGCCTAGATTTTCTCCTAGATTACAACACAAAACTTGACCCAAGTCAATGGATTGGAAACTAAACCAGATTTTGAAGTCATAACTACACTGAAACCCCCAGAGTACACGTTGTCTGGGCCACTAAAAAACCAAGACAAGGGGAAAGTCAGAAGTTTCCCCATCGCCAACATTCCTTAAAATTTAAAAAATTTACAAACCAATCGTCTGCAGCAGAATGCCTTCCAGGTAGACTAGTAGTTGCGCGCCGTTCTTTCTCGCCTAAAAAAATTTTGTTCCTCGCATAGAACAAATGAAGGGTGTAAGCCAAATTTTTTCATCAAATAACTGACTGCTTCGTTAAACGGCGGCTGCACTTCTGCTTTCCTGAACTTCAACCTGAACCAAACTTCCACCACGTGCTCAAGCTTCCTGGGGCATTCTTCGCTCTTGCTGGCCAAAAAGAGACACGCTGCGGCAACCTCCTGTGAGAAAAAATTTTTTTGAAGAAAAAAGATGTAAAGGAAAAGCATACTTTGTACATATTGAAGAAGGCAAATGCATGAACGGTGAAGAATCTGTGCATGTGGATCATCGCAATGCAGATGCAATTCTGATTGCTGAAAAAGAAAAGAAAAGTTGAAGTGGTCATAGAATAAAGGATTTAAGCAAGTCAGTGAGTCAACAGACAATATTGACCATCGACCCAAGGTAATGAGGGTCAAGAAGTTTATAAGGGCAAGTCTTCAGTAATGGAAAGAGAAACCGACTCAAAATGTCCAAAAGACCTTGGATCTTTGGTCAAGCCCTGGTGGACCTTGGCTTCCAAGGCAAAGCAAGGACAACATTCCTGGACAAGGACAACGTATCCTTTGACCCGAGGACAAGGTACTTGGCTAATCTTAAATGATGAAAAGAGGAAGTAACTAAAGCAACAGATCTCTGAATGCTAAATAATTGGAAGGTGACATAGGACACTTGGGCCAAAGGCCATTGGTTCGATGACCAAGGTCCTTGGGACCATAGCTTCCAAGGTGGACTGGGGACAAGACCAAAGGCCATTGGTTCGATGACCAAGGTCCTTGGGAACATAGCTTCAAAGGTGGACTGAGTACAAGACCCTAGGCCAAAGGTCCTATGGACCATGACCTCGCAGGTCAAGCCAGGGTAGGGTCCCTGTGACAAGATTTTATGCCAAAGGGACTTGGTGGATACTGGCCTCCACGATGGACTAAGGACAAGACCCTATGCCAAAGGTCTGATGGACCATGACTTCCCAGGTCAGACCCAGGGTAGGTGCCTGGGACAAGACACAAAGCCAAAGGGACTTGGTGGACACTGGCTTCCAAGATGGACTAAGGACACGACTCTAGGCCAAAGGTCATTGGTGGACCTCGACCTCTAAGGTGGAACAAGGGGAAAGTCCTTGAACCTTTAGAAACGATTAATACCCCCCACAAGAAACGTTTTGTCTTATTCAAAGATAAACACAAACATTTGTCCTCTGTGCTGCGGAATGTTGTGGTTCAAACGCTCAGCCATCTCATAAAAAACAAAATTTTGTTTCATCCTGACAAACAAACAAAAAACCTGAATGAACTCTGCAGCCTCTCTTCTATATTTGAGTTCAGCAGCCGAATCCATTGACATTCTAGATGGAAGCCTCGCAAGCTCATCGTCCGCGAAATACCATTTTGGTTTCTTTCCCAGTTTGCTAGATGATGGAACTGGTTCTGTCATCTTTCAAATAAGATCTATAAATTAGGGAATAATGAAATTAGTTAATCAAAGATCATTAAAAGACAAAAAAGTAGGAGTAAGTAAATACGAAATAGATAATGAAGGAAGTACATTCTGGGTAGAATTAAAGCCAAAGGCCAATGGTAGTGGACCATGGCTTACAAGATGGACTAAGGACAAGAGCCTAGGACAAAGGGTGGACCCCGACCAAAGGTATCATATTAGGGGACGAACTTAGTTAATGATTGATTATTAAACGAGAAGGTAGGAGGAAGACAATTACAAAAAAGAAAATGGAAAGTCGGTTTTGTGGGGAGAATTGAGGTTAAGGAAGGAATTAAGGGGATCGAACTTAGTTAGGGGACAAGCTTAGTTAACGATTGATTATTAAAAGGAAAAAGGTAGAGGAAGTAAATAAAAAAGAAAATGGAAAGTCAATGTAAATTAAAAATGAAAATCTGTTTTGTGGGGAGAATTAAAAATAAGGAAGAATCAAATAAATTGGAGGATGAACTTAGTTAATCAAAAATTATTGGAAGCAAAAAAAAAGGTAAAGGAAGTAAATAAGGGAAAATTAGTTGTCGCAAAAACATGAAAAAGAAAGGAAGTATTAAGTAATCTGTTCGTGGAAAATTAACAAAAAAAGACACGAATACATGGCAAGTTCCATAAGTTTTCTTGGAATGGATTGGACAAATTCCAAAAGAAAGGTTGGAACGCTGATTTGTCTTTCTGCCAGACGCAACATTTTGTCAAACCACATTTTGCCAATAAGGGTAAAAATAAACATTTTGACATCAGACTTGTTAACAAAAAGTAGGATTTCAGCCTTCTTGGCAAAATGTGTTTTGGCAAAATGTGGGAAGGCTCTCAGAAGTCTAGTATATTTACATCGTGACTATAAAATTCTTTTTCTCTGCTCATAACGTAAAAATTGTTTCACACATTTTAATTCTTTTCTCTGATTCTCTATTTCTAACTATTTTACTAGTTATCTTTCTATAATCCTACATATGTTAGACACCTCAAATAAAATTTGAACAGACAAAATTAAATCATTTACACACTCTCTCTCATGCGTACATATTCTTTGTTCTTTCAATTTGCTCTTTGTGTGTTTACATATTCGTCTGTCTCTTAATTTATCGATTGGAAATTCAATAAATTAGTACCACCCTCCCTCTCGTATTCTAAAAAGTCTGTCACATTCCCGTTCATTTTGGTGTTTGATTTTTAATGCTTGACTACCTGTTTTTAAGCCTTTTATTCAATTAATTTTACCCAATTTTAATAGATTTTCGTAGGATTTGATGGATAATGGATTCCAATTCTTCTAAACAACTCTACAATTTTTCAACGAGTACATTCGATAAGGTTTGGATTTTGTGGATTACTTTGATTGTAACAAGATTTTCTTTAAGGTACTCCAAAACACAACATCAGGCTCCCATAAAATCATCCCCCAACTTCAAATACAACAAGGAACGAGTTCGGCGATTTTAACACAAGGACAAATCCTGAACCCACAAAATATAATAGTCGTCTCTTCAAATACTGTTGGAGCTGTTGATGCTTCAGGTTTGTAAAATTTTTTGAGTAGATTAGAAGGGTGGGGTTTCCTCTGCTTATAAGGGAAGGTTGAGAGGTGTCCGACCTAAAAACGGTCAAGACTTGGCTTATTCGATGGAGAATGGAGGGCCACTTTTGAGGGCCTTATCTTGGCCAGATCAAAAAACGGCACAAAATTTTTGCTAGAAATGGCACATTCTTTATCGAATGAGCTCGGTTTCGACTGTTTTTAGGTCGGACACCTCGAAACCTTCCCTTGTAAGCAAAACTTTGTTAACCGACTTTTCCTTTTGGGCTGACACGCTTGAAAATTTTGACGAAAAGTCTGTCGGTGAAGGGGGCTGATCCGTGTTTTTTTAAATTATTCCCTCTTTTTTAACAGCTTTGCTCAGTATTGCCCATAAAGAATACCAAGCGGGAAACTACGCAAAGGCAGAACAACATTGTTTAGCCCTACTGCAACAGAATTCACACAATATTGGTGTGCTTCTATTGCTCTCTTCTATTGCTTTTCAGCAGAAAAATTATGAAAGGTAATTTTAATATTTGCAATTTTTAATTTTTAAATAGTTTTACGTTCGTTATGATAATTTTTGATGATTCATAGTCTGGTCGAAAAACAAAACCTTTGGTTTATTTACCAAACCTGGCATTTGGGTTCCTGTGTTTTTTTGGACTTCTCGTTGAAAGCTAATAGAAAATTCAGGGGGAATTTAGACTTACAAGGAAAGGTTGCGAGCTGTCCGACTTAAAAACGGTCAAAACCGGGCTTATTCGATAGAGGATATGCCCTTTCTATCAAGGATTTTGTGCCGTTTTTGCCCGTTTTTTGATCTGGCCAAGATATTGCCTTCCAAAATCCCTTGTTGAAACCTAAAAGAAAATTCAGGGGGAATTTAGACTTATTGTTAGGCTCTTACCCTCCTATCCGCCTGAAAAAATAATCCATTACCTCTCTTATTTTTAGATCAATGCAATACTCTAATCTTGCTATAAGAGTAAATCCAGAATGTGCAGAAGCTTACAGCAACTTGGGCAATGCTTACAAAGAGAAGGGTGATTTGACTGAAGCTCTAAAAAATTACCATATTGCTGTGCGATTAAAACCTGATTTCATCGATGGATACATAAATTTGGCATCTGCTCTAGTTTATGTTGGCGATCTTGAACAGGCAATTCAAGCATATTTGACTGCTCTTCAATACAATCCGGTTTGGGTTTTTTAATAGGAAAATTTTATTTTTTTTTACCTAATTTAGGATCTGTACTGTGTTCGAAGCGATTTAGGCAATCTATTCAAGGTAAAAATTTATTTTTTTTTTAATTTTTTAAATTCAAATTTGTCTTCTAGGCAATGAATCGTTTTGAAGAAGCAAAGGTTTATTTTTACTTATTTTACTTGTTAAAATTTAATGGAGAGACAGAGAGATGCTAAATGCTTCGTCGATATTAAAATTTTTTTTAATTTCTCCCGATTTTTCACTTTTATTTTTTATTTTTAGGTCTGTTACCTTAAAGCTATTGAAATGCAACCCCATTTTGCTGTAAGTTTAATTTTTTGATAAAATCTTAATTTCTGCTTTTTTCAGGTTGCCTGGTCAAATATGGGTTGTGTTTTTAATGCCCAAGGTTTTTGGCTTTATTTTATTTTTAAATTTAATATTTTAGGAGAACTTTGGTTAGCATTGCACCACTTTGAAAAGGCAATTACGCTTGATCCAAATTTTATTGATGCTTTGATTAACATGGGAAATGTCTTGAAGGAAGCAAGAATATTTGATAGGTTCGATTGTTTATTTTTCCTATGTTAACCGATTGGGGGGGGCATTGAGTTCTTTCTGGGCTACACATGGAGAATCGGCGAAAAGCTGTGCCGACAAAAACCGTCGAACCCTTGTTGACAGATCTTGACAGATCTTTTCTGTTGCCAATGTGTCGCTGAACGGGGTTTTGAACGGGATTTTTGATGATAGCGCTCTTCTTGGGTTAGGCTCGCCAAATATGAACCCATGCTCATTCTCCCCAACTCCGTTTCAATTTTTATATTTTTCAATTTTTTAGAGCTGTCTCTTGTTATCTTCGAGCTCTGGCTCTAAATCCCAACCATGCAGTTGTCCATGGAAACTTGGCTTGCGTTTATTATGAACAAGGACATTTGGATCTGGCGATAGAAACTTACAAGAGGGCAATTGAACTACAACAAAATTTTCCGGATGCTTATTGCAACTTGGCTAATGCATTGAAAGAGAAGGGATTGGTTATTGAAGCGGAACAAGCTTATAATACTGGTTAGTTTTTTGATTGTATTGGTGAATGTGGTAGGGCATTTAGGCAAGGACACACGTCCTCAATGGTTTTTTTTTGTCTCCTAGAGACTTTGGGGCGTCAGAAATTTTTTTTTATTTTTTAAATTAATTTTAATGTTTCAGCATTAACTCTATGCCCAAATCATGCTGATTCTTTAAACAATTTGGCAAACATAAAACGTGAGCAAGGAAAGATTGAAGAAGCAACTCGACTTTATTTGGAAGCATTAAAGGTTTTTTAATTTTTTATTGAAACATTTAATTTTATTTTAGATTTATCCTGAATTTGCAGCTGCCCATAGCAATTTGGCTTCAATTTTACAACAACAAGGTTCGTTAATGGTTTATGATGATTTTTCAAATCCACAAGGAATACTGGGCATGGTACCCTGCCCGTCTTGGTTCGAACGGATTATCCGGACCCGGTCTTTTTCAATCTGTGTCGGACCCTTAGCATTTTGAAACGCGATGCACAGCTTAATCCAATTTTTTTTTGCCTTGTCTGAATCCCTTTACCTTCTTCCATATGTTCATCAGCTATTAAATAATTTTTATAGGTCGTTTGCAAGACGCAATTGAACATTACAAGGAAGCAATAAGAATTTCACCGACATTTGCTGATGCTTATTCAAATATGGGAAATACTTTAAAAGAAATGGGTGATGTTAATGGAGCATTACAATGTTATACTCGTGCAATTCAAATTAATCCGGCATTTGCTGATGCACAAAGTAATTTGGCTAGTATTCATAAAGATGCTGGAAATATACCAGAGGCGATTCAAAGGTATCTTGTTTTTTTTAATTTGGGTATTTTTTGTGGATGCCTTTGGGTTTGTGTATGTCACTTTTTTGCCAATCCTCTCCTCAAATTTTTCCCTTTTCCCCATTTCGGGAGGAGGGATGCTTTAGCCCAAGAAGCCCCCCTGGCTACACCCTTGATCAAAATGATGTTTGAGTTAAAATTGGAGGAAAATGGGATTTCACTTGTTGTGTCCCGATTGTTGTTGGATCTGAAAATAGTAAGAACGAAAGTCTGGTTCCGATTATCTTTTTAAGATTCTATTTTGTCTTTTAAAAAGATAAATGTCGTTTTATCCAGCAAACAAATAAAATATTTTTCCTTTTTTGAAATTCCCACGACATTTCACTCCTTTTAGTTTCTGCCTTAAACCAATATCTAAATAAAAACAAAAGTTATTTTAGCAAATAAAATTATTATTTTTTCAGTTACTCTACAGCATTAAAACTCAAAAGTGATTTCCCAGATGCTTTTTGCAATTTAGCTCATTGTCTACAAATTATTTGTGATTGGTATTTTTATAATTTTTCGAATATATTTTCATTAAATATTTTTTTTTCTAGGACTGATTACAATTCTCGAATGAAAAAATTGGTTACTATTGTTGAGGATCAACTTCAAAAAAAGTTCTTTTAAATTTTTGTCAGATATAAATTTTTTTTCTAATTAGGCGTCTTCCGTCTGTTCACCCACACCATTCCATGTTATACCCACTCTCCCATGAACAAAGAAAGGTTTTAAAATTAAAAAATTTTTTAAATTTTTCAATAATTCCAGGCAATTGCAAGTCGTCATGCACAATTGTGTATAGAAAAAATTCAAGTTCTTCACAAACCTCCATACAACTTTTCTGATCGTTTCAATATTCGTATGGGAAAAAATAATCGTTTAAAAATTGGATATGTTTCTTCTGATTTCGGTTTATTTTTTGAATTTTTTTAAATTTAAAAATTCTTTTTTTTAAAGGAAATCATCCAACAAGCCATTTAATGCAATCAATTCCTGGTATGCATGATCGTTCACGTGTTGAAGTTTTTTGTTATGCTTTGTCTCCAAATGACAACACAAATTTCCGTCAAAAAATAATGCAAGAAAGTGAACATTTTATTGATTTGTCTTCGGTTTGTTTTGAATTTTGAATTAAAAAAATTTTTTTGAATAAATTGGTTAGATGCCTTGTAATGGGACAGCAGCAGATAGAATAAATAAAGATGGAATTCATGTTCTTATAGTAAGAAAAAAATTTTTTTGTTAATTTTTTTGAAAAAAATTTTCATTTTTAGAATATGAATGGTTATACAAAAGGTGCACGTAATGAAATTTTTGCGCTGAGACCAGCACCTATTCAGGTCACCTAAAAAATTTTATATTTCTCAAATTAATTTTTCTCTTTCTAGGTTATGTGGCTAGGCTATCCCGGTACTTCTGGAGCACCTTTTATGGATTACATTATTACTGATGCAATTAGTATAAAATTTATCCTTTCTCTCTTAAAATTTGTTTATTATAGCTTCCCCAATTGAACTAGCCCATGCATACAGCGAGAAATTGGCTTATATGCCTCATACATTCTTTATTGGAGGTTTGAGTTTTATTCTTTAAAAAAGTTTTCTTTGACTATTTTACAGATCATGTTCATATGTTGGCACATTTAACTGAAAGAGTAATTGTAAAAGATAAAGATGGTCAACTTCCTGAACGTGACTGTCTTACAGTTGTAAATGCAACACAAAATGCCCTTCAACCATTACTTTCTAGTTCTGCTTGTGAAGTTAAGGTGAGAGATTCAATAGGGTTTAAATGACTCTGAAACTGACACGCGAATTTTGGGTAGGGAATCTGAAAAAAGACTACGATTCTCCATTTTGGGGTTCATTTCCCATTAGGAACTTGGAACTTATTTTTATTAAAAAATTTTTTTCTTAAAGACATTTGTCCGCGAGGCTGAAGTTCAACATGGACCAGAAAGAGAATTCAAAATGACAGAAGTTGTTGTTCCTGTAGTTGAAGTTACGTCAACTGAGCCTTTGTCACAAATGATTGGAAATGGTTTAATTGCTGCAAATGTTAGTGGCGTCCCTATACAAAATGGATTAACTACATTAAATACACATGTAAAAGCTGCTACTGGAGAGGAAATTCCTCAAACAATTTTGGTGTGATTTTTTTAGGAGATTGAAATACACCTTGAAAAAACAATCAGAATCAGTTACGGCATTTCTCATATTTTTTTCTGGTTCTGATTTTTCTGTTCTGATTTTTTTCTGATTTTTATGGTTATTTTGATCCTTATTCTGATCTTTCTGATAGTTCAGAGAATTTATTTTGTTAAATTCTGATTTTTAAAAAATTTTGATTTTTTTAATTCAACAGGTTACAAGCCGTCAACAATATGGACTACCTGATGATGCAATTATTTTTTGTAATTTTAATCAACTTTATAAAATTGACCCGCCAACGCTTGAAATGTGGTGTGAAATACTTAAACAGGTTTTTGATTGTTTTTTTATTTGAAAATTTTTTAAAGGTACCGAATTCGGTCCTCTGGCTTCTACGCTTCCCTTATCATGGTGAACAACACGTTATTAGGTTTTGTGCCCAAAGAGGAATTAATACAAAGAAAATTATTTTTTCAAATGTTGCTGCTAAAGGTTTGGATTTTTTTAACCTAAAAAATTTTTGGGAATTTTTTTTTGAGAATTTTTGGAGAAATTTCGAAAAAAATTCGAAAAAAATTTTCGGAAATTTTTGGAAAAATTTTTCAATTTTTTTTTTGAATTTTTAATACTTACAATTAAACAATTAATTTTATTATTTAAGAGGAACATGTACGAAGAGGTCAACTTGCCGATGTTTGTTTGGACACTCCACTATGTAATGGTCATACAACAGGAATGGATATACTTTGGACTGGTACACCAATGGTTACAATGCCACGTATATTTTAAATTTTTTTTTAATTAAAAAATAAATTTTTTTTAAGTGGAAACCCTTGCATCGAGAGTAGCTTCAAGTCAACTTCATGCTCTAGGATGTCCTGAGTTAGTTGCTCGTGATAGAGATGATTATATTAGAATTGCTACAAGGCTTGGGAATGATAGAGAATTGTAAGGAGATTTTTTTGTATTTTCAAAAAAAAAATTTGTAAAAATTTTTCTTGATTCTTTAAATTTTTAAAAAATTTTTGGAATTTTATTTGTAATTTTTAAAATTAAAAAAAGATTTTTTTTAGTCTAAATCAAACTCGAGCAAAAGTTTGGAAGGCACGAACTACCAGTACTCTGTTCGATGTGAAACAATATTGCACCGATTTTGAAAATTTGTTGTATAGGATTTGGAAACGCTACGAAGATGGTAACTTAAATTTTTCTTAAATTTATGAAAAAAATTTTTTTCTTCAGGACTTCCACCGGACCACATTCTTAACTCTTCCGAGTGATAATAAAATTTATGAAGGTTTAGCTTTTATCTGTTTTTCCTTTTTTTTGTTTTTCCCTTCTTTTTTCTTCTTTTCTCACTTCTATATAACTATGTATCTGTTCAAAAATATTTGCACTAGAAAAATATTCTCCCCTCATTATTCTTTTTTTTCATCATCATTAAAAAAAATAATTTTCTTTTTTTAATTCACTTCTCCAACCTTCCCACTTTACTTTTCAAAATTTTACCCAAAAAATTATTTTAGTCCGTGTTGTTTTATAAAAATAATAGAAAAAATTGTTCTGTCTATCTATCATTCTATAATTGCATCATTGCCATAAAATTTAGAAAATTTTTTTTTATTTCTACTTAAGTTTATTGAACAATTAAATTAAGTTTATTGAACAATTAAATTTTTTTATGGCACTGATGTTTCTGGAGTCTTCCCAATAATAAAAATTAAAAAAAATTTTTTTTCTAAATTAATGCCTGTATCAGTGATTCATTCTTCTTTTCCATCACACACTATCTTCATTTATATATTATTCAATCTTTTTTTCTTGTCGCTTCGTTATATAATTTTTCAAAAAAATTAAGTATATAATTACTATGTAAATTCAAAGCCGCAAATTTAAAACAAAAAAATAAAAATTTAAAAATATATTTTTGACTTGATATTTCTTAAAAATTGCTTGGAAGTAACAATTAAATTTTTTATTTGAGAGAAAAATTCAAAATGATTAAAAAAATTATTTTCAATTTTTAAATAAAATTTTATTTATGAGTTGAATGTTGGAGGAAAATCAGTCAACAACAGAAAACGCAGAAAATGGGTTTATAAGTAATGGTCTTACTACTCCTTTAATTTATCAAGAACGTACACAGAGAAGACTGATCCCATTCTTGTATGTAATTTCTATATTTTTTAAAAAATATTAAAAATTTATTTTTAGATTTTCTGAACTATTTTTTCTATGGACTGGCAAATTGATGAGAAAAGGCTATAAAGGCGAGCTTAAACAGGTTAATTATTCATAAATTTATTACAAATTGTGAATTAAATAAATACTGGTTTTTTACAATTTGTAGAATAAATAAACTATAATTTGTAAATTAGTTAAAACTTTTTACAATTTGTAAAATAGATGCACTTGTTTGTTTGCAATTTGTAAAATAAATAAACTTGTTTTTACAAATTGTAAATTAAATAAATATTTTTTTTACAAATTGTAAATTAATTAAACTTTATTTTCTACAAATTGCAAATCTAATAAGTTTATTTTTTCTGAATTTGTAAATTAAAACAAGTCTGTTTTTTACAATTTGTAAATTTTTACTTTTTGTAAATTTTCTAAACTTATATATTTTTTACAATTTCAGGTAGATGATGTGTTTGATTTACCCAATAGTTTAAACCTAACTACTCTTGGTTCTGTTCTCAGTGATCCTCTTGAAAATGAAACTTCTACTTTTGCACCTATTCTCCTACGGGTTTATGGACGTCAATTTTTTCTTCTAGGCATTCTCAGATTTATTGGAGATATTTTAAAATTTGCAGGTTAATTTTTTTTATAAAATTTTTTTTTAATTTTTGTTAGGCCCAATTCTTCTTCATATGCTTATTTCTTCATTACAAAGCAAAATAGAGAATACAAGTTATATTTGTTGTGGACTTATGTTTATTACAATGTTGTTTGCCTCCCTTTGTGATGTGCATTTTGGATATCGCATTCAACTTTTATCAATGAAAGCAAAAGTAAGACTGAGTTTTCTGATCATTCTGATTTTTCTGATTATTTTAATTCTGATTTTTTGGATTTTTCTGATTTTCTGACATTTCGGATCTTCATGATTTTTCTGATTTTAATTCTGATTTCCATTTTTTCAGAGCTCCCTTCTACTCGCTGTTTATGAGAAATTATTAAAGATTCCAGCCTATAAAATTACTGACGATTTTTCTTCTGGCAAATTAATAAATTTAATGTGTACAGATATTGATAGAATTGGTGAATTTATTTGTTCCTTTCATGGTAATCTTTGGAAAAGATTTAAAAAAATTATTTTTTTAAAACAGCTTTTTGGGGCATGCCAATGGATTTTATTATTGCACTTTATTTAATTTATAAAGAGGTTAATAATTTTTTCGATAAAAAATAATTTTTTCGATAAATTATTATAGTGGGAAGGAAAAAGATTTCAGTTTAAAAATTAAAAAAATTTTTGAAAATTAAAAAAAAATTTTTTTAAGATGGGTTTGGCATTTTTTGCTGGTGTTCTGGCTTCTGCAATACTTATACCTTTAAATAAATTAATAGCTTCAAAAATTGGAAAATATTCAAATGAACTGATGTCTGTTAAAGATGCTAGATTAAAGCTGGGTAAAATTTAAAATTAAAAAAAATTTTTTAATAATTTTTTAGTTAGTGAATTGAGCCATTCAATGAGAACAATTAAATTAAATAGTTGGGAAAATTTTTTTGAAACAAAAATTAATTTAATTAGACAAAAAGAATTAAAATATTTACGTTATATAAAGTTTCTGGATGCTATATGTGTTTACTTATGGGTATTTTTTAAATTAATTTTTTTTTACAATTTACAATTTGTAAAAACTTTTTTTACTATTTGTAAAAAAAGTTATAACCATGCGAGTTAAAATTTCAAATTGTAAACTTCAAAAACTGTATTCGTAAAACTTTTTACAAATTGTAAAACCTAAAAATTAGACTTTACAAATTGTAAAAAATTTTTACAATTTGCAAAACTTTTTTTTTACAAATTGTAAAAAAACTCAAGACTTTAAAAACCAAATTGTAAAAGTTTTTACAAATTGTAAAAATAATTTACGAGAAACTTTAATAGGCTTCTGCACCCATTCTCATTACAATGATGATATTAGCTTCATTTACCTTGATTTTACATGAACAATTGACTGCTGCTAAAGTTTTCACTACACTGGCGTTGATAAACATTTTGATAATGCCATGTAGGTTATTTTAATTTTATTAAAAAATATTAAAATAAATTTTTAAGTAAATGCCTTCCCATGGGTTCTCGGCTCTATGATAACCGGATTAGTTAGCAAACGCCGATTTGATTCATTTTTCTCTATAAAATCAACTAAAGACTTGAAACAATTTTATTCTCCAATTTCTAACTCAACAACACTTATTGAAGTTGAAAAAAATTCTTTTGGATGGAAGAGTAAAGAAAATGTTGTTCGAAGTGTTCAATTTAAAGGAGAACAGGTTTATTTTTTATTTATTTAAAATTAAATTTATTTAACTAAAAAGGGTATGTTAATTGGAATAATTGGCCCTGTTGGAAGTGGAAAATCAACTTTACTTGTTGGAATTCTTGCAGAAACAATAATTGAAGGCCCTCCAATTTTGCTTGATGAGAGGGTATTATCTGAAGGATTTGCTTATGTTGGACAGGATGTTTGGCTTAGAACTGGTTCTGTTAAAGAAAATATTTTTTGCGAGCTTCCCTATTCTCCTGAACGTTTTCGAAGTGCAATAGATGTGTGTGCATTAACTATGGATATTGAGAATATGCCTGGAAAGGAGAATTATCGAATTGGAGGGGAAGGAGTTACTTTGAGTGGAGGTTTATTTTTTTTATTTGTTTAATTATTTATTGGACTTTGTTTTGGATATCCCTAATTTGTGATGTGTCGATTTATCCGAAACTGATACTCGAAGCCCAAACTTATTATTTCTCATTCCGATCCATTCATACCTCCAATACTTGATACGACCCAATTTAAGATATGTCCGTTAAACTTTGGTTAGCTACTAGTCGGGGGAACTGCTCAAGCATTACTACCAATTTAAGATACCTCTCATTAAAAAATACAATTTCTTATTCCCATGAGTCTTTCTAAAGATAGGTCTGATTTTATAAACATTAAAATAAAATTTCTTTTAAAAAGGTCAGAAAGTCCGTCTTGCATTAGCCCGTGCTGTTTATGCTGACAAACTAATTTATCTACTCGATGACCCTTTTGCAGCATTAGATGGAACAGTTGCTTCTTTTGTTTATGAAAATTGTATTGAAAAGCAACTTAGATCCAGAGGGAAGTTAGTAATATTGTGTACACATCATGAACGATTTTTGGGACGTGCTGATTTAATTGTACAATTGGACGGGGAAGGAAATGTTTTGAGAGCTGGTAAGCCTCTGTTAACTTTTTTAAAGGATTTTTGGAATTTTTATTCAACTAGGTCCTCCAGAAGTAATTTTGCCTAATATTGTTGAAAACCAAATTATAAAACAAACAGAAAATGGTTGTGAAGAAGAAAATGGCGGCAATTTATCTCAACCTATGGAAGCAGCTGAATATGTCTCTGTTGTTGATAATGAAGAAAAAGAAGAAGGAACAGTCAAAATACGAATTTATAAGACGTATATTAAAGCTATAGGTTTGTGGTTGTCAGGGCTGGTATTGCTTTCTTTAATTGGTAAATTTTAATTGAAATAATCTTTAATTAAAAATAAAAAATTTTTTAGCTTTGCAAGCAACTAGAAACGCGACAGATGTTTGGTTGAGTAAATGGAGTTCAGCAAACAATTCAGAACACAATAATTCAAAATTGTTTCTTCAACAAGATTGGGGGTAATTTTATTTTTATTGAAAATTATAAAAAATCAGAATTTGTAATAATGCTTCAAGTTTTACAATTTATAAATACAATTTGTAAAATGTTGAATATATAGATAAATAAACTTGTTACAAATTGTAAATTTGTTAAGCATCTTTACAATTCGTTTAAATTAAAATTTTACAATTTGTAAAACTTTAAATATTTTTTTACAATTTGTAAAATGTTGAATATATTTTTCCACAAATTGTAAATCGCTGAATATATCTTTTTACAAATTGAAAAATGTTGAATATTGTTTTTACAATTTGTAAAAGTTTAATATATTTTTTTACAATTTGTAAAATACTAAATATATGGATACAAAACCTCTTTTTACAAATTGTAAATAATTAAGCATTTTATAAATTGTAAAGTTTAAAATAAAATGTATTCCTATTACAATTGTAAAAATATTTTATTTTAGTTATTTTTTTGCTCCACGTTATATTATTCCACTCACTTCAATTAATGAACAAAATCAAGAAATGTTTTATTTACGCATTTATATTGCAATTGTTGGTCTCAATTCCATTTCAACTTTAACCCGCGCTTTCCTTTTTGCAATTGCTTGTATTTATGCAGCCAAATATTTACATCAACGCTTATTGAGCCGCATTTTAAAAGCAAATATAAATTGGTGGGATAAAACGCCTTGTGGGCGTGTTACAAATCGTTTATCAACAGATGTTAGCATTGTGGATACTTCTTTACCTTTTCAATTAAATATTTGTTTGGCTAGTCTTTTTTCTCTTATAGGTATAAAATTTTGTATGAAAATTTCTAAAAATTTTTTTTAATAATGTAGGAACTCTAATTCTGACGCTAGTAGCACTTCCATTACTCTCACTTTTGTTGTTACCTCTATTCATTATTTATTATTATATTCAGGTAAAAATTTTATGAAGATGGAAATGTTTGTTTCAGAATATTATTTTCAATATCCTAAAAACTTTTTTTTGGATGGGGAATGACCTAGGAATGACCGCCAAAGGATGTCGAATGTTTTTTTTTCGAGACCTGCCTCGGGCTATACTTTACCTTTCTCTTTTAACTAAGATTAAAATTTTTTCTTTATAGAAATATTATCGTCGAACAAACGTTGAATTGGTAATATTATAATTTAATGTTATTTGATTTTTAATTAATATTTATTTTTTTTCAGAAACGAATATGTGCCATTACTTTATCTCCATTGTACAGCCACCTTTCAGAAACAGTATCTGGGCTAATTACAATACGTTCACTTCGAATTAGTGAATTGTAAAACATTTTTCTTTAATAAAAATAAAATTTTTTCTTCAGTTTTTCTTCAAAAATGCGAGCACTTTTGGGTTACAACCTGCGTTCTTCATTCTCTTCTTTAGCTGCTGCTACATGGCTTTCTGTGCGTATTCAAATGCTTGGACTTTTTGTGCTTACAATTATTTTATTTGCTAGTATATTGGACGTTACTATTTTTAAATTAAGCCATCCTGGACTTATTGGATTAGCTATAACTTATGCTTTGTCAATAACTAATGTTTTGAATGGTCTTCTTACGTCTTTTATTGAGACTGAAAAAGGTTGAATTTTTTTTACAAATTGTTAATTTGTTTGAAAATAAGTTTTACAAATTGTGAAATTAATTAAACTTGTTTTTACAAATTTGTAAACTTAATTGAACTTATTTTACATATTGTAAATTTTAATAAAACTTTGTTTTACAAATTGTAAAATAATTTGTAAATTCGTATTACAAATTGTAAACTTAGTAAAACTTAATCTACAAATTGTAAAATTATCAGAAATTGTTTTACAAATTGTAAACTTAATTAAACTTTATTTTACAATTTGTAAACTTATTTTACAGCTTATTTTGCATACTTCATTTAAAACTTTTTTTTACAAATTGTAAAAATTAAGAATCTTTTCAATTGTAAATTAGTCTACAAACTTTATTTTTTATTTTAGAATTAGTTTCTGTTGAACGAATATGTGATTATATTGATAATGTTCCTATGGAAGGAGAAAAAGAATCTAGTCTAATAAACAATGATGATATTCCAACTCCAATAGAAGGGCATATTTGCTTTGAAAATGTTTCTCTCCGTTATTCTCCAGAATTGCCTTTAGCTATTAACAACATTAGTTTCCATTTAAAAGCGGGTACTAGAACAGCAATTATTGGAAGAACTGGAGCTGGCAAGAGTACTATCTTACAGGTTTTTTAAATTATATTTTAGAGAAGGTTTAATTATTTGTTTTGAGGCATTACTTCGAGCACACCCTATTGAGACTGGCAGAATTCTGATTGATGAAAATGTTGATTTGGCTAATTTAGGATTTAAATGTGCTCGTTCTTTGGTATGAGGTTTTTAATGAAAAATTTTTTAATAAGATTATGAGGGGAAGAGGGGATTTAGAGAGAGAGAGGATTGATAGTGGTATTCCTTTCAATCATTTTTTAAGGAATTTTTCAAAAAATAATTTTTAAAAATTTTTTCTTTCAGTTTGGCTATGTCTCCCAGCACCCTTTTCTCTTCTCAGGAACTCTTTTTGATAATCTTTCAATTACCAATACAAATTTAAACAACACACAAATTGAAGCTTGCATTTCTGAACGAGGTCTATCTCAATGGTTGGAACAATTTGGAGGATTAAACAAAATAATTTGTGAAGGAGGAAATAATCTTTCTTTTGGAGAACGACAGTTAATATCACTTTTAAGATTGTCTTTGACAAAGCCGAAGGTTTGGAAAAAAATTTTTTTGGTGTTTTTGACTTGACTGTCTTTGACCTCTCTATAGGATACACCCAATACTAGGTGGTCCCCGTTTGGAGACTTTTTTTTAAAATTCGTTTGAAATGGGGTGGAGGGAGAAGAGGAGCTGTCTAACATTTGATACCATTTTTATAGGACCAACCTAATTTCAAGGGAGAGATTCGATTTTTACAACCCCAGGGGAAGAGAGGATATCACATGGTGTCCATCTTTGACTTTAAAAATTTTTCTATCCAAAAAAAATTTTTTTCTTTTAAAGATTATTTTAATTGATGAAGCAACAGCCCATATGGATGAACAAACACATTTATTAATGAGCAGATTAATATCAAGTATGGGATGTACATTAATTGCAATAGTTCATCGTCTTACTGGTCTAGATGAACATTATGATTGGGTTATTGGTAGGGATATATTTTTATTGAAAAAAATTTGTTTTGTTTAAAGAAATGAGCAATGGTCAAATAGTTAGAGAGGGACCGCCATCACTTTTCTCCCAAAAATAATTTGAAAAATTATGGAAAAAACATAGGGGCAATATTTTTTAGAATTTCTATTTAGATTTTTTCGTTAATTTATTTGTTAATTTTAACAATTGCAATTCTATTTAATTTTTGTTTTCGTTCATTTATATATTTCTTTAAACCCCAGTGAGTAAATTGAATCATGATCTGTTTAAATGAGAAGAGATTTTTATTTAATTTGTTTTGAAAGTAAGAGGTTTTGGGGGGTTTTAGTAAGCCGATCATTATTTAAAACACCTACATTAATTATTTGTATTCCAGCTACAGCAGTAGCTGTCCATTCAAATCCTAAATGTTCAGCACTAAAACCACCTACAGCTGTGCCAATAAAACAACTAGATAATTAAAAATAATTTTTTTAAGTCCACAAAAAAATACCCAAGTGCATAAAATGACATAAAATATCCTGAAATTTGCCCACAAGTAGTTGAAGATTTTTCTGAATATCCTTCATTTCTTAAAGAATTTTTTAAATAATTTAAAAGAAATTAGTTTACTTCACAGCGTCCAAACACCATTTAAATACCGGAACAAAAAGTACAGCACAAGATATTCCAAGAATTGCAAATGAGATTCCAATCAGAATTAAATTTCTTTTAAGGGGAAAATGTATAAATTCTGATTTATAAATAATTCTGATTCTAAGATAATTCTGATTTTTTTAAATTCTGATTTTTTATATAATTCTGATTAAAAAATTGATTTTCAACAAATTCTGATTTTTCAAATTATTTTTACTTTTCCAATCCCAGAAACGGTGCTGGCCCCATTAATATAGGAGAAATAGCAACTAATACTCCACCAATAATTCTAACAAATGAAGGCGAGAAGCGTTGGACAATATAACGATCAAATATCCAGCCCCATATTGGTGTAGAAATTAAATAGAAACAAGCCAATATCATCAACATAATCCCAACTAGAACTGAAGGTCTCCCTTTGAACTTGGAAATTTTATTTTTAAATTTATTCTAATAGTCGCCCATTGCGATAGAATAAATAGAATATTTAGAATAATAATCCTACTGTGGAAAGATGTTCAGTTAAGGCAGGCTCGTAAAACACAAAAGCAATAGAAATAACAAAAGTAGAAAGCATTGCCATGAAAACATCAGGGATTAAAATTATTTTTACCATCCCTGGAGATTTTTCTTCTTGTTGTTTGACATTTAAGGTATCTGAGCCTAGAAATAGAGATAATGTTCGATTCAATGTATGTTTTGAATGAATGTTTAGAATGTTCTTAGAAACAGTGTTTAGAATGAATGTTTAGAAACAATGTTTAGAACAAAGAATATTTTTCCCGGAAAACATATAAATAAAACATGTTTAAAAGAAATCTTCCGGAAACCTTAGAAAAACACCCACAAACATATTTATTAGGGAAATGTTGTAAAAACACATTCCGGAAAACATATTCAGGAAAAACATTGATACAAACCCTCAGATAAAAGGCCACGATAAAATGGTAGGGCTACCAAAACAAGCAACAACTGTGCAGATCCAACAACAAATAAAGGCAGCATATATCCACCGGCTTCATATAAGCCACTTCCTATTGCTGGCCCTAAAGTATTGCCAAGGCCAAATGAAACTTCAATAATACCCTTTATGGAATTTTTTGTTCAAAATTAAATAAGTATTCACCATTGCCAAGGAAATTCTATCGGGAAATAACCTTCCAAAAATTGTCATAGAAGCAGTGTTAAAAGCAACGCCACCAAGAGCTTGTGTCGTCCTGCAGACTAGTAATCCAAAGAAAAACATTGGGCCAGAAGGCAAATAATCGGCCAAGCCAAATGCTATTGAACTGATACCACAAAGTACAACTCCACCAACAAATGTTCGGTTTGCACGTAAAACAGCCATCTATATTTTGATTATTTTAAGAATAGGGTAAAAATCTTTAAAACATTGTTAAAAACATTTTCCGGAAAACACATGTTCATTTAATTTTATCAAGAAACAAAATTAAAAAATTCCGGAAAACATGTAATTAAAAACATGTTCATTTTATTGTTAAAGGAAAAAATTCCGGAAAAACATTTGTGCTCAAAACATTTTCCGGAAAACATAAACAAAACATATTTAATTTTCTCAACATGTTTCTAGTTTTTATTTAATTAAAAAATACGAACATATTTTCCAATAACAGGGGAAGCAATAAATAGAATAAGTTGATAATACCCAATAACAAATCCAACATCTGTTGTACTTAAGCCTTTCCGTTTAGTAGCTTCTGTTGGAAGGAAAGGTACAATACAGGAAAAAGTTATTGTAGCTGAGACACTTAGGATTGCAATCAGGACCATAACAAATATTTGCTGCCTAGTTAAGGGTGCTGGAACTACTAAAAAATAATTAATTTTATGCTAAGAATTCTGTATTTTTCAGTAATTTTTATTTTATAAAGATACTGAGAAATATATTCAGGAAAATACTTATATTGAAACATTCCGGAAAACATGAACAATAACAAATAAAATCTAAAAACATTCTAACAAACATACCGGAATTACATCTAAAACATTCAGTAAAACAAACTAAACAATAACTCATGTTAATTATTCCGGAAAAACATCAGAAACAAACAAAACATATAAAAACATTCCGGAAAACATTTTGAAAAACAAATCATCTAAACATTCCGAAAAAACATCAGAAACAAACAAAACATATAAAAACATTCCGGAAAACATTTTGAAAAACAAATCATCTAAACATTCCGAAAAAACATCAGAAACAAACAAAACATATAAAAACATTCCGGAAAACATTTTGAAAAACAAATCATCTAAACATTCCGAAAAAACATCAGAAACAAACAAAACATATAAAAACATTCCGGAAAACATTTCGAAAGACATATCATCTAAACATTCCGGAAAAACAAAACTTCATGTTTTTGTTTATGTTTTAAACTTGCCTTTTTCACTCTGGTTTGTATCTACCTTTACAATGTCCTCTACACTTTTTAGTATTATATTATTATTGTTTTCATCACTATTTATTTTGTTTGAGTTATCTGGACCTTGTAGTATTTCTGATGCATAAATCTTTGTTTCAGTCATGTTTTTGATTTTAATTAAAATTTAAAAATTAAGCAATAATTTTAAATAAATTATAGTAAAGATAACTATATCTTTATATAACAAAAGTGTTTTTACCTCATAATGTGTGGTTGCCACAGACCCCATAATCCGTGGTGCAAAATAAAAAAATTTCTCTTCAATAAGATTTACATTTTTAACACTTATTAAATGACAATTTTTTAAAATAATTTTTTCTTCATTTTCACCTTCCACCATTGTCAAAATTTTTTTGTTTAAAATAATCCGAACCAATTTTGATCTTTCAATGTATTATCAAAAATTACTACGTGGAAAATATGCAGATTTTTGTCAAGCAAAAAATTTAATAGCACACAATGTATCACTAAAAAATTACAATTTATAACGTTTAAAAATTTATTTTTCAGTTTATTAGAAATGTCATATGTAGCTATTTTTGATTTTATCAAATATAGCACGAACAAACACTTTAAAAACACGAAAAACAAATAAAATGTAAAAACATTCCAACAACTAAAATATAAGAAAACATACCGGAATTATATTAAAAACATTCCGGAAAACATTTTGAAAAACAAATCATCTAAACATTCTGGAAACTCAAACAAAAACAAATAAAATATATAAAAACATGTCGGAAACACAAACAAAAACATTCAATTTATAAAAACATTCCGGAAAACATTTTGAGAAACAAATAATCTGAACATTTCGGAAACAAACAAAATATATAAAAACATTAAAGGAAAATTGAATTTTAAATTGCCAAAATGAATTGAAATAAAAATTTCTTCACACAATAACAAAAAAATTATAAGAAAAATATAGGATAGGAGCAATATTTTTAAAATTTTTATTTAAATTATTGGTTAATTTATTTTTACACATTATTGTTAATTTTAATAATTGCAATTCTATTTAATTTTTGTTTCCGTTCATTTATATATTTCTTCAAAACCCAGTGAGTAAATTGAAGCAAAGTCTGTTTAAATGAGAAGAAATTTTTATTTAATTTATTATTAATTTATATTATTTTATTTAAAATACCCATATTTTATCATTCCTTAAAAACACCTACATTAATTATTTGTATACCAGCTACAGCAGTAGCTGTCCACTCAAATCCTAAATGTTCAGCACTTAAACCACCTACAGCTGTGCCAATAAACGAACTAAATATTTAGAAATATTTTTTTTCAATATTTTTAAATAAATACCCAAGTGCTAAGGATGAAAGAAAAAACCCTGAAATTTGGCCGCAAGTAGTTGAGGATTTTTCTGAATATCCTTCATTTCTTAAAAATTTTTTTTAATAATTTAAAAAATTATTTTTGTACTTCACAGCATCCAAACACCATTTAAATACAGGAACATAAAGTATAGCGCAGGCTATTCCAAGAATTGCAAATGAGATTCCAATCAGAATTAAATTCCTTTTAAAAGAAAAAATATAAATTCTGATTTTTAAAGTAATTCTGATTTTTAAAATTCTGATTTTCAACAAATTCTGATTTTTTAAAAATAATTCTGATTTTATTAAATTCTGATTTTCCAATATAATTCTGATTTTTGAAAATAATTCTGATTCTTGGATAAATTCTGATTTTAATTCTGTCTTATAAACAATTCTGATTTTTTTAAATTCTGATTTTTATAATAATTCTGATTTTTTAAAATAATTCTGATTTTAATTCCGCTTCATAAATAATTCTGATTTAAAAAAATTCCGATTTTCAACAATTCTGATTTTTTTAAATAATTCTGATTTTAAAAGTCCTACTTTTCCAATCCCAAAAACGGTACTGGACCCATTAATATAGGAGAAATAGCAATTAATGCTCCTCCAATAAATCTGACAAGCGAAGGTGAAAAGCGTTGCACAATATAACGATCAAATACCCAGCCCCATATTGGCGATGAAATTAAATAGAAACACGCTAATATCATCATCATAATCCCAACCATGACGGAAGGCCTTCCTTTGAACTTGGAATTTTTTTTATTATTTTTAATTTATTCTAATAGTCGCCCTTGTGACTGATTTTAAAATCTAAGGGATAGGCGCCTATTAGAATGAATAAATTATTTTAAATATTATCCCCACTGTGGAAAGATGTTCTGTTATTGCAGGTTCGTAAAACACCCAAGCAATACAAATGACAAATGAAGAAAGCATTGCCATGAAGACATCAGGGATTAAAATCATTTTTACTATGCCTGGAGATTTTTCTTCTTGTTGTTTGATATTTAGGGTTTCTGAGCCTAGAAACAGAAACTTAAAAACAATGAAGAATTTGTTTTGAATGAATGTTTAGAATGTTTAAAACAATGTTTAGAATGTCCTTAGAAACATGTTTATACAGAAGGTTCTTAGAAACAATGTTTATAACAAAATATTTTTTTCGGCAAACATATAAATAAAACATGTTTAAAAGACATGTTAAAACACCCACAAACATATTTACTAGAGAAATCGAAAAAACACATTCCGGAAAACACATTCCGGAAAAACATTTTTAGTTTATTCACCAAAATAAATCCGGAATAAATCTAACAACAAATAAAGGCCGTAATGTTTTCCGAACATATATATTCCGAAAAAACATTAAAACAAACCCTCAGATAAAAGGCCTCGATAGAATGGTAGAACTCCCAAAACAAGCAACAACTGCGCAGATCCAACAATAAATAAAGGTAAAACATATCCACCAAGTTCGTATAAGCCACTACCGATAGCCGGCCCTAAAGTGTATCCAAGACCAAATGCAACTTCATTAATACCCTTTATGTAAGGATTTTCTTTCAAAAATTAAAAGAAAGTATTCACCGTTGCCAAGCTTATTCTATCAGGAAATAATCTCCCAACGATTGTCCAAGAAGCAGTGTTAAAACCAACTCCACCAATGGCTTGGGTTGTCCTGCAAACTAGTAATCCAAAGAAAAACATTGGGCCAGAAGGTAAATAATCGGCAAAACCAAAAGCTATTGAGCTAAGACCACAAAGTATAATTCCACCAACAAATGTTCGGTTTGCTCGTAAAACAGCCATCTACATATTATTATTACATATTTATTATAAACAACCATTAAAACATTTTCCGGAAAACACGAATTAAAACATTCCGGAAAACATTTAATTAAAAACACGTTTAGGAGCAAAACATTTTCCGGAAAACATAAACAAAACATATTTAACTTTCGCAACATGTTTCTAGTTTAAAAAAATCTAAAAACACAAACATATTTTCCAATAACAGGGGAAGCAATAAATTGAATAAGCTGATAATATCCAATAACAAATCCAACTTGTGTTGTACTTAAACCTTTCCGTTTAGTAGCTTCTGTTGGAAGGAAAGGTACAATACAGGAAAAAGTTATTGTAGATGAGACATTTGAAATTGCGAGTAAGGCCATAACAATTATTTGCTGCCTAGTTAAGGGTGCTAGAAGTACTAAAATAATTAATGTTGTACTGAGACGTTTGTATTTCTCAGTATTTTTATTTTATAAGAAACATTGGAAATCAGAAAAACACTAACAAATAAATGTATAAAACATTCCGGAATTTTATTTAAAAACAATCAGGGAAAAATAAAAAAATACAATAAAACATTCTGGAAACACAAACAAATAAAATATATAGATTTTCCGGAAAACATTCTGAAAAATAAATAAACATAATAAACATTCCGGAAAGAAACGAACAAAACAATAAAATACAAAAACATTCCGGAAAACATTCTAAAAAACAAATAGACATAATAAACATTCCGGAAAGGAAAACAAACAAAAACATTAAAATACAAAAACATTCAAGAAAGACAAACAAAAACAAATAAAACATGAAACATTCTGGAAAACACAAAATTTCATGTTTTAAACACACCTTTTTCACTCTGTTTTGTATCTGCCCTTACTATTTCTTGAACATTATTTAATGTTATATTATTGTTTATGCTGTTGTTTTCATTGCTATGTGTTTTGTTTGAGTTATCTGAACCTTGTAATATTTCTGAAGCGTGAATCCTTCTTGTTTGTGTCATGTTTTGATTTTAATTAAATTAAAAAATCAACAATAATCGTTAACCAAATAAATAGTTGGGGGTTTTTAAATAAATATGTATAGTAAAGATAATAAAAATAAAATGATGAAATTTAATTATTTTTATTTATATTTTACTTATCGGTTGCTGCTTGTTATGTTTTTGATTGCACTGAAAACACGCCTTTTTCTTCGTTTTTATTTTTTTAAATATTTTAAATTAAAAATACGAACGGTCAAAATTAATCCTCTCCTCATGATTTTGTTTGATAAGGAAATTAAAATTATGATCATTGATAAAAATGTTTTTTTCGTAACTTCATAGACTAAAATACAAAAGAATTGATACGAACTACCAAATAAAGTAACATGTTTTGTATTAAAAGAACATGTTTTTGTATTTTCCGGAAAGAATAAGATACAATTTAAATTCCGGAAGTAAAATACAAACAAAACACAAAATAACCAAACAAATTCCCTGAAAACATGTTCCGGAAAAATTATATTAAATATTCCGGAAAACATTAAAACATCAAAAACACGTTCCGGAAAAACATTAAACAAAACATGTTCCGGAAAAATTAAACATATATTTATTTATTTAAATATTCAGGAAAACATTCAAACAAAACATTCCGGAAAAACATTTAAACAAAACATTTTTAAATAAACTAATTTCCAGGAAAAACAACACAAATGTTTCCGGAAAAACATCAACAATGTTTATCTCGTATTTTTATTTTATTTTAAATATTTTTATTTCAATCAAAAAATGATTATGATTATTTATGCAATTAAGAGATTAATTAGTTAACTGATATGCACTGAACACAATTTTTAGGACCTTGTCACGTTCATTTTCAAAACAAACAATAATTAAATTTGTCTCGATTTCTTAATTTCATAATGATGGGCATTTTAAATGCTAACTAACTAATGATGTTTTCTTATTTAATTTTTGGGAAAACAAATTTAAAAATAATTTGAAAAATTATAAAAAAAACAAAGGGGCAATATTTTTAAAATTTTTATTTAAATTATTTATTAATTTATTTTTACACATTATTATTAATTTTAATAATTGCAATTCTATTTAATTTTTGTTTCCGTTCATTTAAATATTTCTTTAAAACCCAGTGAGTAAATTGAAGCAAAGTCTGTTTAAATGAGAAATACCCATATTTTAACATTCTTTAAAAACACCTACATTAATTATTTGTATTCCAGTCACAGCAGTAGCTGTCCATTGAAATCCTAAATGTTCGGCACTAAAACCGCCTAATGAAGTGCCAATAAATGAACTATGTAAAATAAAAATTTTTATATTATAAGGTAACACAAAGAGCAATTAACCCAAGTGCCGTGAATGATAGAAAAAATCCAGAAATTTGCCCAGAAGTAGTTGACGATTTTTCCGAATATCCTTCATTTCTTAAAGAATTTAAAATATTTTTTTTTCAAAAATTAATTTACTTCACAGCATCCAAACACCATTTAAATACAGGAACATAAAGTATAGCAAAAGCTATTCCAAGAATTGCAAATGAGATTCCAATCAGAATTAAATTTCTTAAGGGGAAAAAAGTATAAATTCTGATTTTAATTCTGATTTTTGGAAAATTCTGATTTTAATTCCGCTTCATAAATAATTCTGATTCCTAAAATAATTCTGATTTTTGGAAAATTCTGATTTTAATTCCGCTTCATAAATAATTCTGATTCCTAAAATAATTCTGATTTTTGGAAAATTCTGATTTCTAACAAATTCTGGTTTTTAAAAAAATTCTGATTTTCAACAAATTCTGATTTTTTTTAAATTCTAATTTTAAAAGTCTTACTTTTCCAATCCCAGAAACGGTACTGGACCCATTAATATAGGAGAAATAGCAATTAATGCTCCTCCAATAAATCTGACAAGCGAAGGTGAAAAGCGTTGGACAATATAACGATCAAATATCCAGCCCCATATTGGCGAAGAAAATAAATAAAAACACGCTAATATCATCATCATAATTCCAACCATGACGGAAGGCCTCCCTTTGAACTTGGAATTTTTTTTATTATTTTTAAATTTATTCTAATAGTCGCCTTAGTGACTGATTTTAGGGTCAGGCGCCTATTAAAATAAATAGAATATTTAGAATAGTATCCCTACTGTGGAAAGATGTTCAGTTAAGGCAGGCTGATAAAACACCCAAGCAATACAAATGAAGAAAGCATTGCCATGAAAACATCGGGAATTAAAATCATTTTTACTATACCGGGAGATTTTTCTTCTTTTTGCTTGACATTTGAGGTTTCTGAGCCTAAAAATAAAAACAAATATATATATATATATATATATATATATATATATATATATATATATATATATATATATATATATATATATATATATATATATATATATATATATATATATATATATATATATATATATATATATATATATATATATATATATATATATATATATATATATATATATATATATATATATATATATATATATATATATATATATATATATATATATATATATATATATATATATATATATATATATATATATATATATATATATATATATATATATATATATATATATATATATATATATATATATATATATATATATATATATATATACCTATGTTTGTTTTAAACACATTAAAATATTTTTTCCGGAAAACATAATTAAAATGTTTAAAAGAAACTTTATGGAAACTTCAGGAAAAACATCCACAAACATATTAGAGAGATTAGCCGTGAAATATAAATTCCGGAAAACATATAAATAAAACATGTTTAAAAGAAATCTTCCGAAAACATTAGGAAAACACACAAACATATTTATTAGAGAAATGTTGTAAAAACACTTTCCGGAAAACATATTCAGCATTTTTAGATGAATACTATTCCGGAAAAACATTAATACAAACCCTCAGATAAAAGGCCACGATAAAATGGAAGAGCTCCCAAAACAATCAGCACCTGCGCAGATCCAACAACAAATAACGGCAAAACATATCCACCGACTTCATACAAAGCACTTCCTATTGCTGGCCCTAAAGTGTATCCAAGCCCTAATGCAACTTCATTAATACCCTTTAATGGAATTTTTTGCTTCAAAATTAAATATGTATTCACCATTGCCAAACTTATTCTATCCGTAAATATTCTCCCAATAATTGTCCAAGTGGCAGTGTTGAAACAACTTCCCCCAATGGCTTGAGTTGTCCTGCAAACTAGTAATCCAAAGAAAAACATTGGGCCAGAAGGCAGATAATCGGCAAGCCCAAACGCTATTGAACTGATACCACAAAGTATACCTCCAGCAGCAAATGTCCTATTTGCGTGTAATTTCCCTATCTATATTTGAATTTTTAAAAATGGGGTAAACAATCTTTGAAACATTGTTGAAAACATTTTCCGGAAAACACATGTTCATTTAATTTTATAATAATAAAAGATAGTATATGTATTTCAGGAAAACACAAATCAAAACATTCCGGAAAACACAAAATTAAAAACATGTTTGTGAGCAAAACATTTTCCGGAAAACATCACAAAATCTTCCCAACATTCTTCTTGTTTTTAAAACAATTTTAATAATTAAAAAACACAAACATATTTTCCAATAACAGGGGAAGCAATAGATTGAATAAGCTGGTAATACCCAATAACAAATCCAACTTGCGTTGTACTTAAACCTTTCCGTTTAGTAGCTTCTGTTGGAAGGAAAGGTACAATACAGGAAAAGGTAATTGTTGATGAGACATTTGAAATTGCGAGTAGGGCCATAACAATTATTTGCTGTCTAGTTAAGGGTGCTGGAAGTGCTAAAATAATTAATTCTATTATTATTTTCTGTTTTACTAGCAATTATTTTTATAAAAATAATAGAGTATGTCATATATTTTGGGAAAATATCAAACACTCCGGAATTTCATCTAAGAGCATTTAGAAAAAAACAAATAAAATATAAAAACATTCCGGAAAATATTCTCAAAACAATAACTCCCATTAAGCATTCCGGAATTACATCTAAAACATTCCGGAAAAAACAAATAAAATATAAAAACATTCCGGAAAACATTCTGAAAATCAAATAAACATATTAAACATTCTGGAAAGACAAATGAACAAAAACAAGAAAAATACAAAAACATTCCGGAAACATGCAAAAACAAATAAAAGCACAAAATTTTATGTTTTAAACACACCTTTTTCACTCTGTTTTGTTCTTGCCTTTACTATTTCTTCAACATTATTTAATGTTATATTATTGTTTATGTTAATGCTTTCGTAATTAGTTTTGTTTGAATTATCTGAATCTTGTAATATTTCTGATGCATGAATCCTTCTTGTTTGTGCCATGTTTTGCTTTTAATTTAAATTAAAAAACTAACAATAATCATTAACAAAATAAATAATTGTGGGGGTTTTTTTAATAAATTATAGTAAAGATAATAAAAATAAAATGATGAAATTTAATTTTATTTTTATCTATTTTTAATTATCGGTTGTAGGTATTAAATGTTAACTAATGATGCTTTAATATTTAATTTTTGAGAACATAAATTTATTTATAGATAATAGTATTAGTGAGAGAAATGTCGATATACATATACTACGAATTTTAAAATAAGAAATTCTTATATCTATAGGATTATATAAAAGAGTTCATTAAAAATTAACCGGAAAAATAAAATGTTTTTTTAATGCTTAAATGTTTATGTTAATAATAAATGTTTTCCGGAAATAAAATGTTTTTCCCGAAGAACATATTTGAGTGAAATTATGAAAACACAAACATCTTCCGGAAATATAAATAATAAAAGAAAAACATTTTTCGGAAAAAACATTCCACGAGAAAACACGTTCCGGAAAAACATTAATAATAAAAGAAAAACACTTTCCGGAAAACATTCCACGAGAAACATTATCCGGAAAAACATTAATAATAAAGAAAAACACTTTCCGGAAAACATTCCACGAGAAACATTATCCGGAAAAACATTAATAATAAAGGAAAAACACTTTCCGGAAAATATTTTATAAGAAACATTATCCGGAAAAACATTAATAATAAAGGAAAAACACTTTCCGGAAAACATTCCACGAGAAACATTACCCGGAAAAACATCAATAATAAAGGAAAAACATTTTCCGGAAAACATTTTATGAGAAACATTATCCGGAAAAACATCAATAATAAAGGAAAAACACTTTCCGGAAAATATTTTATGAGAAACATTATCCGGAAAAACATCAATAATAAATAAAAACATTTTCCGGAAAACATTTAAAGCAACTAGCGTATACAAACATGTTTTGCAGACTAGCAACTTACTTAATTCATCGAATAATATTTAAGTTTTGGACATTAAAATTATTAAAAGATTTGTTTGTCTTTAATTAATTTTATTATTGTTTATATTTCTCGCAACTTTGTTCATTTCCTTTACCCAATTTGTAAAACTTCTTCTTAACTTCATTACTGCTTCCAATGATTTCTCTCCTAAAGATTCTAGAAAAGATTTATCACTATTAAATTTCTTTTGATTCACCTCATCTTCCTCATCGTCTTCCTCTTCTTCACTTTCTTCATCTTCCTCTTCTTCACTGCTTTCAAACCATTTTGAGTGGTCTTCCTCCAAATACTTCTTATTTATCTTGTTATCTTCACTTTTATCTTCCACAGACTCGTCTTCTTCCTCTTCGTCCTCTTCCCCAGACTCATCTTCCTCTTCTCCTGACTCGTCCTCCTCTTCATTCCCATCCTCTTCTTCACTTCCTTCGAACCACTTAGAATGATCCTCTTCCAAATACTTGTTTTTATTTTTGTTCTTTTTAATACCTCCACCCTCATTCTTTAAAGTATCCTCTTCTAAACCTTCTTCTTCAGAATCCTTTTCTAACGCTGAATGATCTTCTGGAAGATTAGAAGGGCTATTAATCCTATTTTTATTTTTATCCAAATTCTTCCTTATTTTTTCCTTTAAATAAATTTCCTTCGAATCCTTTACTTTATTTCCTAATCCTTTTCCATTTTCATTCTCAACTTCATCTTCTTTTCCTTCCGACTCTCTTCCCTCCCTTTTCAAATGATTTTCTTCCTCCCCTTTTTTCTTCAGATAAATTTCTTTTGAATCCTTCACTTTATCTCCTATTCCTCCTTTACCTTCCTTACTGTCCTCCCGATCTTCCCCTTCTCTTCCCTCTTTTTTCAAATGATTTTCGTTCTCCCCTTTTTTCTTCAAATAAATTTCCTTCGAATCCTTCACTTTATCTCCTATTCCTCCCTTATCTTCCTTAGTGTCCTCGCGATCCTCCTTTTCTTCATTCTTCCTATTTTCCACCCTCCTTTTCTCATCCAAAATATTTCCTTCACTTTTTGAGTGATTTCCTTTTTTCGCTTTCTTCCTCAAATAAATTTCTTTCAAATTCTTCACTTTATCTCCCAATCCCCCCTGATCTTCCTCACTAGTATCCTTTCTACCTTCAGAATCACTTGCTTCCTTTTTTGAAGAATTTTCTGTATTTTTATTTGTAATTATTCTCTCTTTATTTTCAGGCTTTTTCTCTTCTAAATTCCTTCCATCCAAACTCATCTTCCTCTTCTCATCTTTTTTATCTTCCAAATTCTTCCCTTCTTTTTTAGAATCTTCTGCTTTTACATTCTTTCCTTTTCCTCCATCTTCTTCAGATTTTTCTTCCAAACTCTTCTCCTTTTCTTTACTCTTCTTCCCATGAATATCCTCCAGTGCAGGATCCTCTTGTACTGATTCTAAACTTGAAAGGCTTGAAATTGATTCAACAGAATCTTCCTTTCCTTCAGAAGCATTGGAAGAATCTTCTGAAACATCTACAGAGTCTAAGGCCTTTTCTAAAGGCACAGGTTTTGAAGGATTTACTACATCACTTTCCCTCATTGAATTGTCTCCACTCTTCAAATATTTCTTCGAATTTATTGGAACATTGTTTAATTCATCATTTTTGCTTTCTTTTTCATTCACTTCTGAATCTTCTCTACCATGTACACTCTCACTTCCTACTTTATTTTTTGAAGGATCCTGTTCTTCTTCCTTCCCCAACAATTTTGGGCCTTTTTCACCTTTTAGCCTCTCTAATCTTTTCTTATTTACTTCGACAGAATCCTTACCAAAATTATTGTTATTGTCATCAATCTTTTCCTCAGAAGATTCTCTTTCAAAATATCTCCTTCCCTCATCTTCCTTATTAGAGGCTTTTGCCCTCTTATTTTTATTAGTCTTTCTCTCCTCAGAATTTTTTCCTTCCCACTTCTTCCCTCTTCCCTCACCTTCACCATTTTTGTTCCCCTTCCTCCTTATTCTTCTCTTCTTAACCTCTTCATAATCTTCTTCAGAATAATCTTCAATTTCTTCAGAATCCTCCTTCCAATCATTTATTTTTTCATCTTCTTCAGACCATCGCTTTCCTTCATTCTCACCATCCACATCAGAATCTACTAATTCTTCCAAACTTTTCCTTCTCCTATCTTCTTCCTCTGAATATTCATCCCAGTTTGGAACATCTTCTGACGGATTGCGATTTTTAATCTTTCTTCTTCTCAAGCCATTTTTGTCATCATTCTTCCATTTTCTATTCTTCCATCTTTTATCATCTTCACCAGAAAACGTTTCTTCAGGGCTATTCATCGTTCCATAATTATGGGGATGTCTTTTTGGAGTTTGAGGATGCCTTCTCGAAGTATGTGGATGTCTTCTTGGAGTATGTGGATGCCTTCTTGGAGTATGAGGATCTCTTCCTGGAGTATGTGGATGTCTTCTTGGGATATGAGGAAGTCTTCCTGGAGTATATGGATGTCCTCTTGGGATATGAGGAAGTCTTCCTGGAGTATATGGATGTCCTCTTGGGATATGAGGAAGTCTTCCTGGAGTATATGGATGTCCTCTTGGGATATGAGGAAGTCTTCCTGGAGTATATGGATGTCCTCTTGGGATATGAGGATGTCCTTCTGCAGTATGAGGGGTGTGAGGATGTCTTCTTGATCTTCTCCAATTTTTCTTTTTTTTCTCGTCCTTCTCATCACTTCCAACTAAATTTCTCCCTCTTCCAGTCTTTTCTTTAACCTTATTTCTTCCATTGTTACCCTTTCCCCAATTCCTTGGCCAATTCATTTTAGGAAGTCTCCAATGAGGACGTCTTCTATCAACATTTCTATCATCAATACTTTCATATGATGGTTGTCTTTCTTCTTCACTTTCATCACCTTCCAAGTCTTCCGTGTCTCTTAACTTATTAAACTCTTCCTTTGGATTCTTCCTCTTCCTGTTTTTTCTTGATATATAGGACTTATTTTTTGATAAATCTCCCTTTTCGTTTACTGATTCTAAACTGCTTGAAATTGATTCAATAGAATCTTCCTTTCCTTGAGAAGCATTGGAAGAATCTTCTGAAGCATCTACAGAGTTTAATGGATTTTTAGAAGGCTTAAACTTGGTATTCTTCGAATTATTTTCCCTATTATTTTTCTTCTTTTTCTCTTCACGATGAAGTTTATTTGGGGTTCTTTGTTTTAATTTATTATTGCTTTTTTCTGATTTATTTTCGGAAGAGTTTCCGTTTTCTATTGTTCGTTCAAAACTTGAGGTTGAAGAAGAATTTTCAATGGAATCTTCCGTTCCTTCTGAAGATTTTGAATAATTTTTAATAGAATCATCACTTCCTTCCATGGCTTTTGAAGAAGTTTCTGGGGAATATATTGAAGTTGCTACCTTCTTTAAAGGCTTTAATTTTTTCTTCCCTTCCTTCTCTCCTCTTCCTTTTTGCTTATTTTCAATATTTTTCTTATGCTCATTTTTATCTTCAAAATGATTTTTAGGCTTAATTGTAACCCTTTTTGCCTTACTTTTTGGCTCATCTTTTGAAATAACAGAAGAATTGGGTTCTGATATTGTCACGGATTTGTCTGTTTCGGAAGACTTGTCTTGTCCCCCACCAAACTTTGGCCAATGCCAATTTGGTGTTTTAGGGAAATTTTTGGTTTTCTCATTTTTTCTAGGTTCAATCCCTTCTAAATTAATTTTTGGATTTAATTTTTTAATTTTTGAAGGTTTCCCTTTTTGTTTATTTTGAAGAGGAGGTTGTCTTTTCCTTGGCCAATCTTTGCTAGGCCATAAATTAGGCCAATTTTTATATTTTTTAAAATTATTCTGGCCAAGTTCCTTGCTATTTTTCCCAATTATTTTCCTTTTTAAATGAGGATTCTGATTTTTATTTTTAATTATCTCTGGATTACTGGAGTCTTTTCTGAAGTTTTTTACAGGCTTGATAGTTGGAGGATTTATTTTTTTTGGTCTCCCCATTTTCCCCTTTTCACCAAAATTATTTTTTATTTTTTTCAAAAAATTGTGAATGTGGTCTTTAACTGAATTAACTCTTTCTGGATGATTTTTAAAATTTTTTTGAATTTTTTTCTTAAACAATTTTGGGTTTTTTCTGTTAAAATATTTTTGTTTTTGATGAGTATGTGTTGGCAATTTTTGCTTATCTTTGTTTTTAGTTATGGCATGTTTTTCACGTTTTTTTCCTGCTTCGTCCTTTTCTGTGTTTTTTAATCTGTCTTTGGTTGGTTGATTATTTCTAGGGACAATTCCATGAATTCCATTCTTTTTTCTGGGAACTGTAATAAAATTAAAAATATCAGAATTGTTCCATGCTGGCTTAGCAATCAAATCGCTCACTAGGGGCAAGGATTTAAGATCTTTAGCAAAAAAAAAAGAAAATGTGAAAGCAACATTCAGTAGCTCAGATAGAGGACCTTGTCTTTACGTGGCGAATGAAAACGCCTGGGCATTACTTGCTAGAAGGTCGCAGGTTCGATGTCTGCTTGGGGCTGGAGTTTACCTTTCCCTTACTAAATTAGAAATCAGAATGTGTATTTTATTAGCTAATAAGTAAATAAGAATTTATTTTTTAAATGCCTTGATCATGACACTACATAGATCTAAGAAAAATAAATGTCTGGATCCAGATCCAGTCCTATCCCTAGTTAATAACTACCTCCAACATAATTTTTGTTCTTCTCATTTTCCCCATGTTGCTGCCCTTGTTTTGTTGGCTGTTTTTTGTTTTGATGTTTTTCCTGTTTTCCTAAAGGTTCTCTTAAATGTTTCACTCTTATTCTTCTCCTCTTTGGGGGTATTATTCGCTTCTTTCTTTAATTAAAAAAATTTTTTTTCAAAATTTAATTAATTTACCCAATAATTACAGACCTCTTTCCCCCTTTTATTCTCTCAGAATATTTTCTCTTCAATTTCCGAACAATTACAGGCTTTTTTGAATTTTTCCTCTTCCTAGTTTCCTCGATAATTACCCTTCTAGCTCTATACACAGTTGTAGTTCCGGGTAATTTATTTAGGGTTAATCCGGGTATTTTATATATTTGTTGAATTTTAGTTGAATTAATTAATATTAAAAATAAAATTAAAATGAATATTTTAATTATTATACAAGTTTGAAGAATAATTCTGATTTTGGTTGGGGAAGACATTATTTTTCTGGTTATTTTAATTTTTAAAAATCAGAATTTATGTATTTTATATATATTTAGAAACAGAACAACTAAAAATATAATTCTGATTTTAAAATAATTCTGATTTCTCAGAATTCTGATTTTTAAATAATTCTGATTTTTAAATTAATTCTGATTTTTCAAAATTCTGATTTTAAATTAATTCTGATTTTTCAGAATTTTGATTTTAAAATAATTCTGATTTTTAAAATAATTCTGATGCGTATTTTTAAATTAATTCTGATTTTGTTGGGCAGGAAATATTTTCTAATTATTTTAGCATAAAATCAGAATTTTAAAACCAGAAAACTCAACTTTTGAAAATTATTAAGGAAATTATTAAAAAAATATTAAGAAATTTAATAAATAAAATTAAATATAGCGGCAAATCAATCAAAAAAATAATAATAAATCAATTTTAATGATTGACTAAAAAAGCTTTATTGCCCTTTTTGATTTTTTTTAAATGGGCTAATTAATTAATTTTTAAAATTAAATTTTTCAACAATAATTTATTTTTATCACAAAATAATAAATTTAAAAAAAGATGGGTAACTATTAAAAATTAAAAATTGGGTGTTGCAAAAGCAAGGATAATTCTGAAAATAATAGTTAAATTAAGAAAAAAATTTTTTCAACTTACGAACTTTCCCTTTTAATTTTACAAATCTCAAAATTAAATTTAAAAATTAATTTAAAAAATTAAAATTACCATATCCTTAATAAAATAATTTTTGGAAGCATAATCCCCAGCCCCTACAACAATTTCGAAATTAATTCCAAAATGTTTTTGTGCATTGCGCTGGGTGGCTACAGCAACCTTTTAATTAAAATTTAATTCTGATTTGTAATTGTAATTTATTTTTACAAATTGTAAAAAAAGTTTAATTATAAAAAAGTTTATTTTTTAAATCAAACTTTAATTCCAAGTTTATTTATGCTTCAAAGTTTATTTAAAATAAAATTGTAAAAAAGGTTTACAATTTGTAATAAGTTTATCTTTTCTCTGTTACTTTTCAAGTTTTGCTTCAAGTTTTGTTTAAAAACTTGTTTCAAGCCAAGTTTTAATTTCAAGTTTATTTTTATTTTACAATTTTTATAAAACTTGTCTTGACCAGTTGTAAACTTGAAAAACAATTGTAAATTTGTTTCAAGTTTTATTTTATATAAGACTATGCTTCAAGTTTTATTCAAAGCTTCAAGTTTTATTAAGAAACTAACTTGGTGAAAATTGCAAGGTTTCCATTTGCCGTCACGTGAACGACTTAAATTCCGATATGTATTATCCTTCATAAAATATTTAAAAATAAATAAATAAATGAAAATAATTAACCATTAAATTCTCCAATTCTTTATTACAACACATAAATCCATCAGCATTAGTGTAACAAGTAGGAAGGGGATAGCCAGCCGGACCTATTAAAATGAATAAAGTTTGCTTCAAGTTTACAAAGTTTATTTTTTAAGTTCGCAATTTAAGTTTGCGATTTAAGTTTGTAATTTAATTTAAGTCCATTTTTAAGTTTTGCTTCAAGTTTAAGCTTTGCTTCAAGTTTTATTTAAAAATTTGCTTCAATTAATTTTAAAGCTTCTATAGTTCACCAACCAATTTCTGCTTCTCCACCATATCCAGTTTCAGGAGCAGCTGGAGGGTTTGTGACATACGGGGATTGAACGGGGGCATATAGAGGTTGAGTAGGTTGAGGGTTGGGGTAGGCTGGAGGGGCTGGTCCGTAAGCTGCTTTAAATAATTTTTTAATTAAAAAACATTTTTTTTTGTTTTTTACAATTTTGACTGTAAATTTCAATTGATAAAAATGCCAAAATTAAAGTAAATGATGATAACATAACAATAAATAATTTAAAAATTAAAATTAAGCAAAAATATTTCAGCTTAGAGAAGCGTAACCAAAAAATAAATAAATGTTTCAACTAGTTTTCCATGCTTCTCATATGCAAAAAATTCCCGTGAGGATATATTTAATGTCCAATAAATGCTAGAGATTTATTACAAATAAAAAATTTTTTTTATTGAATAATATTTTTTATTGATAGAGAAAAGTGCTTTGTGGATGAATAAAAATATGGGGATATAATAAATAAAGGGAAAAACTGGAACTATTTAATTTAAAAAAAAAGAGAGAGAGATGATTTTTAATCAACTATTTTTCGTAAAGCATTAAAAATTAAAAAAAATTTTTTGAAAGCATTATTCATGCTCATCGTGTTCATTATCCTCCTCCTCCTCTTCACTTGAATTTTTTTCTTCCGTTGCGTTATGGCTATGTTTGTGCTTGCTAGCGGCTTCATTATCTAGTTAATAAAGGCTTAAAGGTACACATGTAAGATAGAGAATGGTCAGAGATCCGATCTACGGCTTTAGAGTTGCCTTGACTTCGTCCTTATTTAAGAGAGTGACTGGTCGTGAATCCTATCTACGACTTTTGAGTTGCTTTGACTTCCGACTTAAGACACCTTACAGCTGCCTCCGGTTCCCCTACTGATTCCAGTTCCCCTGCTTATTCCTTATCTTCATACCTCTTCTCAATATCCCTTCAAATATAGCTAACATCATTCCCAGTCCATCAAAAGGTTATAAGAATTTTAGAAGTTTTAATATTCCCCTTCAGATGATTTAAAAGCTTGACCAACTCACCATTCTCTCCACTACTGTTCTCCTCAGATATCAAATTATCCCTTTGGTTATGCTTTGAATGATGCTGATCATGTTTGTCGTCATGTTTGTTGTGTGTATTATTATGGAGTTTGTTTGAAGAGTAATCCTCAGAATTCAGTGATTCTTCAGAATGATTAACGTGGTGATGAGAAGGTGGTGAATGTGGGTGGGAAGAAGAATGATTAGGGGAGTGAGGAGAATGTGAACGATGAGTAGGATGAGTAGCAGAGTGATGAGAATGATGTTTAGGGGAGTGATTGGGAGAGTGACGAGGAGAGTGATGAGGGGAATGCTCATGTGAGTAATTACAAGAGTGATTGGGTGGGTGATGAGTGGAATGATCAGAGTGATTCGGAGAGTGATGCTTGGGAGAGTGATGATGTGAAGGAGGATGATGATAATTTTGATGATTATGGTGTTGATTAGATGAATAATCCTCTGAACTATAAATCTCTTCGGAATGATCATTGTCGTAATGAAGTGTAGGATGGGGAAGGTGATGGTGAATGTTGTGGTGAGGATGATGTCGATACTTCTAAATAATGTTAAAGCTAATTATTTATAAAAATGAGATCTCTATCATATCTCATTCCTGAGGAAGTTTCTTGAGGTTAACTTCTTGAGAGAAGAAGCTCAAAAACTCGGAGCGGAAAGAATCGAAAACTCGGAACTAAAAACTGAAGCTCGGGACAAGGGAAATCTTCTAATAGAGATAGGAATCTAAAGGTGTGATAAGTTAGAGATTAAAAGTACCCAAAATACACCTTTCTGTCTCTCCTCTTCTTAATAGCCTTAGCCGCTTTATGAAACACATAGGAAGCGGCACCTCCAAGCAATAAAGCTTCTATAAATCGTTTTGGGCGGGGATTGATATTTGTTGTTGTTGGGTTAAATGGAGATAATTCTTGAAATTTTACCAACTTTTCATAAGAAAATATTTCAGAGAATATTAAAACGGAGAGGGAATTGAGAATTATTAAAATTAGAAAAAATGCCATTATTTAATTTAATTAAAAATTAATTTAAAAAGGCAATCATTAAATTTTAAAATTAATTTAAAAAAGAAGTCACAGGAAATAAAGACGTAAAGGGGAAATAGTCTCGAGAAAGTGCATTGAATTTGTAATAGACAGGGGAAATGCCGCAATATTTTTAAATTAATGTAGTTCCGTTAGAAAATGGTGTAAATTTAATATAGGTAGATTTTATTGGCATAGACAATGGGAATTTAAGGTCTCATACTCTCAAGATATAAGTCTCGATGTGAGGATTATTTTATCTAACGTAATTGAATTGATCAGATCATCCTACCTAAAGCTATAGCCTACTAAATATCAAAAATCCCGATTGCGCGTACTTTTTCGCCTTTACCTTTAAGTAGAATATTCTGATCAAATCAGTCCTGTTAGCTAAAATAATCCTCACATTTAGAGCTTTCGTTTGATATATAATTTATTTAAATCGGTCAAGGATGAAAAAAGTTATGGCCTAAAACAGTATTTTCCCCCACCTATATTTAATTTCAATATTTTACGCCTATTTGGGATAAAATGTCATTTTGTCATTTTTAATTTTCTCTCTTCTTCTCTTCCATACTATTTCGTCTCTTTGTCTTTCTTTTTATGTTTTTCTTTTCCCAATATTCTGCCAATACCACATTTTGCCAATAAGGCTAAAAATTGACATTTTGTCAACACAGCCTTATTGGCAAAATGTGACTTTTTACTCTTACTGGCAAAATGTCCTCGAACCATATTTTCCTTTCCTCTTTAAATTCCATTAAAATTAAATTAGGAGAATTTTCTTTAGGAATTTTTATGATTATTTTTAATCGTTCTTTCTTTCCATCGTTATCAACAAAATTTCAACGTCTTCCTCTTCAATTTCCTCGTCAATTTTCTACTTATTTACTCAACAAGACAACTCAAAGAAGGCTAAATTTAATGTCTCCGGACCCGTCAAAACACATTCCTTCAAAAATTGCAAGAGAAGCTGGAGACAGTATTTGGTTAAGTTTTAAGCAAATTTTAATTAGAAAAAATTCTTTTGAAGGGTAGAATTTGTTACTTTGGCAACAGAAACGAAAGCAGTTAATTTGGGACAGGTTTTTTTCTCTCAAGCTTAAAAATAAAAAAAAATTTTTACAGGGATTCACTAATGATGCAATCCCAGCGTTGCTTTCTAAACATTTACAGGATGTGGCCAAGTCTCCTGAAAGGGTTGACAATCACCAAGTATATTTTTTTGATTAATTCAAAAATTTTTATTTATTGGCGAGGAAGTGGTTATTTTTAAATTAATTTTTTGACTATCCTTTGTAAGGAGTTTAGCTGGAATTGAGGGATTTTTGTATGAAGAAAGCAAGCATTCTCTAGCGTTTTGGGGAATTTTTTTGAATTTTTTAATTAACTAGTCCTTGTAGACTTTTGGTGGTGTCACTTGGGAAAGCCATCCATGGGGGAAGGAAGATATTTCTTTAATTCTTTTTCTACTTGAAATTTTTTTGTTTCATTAATCCTAAAATGATGGATTCCCCCAAAAAATCCTTCCAAAAAGACTTTATTGTTAATCTATTGTTAGGCTATTAAAGTCTGGACATAGACAAGCTAAAAAATTTTTTTGGAAATCCCCGGATAGCTCTAAGTGCCTGTATCTTGCTTTCAAAAAAATCTTGAATCCAGTTAGTTACAGATAAAAATTAATTTTTTCTTTTTTTTTCAACAGTACACAAGAGGTTATGGCCATCAACGTCTAGTAAATGTCTTATCTCAATTATATTCCCAACTTCTCAGTGTTGAAATAAATTCCCAAACGGATATATTAATTACTGTTGGAGCTTATTTGTCTTTGTATTATGCATTTATTGGCTGGTTAAATCCGGGAGATGAAGTTATTAGTAAGTTTTTGAATTTATTTTAAGGAAGGGGGGGGGGGTGGGTAAGGTTGCTTCCCTTTTGGGGAGCGAAAATAAAAAAAACAGGGAATTTTATGGGTAGTTAATGGAACCAGGAGAGCCTTAGGGAATCTTTTGAAAAGTTTCCTATGGAGCAGATAAAAATTAAGGGAACATTAGATTTAGGGAGAGTTTCTGGAAGTGTTTGAAAATTATCCCTACGGTTCAGAGAGAACCTCGAAAAGATTTTTGGAAGGCAGTTTCACTTTGGAAGGGTTAATATTTAATTAATGGTTAAAAAATGTTTTTTTTGATCATCTAAATTTCTAAAAAAATTTCAGTTTTTGAACCAGCATATGACTCTTATGTTTCTCAAATCAAAATGGCTGGAGCTATTCCAATCCCTGTTGTTTTAGAATTGGATCCAAATGCAACTAGTAGTGCTGGTTATGTTTTGAATATAGATGCTGTTAAAAGCAAAATTACTCCAAAAACAAAAATGATTGTTTTGAATAAGTATGAATTTTTTTTTTAAATTTTTGAGGGTTCTGGGGATTGTCAGGCAGGAATTGGGGATTGATCGGGCTACCTATTTTTTTTTCCCATTCTTACCTTATCCCTGGAGTACATTTCTCGGTCTATTTCGGTCTGCTTGTGAGAGTTTTGTTATATTTCGACTAGTTTGGTTGGACTGTGTCGATTTGCATTAAAATTAACTGACTTTGAAATTTTTATGTTTACTTTGGGTTGTGGGCAAATTGTGATTGTGATAGACTTTTCTTTGAATTAGTTATTTCTCCTGGATTTTCTTTAAAAATATTTTTTTAAATTTTTTCTTAATTTTTTATAATTTTTCAAGTCCAAATAACCCAACTGGAAAATTATATACACGCTCTGAATTGGAACAATTGGCTAAAATTGCAATTGAAAATGATTTGATTGTTTTGACTGATGAAGTTTATGAATGGATGTTTTATCCTGGAGGGGAAATGATTAGATTTGGTTTGGAAAGTTTTTTTAAAAATTAAAAAAAATTTATAAAATTTTTCTAGCAAGTCTGCCAGGAATGTATGAACGTACAATAACTATTGGAAGTGCTGGAAAGGTATTTTCTGCAACCGGGTGGAAAACTGGATGGTAAAAATAATTTTTAGAATTAAAATGAAAATGAAAAATTTTTTTCTAGGTCGATTGGACCAAAATGGCTTCTTGAACCTATGAAAAAAATTCATGAAAATTGTGGTAAAAAATTTAAAATAATTTTTTTTGAATTAAAAATAAAATTATTAATTAAGAAAATTTTCAAATAATTTTTTAAATTTTTTTAAAAATCAAAAAAAAATTTTTTTTTTCAAAGTTTTTGCCTGCCCTACCCCAATACAAGAAGCTTTAGCCCGTTCATTTGAAGAAGAATTGCTGTTATGGAAGGAAGGCAAATTTAATCAAAGTTATTTAAAAAATGGAATAATTGCTGAACTTTTACCTAAACGTGACCTTTTGGCAAAATATTTAAAATCTGCTGGGTTTAGACCAATAATTCCGGAAGCTGGATATTTTATGATTGCTGATTTTAGTCATTTGGGTAAGGGGAAAATATAAAGTTAAATTATTTTAATTAATTAGACATTGTCTCTCTTATATAAGTGGCAAGGTTTATGTACTATCTCGTTCTTTGTCTAACCACAATTTCTGTAAAAATAAATTCCGGAATGTGTCTATATTGTATTTTCCGGAATGTGTATTTCATTTTATAGTTAATGGTGTTTTTATATTAGTTTCCGGAACGGGGTTTGATATTTAATTTTCCGGAATGTGTTTTTATTTTTCCGGAAATGTTATATTTTCTGTATGTTATATTTTTATATATTCCGGAATGTATTTTTATGCTATAATTTCCGGAATGAGTTTTTATTATATTCTCCGGAATATATTTTTATGCTATATTTTCCGGAATATGTTTTTATATTCATAGTTTCCGGAATTTGTATATTGTTTCCGGAATTGTATTATACTTTTTCCGGAATGTGTTTTATATTTTCCGGAATGTATTTTTCAGTTATAAAGGACATAACGAAAATGTATTTTCTCGATAGATTTCCGGATACATACAAAGCGAGAGAGCGCATACCTCTGTATAATTTTTAAGAGAGACAAAATCTATAATAATATTATTTTTAATTAAAATATATGCCTATTTAATTATAATTAAAAAAATTTTTTAAAGATGGTTCTTCTTCATTTCTTGCCAATAGAAAATCAGAAAATGGGGAAGGAATAGATTATGATTTTTGTAGATGGTTATGTAGAGAAAAGGTGATTTTTAAAATTAAATTTTTAAATTATTTTTATTTTTCAAATAGAAATTGGCAGGAATACCTCCATCAGCATTTTATTCTCCTCAAAATAGACAAGGAAATGATCATTATATTCGACTTTGCTTTTTTAAGGTGTGAAATTTAAATATAATTTTTTTAATTTTAATTAATTTTCTAGAAAGATGAGACTCTTCAACAGGCTATACAAATTTTGGAAGACTCGTTCGGTGCTCATAAATGAAGAAAATATTTTGGAATTTTAGTTAGACAATTTTTAAATTTTTTGGGTACATTTCTAGTTATTAGAGTGTTTAAATTTTATTACAAAAATTCTGTAATATTATGTTATTATTTAATAAAAATTTTTGAATTTATTAAAATTGGAACAGTTATTTTTGTGACATTTATGTCAAAAAGTTCAGAAATCTCGATTGTAGTTCTAAAAATTCAATACCTTAAATGAGTATTTTTTATATGAGATAGTTAAAAGTCGTGTGTCTTGTTGATTTTTTTTTCTGAAATAATCTTCTAGAAAATAATAAAAAAATATTAACAAAATCTAAATCATGAAAATATATTAAATATTAATCTACATAATTATTTGCTTCGATTCCTAAAAAATAAAAAAATAGTTGTGTTAAATATTTATTTAAAAACCTCATTATAAGCGACTATACTTGAACTAAAAATTTATTAAATAGAGGTGCCTAGGGTGACGATTCCTGGGAAAACTCCGAATATCCGGACTAATATCCGCAACCAAAATTCTCGGATATCCTTTCTTTCTTCGATTCCGGATATCTGAATTATATAGAGGTTTTTAAATTTATTAAATATGGCGAAAATAAATTTATAATACAAACGGCAGTGATATATAATAGATGATATAAAATAAAGATACATATCTCTAATGACTTGGATTAACCCGTAAGGAAGGATATAATTGAAAATTGGACAAAAATATATCAATAGGTATTAATTAATAAAGGATATATATCAGAGAGAAATTGAGATAATCTTATAGTTGAGGTATAGGTTGGGGTATTAGCTGTTGATATTTTAATGAAACTGAGTTTTGGGAATATCCATTGGAGGGGGACAATTGCGGGTATAAGTGTAAGCTGGATTAATCTTGCAGCTTGAGAGAATTAAAGATAATTGCTGTTATGTTAAGATACCTACCATCATCGGTATCTGAACATAATCGGCCATAACGACCATGAACGGCCATAAATCCAGCCGAAGCTTATATCGCGATAAGAGAGCCGAGGTTCTGGTATGATCACGTAACCGTGAAGCAATCAAGATTTTGGAGATGTCAGATAAAGGAAGAGCTATGGAACCCTTCGATTTACTTATCCCCTCCTATATCCCCTTACAATTACCTTCAGGAACCTGAGGAACTATGGAACTATTCGATTTCCTGTACCCCTTCCTGTATCCCCTTACAATTATCTTCAAGAACCGGAGGAACTATGGAAACCTTTGATTTCCTGTATTCCCTCATGTATCCCCTCATAATTATCTTCAGGAACCGGAGGAACCATGGAACCCTTTGATTTCCTGTATCCTCTCATGTATCCCTCTAAAATTATCTTTAAGAACCGGAGGAACTATGTAACCCTTCAATTTCCTGTATCCCCTCCAGTATTCCCTTACAATTATCTTCAGGAACCTGAGGAACTATGGAACCCTTCGATTTCCTGTATCCCCTCATGTATCCCTCTATAATTACCCTAAAATAAGACCTCAATTTCTCTCTTAACAAAAAATATTATTAATGAAACTAAAATTTAAACAATAATTTCTCTCATTACTCTACCACTTGCCCTCCCTCCTCCTACTCCATTATTATTAGAATTATTTATTTTTGTTGTCAAATCCCTTCCATTATTAGTATTTCCATATGGGGATATACTCGAATTATTCGAAGAACAACTTCCATTATTACTCTGCAATAATTGTTCATTACTACTCGAAGGATTGTTCAATTCGTTCTGTTGAAGCTGTTGTTGTTGATTATACCCTTCATTATTTATTTGTTGTTTTCTATCTAAACTTGTATCCAATCCATTACTTCTCCTCATTATTGACGATTTTGCTTAAAAAAATTTTTTTTGAGATTTAAAAATTTATTTTTTGTTGCTAGTTTTGATGGCTCCTGGATTTTATAAATCTTTTTTTCTGACGCCCGAGGAAGTTCAAAGCCATAACAGTGGAACCAAGAAGACTGGGTGTAATTTTTACTGCAGGAGCTAGAGCTTGAATCTTTAGATATTAGAGATTGGAACAGTGTGACCAATAACAGTAAGAAAATTAAAATTCTCTTAATAGCGATCAGAACGGTTTCGAGACAGGGTTCTTTTTAGAAAGGTAAGGAGGATCTTAGAAAAGGAGGGAGAAGTTTAGAATGGCTGTGAGGATTTTAGAAAGACAGGGATGATCATAGAAAAGTGAGGAGAATCTTTGAGAGGATTGGGTAATTAATGGAGATTCTCTCCATCCTCCCGTATTTTTTAAAATTCCAATTTCCATCCTAGATTTAAAAAAGGGAAATCCAGATTTATCAAAAGGTCCTTAATGACCATTCCACTCAGTTTTAACTTTAAAAAAATCAAAATTCTCACCATTCCCTCCCAAAAATGCAGAAGAAAATTCATTAAAAAATTTCGAGTAAGGATTTAAAGGTCTCTGTTGTCCAAACTGTCTAATACCCCCAGGGGTACTCTCAGCAGAACTGTTTTGATGTAAACTATTTTCTACACAAACTATTCCTCCCAAAGAATTTGCATTAGTAAATTCTTGAAGAAGGAAAGGATCATTGGAATATTCGTCAAAAGAAGGCTCTATTTGGTTAGGGGATAATTGGTGTTGGGAAGCTGAAGGGTCATCAAAGGATTGGTGTTGTTGTTGATGTTCCCCTTGTTGTTGTTCCTTCCATTCAGTGGGGTCGCTTAAAGGGAGAATGGATAATTTTATGAATTAATGGTTGAAGGAATCCTTTTGGAACAAGAAATTAAATCCTGAATTACCCCATATAGGCATCCTGCCTGCATAAAAATTCTTGATTTCGGGAATTATGGAGGAGACTAAACTAGATCAAGACAGATCAAGACGGAACCCAAGACGTGTCTGAGCTCGCCCCGATTCCAGGAGTCGGGAGGGCAGTATTCTTGAACCTCATATATGGATATAGGATAAAGAGCTATGTTTACTACTAAGTCAGTCATGCCCTTCAATATCGTATCTCTCTGAGAGATCTAAAAATAGGACCCTCTCAATGAAGGGGGATAGTTGCGATCTCTCTCAGTCTCTTTACGGTCACTCAAAGTCTCTTGTCTTGTCTTCGAATTTCTTGTCTTCTAAGAGGTTTTGATTTCTAAATTTCCCAAAAACCTACTTGGAATCAACCACATCACGTTCACAAGATTTACTATTAATCCCCCCATTTAATGCAATAACAGCAGATGCTATAGCCGAAGAGGAATTATTATTCCCACCCAAAGTAAATACACCACTATCTGATTGGGATCCATTTACTGGTGTGTTCTTTGAAGATGAGCTGGTATTGTAACCATTTTGTTTTTTTCCGTTGATTCTGAAAGTTAATAAAAATGATTGGAAAAGATTTGAAATCTTGGGGATCTAGATGGATATTTGGGATATTATAAAGGAGGATTACAAATCCAGAGGTTAGAAGGGATCCTGTTGACATATAAAATAAATTCACGATTTAGAGAAGCGGAATTTCTGACCCAAAAAAACTTGGAGAACTTCTGAATTCTGAATTCCAGTTTTCATTCAACAAATTTTCCGTTCCATCTAACTACAGGGCTATCTTATAAATATTATTGAGCTAATCCTAAAATAAGAAGGGCATCAAGAGCAAGGATGTTGAGTCAAACGGCAATAAGGATTAGATCCTCAGTTCGATAGATCCTCAATTCAGTAGATCCTCAATCCTCCGTTTCTTTGGTGTCCAAAAGGAAGTTACGGGAGTGATTTAGGTTTCGGTTCGAAGTTCAGGTTCTGGTTTAGTCCGAATTTTCATTTCGTTATGAGTCTTTCCCTCGAAATATTTCCCTTCATTTTTAATATATACCTTTCAATAGCAGCTCCATTCAATGTAATCCTCTTCATAGCCCCTTTAGCCGCTGGACCTCTAGCTCTTAATTGAGCATTTGCTGCTTTTCGTAAACGCTGTCTTGTACAAATTAACACAATCAAAATTGAAGCGCTGATAATACAAACGGCAACAATAATGAGTGTAAGCATCCAAAAAGAATTGGCCGAGGAATAATCGTCCACTAAAAGGAAAATTTTTGAAAATTTAATTTGGGTAGGTATCCGTTAAGGACAAGCATCCATCTCTCTTTTGATTTTTCATTCTCCTAGACAACATATAATGTAAGGGGAATAGAATGATCAGCCAACAAAAATTTCCTAGAATTTTTGGATCTGTGATACTTTTTGAGGAACTAAGACCAAGACGGAATCTAGGACTGAATCTAGGACGTCATGAGTAAGACCAAGACGGATCAAGACGGAAGCTAGGACGTCTTGAGTAAGACCAAGACGGAATCTAGGACGAAAGCTAGGACGTCTTGGCCCTAGACGGACTCATGGATGCCGTCCTAGAACATAGTAAGGGGAACATAGGCCTATCTAGAAGTCACTTAAAAATGGCTATAAATGAAAGATCAGAATCCAGGGAAATTTCAAAACCCGACAAAATCAACTTTGGGGTCTATTGAAATTTAGTGGATCCAATTCCTGTTTTTTTAGTTAATCAGCTCTTCAAAATTTTCAAATAAAAAATTTATTTTTATTAAAATAACATTAAAATGAGAAGGAAAATGCCCAATATTTATTAAGCATTCCCCAAAGGATTAGTGTCATCTTTTCTGGTCCTTCCCCTCCCTCAGTTCCCTCAGTCCTCTCTCCCTCATTTAAAATTATTCCCTACAATTTGCACAAAATTGCAAATGAATGAGGAAGAATGTGTAAATAATATATTTTTTTGGAGGGATGGGAAAGAGAATAGTGAAGATGAAAGTGTTAAATATATTTTTCTGGAACAGATGGCCCCGTTGGGGGAAGTAAAATGACCTTGAAAATTGAAAAATATTTGAGGGAAATTTTGGGGAAATAAATTTTTAAAGAAAATATTGAGTTAAGGAATATTCAGAAAATTTCAAAGATTCCAAAAAAAAATTTTTTCGCCCTACCAAAAATTTTCATTGGAGCAGAACAATGCCGAAGATCATCAACATTACAGTAACGCACTTTAAAACGTTCAGAAGGCATTATGTCGGAGAAAGTACCGTCAGAATCGGTTAATGGAAAACAACTGAAACGATTAAAGGGTTGATTAGATTCTGAATTTTAACTTAAAAATTTTAATTTTTCCATTATTCTGATCAGAATTTATTATAGGAGGGGTTCTTAAAATTCTGATTTTTAAAATCGAGATTTCTTAGAATTCTGATTTTCAAGATTCTGATATGTAAATTAAGATCCTTAAAATATTCTGATTCCTATAATTCCAGTCCTTAAGATTCTGATTTTTATAATTCTAGTTTTTTTTAAATTCTGCTTATCATAATTCTGATTTTTTAAAATTCTGATCCTGAAAATTCTGATATTCCAAAATTCTGATATTAATTTCAGAACTTGTGATTTTTAAAATTCTGATATTTAAAATTCTGATCATCAAAAAATTCTGATCCTCAAGATTCTGATTTTTACAATATTCTGATTCTTTTAAAATCTATCCAAAACCCTCACTTAACACTCCTCATCTGTCCATCCTCACTCGAAGCCGCATAAACCAACGCACAATGTCCAGCAGAATATTTAAGTGGTTGTACTACAAGCTTCCGTTCTTTAGTTAAATAAACAACACTTTCAGGGGCCTGTATATCACCCCCACTTTCATTTACATCCTCACTACTTGCTGTACTTATAGCTGTCCAATCTGAAATCCCACGAGAATTCCTAGCCCTCACACGGTACCAGACGCTTGAAGCTGGGCGTAGTTTGGTTATGTTGTAGACGAGGAAGGTTTCGGTTAGGGCAGAATCGTCGTTCTTAAAAGGAAGGGATATGTTTCTGGTTTTAAAAATCAGAATTCTGGTTCTGTAAATTCTGATTTTGGAATTCTGGTTTTCCAAACTGATTCCAATATTCTGATTCCTAAAAAATCAGAATTCTGGTTCTCAAAAACAGAATTCTGATTTAATGAAAATCTGATTTCAAAATTCTGGTCCTTAAAAAATCAGAATTCTGATTTCTAAAAAATCAACATACTGGTTTTCTGAAATTTTGACTTTTAATTCTGGTTTCTAAACTCATGTGATTTTAGAGGATTCCACTAGGATTCCAAAAAGCCCTTCAAAAATCCACTCAAAAATTACCAAAAACAAAGAAAGTGTTGTCCAATTTCCAGATCCAAAAACAATATGTTCTGGCTCATTCTCACTCGATGGCCTTCCAGTAAAAGGGTCTACAGCCCTAAGTTCCAATTCCAACGTTTGCTTCTCCCCACCATCAAAACCTGGCCGCCAACCCAACAAAATCCAGTCAATTCCCGATTGAAGTTGTTTTGCAAAGATAGGGGTTTGTGGAAGGCCTGGAAGGATTTTAAGGGAAATTCAACAGAAAATTCGAAGGAAATTCGCAAAAATTCACCTTTAGGTTGAAACCTAATTTCCACAGAACTTTTCCTTCTTCCAGCCCCATTGCTAGCTTCACAGACAAAAATGCCGTAATCGTGTTCCTCTACACTGTCCAGACTTAGAACTGATTCAAACTCGTCTATAGCACCTATAGGAAGGGATTGAATCTTTTTTTAAAGGGAAAATTAGACTGACCAGAAACTCTACTCAAACTCAATTTGTAACGATGTTGTTGTTCTATACCTCTTTTAAATGTTGCAGTATTTCCTCCTGCAATTTCAACACCATCACGGGTCCAAATAATGCGGGGTTCAGGCCTTGCTGAGACTAGACATGCAATCTTTGCCTGAATATGAATGGGAGATTTATGCATGAATAGGGGAAGATAGAGATAGTCTCTCTGGGGATAACTGGAAGATAATCATGCTTGTAGGGGTAAGCATGTTGATAGGTGTTTGGATTCCTTTGGTAACATTATCTCGGTATCGTTAACAGCAAAAATCGGTATTGGGATTCAGCTATCGGAAGCTCCGGGGTTTCTGATTCCAGAAATTCCAAACAAAAAACTCCCTTGTGGACCAAAATCATCTTCAGAATAACGGTAGGTGGGAAATAGATACAAGTAACTCTCGGCATACTTAACCAATCCAAGGCTCAGAGGAGGAACGTTACACTCGGTATGCATAACCAGACTCAGAGGAGGAACCTTGACCCAGAGGAGGAATATCCCGTTGATAAAATAGAGGTGAATAATTTAGAAAATCTGGGTGCGAATATTTCTAAAATAATCCTTCTACCTTTTCCCCTATATCAGCAGAAGCCATAGCCATGCCCTCACTCAACTTCTGATTTAAAATTATCGGTTCATGCACAACACTTATAGCCATAATTGAAGATGCAGCCTCAGCTGTAGGAGAATTCTCCGCTATACAGGCATAATTTCCTTTATCTGTCCAACTTGTTGGGTGTACTAGTTGAAGAGAACTTTTAACAGTTACAGGGCAAGGCTCTCTTTGTTGGTTACAACTTAAAAGAGTTTATTAAATAGAGGTGACCTCTTGAAGGGTGTTCAATCATTCTTAAACTTACCCAGGTACTGTAGCCTCTCTATGCTCCTGAACAGCCCAAAGCCTTGAAGAATCAAGTGGCAAAGCTTGCCCATCTTTTAACCAAAATATTCGTGGCCTGGGAAAGCCACGAGCTTCACATTCAATTTGGACATCAACAGAATTAGAAGACAAAGTTCTTGTAGGGAGTAAAGGACGTATAAGACGAGCTGGTTCCACAACCTTTATTAAAAAATTTTGTAAAGTATACTCATTTCCTTCCGAATACCCACCATAATCCTTACACTACTCTCTTCAGCCTGCCCAATATCATTATAAGGCAAACATCTATACAATCCATTATCTCCAAGTTTAGCTTCTGGTATTTTCAATATTGCTTTATTCCATTGTTGTTCTTTCCCAAATTGGTCATTGCTCATTCCTGGCCCTCCCCATTTGAACTTTGCTGGAGGATTGCCTATATCTCCGTCTGTAGAGCAACTCAAAATGATGGGCTCTCCAATATTTACAACCAGACGCTTTGCTGAAATTATGGCAGGGCCTGGACGTCTCCGAACATCAATGAAAATAGAAGAGGATCCTGTACGTACTGATGATTGGGTAGAAGTGAGAGGTAAAGTGTTCCAAGAGGTACAGGTAAAGTTGCCGGCATGGGCACTGAAATTGTTTAGAGTTGGAATTAGAAGGAAGGATAAAGGTAGGAAACGTCTCTCCTTCAAGCACTCTCCTATCAAGCACTCAGTCTCTCCTATTAAGCACTCCTATATAACTCCCTTCTATTTAATATATCCCATGCTATTGAGGTCCAGAGGTCAGTAGGAAGTACTGAAGATGACTGAAACTGTCAGAAATCGGTAACAAATGTTAGCTGTCGGAAATCGAAGTTCCAGTGAATCTCTATTGCTCCATTCTCATAGCCTATATCTCAGCCTAACTCCGAATTTTATGGCCTAATATATAACACACCACATTCCCAATTTACTTATCCAACTACCCTGACACTCTTTAAATCCCAAAATGTCCTTTACCGATTTATCGAGTCTATAACCAATTTAGACCCGTTCTGTTTAACTCCTCCAGGCCCACTCCAAGAGACAGCCTCAACCCTAGGGTTTGCATCACTTTCACATTCCAATACCAGCCGTTCTCCTTCAACAGGATTTTCTGTTCCAATAGCCACTTTAATTCTAACAGACGGTCCATAAAGCACATTTAAACGTATTGTCCCAGCACCAGTGTCAATTGTATTTGTAGCTGTACAACGAAACTCCCCTGTGTGTATTCTCTTCATTGCTAGGTGCCATTCACGGGAGAGATGTTGTTCTCCAGTAGGGATGTGTGTCCATTGAAATTGGGTTGGTTGAGGGTTGGCATCAGCTTTACAAATTAAGCGGACGACTTGGCCTTCCTCTACATTGAGTTCTGAAGAGGGTAGAATTTTGACACGTGGAGCGTAGAGAACCTGTGAGAATTTTAAGGGTAATAATTTTTATTTATGTTCCTTCAGAATTCACTGATATCAACATGTATTGGAATATTTAGGTTAAGGTTAGGGATACTTAAAGGTTAAGGATACGGTAGATTGAGAAAGGGGTGGATTTGCAGGGCAATACTAGATTAAAGTCGATAGTCATGGTAGCTGATCTGGAGGCCGAAAATGCTTGGTAACCGTGTCAATTGTATCTCATATAAGGTTAAGGATAACTGCCAATCTAATAGCTGAGGATGACAGCTAATCGGTATCTGATAACCAGGATGATAGTAGCTAATCCATACGGGTCATAGGAACTCATTTTTGCCCCATATTTAAATTAACCTTCCATTATTCAACATAAAAATAGACGTACATTCAATCGTTCTGTATGTGTTTGCAATCGTTCACCTTCCTTCAATGCTCGATTCCAAATTTGACAAAGCATATAAGCCCCATTATGTTCACTTTTTACGTGCATCCTTTAAATTTTTTAAAAATCACTCAAATCGGATCAAATGTCATCTCCCTCTAAAACTTACTGTAATGTTGAAATACTCTTTCCAGCATTAGCCTCAGGCCTCTCGATATACCACCCTTCAGGGACCTTTGTTTTATTGTCAAAAAGCCATTGGAAATGGGGTGAAGGGTTGCCTCCTGTAGATTCACAACGAAATGTGGCCAAGTCTCCCTCACGTACAGCTTCGGTAGGTTGTGTAGTTATGCTTGGTGTCTGTGGAGGTACTGTAAAAATATATTTTTTATTTCATTTGGAAAATTCGACACTTTGAAATTTTTGAAAAATTTTTAATTTTGGGCATTTTGAAATTTTTGACCATTTTGAACCTTTACATTTTAATTTTTGGCGTTTTTAAAAAATTCAAAAATTTTTCTTAAAAACTTGATCTTTCCCCCATCCTTCTTGTCCAAACATTTTTTAAAACCCTTCATTCCCTTATCCTCTTCCCCTATTTTTATAAATGCCGTTATTATTGCGCCTTTATTCTTGCCGAATTTCAGAAAAAAACTAGTAATTCTTTAGGCAAATAATAAAGAAAATATGAGAAGAAAATTGAGTGTTTTTGTTGAGTGTTTTTCTTTTTATTTTTTTGTTTGTTTGTTTGGGCTGTTTAAATTTTTGGTTAGTTTGTTTATAGGAATTTGCCGACTTGAAGGGAGAGAGAGTTTGAGAGAGTCCGTGAAGGCCTAGACTTTTAGACTTTGGAGGGAGAGACGTTTGGAGGAGAACGTTGGAAGAGTTTGTGCCCTCCTCTCTAGAGACGTTGGAGGAGAAGAATAACTGTCCAAGATACTCGAACTTTGGAAGGTTTGAACGGAAACGAGTTGGGACCTTTGGACGATAAGAAAAAGTGCTTTTGAATAGAGAGACTGAGTGACTCTTAAGAGACTCCTAAAACTAAGCATTCTTTCCATTCTCTTTCTATTCCAAAAATTTTTTTCGTTGAAATTCGATCTCATCTTTCTTGAAAAAACAAAGAAAAAAAAGCATAAGAATAGAACTCAACAATTGCACAAATAGGAGGAATGCCACAATTTATTTGCCGAAAAAGGAAGAAATATGAAACTTAAAAATATAGTCAAATCTCATTATAGTTGCTGAAAAATCGTACAATAAAATACATGGTAATGATATCTCTCAGATTTTTTTCTAACTAAAGAATTATTAATTTTTTCAAATTTTTTTCCTCTCACTTTTAATTTACTATTTTTTAAACTGCAACATTTATTAAAATATTAAAATAAATAATTATTTTTGTGCCATTATTTTACTTTTCACCTAAATAATTTATCAATGTCTTAAAGTTTTCTTTTATTTATTTAATGAAAACCTGGGGGGGGGGGGGTTTGTGCTCATAAATTTTTATTTTTATCTTCTCACAGAATATTTTTTTAAAAAATTCTTTGAGCTTTGATCTTATCTTGAATGCGCAACGATAATGAAAATATATTATTTTTAAAGAGATGATTAATGGATTTTAATTGAGAGAGAAAAAGTGAAAATGGAAGAGAAAAATAATTTTTAGAATATTATTTTTATTTTTAAGAAAATTTTTAATAAAAAAATTTTTTTTGAAGAGTGCCCAGATAAAATTAGCAAAAAAGTTTAACTATCCGGAATACCGGAAATCTCTTAATAGAACCACGTGCGTCTGTTTTTAGATCCTCTAGTAGAATGTGTTTCTATTAGGGAGTATAGATCAAGATTTTTGATGTGCCTGTTCCTGGACTCTGGAGTTTGATTTATTGACCTGGACCTGTAGTCCAAGAAAAATCCAGGCCCAAAAAACCCCAGGAAGGTAAAAAAATGCCTGGGCCTGGACTCTGGGTACAGGAAAACTCAGGCCTTGGTCCAGACCCAGCCGATCTCTATTAAGGAGTGCTTCTGTTGGAAGGTGTGCTTCTATTTAAGGATATCCGGAATATTCTGGTTTGAATATCGGTTATGAAGTCGCACTGGATCTTACCTTTTAATTAATCATTTAATTTGCTAGATCCCCTCTTAAAAATTTTTAATAAAAAAAAGATGTTGCAAGAAAGAAAGAATTAATTTAGTTGAAAGAGAAAAAGTGTGAAGGAACAGGTTTCAAAAATGTTCGCGCAATAGATCAAAAAATAATAAAATAAAAGAACACCTGTCTTTAGAAAATATAGAAAGTTTTTTAAAGTGTTTATTGCTTGTGGCAAAAAATTTATTTGAACAAACATATGGTGCGCGAAAATTTCTTCTTTTTTTTAATATTAATTTTTTCGTTTTTTAGGCTTGGCGCGGGTCTTTAAATCGCTCAATTTTAAACTTTTCTTATCCAAATTTTG